TCCCCCCCCCCCCCCCCCCCCCCCCCCCCCCCCCCCCCCCCCCCCCCCCCCCCCCCGCCCCCCCCCCCGCCCCCGCCTGGGGTTCACATATAGACTGAGACCTGCTGCCTTAACAAGTGACAATCGTCAAGTGAGTAATCTACAGCAAAGAAACTAGAGATTGGTCTATTATCAGGTGAGCCAGTGTTGGCTGTCTCCTATGGTCAACCTAGGCTAGTTTAGTTTGCCTAGGTTAAAGATAAATTAAAGACAGCATATTTGCTCGAAAAGAGGCCTCTCTCGTAACAGAGTTTGCGAGACACAGAGGGAACTTCAACGAGGACAAAGTCAACACGCTTCCTAACGGGGCCTAGCGCAGCCTAAGAGTGCAACAACACCACAACACCACAACACCACAACACCACGACACCACGCAGGGCCTTCTTTCTAACTACAGCAAAGTATCTACAAAAGGATCTGTTAGCGGGTACTACATACTTGATTTATTCGAGCGGAATCTACGCCCAATTCAAAGACACAATGGCTCGATATTATAGCCTCGTCCTTAACGTGTAGGGCAGTTTGTGCCAAGCAGCCTGTGAATGGCCAGGCTAAATCCGCCCGCATCGCCAGGGGTGTCATCTTCGCCCTCCCCGTTCTTCTTTTCTTGTCATCTTCTTCTATCACCCAGTAATAGAACGGCCTTCTGCTCTTCTTCACACCAGGTGGCAGGCCAAGCTTGCCCCGTAGCATAATCATGTTCAGTGTCTGTATGGTCACCAACTACGATAACTTGGTGAAGCTGGACACAGAGGATTGGGACGTCGCCGAAGAGAAGTCAAGGATGTGATCAAGAAGAATCGTTTGCGCTGACCTGATGCCCATAACGCCTAGCACAATTGCAGAGTCCACCCTGGAGAAATACACCATTATATCAAGCCGGGGATGATTTATCATCCTCCTTTACATCGCCGTCGGCAGAGTGCTCCTTTTTGGCGGCTTCGATCTTGGCCTCCTCCAACTTGTTTTCCGCCAGCTTGAGGGCCTCTTCGAGCGCCTCCTCATCACCACTCTCAATGTCCGCCTCTTCCAGCCAGCCTGATTCCTTGTTCTGCTTGTCAGCATCTTTCTGGACCGGGGTCGGCGCCTTGGTGGTATTGCCGGGCGTCAGAGCCCAGTCAATCTCGCCATCCGGCCCGTACCGCGATATGAGCCACTCATTTGCCAACTTGAAGTGCTTGCAGTCGAAGAATCCTCTAGACGCGCTCAATGGACTGGGGTGCACGCTATTCAGCACCAGGTGTTTCTTCCGATCAATCTTTTGCACCCTCTTGCCGGCGGGAGTGCCCCACGCTATGAAGACGACACCACTTGTCCTCTTCTTGGCGACAAGGTCGAGTACTTTCTGCGTGAGCCTTTCCCAGCCACGATTCGCGTGAGAGAAGGCTTCGTGAGCCCTCACTGTCAGACAAGTGTTGAGCAACAGAACACCTCGATCCGCCCAGGGTATCAGCAGTCCACCTCGATTCGGTGGGTCGATGAAAGCAGGGTAATCCTTCTTTAGAGCGATGTACATGTTGCGCAACGAGGGCGGAGCAGGCGTAGGAGGTCGGACAGAGAAAGCCATGCCATGGGCCTGATTGTCGTTGTGGTAGGGGTCTTGGCCCACAATGACCACTTTGATCTGGTCGAACGGTGTGTGTCGGGACCTGACGGCGTAAGAGGGGCTACTAGAAATTGTTTGGGCCTCTTACCAGGAGTACACATCCTCTGCTGGGGGGAACCACTTCTTCTTGGCTTTGGTCTCGGCCGCCAGGAACCGTTTGAGATCCAGAAACTCCTTTGTGACAAGGTCATCTTTCAACTGGGCCAGCCAGCTCTCATGCAAGGTGTCAATCTCGAGTTCCAAGAGCTCACGCTGCTCCGGCTTCAGGCTATCCACCCATTTCTGCTTGTCGAAACGGGGACTTGACGGCCCACGGACGGTTGCTGCGTTTGTACTTGGGGCAGCAACTTTGGGAGCTCCAAAGAACGAGGTGATGCTGCCATTCGCCTTTGACTTCTTGGCGTCGTTCCCTCCAGCTGCGCCGCCCGCTTTTCGCTTGAGGTTGGACATCGCGCGTCTCGATGTGTGGTAGTAGTTGAACCGATGGATGTTGATGTAAGCTGGGCCCTGACGCGTGAGGGGAGCTCTGAAAGAAGATGGAAAATGTATTTTGATCAACGGGGTCTTTTAGAGCAGGCTGATGGTCAAATTTACGAATTGTCAGATACAGTGGCTACCTTTGACAAAAGAAACGAGCGTTTGAAGTGCTGACGGCTGACTCACTTGGTCGCGTGTCTTAGTCGCGTTAAGCTTCCACGACCGCGTCAAGGGTGGGATGTGGCGCAGCAGTCTAAAGTGAGGTACGTACCCACCCCACCAGCCACACGTACCCCTGCACATACAGCTTGCTGATGCAATTAGGACAGCTTGCCATCATCGTCGGTCCCCGCGAGAACAGGGTTGGAGATTGAGGTTCAACAATCTCATCGTCCAGGGAACGTCAGCCATGTTCTTTTCTTTCCGTTAGCTTTGTTCTGTTGCAGCGTCGCCGTCTAGCATCTAGCCCGCCATGGCGAAACTCATACCATGGCTACTCGGTAGGTCGCATGCCACGCTTCCACGTTCTCTACTTGCTGACCATCATCGCAGTGCTGCTACAAGCCACGGCAGTCTTGGGTGCCAACTGGGGCTTACCGTTCACGGACAAGAAGACGAGTACTGGGCGGGCCGGAAAGGATGTGAAGCCTGCTGTTGACTACCATCCAGACGGACAGCATCATGGCGACTACGGTTTGCGGCGCCCAACCGAATTGCTGGCAGACGCTGACCATTCACTAGGTGCCAACCACTACAACGCAGCCATGAGGCTTCTGCGAACTATTCCGAGAATGAACAAACAAAGCCCGAAAGATACGAGCATATTCTCGACAGCGCTGCAATACGTTCTCAAGACACTGCCGACTGGGCCAGCCTCGGCGCCCTCAGGCCACCACCACCATCACCAGACTGGTGTCAGCGGCCCTTTGGCAGAGGCTACCAAGGCTCTTGAGGATGCTGTGGCTGCGAATAGCTCCGATGCGCTATACTTGCTCGCAGACATGAACTTCTTCGGCTACTACAACCACCCGCGCGATCTCGAGAAGGCCTTCCAGTTGTACGAGTCACACGCCGAAAAGTACGGCAATGCCTCGGCGCAGTACATGCTGGGTGTTTACTATTCGACCGGCCTCGCCGGAATAGTTGCGCCTGATCAGGCGAAGGCTTTGCTGCATCACACATTCGCTGCGGCGGGAGGCAGCCTGCGGTCTGAGATGGCTGTGGCGTATCGACATTTCGCTGGCATTGGGGCCATCAAGAGTTGCGACAAGGCTGTTGCTCACTACAAGCGCGTGGCAGACAAGGTCATCGAGTGGTATAGGTCAGGGCCGCCGGGAGGTCGCACCTGGGTCGTACAAGGATGGCGCATTGCCGACGACGACGGTGGCGTATATGGCGAAGGCGCAAGCGCTTCCAGCGCAGGCATCAACGCCTTCCGGCCGAACCTCAACTCAGATCAGAACGCTGCGATTGGGGACGTTATTGAGTACCTGGACCTCATGTCCCAAAAGGGCGACTACAAGGCGGCCTTCAACCTGGGTAGAATCTACTACGAAGGGCAGCGCGGCTTGGAGAGAAACCTCGACATGGCACGGAAATACTTTTGGGCCGTCACTACGCGATACTGGAAGCGAGACGGACGAATCGTCGAAAATTACAAGCCCGGCATCGAAAAGACTGCATGCAAAGCGGCAGCATATCTCGGGCGCATGTACTTGCGCGGTGAGGGGGTCTCCCAGGATTTCGACAAGGCGAGAATATGGTTTGAGCGTGGCATCACCCACGGGGACCCCCTTGCTCAATATGGTCTTGGCTTGATGCACCTGCATGGCTACCTTGGCAAGGTCAGGATACAGAATGCGATGAGCTTGCTCAAGGTGGCTGCCGACCAGGACTTTGCGCCAGCACAGGTCGAGATGGGCCGACTCCACCTAGATCAAGGGTCGACGGAGGACCTGCGAGTGGCAAACAATTACTTTGAGCTCGCGGCTCGGTACGGCAACATTGAAGCCAACTACCATTTGGCCGAGATGGTACACCATAGCGTGGGGCGCGAGAAGATTTGTGCAATCTCCCTCAGTTACTACAAGAGCGTGGCGGAGAAGGCCGAGCCGTTGGTATCATCGTGGGCGGACGCCAATGTTGCCTACGAAGCGGGAGACTACGAGACTGCCTTTCTTGGCTACTTGCTTGCCGCGGAGCAAGGATACGAAAGAGCTCAAACCAACGTGGCGTACATGCTGGACTGGGGAAACACCCAGCTTCCAGCCGTGAACTACTTGCGCCAACGCATCAGCGGCAGCAAGCCACACGGTGGACTGCTCAACAACTCGGCACTCGCACTTGTGCAGTGGACCAGATCATCGAGGCAGTCCAACATTGACTCCATGGTGAAGATGGGAGATTACTACTATTACGGCATTGGCACAGAAAAGGACATTAGCAAGGCTGTGCAATGCTACACGTCTGCTTCCGACCACTCCCAGAGCGCGCAAGCTCTATACAACCTGGGCTGGATGCATGAGCACGGCGTTGGGTTGAAGCAGGATTATCACCTCGCCAAGCGCTATTACGACCACGCTCTCATGGTGAACAAGGAGGCCTACCTGCCCGTTACCCTGAGTCTGCTCAAGCTCCGAATCCGCAGCGCCTGGAACACACTCACCCACGGCGAAATACATGGCATCCAAGAGGAGCCCAGTGAGTCACGTCTCCACTCCCCAGCCAACTGCCATACTGACTCTTCATAGACGCACGCAAAGACTGGTCACTGTCCGATTGGATCGCGCACTTTATCGACCAGGCCGACGACTATATCTACGACGAAGATGGCTACTACGACGATTACTTTGACGATACCATGGGTGGCGGCGATGGCGAGTATGACGATGCCGGTATCGTTGAGAGTGTCCTGATTCTCGGTGTGATGACCGCGTTGATCTTCTTGCTGTGGTGGAGGCAACGTTTACAGCAAGCGCACGCGCAACGCGAGGATGAGAGGCGAAGAGAGCAGGGGCTTCCACCAATGCCGCCGCCTGGGCAACCTGCGCCTGGCAACGGGTTCGCAGGATGGGCTGGCGGAGGCATGGGCCTGTAGCATGATGAGGAACGACGAGATGCATGGCTTTTGTAGACTAAGAGGCGTTTGAGCGTTTGGGGCTTTGAAGTATAGATCTTGATGGGCATACACAAAAAGCACGTTTCCACGGATGGTCAAACGCATGGTTCTTTCGTGTCTGTAATCCGACAAAACCACAGCACCGGCCGACCTTTAGTAAAGCAGACTTCGAAGGCACAAAGTGCTAGATAAGTCCCCGGAGATGGTATCTAGAGTGACTGTACAGACATGGGCGAAGCTGTTTTCACGGCAAGTGCGTCCTTTCCAAGCGTCCTGCTGCTCGTTCTCTGTGGCCGGGACTACCCTCATCGAGGAGAGTCTCAGCCACGACGCGCTTTTCAAAGGAATATTTCCTTTCCGCATCATGAACACTTGAAAGGATTCATCCTCAAATAAACTAACAGCACTGTGAGCATCTGGTTACTAGCATCAATACCATCAGATCGATACTCAACACTGCTCTACACCTGCCCCTGAACACAACAAGCCCTGCCATCGCTGTAGCGGCGGCTGAGGAACCCGCAACACTAATCCAAATCACCAGAGAAGACTCTATAGACCAGGACTTTTAGACACTATCGAAATAACCCCTATCAAACGCCCAGATGCATTCACTGTGAGGCACGCTCATAACATGCACATACCAGTCATGCTGATTAGGAGTTAGGACCGTCCTCAAGATCGAAGTATCTTGTGGCACCATCATCTGCAAGCTCGCGATACGGGCGGTTTCAGTGTCGAAATATCCCACGAATGTAATGTTTGATCAAAGTCCTTGATAGTCGCAGTCTCCGACCATCACAACAGCGGACAGCTTTAAGGAGACCTGAATTCTTGGATTCCAATATGGAGGCTACTCGCAACGCCACATAATTCTAGAGATAGGGGTACTTCAGATCCTCACGCCAGCCACGTATACGTAACGATTGCAATACTCATCATTGCTCTTATTCTTCTCGCCCTCGCTATCGCCGCGATGCAATACTTGAGGAGGCACGAAGACCCTATACTCGCGAAGCGGAGGCGAGAAGCACGCCCAATGGCCATGGGATTGACCAGAGCAGCTCCTCTAGTTGCAGGGCCATCGATTGACGGTATTTGTCACGCATAGATATTTGCGAGCGTCGCATGATGAGTTCCGATGATGCCAGCGCACATCCGTCGGATCGACTTGTTTCCGCAGTGTCAGGCGTGGCGTCCTCTGAACAAACCTATACACCCACGATGCGGATCGAGCGACGAGCATGGGAAAAATGAAGGTCTAAAGCTCCGTTGTATAAACGCAGTAATAGCTCGAGAGTTTGCGGGGCCTGGGGGATTACTTCTGCGGGCGTGAGGATGCCTTCATGTTGCCACGGTTGTCGGCATTATGATTGGCAAGACTACTCAGAAGCATAGCCTAGAGCTGGTAGCCCTAATATAAGGTGTAATTCGAAATTTTCGTCTGCAGAGCCCCCAGGAAGACGCGATCATCATGTCAATCCACAACTATGTTCATGCAGCAGCATGGAACGGCCAACTGACGATCAACTGTTGGCCCTTACTCACCATTTGCCCTCTTGATCCTGGCAGACAGCGCTGTACTGTACTCTCTGGATAAAAGATAGATATCGCTAGTATGTCTTATTGATCAATATTCCTATTGTGGTTGGTGCCAATATCGAGGCTGGATACTACATGTAGCCTGTGAGCACTATATGGCCCAGAGGTTACGTAGTGCTATAGCAAGGCGTGCGCACACCTTTAAGCTGCTTATATGTGATACCGACGAGACTTTGATAATGAAATGAGCCAGAACCTCAATTGAATATGTGGAAGTATAGCAAAAATAGTTGATTCAATATCTGGTGCCCTTATTGGTTGCCGACGACGCGCGCCTGGCTTTTCCGAGCGACTCAATGATCTGAAGCAACGTGAGCTTGCCGTCGTGAGTGGTGGCCATTCGATCGATATTGAAGTATGGCAGGTCCTAGGTATTGTCAGTCGCGGTTCTGTGTCAAAGTTCAAGTAGACTCACCACCAGCCACTCGGGCTCAGCTGCTGTAACCACTTCCAGAGTTTGGTTACCTCCAGTCGAGACAAAGCTGGTCCAGACAATCCACTCTCGCTGAGCCTCCCACAGAGAACTAAACGGAGACACCAACGCTGGAGTGTTCTCGTAGATCGTGCGATACTCCAGGCCCTTGTAGTGGATGGCGCTCTGGGTACAGAGGCCTTTGACCAGAGCCCGACGGAGTCTCACGGTGTCTGTGAGCAGAGTCCTTCCAGGTTCGATCTTCGCATTCAGGAGGAAGGTCGCCATGTCCTTCAGTTGTTTGTGGACACCATCCAAGCCGTCCTTACTCAGGGCATGATGTGAACACCAGGCCTCGACGTCAATAGCAGCATCCTGACTATGCTTCTCAAGCACGTACTCGTACGCAGAGAACGCCTTCAGTAGAGCAATGTGGTCTGACAAGGGGTCGGCGAACGCAGTATGCGCCAAATTCATGCACTGAGTGAACGGATCCCTCCTCTCGAAGATTGGGGGACGGGCCTCGCACAAAAGACCTATGGTAGCCATGTCGAGGGCACATGACTCTTCCGCTCCTGCCAAGATCACGTGGAACCACAGTGGAGGAAGAGGCATCCTTACGGCATACCGGCCATTGAGAGTACTCGAACCTCCTTCAGGGTTGAGAAATCTCCTGTTGTTCGTGTCAATATGTGTTCATAAGCCAGGATGCAGTGAGACATACCAGTCCACAAGATTCCCGGCCGCCCGTGTGAGGTCCTCCGGATTGGGGGCATCAAGCCAATCGAAACTGAGCGGTCTCGTCCACCCGATTGATGCGAGATCCATCACCAATGGCTCAAGCGGATCTCGACGGATGCCTGGCTCACTCATTGGCTCCATCTTGTCGAACGAAACCTTGTTGTAGAGTCTATAACACACGCCAGGCTGTGTTCGGCCGGCGCGGCCAGCGCGCTGCTTGGCGGACGCCTGTGAGATGGGCTTAGTGAGCAGCGTAGACATGCGAAGGCGGGGATTAAAGCGCATTTGCTTCTCCAAGCCAGTGTCGACGACGTACCCAACACCGTTGATCGTCAAGCTCGTCTCGGCAATGTTCGTCGAGACGACGACCTTGCGGATTCCAGGAGCAGGCTCATATTGTACAGCTCCTTCCCGGGCCCGACGAGACAGTGAAGAGTGCAATGGAAAGACTTCGAGCGTCTCCTGCGACTCAAATTGGCGCACGAGTTGGCAGATTTGTGCAATATCACGCTCGCCTGGTGCGAAAACCAGTATGTGTCCTGGCCCTTTTTGCGTGTGAATATGCTCAATCACTCGAGCAGCTGTGACATTCACGTCAAAGGGTATCTTGTCATGACCAGGACTGATGTGGTTTATGGTGATACCAAAGTTGCGCCCAGGTATATGCACGACCGGGCAATTGTCGAAGTACCGCTGGAACTTAGCGGCATCCAAAGTCGCCGACATGATGATGACCTGACACAAGTGATTGAAGGGTTAGGTTGGGTTTATCAACGTGAAGAGAAGACATTGCTTGAGACATACCTTGAAATCCTTTCGCCTCGTCAGTACGTGCTTTAGCAGCGCGATCAGGGTGTCGAGGTTCGTAGTTCGCTCATGAGCCTCGTCTAGGATGATGCACGAGTACTTTCGCAAATCCTTGTCACTCACCAATGCCCGGATAAGTGTACGCTCTGTCTGGTACACGAGTCGGGTCTTTTGTTTGAATTTGCGGTCGCGCGCTATCGAGTAGTCAACTGCGGTACCCAAAGGGACGGCCATTTCGCTGGCGACACGAGTGGCGAGCTCAGTACACGCCAAGCGATGTGTTTGCGTGCAGGCAATCCTGCCACCGCTGGCGAATTCGTCGTAGAATAGCATCTGAGGCACTTGGGTCGACTTTCCCGAGCCAGTTTCGCTTGACAGAACTATCACCGGGGACTTGTGATACTCATGAAGAATTTTATCCCAAGACTTGTAGACCGGCAAGTTTCGCCGTACCTCGAGAATCGCGGCTCGATCGGGGGGCCATGGCTGTCCGGTCACTGGGTTTGTGGGAGCGTCTTCGAGACGCTTGATAACGGCAGCTGTGGCCTGGTTGCGCTTGATGGACTTGATGTCGATGGAGTTCATTTCGAAACGAAGAATGTTTTGTGATTGTGGTTATTGTGGTTGTGGTGGTTGTGGTTATTGTGGGTGTGGTGGTTGTGGTTGTGAAGGGTATGAAGATTGAGAACAACCTCAAAGTGAGAACAATCTGATAGCTAAAAATTTCCTTGCCCTAAAGTAAAGGATGACTCATTATTCGCTGAGGTAAACAAAAGTACTGTCTCGTCCAGAACGTCAGGTAGGTGGCGTCTGAGAACAGATGAAGAGTGGCGCGAAGTTTTTGCAAGTTTCTAGGGCGACAGTAACTCTCACGCCTGAGAGCTGCTTGGACAGCATTTCTTCAAGTAAACCTAAGAAGGAATAGTGATTCCTCAACACGAAATGGCCTTGTTTGAAGGGTGAGATTGTGCTTGGACCACTAGACATGAAGTTTGCACACGCACCAACTGTGCCTGTATCAGACAGTCGCTTATATAACTTCATGGTTACAATAGTAATCAAGAACATATTGCCAATCTAAATCCAACACAATAATTCTCATGTGATTGGTTAATTATCTCTTTGGTGCTAGTAGGAGAGATAGTCACCGGGTCAGTCAGGCGGGAAAATTTCAACGCCGTCTATTCGATAAGTCAAGCCTGTCCATCAAGAACAGCATTGTGATTCAATTGCCGCACGTCTGAAGCATGGCCTATACATTTGTGCTCGTATTAACAGTGACGCAAAAAGGAAGGGGGGGCGGTGCTTGCTGCGATTAGTATCCAGACAGGACTTGGTATGCGTGACTTTGTCTCTTGACGCACTAAAAAGGGATATCTATTAACAAATCAACCTATTTTCGATATCCCTTTGTGCATTTAAGGGGCGCTTGCTGTAAGTATTGCTCAGGCGGATTGGAACAGTGGGAGTGAAGCCGATAGTACCCCTGAAGTCAACATCGCGCGGCAGAAAGGGGGTTTAAGCATCATGGTCAACCAAAAGTGGGATTTTCTTCCTTGGGAATGTATAGAATTTGATATATCAAGAGTCAAGCACCCTCGAACAAAGTGTTCGGCAGGTTTTGGCCAAAGCTCAACCACCCAGTCGCATTTTCCTAGCCAACCGTGGTCGATCTACTAACAGCATCATTCCTTCTCACTGTGTTCAGTTCATCATGTCGAAATCATGGCGATCAGGGAAGAGCACATTGTTGGCCATGTCCACAACCTCGGCTTCGATCGCCGACTCGACATCGTCCTCGTCCCATGGCATGAGGCCCATTGCCCGAAGTCCAGCCTCTCCCCCGGCATCGCACACGTCTTGTACTCCTGCCCGCCCCATGTGAGCTCTCTCGTCTCTGCCGTTCAGCTTTGCAAAGTCGGGTCCACGGTGTCCCAGCAAGAACGTCTTTCGCTGGCGCGCCAGGTAAAGGGCATTACTGTGCGTGAGCGGACAGGCAGGCAAAAACATGGCGGTTGCATTCGAGGCAACTTCGGGGGGCGCAATGATGGCATCAGGGTGCCATATTAAGTAGTCTCCCGGCCGCAGGGGTGGATGCTGAATAAGAGTCTGTGATAGCTGCAGGTGCGGGTGTAGTGCATGGGCAACTTCTTGCCGTGCAGCCTGACCGGCACCTGGTAGTTCAGGACAAGCTGCTGGCGCAAAAATCCAGTTCTCGGCAAAGAGGAAGTCCGGGCTGCTGGGCGTGGCGACCACGGGACTGAAGAACGGTCGCAGCAGGACGTAGGCTGTAGCGGCTTGCAAGAGGGGGCAGAATCTGAAGAAGACCGCCTCAGATGACGGCGTACCCAGGCAGAGCAAGCCCTGAAACATGCGAAACATGCTACAGGCCGTGTCGTACCCGCGTAATTCAGTTGTTGCTGCCAGCCGGCTCTGAGGATCCCAGGGATCATATCGTTCCCAGTCGCCACGCCAAATGTGTGCGTAAGGGGAGTCAGAGTGCTGCCCCCAGCGTTCCAGGCTTGGTCCATCAATATGAGCGGTCTGGTGAAGTGTAGCAGTTGTGGCATCTCCCCTGTGCAGCCTGTCGGCGTACACAACGGGGAAGTTGGTGGTGAGCGGCGGCTGAGGCTTCGGGCTGGTCCAGGCGCGCATGATGGCTTGTTGCACCACCAACACGCCCGGGCTGACTCGAGCTCGGGTTTGGGCCGGCGACCAAAACACGTTCTGTAGCTGCGATCCGCATACCGTGGAGGCTCCTATGGCTTCATTCATGCTGTGGACGAAGTATTGCTCAGTCTCCCTCATCCAGGTAGAGAGAGCCTCGCCGGCTACCACATTCCTAACCACTCCCACACCACGCTGCTTGAGCACCGCGACGAATTGTCGTGTAGTAGATTCATTGGCGATATCATTGAAGCTGATTGTAGGTATGGAATTTGAGCCTTCTCTAGCCAGGAGGTCGACCTCAGTGCGGAGTCGGCACAATAGCCTATGCCAGGATTTGCAGACTGCGTCTTGATGTCCCTCGACTAGACGCTGCTTTATTTCAGCGAAGTATGGTGGGTACTTTTGTGGCCTGGGTGCTTGAGACATGCTCTGCCCAAGTCAGGTCAGGTCTGTGGTCTGCGAAGAAGCCGAGAGGTTCGGGTGCGTAGTATTGTGTTCTTGGCAATGATGGGTATTGAGGTCGCTTTGGCGCATCGACACAATTGTCTGTGCTATGTTGAGTCCGACGAGTCTCGAAAGGAACGAACGGCACGACCATTGATGCTCCTACGCGTCGAAAATGTAGTCCTGGTCTGCGGCAGGGACGGGACTGCGATGGCTCTTCGTGTTCTGAGGTCCCTTTTCAGACTCTTCGCCTGCGGTAGCTGGGCTTATCACCGAATCCGCGCGGCATACGCTTGATATAAGCGGTCTTACCAAGTGAAATCTAGATAGAAACCCATCGGGGCCTGCATACTGTTGGAGTGCGGAGTCGTCGTGAGAGTGAGAGGTGCTGTTTGATGATTTTAAACCAAGTGCCCCGGGGGCCAGGGCTGGTGTGGATGACGTTGGTTTAGCATCGCATCCCGGCGGACTCTGGTACGGCACAACAGCTGCGAGCGAAACTTACTGACGCAGGCCCTAGAGACGCGCTTGCTGAGCCGCTCGACGTCCTAAAAATAAGCCCGGGAAACGCCAGCCTTGGTGAAATTGGCCGAAGCTTGTTAGATCCGCCAGGGTCTTGCAGGGGAGAGAGACGCGCAGCAATGCGGTTCGTCGGACCGCACGTCCGTCCTTGGGTCAAGCTCACCACAATTCGAAGGGAGAGCCGATTGCCTACTCGGCTCGTTCGGATGCTGCAGGCATATCCTTGCGAGGACACCTTTGGTGCATGCACACGTGGCTGGGGAGGCTATCTATGTACATGTAACTAAGCTTTCCTTCGCTTTGACCGCCTGGGAGGCTCTGCCTGGGCCTTTGGCTTGTCGAGCTCAGGCGTCTTCTTGCGCTTCACGATATTTGTCCGAGCCCTTGGGGTCTTGCTATTGCTTGTCTTCGCAGAGACCACGTCGGTTGACTGTCTCATTGCGACAAAAGCAGCCTTTTCGACCTCCATCGTCGATACCTTGATTCTCGCAGCTAGTTCTCGCGCTTGGGCCAACAGCTGTTGATACTCCTTGGCGTTGTACTTGATGGGACTCTTCACGCCGCCGCAGCACAACCAATAGTATGCTTCGTCGGAGAAGAAGATCACCCGGTCTGGGTCGTGGACCGACAGAAGCAGAGATGCCGTTGCGGGACCGACTCCTCTGAGCTTCGACAATGCATCAACAGCTGCTGCTGCGTCTCCATCCTCTCGATACCCACCAATAGCGTCTCGGATGATATTTTTCACAGTCACCGGGTCGTTGGAAGAAACCAAGCTCATGAGCGTCGGACGGAATTTGCCATGACGTCTGTAAACATTGTTAGTGGTAGTTGATACCGATGTTGTAGTGCATGCGCGGAAGCGAGCCGTGGCAGCCAAACGCACGCTCCTGCATGCAGGACGCGAGTGCGGCAGCCGTCGGCAAGGACCCATAGTCCAGGATTGGAATCTCACTGCGCCCGCAGTGAGAAGAAGGGTAGCCGAGAATTTGATGATTGAGTTTCAAATGGCAGAGGTCAAGTTCAAGAGAATGCCGAGCTCAAGAGAATACCGAGCAGCCAGTTACCTACAGTTTCCATTCAACGAGCGTCTTCACAGCTTCCAGGTCCATGTCCCGCACGGACTCTCCCGCCGAGAAGAGACGGGGAGCCTTGTCGTATCGATATGCATCGAGCTCGCTTAGTGGTCGTTGTCCATCTTTGGCTAAATAATCGTGAGCAGTCCATGTCAGTCAGCAGGCCTGACGCGTCACGACCCGGGGTTGGCAGCTTCGCCGTGAAAATGCATCAGAGGCCCGACGTACCGGTCTTGAGAGCTCCCATGCGCTCTAGGGCTTGGGAATATGAGCCTACGAGCTCTTCGAATTGTTCCTTGCTCAACACATCGGCTGCGGTCATCGTATCGCTGAGGAGGCAAAAGGTCCGTACATGTGACTCGGTGAGACGCGTATGTGGGAGGGGCATCTGCATAGTACCAGGTAAGTTAGGCAGTAGCAACCGGAGCGCGCGTGTTACAGCAAGCGCGTCGTCCTATCAAGATCAAGTGGGTCGCCGACGCGACGGCGGCTCGAATTCCCAACCCCGTCGTCAGTGTTCAGTCAATACGTAGTACTCATGAGTCCGCATTGCATCGAAGAATTAGAACCTGGTGCTTGCTCCTTTACCTGATTCTTCCCTCAGTTCACCCCCTCACCGAATTATGGCGACCCGATAATATTAGCATAAAAGCCCCATCGGAACAAGCGCTAGGCGCAAGGTCAAGGGTCCATGGCTGTTGGATTCATTTGACACTGAGCGCTTGATCGACTGTGTAGGAGAGTGTATTCTGTGTGTAACTGACGGACAAATCGCAGATCATCTTGCCTACGGCAGTACTCAATTTGCAACATTGATACAGTGCCATGACTTAATACTTACTCACTCACCTGTCCATAGGGAAGGTAGACATCTTTGGGAATGTACATGATCCTGTTCGTAGAAAAGCTAGTAAAATTACATCGAACCCACGGATCATAAAGATTAGTGTACAACGGGTCGTCTCCTAAGGAAAGCTTTCATGTCAGTAAGTTATTTGTGAGCAGGACGTGAGCAGGATGTCAGCAAGCCTGCGAAGTTCTGGGGGCTCATAGGCCCCCCTAATAAATCGCCCACATTCTCTAGCACTCAAGCATTTCTCTCTTTCCAAACAACAACAAACTTTACAAGCTACACAACCGCAAACACTCTCCAAAGCACACCAAAACCACCAAATCACACCACCTTCCGGCACGAGTAAGTATTCCACACGAAAATTGATTGTCTCAGTGTGGTACTGTGTTGGATTTGCTAACCCGATCCTTCAATGTAGCAACTACCCACCATGCCTGTCCTCAACGACCAGTTTGAGAGGCTGATCGGCCGGGCCCGCAGAGCTCAACGCCTGCTCTGGGTCGACCAAGTCAACATTCACCACCCGCGTGAAGTATTCGAGGCCGCGCTGAACGAGAGGCTGAGCAACCCAGCCTCAATTCAAGTCAGGTGGCCACCAGTCACCTCTGCTGTCCAAGCCACGGCGGCAGGCCACGATGGGGTCGTCTTTCTGGAGGCGGCTTCACGATCCGATTATGCGGTTGCTCGCAACGAACTCGAGGGCTAGAGATTCCGAGGTCGGCTAGTAACTGTCCGACCGGCCGGCAGGCGTGTAAGTTACCATTTATCGGGTTTTGCAGGTTGACTTGCTCACGATCCGCAGCAGCGCGCTCAACGAATGCCCGCACAGCCGCCCACCAGTGCTCCTGTCTCGAGTGCTATGGACGCCGTCGAGACTGCAACGGCGGCTTCGACACCAGCACAGCCGGACACCGCACCGCCGCCGGCATTGCACACTGCGCCCGGGGCATCCCACCTCACTGAACCCGAGCCGACTGAGACATGTCCCACGTGTCTAGGCAGCGGTCGTGTCATCCGGGGCACCGAAGCGATCCCTACCCCCGCCGCTGCCCCCGCCGACGACCAGATGGACACGACGTCTGACGCAAGTCAATCAGACGTCGACTCAAGTCAATCAGACGTCGACGCAAGTCCTTTCACCTGGGGAGACTGGTTAGAGGCAGGCAACGACCGCGACTGGGGCTACTGCGCCTGGTCCGACAAGGATCGAGACATGTCCCGCTCCCCCACTCCATTGTACCCTTAATGGGCCATATCCAGCGCATTGAGCTGTCGCTCATCACAGACAAGCTCTCTCATACCTAGGCGAAAGCCGATTTACTCTCACACCGGGCATTTGCTCATCACACCGGGCATTTGTCCATCACACACCGGGCATTTGCTCCTGGCCGAGGCCAATCTCTCTCTCACACCAGGCGCAAGCCTATCTTCCTCTCACACCGGGCGGAAGCCCAAATGGTTGAAATTCCGTGGGTCAATGACCCAAAGGTCGTGTGGCAACTCCTCACGGAGTGGAGGTTCGACTCCTTCGACGATCATTGTATTTCATACCAATCTTGAGGAACAGTCCATGTCTATGCGGCTCCGAGTTCTTGACCGATATTGTAGGTGATGCTACTCCCGCGACATACACTGCAAAGAACCGGTCCAAACCGTGACACTCGGGGGTACGCGGGTGAGGACTCGTTTTCCCGACTGCCCAACGGATTTCATTAAGGATACGAGGTTTGGCGCGGGGACACACGCCGCGAAGATGATGATCATGACTTCACAGGAGCTGTTTGGCCCAGCTCGTCAAGAGAACCATGGAACTGGGTACGTTTATCATGATCGGTGACACCATAGTAATCTTGCTAGGCTCGGAACAATCTAGCCAGGTATAATACTCCAAACTGTCATGGAACATTGGCAATACTTTTCTGACGCCACCAACTCATGGACCGACCATGGACGCCGTTCCAAGAGGAAGTTGCGAGCCGCGTCGACACGGGGGACTGGGAAGACGCCGAGGAGAAATTCGAAGACGTGATCAACCTTCGTCAGACATCCAATACTTTGTCAAAAAGCTGAGTGAGTATGCTCTCGTATCCCAGTCCCTCTGCAACGCAGTCAGACTCAAGCACAATGGGTCGTGGGCGACCAACTTGGTGGGTGGGAAGGAACGACCGAAGGTGCCTGCCTGCCTGCCCGGCCCAACCAGACAGGGAAGGCGTTATGGCCCTGGCCCCTATTGGTCCTAACAAGATGTTATTGGGAGGGAGATATCACGCGAGAGACTACTAATTATTGTTCTTTATTATAGCCGAGAGGGGGCATCCCCCCTCTTGGACTATCATTATCACTCGTACTGAATTGATACACATTGGGCCCTCGGCGACTTTGGATGCCGCTAAATTCTAGCGGTACTACGACAATTGCCCGGTCGGTACATATACCTGGGCGTAACTTTAGTATTATCATACACCGGGCGGCTTTGTTCGCGATCCCATATCCTTCTTTCCCTCATTTTCTCCTCAGTTAGACCTAATTAAATTAATACCTCCCCTCTTTCATAAGATATGAAGCTGGTCGAGCTTTGACTCCCAAAGAATGAAGTTCCGTAATTTCACTCAGCTGCTACCTAAGAAGACCTGAACCTATAAGTTCCGCCTCGCTTGACATTGTAACGTCCCTAGCCACATATATGCACTAAACCCGAGTTTCTCGAAGAACTCCATGCCTTTAACTTCCTTAAGCCGTCTAAGATACAAGGAAAATAGTTGCCTTTGTTAATGCTCAGCGATCCTCCGCGCAGTGTGATTTCAGTCAGCCGGACAAGTCGACAGGGATAAATAATATAAGGACTGTTTCCGACTCCTTACTCGCCGCACTCGTCCAGCCTAAGTCAACCCACTACCACAACCCGCTGACTTTCGAGATTAATACCTCCCGCACTAACGGTTCGATTTACTTAAGAGTTCGTGAGCTTATACTTTAGAAAACAAAGATCGTACTTTTATTTACTAAGACTTAATTTACCTTAAATATAGCTATAAAAGTATTAAAGCTACTAAGAAAATTAATTCCTCTATTATTATAAAGAGAAAAATAAATAGTATAGAGAGTAGTTAGAGGTATTAAAAGAGCTTCAATAGAGTGCAAAAATAAGCCAAAAGTAATGAGAGCTGTGAGATTCGAACTCACGCGGGTTGCCCCACCAGGAAGATCTGTTAAGCTTGTAGAGGACGATCTGTCGCCTTCACCTTAACCTGGCGCCTTAACCGCTCGGCCAAACTCCCTAATTATTTGATATTCGTATTCTCCGTATCTTAAACTATATTTCTATTAATTTTCAGAAGAATTACTTGACTAACGCGGGAGTTATGAATTTTCTTAAGTTATTGGTCCCTTCGTGGTAGTGGGCGGTGCCGGCAAGTCCGACGCCTAAAAAAATTGCGAATGCTATATATTATGTAGCTAATATAATGCTATGGCTTAGTATTGAAGGTATTGTCCAGATATTATTCGAGTAAAAGCTAAGTATCTATTTTAATCCTAGCAATGTGCTAGCAAGTCTCAGCAATCAAGGCCGTAACGTTCGCCCACCTGTCCACACCGGGAACGCAAAGGTAGCTAACTGCTAAGTCATGACTATTCCCTTTGATTAAATATTAAGCATATGATTCGCATGGATATGGCTTCACCACAGTCGAGACGAGCAGTACGTACTATACGCAACCGAACAGTGTCGATAGCTCCCTCTAGACACACCATTAGATTTGCTTCGACAAGACGTCGCGAAGAGAGGCTGTATGGGTGTGGATTCCTGGTCACGCTTTATAAAGCACGAAACACTCAAGCTCAGCTTCGAATCAGAATACATGATGACAAATTCTCGCCCGGTCGTTCCTAAGCCACTCAGCCCTACCACCCCAGGTCAACCTTATTTCAGCCCAGACATACCGCTTGCGTTGGCTTCGGCAGGTGGGTGACCTTGACTGACCGCACCTGCCTTAACTTAAGGAAAACTATTACTGCGATTGAATTATAGATTACGGATACTCTACTCTGTGTATAGCTAGCTCTAATTAATGAAGGCGGTATTAGGCGTCGTTAACGACAAGGACGCACACCGAGATAGAATAAGAGATACCTATATCGCCCCGTAAAGCACACAAGCAAGGTGAGATTTTTAAAGCATTAATTAGGAGTTAGTTAATATAGTCGCAGTTAGTTAATATAGTCGCAAAACATACAGGATAATATCTTATTTAAGTAATAAGGGAATGTCTTTTTGTCTAACTAAATACTATAGCTCCCTTGATTTTTATAAAGACTAAGAAAATAGAAAGTAATATCCGATACTTACTTAGCGTGATTATTATATCGTCCGGAATACTAACATTAACTAGATTATACGTAGCTACTATATATACTATATATACTATATATAAAAGCTCGAATAAGTAATCCTAGTTACTTTAAATTTATATAGTAATAGAAGATATATATACACTAGTTAACTATATAATTCGCCTTACAGGCCTTAGGATTATAAGTCAGGCTCCGGGGCACTGCTATCTAGAACACGGTGGGTGGGACTATGATATTATTCCAAGTAGTAATATTATGCTATCTTGAATCCAGTATGTCTTCTCTATCTGTTCCTATAACAGATGGAATTTCATGTCTATACACTCCTCAAGCTCCCAGACGACGCACTTCTTCGCGCTGAGAGTAAAACACAAGGATCTATAGTAGTTAGGATAGACGATGCTCTCAGACAGTAGTGATTGTCGTGGCCGAGGCATAAAACGTTGCGGTGAAGCTGTCAGTTAATTAAAGAGAGTGAATGCCAGCTATACTTATATTCACCTTTAGAAGGTGCTTCACAGTGGGCCAACGTCGTAGAATATTCATGCATTCCATCGACCCTTTCAAACGACAATGCTCTCTGTACCTGGACACGACAGCCCTGTGTATTGCGAGCACTATGGCGTCTCTAGACGCAATCCTTGGAGCAACATGCCGCGTATATGAGAGGTGCCATGTGCTAAAGAGCTGTCAATGGAGGCCGCTGGTCTTTCTTATCACCTATCCAGGAGGCCCAGTCCCCGGGCGACAGCTCGGAGACGCCGACGCATCCTCCTCGCTCCTCCGCGGCTCCAGGATCGGTTCGTCCTCTCACCTTACAGTCGATTCTAGATAACTATCCTCCGGCGACTCGTCTGGCGGCCCACTATGTTGACTGGAGGACGGGCCGTGGCCTGGACGCCAGTCTAAACATTGAAGCACGAGATACACGAGCGCGCCGGGCTGCCGAGTCATGAGAACGCCGCGACAAAGAGAACCGAAGGGCCTTCCGAGTCATACGCGACACCAGCATTCGACAGCGACTCTCGAATAAGGCACGACGTCAAGTCATGACGGCTCTCGTCGCACCAGTCACCACCAACTCTCGCGCCCGTTGCCCACTTCTCCATTGGGTCTTCATCCTTTCCATTCACAAGGGCCACGCCTGGAGGCGCGGCCTCTCGTAACATGCACCACGGCGTCGCACCACCACCGTCGCAGGTGGTCAATGCTGCTCCTGTCGCCGATGCACCAGAGGAAAATGAGCAAGGCGAGGATGTGATCAAGGATGCCTTGGTTTATGGTTTATTGCAGTAGATATGCAGGCTCGATACGTTTTTGATGATCTCGAAACGTCACGCTCCATGTTCCTTGGAACAGTCCATCACATTAGAGTCCTGTTCCCATATTCGAGTTTATCTACCCCGTCCCCCTGCGGTCCACCCACCGTCAAAAATTCGAGGGCCAGTTCAGAGACAGAGGGACGATTCGAGATAATAGAGTATAGAGCGATCGGGCATAGCGTGTGTGTCTCTGGATTTTGACAATGTCGCCACAATGTCTGGCAGGTGACAAGCTTCGGATACGACATCCAACAGTCCGCTGACGCGACCCATGGCTGGAGTAACGTGATCATTGTCGTGGCGGTCCTTCATGTAACGGGGAAGTAAGAGAAGGAATCGATTCGCTCTTAAAATCGTGGCCAACAAGAATGAATAGCAGCGGGGTTGGCAGTGTAGGGCAATTGTTTGCGTCGGATACAATGCATCGAACCGGTCGCAGCGGAACTGCAGATTCATGTCGAAAAATGAAGAATACAATTCGTACTGCACGCATCAGTCGTACTCATTACCGTCGAGACTAAGAAGCTGCTATTTTATGGGATCCTATCCTTCTGACATGCCGAGTTGGTCAAGCTGATAGGCGGGACTTTTCTCCTAAATTACAATGATGTTAATTTACATATTGTAATGTGTCTCGTCCTACCCGTGCAGTTGAGCGGTGGCTGAATTTGGTCGTTTCAAGATTGTTGTTCGAAGACGTGTTGCGCAGCGTAATCGGGCTTGGGTTTCGTCAGTCGGTCCATTTTATTTGAAGGCAGGTCCCTACTCCCGAGAATCAGTTGTGTCTACAGCTTCACTCGTCAGTAGAAGGCGCCATGTTTTTTTCAGTGTTGCGCGATTATCGCCGAGGTATTGAGTATAGGCGTGCAGGGAAAGACAGGTGTTGTTTAATTAAGTTCAATCGTCACATAGTGACTCTGGCCAGTACAGTAACTAACGACGTGCATATCCAGCACGCACGCATGTAGAAAGGCGATTCCCTCCTTAACACAATGCGGCACTCACTATGTCACAAGCTCATGGCGATAGAAAGGAGCCGTCGATCCTGCTCCTGACATTGCTTCTGAGTAACAATCCAGCTAGTTAAGAGAAATCAGGAAGTCTTAGCGGAACCACTAACCCTATGCCCTGCTCCTCTAGACTATTTCATTAGTGAAGAAAGGATATGAAATCTTTAATATAGTATTTCTGTGAGCGGATTGGGTTCGTGTCCCTTTATATAGGTAATTGGGAAACTTTTCATATTATTATCGTCACATATAAAGCAACACTTCGTTTACAGTTTCGAGACTATAATAGGTATGCAGGATAGAGCAGAATACTATGATAATAAAAGCCGACTGCACCCACGGGTTTCTTAAGAGCGAAACCCACATGTCTTTCCATGTACTAATACCCGGCTTCTGCCCGCAAGATAAATCTATTACTTAACTACTTACCATGGATATACATAGCATAAAGTCGTTGCGCCAGGCTTGTTAACCTAAGTAATACAGTGAGTCGGCGATTCCAAATAAAAGAGGCGCCTAGTTACCTAATTCGACGTCTGCCGGCGTCTTTAATTGGCTGAGAGCTTGTCGCGTGGTTCGGCAAGGCGACCAATCCTGTCTCGTTAAAGGGCGGGGCGTCATTGTGATTGGCTGAAATATGTTTGTATGTGTCATGTCTGCCGCTGTGCGGGGCAGTCCAAAATTTTCAAGACCACACACCCACATTAACCCACTATCTTTGAAATTACACAGCTCCCGCATTTCTGGTTCGATTTGGTTGAAACTTAGTGGACCTATAGATTCAAATACAGAGATTCCGAATATCAAATAATTAGGGAGTTTGGCCGAGCGGTTAAGGCGCCAGGTTAAGGTGAAGGCGAGAGATCGTCCTCTACAAGCTTAACATATCTTCCTGGTGGGGCAACCCGCGTGAGTTCGAATCTCACAGCTCTCAGTGTTTTTTGCTCTTAGGCGGACCTTAGTCTATCTAGCTTTAAGATTTTTGCTTCCTAGAAAGTGTCGTGTATAATCTAAGCTATATTAATTAAGTATAGTGATCTTTGCTTAGAATTACTGCCCTCCCGGTAATATTATCTCTTGGGTATAATGTATTAATAAGTTAGATTAAAATAAGTGCTTTACTACTATCGAAACATTATTTACTCTTCTTTTAAGGGAGCCTGGCCGGGAGCTAAAGCTAGAGAGTGGCGAGTTGTTGCGCTGGCTTGTGGAGGTTTGAGCTGCGCAATGTTAGGCATGTTAACCTCCTAGCAGGCTTAGTATATTAATATAACGCAGGCACTGATTGAGTATTCCGGAAATGATCCGCGAGATGCCGACACAAGAAAGATAACGGCAAAAGAGGCCCCTGGCGCTGGTGTGTCTACTGAGGCCAGTACGGCTTGTTCTGCTCAATCTATTGCTATTGTGTAGCTGTAGCCTCCATGTCCCGAGAATCTGCAATTCATCCGCGTTAAAAAGAAAAGAAAAAAATACACCAGGCTAAATGGCTACTGGCCAGCCCTGCCTTAACTTTTCTGAAAGCAAGTCCGTCTGTCCATGCGAAAACTCCAGAACCCCTCCTCGCTCCTTCCGAAAATGCCTTCCGCCAAAGAACGAAACTGTAAACGCCAATCAAGCATGCAATCAGGAGAACTATCAATGTGTCAGTCAATGTCAGTGTGGCCATGGTGCGTGTCTTACCTTCCACCGCTTGCCGCAGTTCATACACTCGCAGAACGTTGTCATCGGCTCATCAGCACTGCGCGTCTGCGCTTGCGAGTAGCTGACCATCTTCTTCTTACAACGTCCGCACTCCAAGCTGTCGCTGATGGACTTCTTGGCCATCGGCACCTGCGCCTTCTTCATATTCTCCTTCTCAAACTCATCGTCCTCGCGGCGGCGGTCCTCGCTCTTGAGCTCCTCCTCGGACATCTTGACAAACTTCTCCGGCGAGACCTTGCCCTGGAGCACGCTGACACCAAGCTCCGGGTTCGACTTGTTTTTGAGGTTTGTGAACAGCGATTTGACCTTCTTCTTGTAGTCGGGCGTCTCGCCCTTGAACTCGGTATGCGCTGCGTGCTCCACAGCCACGGCCTTGGCCAGAACGTCGGCGGGTGTCTCGAGCGACCGATAAGCAAGTCCGTTGTAGAGCAGTCCGATGCATTGATTCCGGCCCTTTGACGCAGTTCGATTCAGATCCACGCCGTCCACGTCGAACTTTCGCTTCTCGGGGTCGCCTTCGTACTTCTTGCCGTTGCTCGAGGCCGCTGCGCTCGGCGCCGGGGTCGTCGAGATCGCGGGAGATGACGCTGGTGCTGGCGAAGCCATCTTGGATGCACCCTTATTCTTCTTTTCTTGCTCGACGAGCTTCTTCCACTTGCCGACGAGTTCGGCGGCGGCGGCAGCAATCTCCTTGTTCTTGCTGGAACGAAGCTTGCCCACCAACACACCTGCGCGCGTAGCCTATATCCGTCTCTGTATCAGCCTGCATGTTTTCCCTTTGTCACCGCCGCTTGGGTCGCACAGCGGCCCCACTCTGCGCGTGGACTCACCCTCAACATATCTTCTGTAGGTGACGCATCCCTCTTCAGCGTTTCCAGCAGGCGCAGCGCATTCTCTGGGGGTTCGTTGGCCCCCATGCATTTCGTGAGCGCCTTGACGTTGGCGTCGAGTTCGCGCTGGTCCATCATGCTGGGCGCTCGTGCGTCGCTGCGGCGTGCTGTACGGCGCTTGTTCTCGATACGGGAAGGTCGCGTAGATGCAAGAATCTGCAGAACAAGCGAGCGACAAACAAAGCGAGCGCAGCGATAGTGTAAATGCGCCTTGGAGTGTCGAAACGGCGGGCGCGCAATGCAGATCACAAAGGTTGTCGTGTTGAAAAGCGTACCTTATACGGGCACTTGGCACGTGAGGGTTGATTAGCCGAAGTTGATCCTCCGAGTCTTGAGCTAAGGTAACTTTAACACGGTGACAAATCTTCCCGTCGCATTGGAGCAATCACGACAGCACATTAGCAGTTTTGTAATGCCAGGCTTTCCTGCAAGGTCATGATACTCCTTCAATTGAAACAACTAAGATTGTACCGGCCAAAACGCCCTCCCTTCCTTTAGAAGCGCCACGCAACACCTCGACAGTCTCCATGCCTCCTCCACCTTTTTCACCTTGACACGTGGAGTCTCACAATTGATAGCAGTGTTCTCCGGCCACTGTCTGCACTCTGCTAGACATTTTTTACCTGGTCTTGGTGCTCTCGTGGTCCTTCTGCAACGCAGCGTACTTATCGCTGAGTTCGTCGTAGCTCTTGTGCAGCTGCTCGCTCTGCTTCTTGAGAGTCTGCAGGTCCTGGTCCTTCTTCTCGAGCTTCTCCTTCAAGCCAGCCAATTCACCGGGCTTGCCGGCCACAGCGAGCTTCTCGCTCTGCTTGGTGTCCTTGTTGGTACCCTCGTAGGACTTGAGGCGGTCCTCAAGACGCATGACCTCGATGATCATGACGTAGGTGCGGTTGAGGATGAGCGACAGGAACAGGGTGAAACCGCAGAGGTACATGTTGCGCTGAGAGTAGAACTTGCGTGCCTGCACTTCGAGACGCTCGTGGCCCATGACGCCAGCGGCACTGTCGGTGTTAGTCTTGCCATGGCCAGACAACCCATGCCGAGAGAGTACGTACGATCCCTTGTGGGCCTGCTCCGAGGCAGCCATGAGTTCAATCTGAACGCGGTAGACGCGGTTCACACTGTCAATGAACAGAATGAGGATGAAGACGAAGGTAATCTTCATCCAGTACTGTATTTTTGCCACGACTGGGTTCTCGGAAATGAAGCTGCACAGGGTCAGTCGCGTGTTCACCACGTTCCGAGCGCTCCCAAGCAACGTACGTAAAGATCTTGCGCTTGACGCCAAAGGGGAGAGGAACGATCAAGAGCATGAAAAGCGTCATCTCCAGGACAAGGAGGACGAAGACCTTTGGGTTCAGTCAGTAGGCGGTTCGTCGACCGGCACAACAGCTGGGCAGCGTACGAGAGTGTAGTAGAGCGTCATCTTGACGGCGGGGCAGCTATCGCGAGCTGCTGGTTGTGGGCGGTATGAGGTGTTTTGCAGGAAGTCGGGAGGTCGACAAGTTTGATCGGCAAGAAGTGGGAGAGGGAACAGAGCGTGTACGTTAGAAGCTGCACCTCGATCGGTTTTGTAAGAGTGAAGTCAAGCTTGCGACGTGTGCACTCGAGACAAGTTGTAGCTAAGCTACCCTTGGACAATACGTCATCTGCCCGGGCTAGGAAACAGGTGGGGCGATTGGAGGGGCTGGTGAGTTGTGGCTGATGACGACGCCGGAGATGAAGTCCGGAAGGGGTGAGCTTTGCATTCCTCACCATTCGAAACTACCGTACTCACTCGACAATCTATAACACTCATAGGCTGTAATTTTTACTCGGTATTGGCACCACTCCTAAGAGGATTATTGTCTAGCCAGACACAGCCCTAGCGACTTTGTCGAGTGAGTACGGCCCCGTATTACTCTTTAGACCATATCATGTCGTGCCAAGTGAACTTCTTTCTATTGGAGCGAGATATCGAAACAGATTCCATACCACGTCGTCTATGAAGCTTTTGAACGACGGTTGTTGCCCCTACCCCTGCCCTTATTAAGAATTGGTGGCATCGGAAAGCCCTTCATCCGCCGTGTCTCGGGCTCAGCCCTTGACTAGCAGGGCCGTCTTCAATGTACGAGACTATGAAAAGATCCAGTTAGTGAACGTGAACTCATGGGGAAGGATGTGGAGCACAATCGTGATCAACTGGCTTCCAAGATGCCTAATCAGCGATGTGAGTATTAGATGTTGACGTACCAGTATCAGGATTGGGGAAGCAGGTTGGAGAGTTGCCGAGAGATGATTTGGATCGGTAAAAGCGTCGAATGGAGGTCTGCTCAAGCATCCGAAGGTGAGATGAGAGTGAGAGTGAGTCAAATCGGTGTGGGTACCAACATGTACAAGACTTGGTGGGCGCGCTGGTAGTCGAGATGTGAGAAGAAGATAAAAGGACAAGGAGATGGTCGAGCAATGTATAATAACAGAAGAATCTTCGAGGATTGATTGACCATGCTTCTTTCCTGAGGTAGGTACCTTACCTCGGAAATGTAGCACGGCTTCCTCGTCCAGCGTGACCTCCTTCCTGTCTTGTGATGAAAGAAGGAACTGTCAGGTGCCGACAGACGAGAGAAGGACCCGTAGTTTACCAAACCTGGTAGTATCAAAGCGATGAGAATCTGAGTACAGTGGCAGAAACTATCCATTCGTTCTGAGACAGATAAGGACACAGGAACGATGTGTTGGCTGGGTCATGGCGAGGACCATTTGACCTGGTGGCATGTGATTCCTTACGAAGTTGCAGCAGTCATCTCCTCTAACCATATATTATTAGAGTGTCACTCTTGAGAATCAGACAATGCAAGTACGGGTACTGCTTCCCATCCGCATCAGCACCCTGCAGCTACCAAGGTAATGCAAGGCTGGGCACCTTCTGTGCGTGTAACCATATGCCACTCGCGTCATCGCAATCAACATTCGAGCCATGGGTAGTAGATACTTCCTAACATGCCAAGTGCAAGTCAATCCAACCCTGGTGTCACTATCTCTCCGTTGAAAAGTCGGCACTGCAGTTGCGGTGCATCGCCTTGCAACGGAAAGCGCATGTCGCAAACGCCATCTTCCATAACGTCCTCCCTGGTCATCGATCCCTCTGGAGCATTGTATTTCATTTTAAGGGCGGTTCAAAGAATATTCTAACTGCAGGACCTGCCTTCCTATATCACACTCCCGGAAATCTCGATTGGATCATGACAAAATTGTGTGTTATGTACCATACTCTTGCCTTATTACCAATATTATTGAAGCCCGAGCACTCAATACATCAGAACACTTCTGTCCGCCATGGCTCCAAACGTGATGACAGCTGGGCAAACACATTGTTTTATCGGGTTATCTGGTATATTCGAAAACATTTTCCGATGAGCCGGCTTGCATGAAACTGAATACTCAGTGAACATCTTTGAGCTTTGGGCACGGTGACCAAAGAATCTATTATCGATTTACACCAATGTCTTAAACTATTAAATCAATCGCTGAAATTAGTATTGATTCAATCACACCTAGTTGCTCCCTGAGTGATTCGGCGTCAGTCCAAAGATCCCATCCTCGATTGCGCTAGGCTTGATCGGGAAGTATGTTAGCCCTACCTCCTGAATTCTCTGTGACACAACTGTACATGGGATAATACTTTACCTTTAAGGAAACGTTCACACACGTGATAGCACGTGAAATTTAGGGCAAGTAGTCCGTATGGATGAGTCCACATCGCTTAAATGTTGGTGAGGGGAAGAACCACTCGGCTGCAATCCTGAATCTTGCATCTATCTACACTTTTCACAACCCCATAATCACATCACCATCATGACTTCAATGGGATTCCCCTTCAAGCTGGACGTGCAGTGGCAAGTGCTCCAAAATATGTCACCCGAGCATGTCATCAATCATCCCTGGATCAAAGCACAGTTCATCGATCGCGAGAACCTCGACATTCGAGGCATGGATCAAGAGACGTCCCGTGTATGGCTGTACGTCAACTAGTGTTTGGCCGTGAGTAACAGTTATCTTACAACAAATTGGCAATGTTGACCATTTGATACAGGTTGTCAATCACCCTGACCATCTTTTTGATCTTCGTACTTCGCGAGAAGGATCGAAGAACCAGCGCGCGGCTCCCGAGTCGGCGCTGGTCTCAACCAAACCTGTGGTGGATGCGATCGTCCCCAAACCTGGCCCCCCAAAGCCGGCTGGAGGACTGTCCATGTCTCACCACGCTGTCCTCAATGCACAGGGCTCGTCATCATCACCTCGTCCTAACCTGCCTATCAAGCCGGTTCTGCCTGCGCGCCCTCGCTCACCCGACCCTCTGACCAAGCTGGCCGACGTGCCGAACGAGGAGCTGCCTCAAGATGTCGATGAACTACCGGAGTTTCGTGCGGACTTTTTCAAACACTGGTACAAGGAGGTTCTCTCGGGTCTTCCATCGGAGTATCACATCCGAGATGTCAGTCGTCGCGTAAGTATTTCCTTTGCCTTTCACCTCTATTCATACGCTCACATAACAGGCACGTCCCGGCAAGATCCCTCAACATGCGTTGAATGCTCGGCCGACCGATCACTACACGGAACAATTCCGCTTGTTCCCATTGAGCTACAACGAAGCCTGCTCTCCGACATTGGGTGGCATGCTTCCAACGAAATGGAGAGCTGGTTGGACGACGAAGGACCTCCAAACCCTCCCGCGTGCAGACTTCTACTGGATCGACCTCCCACTCTACAACCCGGAATGGCGCGAAAAATGCCCTCTCGCCTGGATTCTCCTCGAAGAGTGGCTCGACTTCAACATCCGCGTTCGCGAATTTTTGCCATACAACTGAGTGGCAACGCGGTGTGATATGCAGCACAGCTCCCGGGCTGGGCGGCATCATCAAGGGGAGGGGGGGAAGGGGGAGGGAAGGAGTGTTTGCTGAGATGGATACATGCCCACTGATGAGACTCGGATTCAAGCTACGTAGTGGACAGACCATCATCACGTAAATGATAAGATGCATGCTTGCTCAATTTTTATTCCTCCCCATTCGGAACTACCTTACCGTATTACATGTACAATCCAACCCCCGTGAGTTTGTTAAAAGAGTGCATAGGCTGCGCCAGCAAGGGCTTAAGAACGAATGAAGATAGACTGTTTATTATTGACTGTTGCTAGTGCGGAAATGTTGGCGCACGTTGATAACGATCGAATGGTGCTGGGGCCCGTGTATCTGCTGAGAAACTACGCGATCGCGGGTAAGTCTCTTTTATACAAACATTCGAGGGGTGAACTATACTCTATAGACTATATCATGTCGTGCCAAGTGACCTTCTTTATATTAGAGCGAGATACCGTAATAGATATCCATATCACATTGTCTATGAAGCTTTCGAACGTCGGTTATTGCCCCTACCCCTGCCCTTGGCATTTGTCTTTCGCTTCAAAGTCGGCTCCTCGGTCTCCCCGCCGTTGTCGCCCTCATCTACGACTGCATCTGTATCCGCAGTCCTCTTGCGTTTGGCAGTCTCGGTGCCAGATGCAGAGTCAGCCCCGCCTGCCAGGTTCGATCGCAGTCTGTCAACCGCGGCCAGCATGCGTCGACTGCCCTGGGCCCTTTGACGAGGCGCGAACGCTTCCTTCGCACCAGTGCCCACGCCCCCGAAAAAGAACCTGGTGATGTTGGCTTGTGTTCCTTCGACGCCTCGCTTGTTCATGTCCTTGATAACGGGCACGAGGACCTCATCAGTGCGCTCCTTGCTCCATCCAATCGTGGCCATGAGAAACTGCCGAAGCCCTTCGAGGTCCGGAACTCCCCATTGGAATGGCTCCGTGTTGTCATCGACTTCAGGGTACAGATACGCATCGTAGACTGCCGAGCTCGGGAACCCTGAGGGCAGGAAGAGCTTGGTGCCCTGGGACTTGCGAAACTTCTTCCGAAAGGTAGACGATGCATCCGCCTCCTTTGGTCGCTCCTGGGACTGGACCGACATCCACCATTCTCGAAAGTGGTCAAGCCCGGATTTGCCAGGGAACTCGGACAAGATCTCGACAGCTGTCACAGGGCCGACGCCGGGCAAACCCTCCGTGTAATCCGAGCCAAGGAGCTGGGCAAGCGAGATGAGTTGCTCACGGGACAGCGAAAGCTCCTTTTCAAGGTCACCGGCAAGGTAGCATTCGACAAATTTGTTCGTGTTGAACATGTTCTTGTAGACGCGGGTGCCCCCAAACAGGAAGATGTCAGAGTCATCCGTAACTATGCCATCGACGAGACCGAGGTTGACAAGTGATGCGCATTGGGCTTCGGCTTCCATGGGCGCTGTGATGTATGGTATACCAAACAACCGCAGCAGCGCCTGGCATTCCGTGACCATGACTTGTGTGACCTCATCCGCGTCACGACGATCCTTCTTCTGCTGGTTGCGCAGTTGCCGCAGCTCCTTTTCGTAGTCGTCCTTGTTTTGTTGTGCCGACTTATTGTTCAGTTCGCTGGCGAACCGGGCGTGCTCGTCTGCTTCGTCTGCCAGCTGTGCTAGGAGCTCCTCGTCCTCCGGGTCGCTGAACTCGTCATATTCGACATCTGCAAAGAGGTCGTCGTCGTCGTCTGCGGCCGTCGGGGCAGCTGGCGTAGGTTCGGGCGGTGGCGCTGGGTCATCAGCCGGTAGGTTCACGGGGGCATTGCTTTCGAGGACCAGTGTTGAAGCAGGTGCAACATCTTCGAACGTGGGTTCGGGTGAGCCCTGCACGCTACTGTCGTCTGCTTTGGCCGGCGGAGCCTCGACATGCTCAAACTCAGGTTCGGGTGAATCAGAAGATTGGCGCACTGGTAGCGCTTCGCCATGTTGGACTTCCTCGTTCATCAACTGCTGGGGTCCCGAGGCATCTTCCGCGGGCAGTGTCCCTTGCTTGGCTGGAGCTTCTTTGGGTTTGGGAGATGGCGGCTGCTCAAGGATCTGCACATCATCACCGCCATCCGACGATGAGTCAATCTCTATAGGGGCTTCGCGCATTCTCCGGCTTCGCAACCTCTCCTCCTCGTCAGCTTCGGCACGGTCTTCAGCATTCATGTTTCTGTCCAAGCCTTGTTGCTTTTTGAGATTTTCCCGAATATCGGATTCATCCGCGAGCCAGGGCGGCAAAGGCGCTGGTGCATTCTCATCGTCCTTCTCGAAGCCCCCAGCCATGTCATCTTCATCAACCGTAGTGTGCTCTTGAGCCTCCGAGCGGGCGCGATCTTTGACATCCTCCGTACTCGAGTCTTTGCGATCAGTTGCCGGCTTGCTTCGCGCGAACACGGATGACCGCCAGTCGAGCTTTGGAAAAGGCAACGGCCCGTCAAAGGGGTTCTTCTTGCTCGCGACCACTGGAGTTGGTTGCTGCTTGCGCTTCAAACGTGACTTGGCTAGCACAGCTTGGACATCGTCCTCATCACTGTCGCTTTCGTCGTCGTCGTCGTCAGCAGCGACTGGTTTTTGCGGGGCCTCCTCCCTTTGCTTGGATGTTGTCACTGCAGCACTCGCCCTGTTGTTGACAATGCGCGCGATCACAGATCCTCCGCTTCCTCCAATTGGCCTGGCAATCTCGGCTGATCGTTGATTCCAAACTGGCGCATGCTCTTCTTCCTGCTGCTCCACAGGCTCGAGTCCATCAGCATATGTGGTGTGCCCATGCTGGTTCTCAAGGGACATGGCGATGGCTTTAGAAATGTCGTCCTCCTCCTCGGGGTGCAGTGGCTCGATGGGCTTATCATCCAAGAGCTTTTGTGTCTCGCCGGTGTTGCCACCCACGAACAGGGAGTCCTCCCCTTCGCCAGCCGGCTCGTCGTTGTGAGCATTGCGCTGAACAGTCGACGCCTTGGGTAAACGATTGATACCCTCGATTGGTACGTCTTCAAAGTCATCATCGTCTTCCTCTTCCTCCTCTGCATCCTTCGAGGCAAACTGGATCTGGATAGCGTCGACATCGATGGGCTTGTGCTCCTCACCAACGTCCTTCTCTTTACTGACCACGCCCAGAGCCCAGCCACCTTCAGCGCCCTCGTTCTTGACAAGAATATATTCGCGGTCCTTGTCACCCGCAATGCGACCATTGTGCCCGAGCGTGAGATCGAGACCCGTCATGCCGGATTCACGCATCAGTCGCTGTGTCAGGTTGTTTCTCTCCTGGACACGTTCGATCTGGAAGCGCGAGAATGCCATGCGGTCCGGGAACATTTCATCAAGCTGCTCCTTGCTCAGACCTAAACGAAGTCGACTTCGCAGCCTGGCAGCGTTGAGGATGTTGTACCTGTCCGGTGGTGGCAGACTCTTGAAGAAGTCGCCGTCAAAATCAATCTTGCTGAAATCGTACAAATTCACATCTTCGCCGTTGTTGAACTGTCGCGCATACTCCTCCAGCTCTTCCACGCTCATGATTCGAGGGTCTTCGGGTCGCCCCATGTTGGCTATGCTTCGGTCGAGCTCGGGCAGATGGTATTGATCTTTCTTGTGGAATTTCCGGGACTGCTGTCTTTCCGCCTGCGACATGCCCAGCTCGCCTGCGTACACAACATTGTTCATGTCGGGGAGTTCCTCCTCCTGCTGCGCTGCGTCTTCCCTGGCGGTCGCTTCTTCTGCTTTTTCCCTCTTGCGCTTCTCTGCGTCCTCCACGGCAGCCCTCTGCATCTGTACGGCCAGCAGCTTCCCAGCGGTCTTGACGGCATCATCTCTTCGACCCTCCCGCCTGCGGGTTCGCGCCTGGATCGTCGCCCTTTTCAGAGCTGGAGCACCGCCATCGAAGACGAAGACGGGAAGTATGCCAAACCACAGCAGCTTGCAGATGCGTCGGAAGAAGCCCACGACATGTGAGTTGCGGAGAGCGTTGCCCTCCTTGTCGCGCACAGCTTTCAGGAACTGGTAGATCCAAATTGACGCATCAACCGCGAGCCGCTTTCTGTTGAGAGTGGCAAGATTGGTCGGGCGCGCACAGGGCTGCACGACTGTCCAGAGGCCGTTGACACCCATGATGCGCCGTTAGCGTTGCGACAAGGCACAGCATGTGGAGGAGATGGCGCGGCGTCTGCGCGGACTCTCGGCCGTGGAATTAGGTTTCTAGTCGTGGATGTTTCATGGCCTCAGTTTATCGAGATGGAAAGGTGGAATAGAGTGCGACTGCGATGGTTCACGTTGGTTGACGTGCACGAAGCTTCACGGTCTTCTACGCGACAGATCCCTGCAGGCAGTGACGCCGTGATGCTCCACCTAACCGATCGGCGCCTGCCGTAACTTCCAGTCCACAGACATGACTCTAGGGTACGCAAACTCAGCGACTATCAAGCTTTCAATCAACCGCATCCGGCGCTCCATCAACTCACCCTCGTCAACTCTGATGAGGCCCTCCGCAAGTATCTCGAATTGGTAGACATGGACAGTTCCGAGGCGCGACACTACCTGCAAGGTCTCCTCAACAAGGATCTGCGCATCCACACAACCGACGGTCGCATGTTTCGCGGGACTTTCATGTGCACTGATCCGGTAAGGGTTCCTCCTCGCTTTGGCCGTCCAGCCCACAGACGCCTACTAACAAATCAAAGGATACAAACGTTGTCATCTCCAGGACGCATGAGTACCGACAACCTTCGGCAAGTCAGCGCGCAGCCGCAGCGCAGAACAGCACGGGCACCTCAGTGACGCTTGACATGACCTCACGGTTTCTTGGGCTCGTGGTCGTCCCAGGCGAGCACATTGTCAAGATGGAGGTAGAACAGTTTGCCAGCCAGATGAGACACTCTACAGCGATTGTGTAATAATTTGACAATGCAATAAAGATATCTCATGATATTATTGCCCAGTACATATACACAAAAAGGATAGCTATCGTATTAGTGGGATACGCCCTATAGAAAACTCCGCCCCACAGCCATTCTCCCATCCATCCATCCTCCCGAGGTATTACTGCTTCTTGTTCACATCAAACGCTGGCGAATGCGCTACTTATGCGGCGAGCGGCTCCTGTGTGCGACCGCGGCTCTCGTCGTGGAGGCCAGCGTCGCTGTCCAACCGCTCCTCCTCCTCCTCCTCGCTGTCGACGTCACGGTGGGCCACCCAGGAGCTGCCGTCATTGATAGGAGCATCCTGTGTCGAAAGGTCGTGACCCTCGTTACGAGCAGCAATGTTCGAGCGGCGACGCTGGGACAGGGTGCGGGAGCGAGTGGACAGCTTGGAAGAGACCACGGCGTTGGACTCGACCCAGTTGGTCAGAGCGTCCTCGCAGTCCTGAATGATGGCCTTGCTGGCCTCGTAGCCGTCGTACGCGGCGCGGGTCTCTCCGGGAGTGACGGGAGTATCGTCAATAAGCTCCAGAAGGTGCTTTCCGTAGCCGGCAATGATGGCGACCTTCTCGCAGTGCTCACGGAGCGCGTCGAACTGGTAGGTGTAGGCAGCCTTGACCTTCTCGCGGGTAATGTTGGACAGCTGCGCCTCGGCGACGAGCGACTCGGCTTCGGCACGCACAAGCTCCTGCTCGAGAACAACAATCTTGGGCGAGTTGGGCTCCTTGTACTTGAGCTGGGCGATTTGGTCGGTGATCTTCTGCTTGCCTGTTTCGCGTGTTAGTCTTTGCGTCCGACCATGTGTAGTTGAGAATGTGGGTGCTCACGGTCGCGGCTGGGCTGGACGGAAGCCTCAATGTTGCGGATGCTCTTGATGGTCACGCGGTACTGGTCGTAGCGGTCGACATATTGGTCCTCAAGCTCGCCTATTTCGTAGAGCAGGACACCAAGCTTGTCGGTGACGTCGGAAACATCCTCATCGCCGCCCTCGCCCCACACGGACAGTTGTTGCTAGCTACGTTAGCTTTGCGCGTCATGGCACTTGGAGGTCATCCAAGCTTACAGCGACCTCCATGCGCTCCTTAGCAACGGTCTCCATGCTGCGCATCACGTTCTTCTCCATCTTAACGAGCTGGGCCAGCTTCTTGGCCAGGTCGGGGCCGAAGGCTCCGCCGGCATTGCGACGGAGAGCGTGGCCGAAGCTGCCCTTGCCGAAGAGGCGACCGGACTTGGTGGTCGAAGGGGGAGGAGGGGGGTTCTAAGAGAGTCAGCGACCAAAGGCGAGCGATCCATGGGCACGCGACGAACCTGGAGCTGCGAGGCGGTAGGCGCTCGGCTCTGGCGCATGGAATACGTGCGGTGCATGGTGCTGGTGGTGGGTGTGTCGGTGTGTGCGGGTTGTATCGAGGGAGATCTCGGGCGATCGGCAGGAGGTGAGCGGGTACAGATGTAGAGGTGCAGGAAGCAGGCCAAGGTTTTGGGGGACGCAGGGTATGGGAAAGAGGCTGGCAATGGGGTCTTAAGTACGATCCAGGTTGGAATGGGAGAATTGACTGGAGATTTATGGCTGGGATGATGATGCTGGGGAGGGGGGGATCGACTGGATCCAGCATCCAAGGGGCCCACTTGCAGCTGCTACCGCAGCCGGGGTCAGCTACGTCATCCGTGTGTCCTCCAGAAATTGGGAGTTTGCAGACATGATGACGCTTCTTGTTAGCAAAGGGCGCTAAGGCACGAAGACGCAGGCCGTCAACGGACAAGCGCCATACCATGAGCGTCCAGCGCCCTTAACAAGCAGTGCCCTCCATGTCCCTGTCATTCCGGCAGATCCGATCGCCCGGACGTGACATGCTGTGCTGTAATGCAATTATGGATTATCGATCGGGGTCTTCTTGGCCAAGGTACGGTACAGCCCAACTCGCGCGCACCAGAGGCCAGGCTGGGCTGGCCAGCGAGGTCTGCCTGCTGTAGACTGGAGATATGTCGACAGGGGTATTGCAGTGTACGTACTACGTACGTAGTGACCTGCACTATCGAATTAGTTAATGTAGTATTGGGATTGGGCCGACTGGTGCCCTGATGATGTGAGTTGCGTAACGGCGTATCCGTTCCATGCGGCTAGGCTAGCTTTAGTCCCTTAGCTACCTACCTACCTTAGCTTTCGGTGAGTTGTACAGCCGGCTGTTCAATCTTGGCACTCGCAGCGTCGTTGCGCAAGCAATCAAGCACGGAACTTTCAGTAGCACCAAATCCAACATCCTGCGACTTGTCCCCGACATGCGCGCGCAACCGACTTGGCGATGCTTCACTCACATACTTTGGTCAAAGCTGCTGACGCATCACAACCCCTCCCCCTCCGTGCTCGTGTACAATGTCGTGATACCCTCCAAATCTTAACCCACGTCTACTGTGTGTAGGGTAGCCTCCCGAGCCGATCTGGTCTGGTCCCCGCTAGATGCATGACGGCCCCGCCAATTACCGCAAGCGGCGCGAAATCCAAGTCCGCTCATTTCACTAAAGTTCCAGTCGTGTCACCGCCGATGTAAACAGTCCTCTGCGTGCATGGTCGTGTGCGCATACTGTTCAGCCCGCTCGTCCCACGCCGCCTCGTAAGCTGGTCTTGCAATCATGGAAGGCGACGATCCACCTGTCGCCACCCGACAGCCCATAACCCCCCCTTTGACCACGGGCCAGAAGACAGCTGTGTTGAGGCTGAGCAAGGCTAGTGTTGCCGATTTCACGAGGGAACTTGAAGGCCTGCAAGAGAGAGCCAACCAGGAACTTAATGAAGCTGCCGTCAGAGCCATCCGGAGCACTATCAGACAGGCCCCCAAGCAGGATGCCCCCAAAGTCGATCTTTTTGCAAATCTGCGCGGGAGAAACCGAGAGCCTGGGCAGCAGAGCCCGCAGTGCAAGATCACATTAAAGGTGCTGAACCTTTTATCCCGACCCGTCGATGCTATATTGACATCCATAGAACCCTTCCAAACCAGCAATACAGACCTCTCGCAGCGTCATTGAAATTACTACCGATGTGGAACGGGCACCCGCCTATGACTACCCCAGCCTCGAGGTCGATAGGCTTATACCTGCTCCGCAGACAGCGAATGCATATCAACCTCACAAGGGCGACATTCTGGACGAAGGGAGACGGCAGCAGTGGAGGAACCACATACGCGAGCTGCACGAGTCTAACATTGCAAGCCTCGAGGGTATTCCCATCAGGAAGAAGCTAAAAACTATGGTCCATCACGAGAGGCTTCTGCAAGCAGGGCTATACCTAAAGTTATGGCTGGAAGAGAATGGCTGTTCCGTGATACTCGACGCCTTAAGGTATCTAGACAAACAGCAGCCCGAGCTAACCGAGGAGATCCAACAATTGACCGCTAAAATCCGGACGGCCTGGGCCTCTGTCTATCATAAGGACGGACAAGTGCGCAACATCCAACTGGAGAAAGTGTACCTCGACGAGGCTCTTAACGCTATTCCAACTGCAGAGGACGTATCTGCCGCTCCAGACGACAACAATATATACAAAAGGCTGGCCTGTGCAATATGTTTCAAGCACGTCTGCGAACATGGCTATTACGCGAATGATAACCAGCGACAGCGCTTCCTGACCCATGACCCCCCGAACCCCACGCCCGACACCAGCAGGACGCCCGAGCCGAATCCCTGGTACACGCGAGGCAAAAAGAGGTTGAGGGGGTTGGCGAGCGATCACGAGCACCAGAAGCCAAATTGGGACCATCCTAACAGACGATGGGACAATGTCTGCGGCCTTCGAGGCTGCGACCACGATGGGCCCTGCGATAACACATGCCTATGCGTTAAGGCGGAATTGCTCTGCGAAAAGTACTGTCGATGCACGACCGAGTGTTGCGAATGGAAGTTTACCGGCTGCGCATGCCACAGCAGTAGCAAGAATTGCTTTGTCGGCCAGGAGGTAAAAGCACGCCGGCCCCTGCTAAAGAAAGGACGCGCGAAGCCAAAGGTCGACGCATGCATTTGCGTCCAGCTCAACCGTGAGTGTGACCCGGACCTGTGCGGCACATGTGGTGCGAGGGAGGCTGCAGACCCTCTGAGCACCGAACCGGTTCACACGTGCCAGAACGTAACCTTGACCAGTGGGAAGTCGTGGCGCGTGGCTATCGGTAAAAGTTGCACACACGGATACGGCCTCTTCGCCGCCGAGAAGATACCCAAGCATGCCAGTGTTATCGAGTACACAGGCGAGTTAGTGTCCGGCATCGAGGGCGAGCGCAGAGATGCAGAGTTACGCGCCCCCTTTGAGGGCACGCGGGCCATGTCGTATATGTTCACTATGATTGGAAATCCCGAAAGTGTCGGGAAAAGTGTTTGGATTGACGGTGCCAAGTACGGCAACCTCAGTCGCTACATTAATAGCGAATCGCGCGACTCCTCGCTCATCAACCTCAAGCCGAAGCATGTCATCGTCAATGGCACAATGCGAATCGTGCTCGTGGCGCGCAGAGACATTGCGCCGTGGGAAGAGCTCTTCTTCAATTACGGTTCTCATTTCTTCAAGGGACAGGGTGCTCGAAAGGGAAAGGGCGGCAAGAAGAAAGGACCGGGTCGTCTGCGTAAAGCTGAGGTGGCCAAGGACGTCCCAAGGGCGGCCACTGCCACACCGAACAGAGCCAAAGCGCAGGAGCCGGCTCTCAACACACGTGCGAGGACCGCTGAAGCGGCGGTGGCGGGACCCAGCAGACTTCCTCCGGCAGAGGCAGAGCTGAAACCTGCAGAGCGCAAGAGTTCACGCAATGTTGCCATGATGCACCAAAATGCTCCCAATAAAAGGGCAAAAACTGGACCAGCTACTTCACGAGGCGAATCTCCCGCTTCCGAGACGGAAATAAGTGATAGTCAGGGGGACGATGGAAGTGTAGATGAAGAATATGAGGAAGAGGACGAGGGAGAGGAAGGGGTGGAAGAGTCCCCAGAACGAGAGAGTTCCAGCGAGGTCTCCAGTGAAGCTGAGGATACAGACACCGTGAATCATGGGCATCGGCAGCTGCGGTCAGGTTCAAATCTTGTCCTGCGCAGCAGGGCGCGTCGAGGGATGAATTGAACGGTCATAAGATGCGGCTATCGTACATGTACCGATACAATACACTAGGTAGACTAGAGAGATCTCAAACCAGGACATTGGCCAGCTGAGACACACCAGTGCTAGTGACTGTCGAGTTCGACAAACACTACCTGTCTCGCGCCCGTCATTTTCACATCTTCTTCGATATGCCGAGCGCTTCAAAGACGTCGGTGGCCTCCTCCTCTTCAAGCCCTAGCTCCTTGATCTGTTTCCAGAATTTGCTGAGGTGTCTTGTACCAGAGTCACATAGTATCGTCACCACTTGACTACCTGCGGGCAGCTTCATGGCGGCCACGACTGCTGCCACGCAGTTCACCGAGCTGCTGCTGCCGACAAAGATGCCGTCCTTCTCGACGAGCCAGCGGGCCATTCTGCAAGCCTGCTCATCGGTGACCTTGACGGCATCATCGACAAGGTCTCTTCCAGCCTCGAAGTTGTCCGTCACACGATTGATGCCGATTCCTTCCACAATGGAGTCGACCTGCTGTCTCCTTCGGGTCCCCTCACGCTCAGTGGCAGAGTACATCACGCCGTACTTGATCTTGTTGAATAGGCCGCTGCCCTGGGGGTCGGCGAGAACGATTTTCACGTTCTGCAAGTTGGCCTCCTCCTTGAGGTAACGCGCGACGCCGGCGATTGTGCCTCCAGTTCCGGCACCAGCGACAAAGGCGTCGACTTCGCCGTCTGTTTGATGGCAGATCTCTGGACCGGTCGAGCGGAAATGGGCTTGCCAGTTGGCCTTGGACTCGAACTGATTGGCAAAGAAGCCCTTGCTGCCATCGTTGTGTCTGCGCTCATGCTCAATCGCCCTCCTCTTCGCGAGATTGACAAAATGGTCGGGGCTGGTGATCGGGGCAACGGGTACGCGTTCGACAGTAGCGCCCAGATGGTGCAGCAGATCTGACTTTTCAAAACTCTGGTCGTCTGGCATACAAATGTGCGCCCTGTATCCCTTGGCTCGCGCCAATGTCGCCAGTGATATACCAGTGCTACCAACAGTCCCTTCGTATATAGTGTCGCCTCGATGAGGTGTGAGCAGACGCTGGGCCTCGGCCTCGCGAATTATGTTCAATGCCACGCGATCTTTCGGACTGTTGCCGGCGCCATTGAGAAACTCAGCCTTGGCTAGGATTGTGCGCCCCGTTGCCTCCGATAGCGATTTGATCTTGAGCAACGGCGTGTTGCCTATACAGGCCTCGATACCCTCGGATGCGATCTCATCATGGTGAATGTCGGGGTTCGCCTCGTGGTCCTCGAGTTGTACCGGTGGTCCCCAAAAGATGCTGTCCCTACGCGCAACAGCGGCGCTGCCTGTATTTGGCGCCCCGGCTGAGGCCAGAGGGCCCTTGGCAGACCGGATCTTGCGCTGGTATCGACGCTCGAGGTCAGGATAGAAGTCTTTGAAGCCAAGCGTGACGAGGATGCCAGCTGTGAAGGCGAATGCTACGGCAGCAGTGCCGTAGGCTTTGGGGTGATCGGTCAAAGCCATGTCAGCTATGGCGATGCATTATTGGTGAACAATTGCGCCCTGCACTGCTGAACGCAATTCGACACGTAAAGCAAGAAAAATCTATGCACCAGAATCTTCGTGGTCCAGATGCTGAGGTTTTCTTCGGGATTGATGTCATCATGTCTTGGAGCTCGAGTTACCCTAGACCAAACTTTAGCCGCTGTTGGGGGGAGCGGAAGATTCCAATGCCGATCACACTCGACGCGAGTTCTCTTTTGTTTGAATCCGAGCTTTCTTAGAAGCCCTGCACCAATTCGTGGCAGACGTGCCCTCACTCGGCCCTAGGCTCACTGCCGACAATGGACTCGCAATTGGTTGCCCAACTCTTTCGGCAGCTTTTCCGCCATCGGTCGGCTGGCTGTCTTCAGAACTCGCGGCCACGATGTCTCCCCCGAAGTCACCACGACAATCGCGATGCCCTCCAAGCAAGAACGTATGCTGGTCGCGCGCGGCCCTCTAAGGACCGGGGAATGAGGTCAAACGAGAGTCGCTGGCAGCAGAGATCCAATTTTCTGCCCGAGGACCGGTCCGGAGAGTTCGCAAAGTACCCGCAGTTGACGTCCGAGGACCTCAAGCTGCGAAGCCAAAGACCGCGCAAGGCCAAAATGCTGATGCGAGACTTTATAGACGGTTCGTTTCGCCCCCACCCAAGCCATGCGAGCAGCGCTGATGTTTCTATTAGACAGTCTATACAATCCCAACTATGGCTATTTCTCGAAGCAAGCAGTCATCTTCAGCCCAGGGGACCCCTTCAACTTCCCGGCGATACGCGACGAGATCGAGTTCTCAGCCGAGCTGGGCCGCCGGTACACAGAGTTCGAAGACTCGCTCGACGAAAGTGAAGGCGTCAATGCTACGCGACAGCTATGGCACACCCCGACAGAGCTGTTTCGACCCTACTACGGCGAGGCTATTGCGCGGTACCTCGTTTCCAACTATCGCTTACACACGTATCCCTACGACGACCTGCTCATCTTCGAAATGGGCGCGGGAAGAGGCACGCTGATGCTCAATGTCCTGGACCACATTCGTGCTGTCGATCCCCAGGTGTATGCCCGGACAAAGTACAACATTATCGAGATTTCGCCTTCACTGGCCAAGATGCAGAATCACCACCTGCTCGAGACGGCCGAATCGCGCGGCCACGCAGAGAAGGTCGAGATCATCAACAAGTCGATATTCGACTGGGACCAATATGTGCCCTCGCCATGTTTCTTCCTGGCCATGGAGGTTTTTGACAACTTTTCGCACGACGCTATCCGCTACGACATGAGCACGGACGAGCCCCTGCAAGGGCACGCCTTGATCGACCAGGACAATGACTTTTACGAGTTCTACCTCCGCCAGCTTGACCCTGTCGCGGCGCGATTCTTCCGCATCCGCCACGCCGCGACGGCAGGAAAGTATCCTCGGCCGTACAGCACCAACCCTATGGTCCGCTACATGGCGGGCAAGATGCCATTCGCGGGCAACCTCTCGCAGCCAGAGTACATTCCCACGCGTCTCATGCAGTTTTTTGATGTGCTGGAAAAGTACTTTCCCGGTCACCGTCTGCTCAGCTCCGACTTTGACAGCTTGCCCCAGGCCATCAAGGGGCTGAATGCGCCGGTTGTCCAGACCAGATTTCAACGGACCATGGTTCCAGTGTCCACGCCTCTGGTACGTCTCACGACAGAAAACTTGTCCAAGAAGATTGCTAACCATTGCAGGTCCATCAAGGCTACTTTGACATCCTCTTTCCGACCGACTTTAACATCACGGAAGCCATCTATCGAGCCATCACTGGCAAGCTGACTCGTGTCATGTCTCATGGCGACTTTATGCAGCGTTGGGCATACTTGGAAGATACCCAGACTCGAAGCGGCGAGAACCCCTTGCTGTCACATTACCGCAACGCGAGCGTCCTGGTGACTGTATAAGGCGCGCTTGTTGTATACTAGTCGTGGATACGTTGTATACATAGAAGGACAAAGGACACACCCAATGAGACGCGGTGTATCAATAGATGCAATGGTTTTTACTTTATTTCATGATAGTCTTTCCCTATCCTTGCCTTTCCGAATACCCTTGCGCAACATTCCGTATACACCCAGATAGCTTACAACTTCAACTTCTCACTCAGCCATTTCGTAGCGGTCTCGACACCCTCGTCAATCGCCTCGGGCTTGGTACCCTGACCCTGCCTTGAGGGCTCCTTGCCTCCTGAACGGCCACCGACAACCTCTGACACGGAGCCCGCCCATTGCTCAGCGGTAACGCCTTGTGATGAGAGATGCTGCCTTCTTGTTAGTGACTGTTAAACATAAGGTAGTGAACGAAAGACGTACCGAGCCAACGAAAACACCGTGCACGACGGCACCATCCTCCTTCGAGCCACCGAAAAGGTAGACCGACTTCTCATTGTCCTTGCCCTGGTAGTGCTTGACAACCTCTGTCAGAGCCTTGGCATTGGCGCTGATGGGCAACCTGCCCACAAACCACTTGGCATCCTTGTTGTTCTCAAAGTGCTTGGCCACAGTGTCCAGAGCGGTCTTGACTTCGGCCTTTTGCCTCTTCTTCTGCTCCGCGACGTGCTCCGCGGTGATCTTTTGGAATCGCTTGTTGAGCCTGTCCTTGGTCAAGGTCGAGATGACCAGCTGGCTGAGGGCTTGTGACACCACCTTGATCTGCGCGTCCTTCTCCGGTCCGTAGGGGAGAGCTTCGACGGCATCGATGCGCTTCTCAAACTCGACGGCTTCGCGCTGCACGGCGTGCGCTGTCTCGCCGGTGTAGGCGATGATGCGGCGGATGCCCTTGGCGATACCCGACTCTTCAACAATGACGAGATCCTTGATCAGGCCAGTCTTCTCGACGTGGGTGCCACCGCAGAACTCGACGCTGTACTGGCGCCACTCTGGCTTCTTGGGCTCGGCAAGCATGGTGTCAATGTCCATGCCAATCGAGACAACACGGACGGGGTTGGGGTAGGTCTCGCCAAAGACAGCACGGACACCCTCAATCTCGCGGGCCTGGTCGAGATCCACATCCTTGGAGTAGATCTGCTGGTCCTTGCGAATGTCCTCATTCGACATTTTCTCGATCTTCTCCAGTTCCTCAATCTTGACCTGCGCCTTGTGGGAGAAGTCAAAGCGGAGCTTCTCGTGATCCACGAGGGAACCCTTCTGGTTGATATCGTCGCCAAGGACCTCGCGGAGGGAGTGGTTCAGTACGTGTGTACCGCTGTGGTTGTTGCGGATGGGGGCGCGACGCAGCTCCTCGTACTCGCAGATGACCTCCTCGCCCTGTGAAAGGGCACCGTACTCGACGTAGCCGCAGTGGAGGATGTAGCCACCGTAGTTCTGAACGTCCAGCACCTTGAACTCGGTGACACCATCAATAACGAGGCGTCCAGTATCGGCAACTTGACCACCAGACTCGGCGTAAAAGTTGGTCTTGTCCATGACAAGGCCGAGGGGGGTCTTCTCAGCAACATCCTTTGTTGATTTGAGGAAGTTTTTGCCATCGAAGATTTGCAGGACCTTGCCCTTTACGTCCCCCTTGATGAACTTGGGCTCGTCATCTGTCCGGGCCACCTTCAACTGCGAGTCGAGCTCGGCAATGCGGTGAACATCGAGCTTGGGGAATTCCTGCACGGACTCCTTAACAACCTTGCTGGCTTCCTTAGCCTTCTGCTTGGCGGCCTCGACCTCGGCCTCGTCGATCTCTAAGCCGCGCTCCTCCGCCATCAGCTTTGTGAGATCGACAGGGAAGCCGAACGTGTCGTACAGTCTCCATACGAGGTCACCAGCGAGCTTCTTGGACCCCGCCTTGGCCTCGGCAGCAGCATATTTCTCAAACTGCACCTCTCCACGATCCAGCGTGCGAGCGAAAGCATCCTCTTCCTCATCGAGGATTTCCTTGAGGTCCTGTTGCTTCTTGATCAGCTCGGGGAATTCCTCGCCCTTCTGCTCCACAAGAGCGGGCAGGATGCTTGAAAAGAACTGGCCAATCTCAGCACCAAGATACTTGCGACCGTAGCGGACACCACGGCGCAAGACACGGCGCACGACGTAGCCACGTCCATCGTTGTTGGGAACGGCGCCGTCAACGATGGCAAAGGACAATGTTCGGATGTGATCCGCAACCACTCGGTAGGCCATGTCAATGCCATCGACATCGTCCTTTTCGTACTTGTCGGTATATGGCCTGGCACCGGTGACTTCTTGAATCTTGGCAAACAGTGGTGTCCAGCAGTCAGTGGCGTAGTTGGAGGGCGCGTCCTGCAGAACGGCCACCAGACGCTCATATCCTAGACCCGTGTCGACGTGCTGGGCTGGTAGGGGCTTCAGGCTCTTGTCGGCCTGACGATCGTACTGGATGAAAACGAGGTTCCAAATTTCAATGACCATGGGGTCATCCATGTTCACAAGCGAGGCAGCGTCACGTCCACCAATCTTGTCGTAGTGGATCTCGCTGCAGGGACCGCAAGGACCCGTCTCGCCCATCTCCCAAAAGTTGTCCTTCATGTTGCCAGGCAGGATGCGGCTGTCGGGGACACCAATCTTGCGCCAGAAGTTCTTGGCCTCATTGTCAGGCTCGAGCCCAAGCTCGGGGTTTCCCTCAAAGTATGTCACGTAGAGTCGGGTCGGATCAAGGCCGTAGACGCGGGTCAGAAGATCCCAGGACATTTCGATGATACCCTCCTTGAAATAGTCGCCGAATGACCAATTGCCCAGCATCTCGAAGAATGTGTGGTGGTAGCTGTCCTTGCCGACATCGTCGAGGTCGTTGTGCTTGCCACCGGCGCGGATGACCTTTTGCGAATCGACGGCACGTTTCAGGTCGGCAAACGGATGGCTCTTTTCGACGGTACCGAGGAAGATGGGCTTGAACTGGTTCATGCCAGCATTGGTGAAGAGAAGGGAGGGATCGTTGACGGGCACCACGGGGCCCGAGGGCACTGCGAAAAAAAGTTAGTGGAAGCTGATCGGGTTCGGCGTGGAGGGGTCAAGCCATACCAACTGTGTGATCTCTCTCATTGAAGAAATCGAAGAAAGTCTTGCGGACTCGCGCCGCAGGCCATTCTGTATCGGCCATCTTGGACGTCGCTGTGAAGAGGCGCTTCTGGGTAGTCGTTGTGTGTATGGCCCGGCGCAGAATCGTGTATGGCAGCGGTTGCGATGGTGGTGGCGTTGTTGTTGGAGTCCAAGTTCCAGGTCTTTTTGGCGGGGGAGGGGGGATTCGGGTTCGGATTTGCGATAGCGGAGACATGGACGTGACGGTGACTCCTCGTGCGGCAGGTGCCGCCTGTGCAGCGGCTGCAGCTCCTGCCCCAGTGCAGCAGGCAGCTCGGGTCGCTCGAAAATGATGGAAAGTTCGACACGCATCGCTCTTGCCAACTCTGCTGCATCCCCAGCCCGCGACGCGGGTCCGACCCAATCCATGCATCATTCTCCTCTCGCAATCGTCTGTCTATAAATCGAACATTGCCGTCTCTCGTCGCACGCGCCTTCTCGAGATGACGCGGAGGATGCAAGCGATGAAAAGGAGGGAAGAAAGCTGACCTCTGATTGATGAAAGATGATGCTGCTGCACGGGTCCGCCATGCAATCTCCCCGGCACCTTGGTGCACCTTTCGCAACCACTACCACCAACGTACCGAATACTTCCACAACCACACACGAGCCTTCTGCATCGTCGAGTCGCAAGCGTAAAGCCGAATCGCAACCCGATGAGCGTCTGGTCAAGCGCCTCGGGCGCCTCAATATCGAGAAGGATGGCTCCAAGCTCTACGTACCGGTCGAGAATCCGACACCGTCAACGTCGGGATCAGCGCATGTAGAAGAGGCTGCCGATCCCATGGCCGTCGACGACTCGAAACACAAAGTCTACATCTACAATCTCGACGACGAACTGTCGTCGTCCGACACAGAGAGCGAAGACCGGCTCGTCTTCTTGCCAGACATAGATCGTCATTTACGGCAGAACCGCATACCACCCCATATACTAGCGAATAGCGAGGGCGAACTCGCGGGCATGCAGATGGTGCTATACAGCGATCCAAAATCACTCAGCGTCCCCGAGAGCAAAGACAGCGTCCGCAAGGCGATCATTGAGGCACGACAGAGGTTGAGAGACCAGCAAGGGGGCAAGATGGAAGCTACTGATAGCGCACACCCCCCGACGGTGGACGGCACCAATACGAATGCTGCGCCGATGCAAAATGACGCGGAGGCCATGGACTTGGATTGACGCCTCGTTGCATGGCTGCTGCGAATTACTGAGATTTATGAGCCGGCGTTTGGTACAGACCGGCATGGGAGTGTTGCAATGGGACTCATGTATCAAGTGGGATTAATTACCTTTGAACTCTTTTTCCATATTCAATGGAGGGCTTGGCTCGCTTCAACATCGAAGTCTTCGCTGTGCCCCCATCTCCTCCGTGCATTGAAGCCACTGGGCATTGTTTGATCAAAGCTACTGGTCACTGATCATAACTAACACAGCCCAGCGGAAACAGAAAGGTAATTCCTGAGTACGAGCCAGCCAACTTGATCGGCAAATGGCCAGCCTATGGTGCTGCATGATCCCAGTCACGGACATGCGTCTCGATCGCGTCTCGCTTATGGTTCCGCAGATAACTTTTGAGTTGTATAGGACTAGTCGTTTGATGCCATCCTCTTGGACGCTTCTTGGTTTCTATCATACCGACAACCGTGGCGCAGCATCCTTCATGCCGCCGAGCTGACTTCTCCCCCTGATTCTAGACTCATCCCCACGAACACAACGAGCACTTGACTGGGCCTTTTCCATGCGTTCGCCCATACACATCTTATCTGTGTAGGCTTGTCTGATTTAGGAGATGCCGCACTTGGTGTTACGGAAATAATTCAACATGATGGGCGTGCGCCGGGTCCGTCGGGACTTCTCCCAAGATTGGAGGCATCTGCGCGTGGTGAATACTGTTCACTGGTGGCCCGCCCGGTGCAGGAACGGAATCAACAGTCACCATGGAGCGTGCTGCCTGCCTCTGGTCTGGCCTTGCCGAATATATTGTCCAGCCGACATAGGACGATGTCTTCGCTGGTAGCCCTTCCGAATATGGTGAAGAAACGAGCCCCAAGTGAGGATCCGCTGGTCGGATCTGGCTGTCGGTCGTTGTCAGATGAGCTTGCCGCCTTGCCCTCGTCCTCTTTGCGCATGGTGAGCGGAGGTTTGTGAGTACGGGGTCTTCGTGCCTCCTCACGTACTGCAGAGCTGCGATAGCGAGAGCAAAGAGAACAACAGCAATATCGAGTATAGCAATAGCAATGTATACGTAGTTTAGGTGAGGATCCGCTACGCCCCCCATGTCTGGAAGTTTACTGCGTTGCGAGCAGCCTCTATTCGTGAAGTCGGGTCTCTTTAAAGCCGTGCGTTGGCGAGATGATCGGACGCTGCGAACATTACGTTCTTTGACATCATGGTCATTTGCCACGCGACCTTGTAGATGAGGATGCTATAAGCTCATTCGATCTTGAAGGTGGCCCTAGTTCCCAATAAGCACGACTTCCAGGTACATGTTCGGATCGGTGCCTCACGGAGAATGTATCTGAGCGTTTGATGATCGCCATTTCGGAGGCGTCCGACAGTCCAAGCCAATCGACATTTTCATCCGAGACGCAGCTATCATGGCACAGCTGTTGGTATGGAATTGGCGTCATGATTGTCCCAGCGTGGTAGGATTTGTGTTGTTCAGGGGCAGTAATAGGGCGGTGCTGAGTATCAACCTGTGAATGAGAATCCTAGTGACCAGGAGCTTGTAATGATGTTGCATGGTACATGTAGAGAATGAATGCTTCCAACTTTGAAGATTAAACATTGTTGAGCAAATAAACAACGCTTGAAAGGGCTCAGGACAAATGTCACGCAGCCAATCGTCGTTCACTAGATCGTGCATTCTGTCGAGTAGAGCTCAGTATACTTAGTACTATGTAACAGATAACTTATAAGTAGTGATATAAAGCCCCGCTTTTTTAGGGGCTTATCTTATATAATCGATAGACATAATACCGTGCTACTATTGCATAGTACTCCCTCACTGTAGTGGACTAAGGTAGTCCCTAACGTAGCTATAGCTAGATAGTACTATAAGGTAGGCATCGAAACCTGGTTTATGTTACTATTCATGCTTTGTACTAAGTACGTTAGCTACTTGTGAGAATAGGAATGGAGGCAGGACTAATGTTTAGAAACAGGCCTGTTTGAGTGTAGCTAATATTACTTTCTACCCTCAAAAATTTCAACCAATTAGAAGGGAGTTTGGCCGAGCGGTTAAGGCGCTAGATTAAGGTTCTAGTGGGGCAACCCGCGTGAGTTCGAATCTCACAGCTCTCAATCTTTTTTATTATTGAAATAAGTCTTAAGAATTCTTTTTTAGCTCCCTTAAACTCTAAGGACTATCACTCTATAAAGTCGCTAGCGTTATAGATATACGCTAATACAAAGGTATAAATCTCTTAATAGCTTTGTATAGCCCTTAGGCTTTATAACGCTTATAATTTATTTTTATTACTTAATATTAAAATTAATATTACTTTAAATATAGTAATTATCTAGCTAGCTATGCTAGCGCTTATAAGCTATAGTAATTACTTAATATTAATACTACTCTTAATATAGTTATTACCTAGTGTTGTGGGCTAAGCCCTGTTGGAACAACTTGGTAGCTTAGATTGAGTCTATCCAGCGATAAAGGAGGAAGAAGAAGGGGAAAGTAGAGTTCGCGGGCTCCTCTCCTAGCAGGACGCTGCGTGGTCTGTGCGTCCTCGCCAGGCACGTGACTCGTCTAGGCCGTCTGGGCTAGGTCTCGTACCTAGCCGTTAGCACACTGGTGGAACCGTAACACCTAGCTAGATAAACTAGCGCTTATAGGCTATAATCTTTAAGTAATATTAATACTACTTCTTATAGGGTTGCTACCTAGCTAGACACATTAGCGATAGTAATCTAATAAAGTACATATAGTATTAACTAATTATACTTTTAATCTATTGCATTATCTCTATAGCGAGGCGCTGCCTTCTAACATTAGACAAGAGGACTGAAAGGGTCGCAGTGATTCTTCCACGACGAAAACAAGAAAATTCCTTAATATGCATCACTTTCTTGTAACCCGGCTTTTTTCTGTGGTCTGAGCGAGCTTCTCTCTAGCGCCCCTTCCCGCCCGTTGTCCAGGCGTAGATCACCCCCCTCAAGGGCGATTGTCAGCTGGTAAAACTTCACATCAGGCTCAGCGCCTTGCCTCGCCTCGCTTGCCTCTTTTCGACACGCAAACAACGGGAGCTCTTGTCCGACAATGGACCCGATAGAGGTGCTTGACCTACCACAGGTGTGGCAGCAGCCCACGTACGACGCCCTCATAACCACACTTGAGTCTCTGGAGCTGAGCCCGCCAATCTGGAAGCACACACGCAGGCGCTCGGAAATTCTCCATGAGCAGGAGAGCCTGGCTTCCCAGAGAAAAGGAGAGGTCACGCGCTACTTGTCCTCCATTATCAAAAGCCCGCTGGATTGGCTAGCTGATGACGATCAGCGCGAGCTGGTCTGGTCGAATGCTAGTAAACGGATGACTGAGCGTTGTGGACGCACGGCGATGGGCGAGGTGGTGAGGCAATGGCCGTTCAACGAAAATGAAGAAGGCTCATTCAAATTGGTTATCCGTGAGCCAGCGTTGACGGGCGATTCGCTGGGTTTCAAGACCTGGGGTTCATCCTACGTTCTCGCGCGGCACTTGCCACAGCTCGCAACGTCTTCATTATCAAAGTTATTTGAAGGCGCTTCCAGAGAGCGTGTTTTGGAGCTTGGCTCAGGGACTGGATTGCTTGGAACTGCCGCTGCAGCATTCTGGGGCGCTCCTGTTATTCTCAGTGACCTCCCCAACATAGTACCAAATTTACGCGCAAACGCAGAGAGCAACACATCCGTTGTCACTGGCAGAGGCGGGTCTCTCACTGTTGGTCCTCTCACCTGGGGAGGGTCGGGCCATGAGGAGGTCGATCAAGATCTCTTTGGCGAGCCTGGTCAGTTCAAGGTCTGCTTCTCTCCATGAATGTATTTGCCAGGTCACGCTCGCTGACTTGTGCTCGTGATTCTAGATTGTCCTTGTTGCGGACCCCTTGTACGACGATGACCACCCCCGACTCCTGGCATCAGCTGTGGCAACGCATTTGAGTCTGGATTCGGAAGCACGTGCCGCGATCATGGTGCCTCAGCGCGACGAGACGACGAAACGGTTGGCAGCTACCTTGCGGCATGAGTTGTCAAAGGTGGAGGGAGGGCCGGTTGCGTGCATCGAAGAGGATATTCTCGCAGGGCAAGACGACTGGGGGAATGATGACGATGGGGGCGCCGTTGATTGCTGGTTGGGCATTTTTGCGAGGTCGTCACCGGGAAGCGTGGTATAGCATGACGCATCGAGCTGGGCGCGGAGCAAGCGTGGGCACTTCCGACGGGCAGTGAAGCATGGCCAGCATGCCGGGCGGTGAGGAGTGCGCATGTTCAAAGGACGGGGGATCAGATGACCTTGATGGCCTGCGGGCCGTTCTGCTGCCAGGCAGACATGTGGGCGGCTCAACAGTCGCCTATCTTTGAGCAGTCTCGACGACTCAAGAGGCTTCATCACGTCGATTCACACACTTTCCCCCAAGAGGCTTTCCCCTCATCTCTCGCCGTCTACGCCGATCGACACCATCATGTACCTGTCACCGTGACATCTGCCACCGGCGGGATCACCAGGGCCCAGCATTGTCAGCCCCCTCAACCTGCTCACACAGCGTCACGAGACGCGACAGGTACGTGGAAGTTTCCAAGCCTCGTCTTACCAGTGCTAAGTCCAAGGCCCAATCTGGACACATCGTCCCGAAATTTGTCCTCAAGGTCACATCAGCCCCGAGCCATTGGTTCCGTGAGTGCTGATTGGCACCAGACACGTACACCATGAGCACATGTTACCACTGCCCCTATTTTTCATCGTCACGCCGCTTTGTACATGTGTGTTTTCTGCATTCCCGCCCTTGGTCATGGTTCGGCACGTGGCAGTAAATCACCTGCCTGCTCGAGCAGTAGTCATTGCCCAGGCTTTTGGCATTCACCATTGTCATTAGCCATCGGCAGTCTGTCAATCCCCAACACGTGGCAAAAGTCCACCGCCATCTTGGCCAATGGTCATTGCTCCGTCTCGTGCAAGTACCGATTGGTCTCACTAGTACTTAAACAAAAGTCCGTCGAGCGTTTCAACAAGCGCGTATGCTCGCACAAACAACCTCAGAACATCCCTTCACCCATTGTCGACATGGCGGGCCTACAGAAGTACAGCAAACGCGAGATTGTCTTTGTGATGTACCGCATGATCAACAAAGTGAGGAATGAGGACATCGTCAAGCAATTCCACGCAGAGTTTGGCCGGCCAGAGTTCGACGAGACCCAAGTACGCTACATGGGCAACAAGTACGGCGACGATGTCAAGTATGGGTGCGTTCCCCTCTCAATTTAGGTCAATTCCTGCGCTTACGTGTCCAAAGATCCCTGAAGAAGAATTTCAGTGGCGCGGTTGCAGGGGAGTGCCCTTTGAAGTACGTCGAGATGGCCCTAGCCAGAGGATCTAAGACCGAAACCTCGCACTCAGCGAAGAAGAAGCGCACGTCTACCAAGAACACCATAGCCTCTCTATACGCCAAGGCCATCCCCAAGATTCGGCGCCTCAAGGAGACTCAACAAGCCAGCAAGGCATCCGCTCTGAACTCCATCTCTCTCTCGTCTCCTGTCCCACAGTCGTCACCCAAGACAGCGCCTGCGGAAAAAGATATCGAACCGGCTGTCGTTGGCACGATGCACATGAAACCTTTGGAGGACACCAGCGTACAGTTTCAACATCTACCCGATCCACTGCTCGACGCTCCTGCCATCCCTCTCGAGCCGATGCCATACTTGGACTTCGACGCCGCGCCAACCTTTCCAGATCCTCTGACGGACCTCAATAAAGCGCCACCGCCTTATCAGCAGCAGTCTACGTTTCTCGAGCCATACCAGTTCCCAGTGGTGGATGCAGACCAATTCGTCGTGCCGGACACAATTGAACACTTTCCCCAACCATGGGTGTCGCCGACGCTGCATGAAGGCCACCAGCCAATTCCTCCGCTGCCAACCGCCTATCAGCCTCCTGTTCCGCAGCACAATGACAGCTACTATTACAAAGAGGACGATAGCTTCTTTGCGATGCCTCAGCCAGACTTCGTGGATTTTGCAGACCCTGGACTCCCGTGGTCGCAGCCCGATTACATGGGACACGATTTTGGATTCGGCATGGGCGTCCAGCCACACGGCGGATCGTATCTGTCTGTGACGGAATAGGCGGTGCCTGAATGCAGTGGAGTCAACGGAGGTGCTGTTGAGTTTTGGGGATGCTGTTGCTCGCATGACGGGGAGCAGGACGTGGACGCTCGATGTTTGGAGCTGCTGCAATGGAAGTGCCGAGACCAGCTAGCTTTTTTCGTATGGTCTTTTTTGGTGTTCAAGGGCGTTTTGGTTGTGATGGGTGCCCGATGTCAAAGCTGACTTATGTTAATGGAGTGAGCATCGTCGCTGCTGGGCGGAGAGTTACTGATTTCATGTTGGAGACCAAGTTAGTCGATAGGCAATGGAAGTCCTTGAATTTGGGCAATATTCTCTTTGATAGTTACCACAACATCTTCCTCGCGTCATGATTGCCCTGCGGACAATACTTTTCCGGCTCGTGACCCAAGCACATCTCACTGGACACCCCAGTCACGAGTACGCTTGATTAAGTACACCAATGGCAGTGATACGCACAATGAATTGTCTGGAGTAGGTGCATAAGAGCGGATGGTTGTGAGTTCAGTGTGAACAATGTACTTAATGCGTGAACATAGTGACCCCCATGGTATCTTATCTCTTGAGTAGTAGTTCTGGCGCTCTCACTATTGCATGCCCACGTTGAGGGGCATTAGCTTTGATCACATAGATATAGAAACCCTCCAGGAGCCCCATAGACGGGCGTCCAAAACATGACCAAGCCCACTGTCACCCCAGTATCGAACTTCTCATATCTTCACAATGAAAATGCATCACAAGCAATATACGAAAGACTAAAGCTATGCTTCTTGAGTGTGAGAAGGCCCGCTGTGCTCCCGACTGATGACTATGCAGCGATGTCAGCGCGCGATCTGCGTGTGCCAGGGATCTCGTGGCTGAATTCGAGCCAACAGTGGGCTGTGACCCAGACCCAAGAGGGTTTCACCCAATAACAAATATGGCCGTGTACGTAATAATTCCAACAGTGTCTGATTCCTTGAAGTAGTTCTTTTTCTTCTTCTTCTCCTTTTTTTTTTTTCACCGTCCTGCCTCTGGGAGAGACGCCAGCCCTTGATTCTTAACTTCTTGCCCTTGTTTGCGCTAGACTTGATGCGGAAGTCTGTTGACCTGCCTCCTGACTTCCCTCTCACCCAACTGCGGGGCCTGCGCACATTCTACGGCAAGTACACAAGAAGAGATGAATGTTTTTGAGCAGAACTTCCCACACGTGACGTTAGGGTCAGCAACCCATACGATTGAATTCGTATAAGTTGCTGAAAGATGGCGGATGCCCACCGCTGCCACTTTCTCCTTCCATCAACCTTCCTTTCCCCACCCCCTCCCACATCACAATCACCATCACCTGTCCGCAAGGCCACTTCTCTACACTACCTCCATGAGTACAAGAAAGTTCCCCGTCCAGCTCGATGAGCCTTGGGCTGTGCTCCTTGAGTACCCTCCCGAGGTTGTCATCCAAACGATCTCCATCAGAGAGCAGTTCATCGACATCAACGCCGTCGATGTTCAAAACATGAATGAAGAGAGGTTCCGCGTTTGGATGTACGTCAATTAGTGCTTGTCCATGAGTAGCAACATTCTTTTTGCAACATTTTGACGATACTAACCATTTGTTATAGGTTGTCAATCGTCCGGAACACTACTTGAATCCTCGAACCGGACCCACGAGCCAGGGCGCTGCTTCCGACCAGCCCTGGCCTCGTCCCCCCAGCCCGGCGCCCTCACCAGGCTGCCCGTCGTGAAGAAACACGAGCTGCCTCAGACCTATGGTGCCGTGCCAGCATACCGCGAAGAATTCTACGCCAGGTGGTGCCAGGCACTGATGTCAAACTCCTCGTCGGAGACCTACATCCGAGATGTCAGCCGTCGCGTAAGTGTTTCCCATCTCATTGAATCCCTACCCACATCGCTCACAAACCCAACAGGCACGCCCGGGAAATGCTCCTCGACGCGTGTTGGACGCTCTGCCAAGCAACCGCAATGACTGCGCTTCCCGCCTCTTCCCTCTGATCTACGACGAAGCCTGCTCCCCAGAATTGGGTGGCATGCTCCCGACGGGATGGAGAGTTGGCTGGATGACGGCAGAGCTTGCAGTCGGTCCTAGGTTTTGTGGCTTTTGCTGGATTGTTCTCCCGCTGTGCAACAAGGACTGGCGCGAACGATGCCCGCTCGCCTGGATCCTGCTCGATGAGTACCTTGAGTTCAACCAATGCGTTCACTTGTTTTGGTCAAGCTCCTACTGATGGGCGATCTCCTTCCCTCCTCGTTCGAAACAACAGCAACTGCCCTCGAAGAAGGACAGCTGGCGCAATTTCCGAATAGCGCTGGCTCGTCCTCAATGTCGGGCATTTTGGTGTGGGGACCTTGGAGTGCGGCGGACCACGATGAAAGGGGACATTGGCAAGGGACTGTTTTGATATGGGAGGCAAGGCACTGGCATCTCCTTCACAGCCGTGAAGCCAAGATAATTGAATCTATCATCATACAAAGATAGCTTGTGTCTAGCAATATATGAGAGAGAGGTTCCAAACGCTGCACACGGGACAGTCAACAAGTTCCCGAACCTGGCCTAGCGCAACCAAGATCCAGGGTCTCGAATCCAGTTCCGAAAAAGTCCATCTTTTCTGTCGCAGCATTTTCCCCCTCCGCCGTCTTGTCGCATTCTCTCCCCTGTGCATTGATTTTCTCGCAGCCGCCTACCGCAGATAGCCTCAACGACCTCCGCACACTTCTTCCCTCGTAACAAGCAGTATCATCATTCATCATGGGCAACGTACGCATCCGCGCCATCCGTGAACCCACCCCCACATGCGCTGACTGAGAGCAGGGCGCCAAAGCACAGCAGAAGCGCGAGCGCGCGGCCAAGGATAAGACGGTAGCCAAATCGCAGCTCAAAGTCGTAAGAGAGCCCCAGCTTCTGGACTGGCACCCATCACTGACGTTCATCACTCGATAGAACAGCCAAGCCTGCGACATCCAGTGCGTGATCTGCAGGTCGACCTTCCTGAAGACTAGCAAAGCCCCTCAGTATGCCGCATGCCTGACATTTCGCGATCGCAGAGCCCCCGACGCTGACCCCGTTAGGTTGACCGAACACGCCGAGAACAAGCACGGAAAGGCCTTGACGGACTGCTTCCCCACGTTCGTACAGGCGTAGAAGAAGGATGACGATGTCGACGACGATAAGACGAGGGATTGCACAGCGTGGCGTTTACGAGTGAGATAGAGAAGATGCGATATGGAATTATCGATATACCTGCTTTCAAGCTGCAGCCTGCTCTTCGCGTATGTCCTTCAGGATGTCAGGGTACCAGCGCTCTCCCACATCCGGGTGGCTCTTAACCCGGTTCCTGAGGGTAGCCTCGCCCAGTGTCTTTGACTTGCCGCCCGTGCGAAAGGTAAATTCGACATCATCCAGCTGAGCACCGCCATTCCTCTCGATGACCTGCTGGCGTAGCTGACGGATCTCCTCCGGCACCTTGCCCACGCCGACCTTCTCCAGGTCGTCAAAGTCCGTGTCCAAGTCGACGCCTTGGAAGAATGGTATGGAGAAGCGAGGACCTGAGCCTGCGGCGGGCGAAAGCACGCGGTGCGTTGTAGATACACATACACCCCCCGTCAGAGCCTCCAGACCCTGTCCGATAGCCACGACGACCGTTCCAGCTTTGGGTGGCGCATCGATCCACTCTCCCTTGATATTCTGCACCTGCAGGCCGCGATGCTCTGATGCCTGCAGGAGGTAACTGCTCAACATGCTGTCTTTGTGTGGTCCAACGCCTTGTCCTTGGCCCGTCTTGCCGAGCTCAGCGAGGTCCGGATACTTGACAATCTTCAGCTTGTGGTGCTGGTCTTCATCGGCAAAGTACTTGTCAAAAGCTGCGGCCGGGAGACCAATGGCTTCAGCAATGAGAGACGTGAACCGCACACTCATGGCGCCCATGCGTCGCATGTACTCTTGGTACACGGCCTTGAATCCAGGAAGGACAGACTCGGCGGGCCACTGATTGGGTGCTAGTAGGTGATAGTATTGAGGGTCCTCCGATGTAGGCAGTGGATGCTCGGTAGCGAGGTCAATCTGTTCTCGATGGTCAACGTCCCCTGCTGTGATCTCAGCTGCAAGCCGGGAGTAGCCGAGGAACGACTGCGCGTTCTTCATTTCGATTTTGTGCCTACATCATGTCAATCAGCCAAAGACGCCAGATCCGTCTCCCGGAAGCACGTACTTTTCATCTTCTGGTATGTCAAAGAAGGCCTTTCCCTTTGTGATCACCTCATCGAAGAGCTCGGCTGGCTCGCCGACATTCTTCAGATAAAGAAAGCCAACCTCGAGCAAGGCATGGCGTAGCTGCCGCAAGAACTCCGCCTTGGTCGCCGGATCGTCCGCCTGCGACAGGTCCAACACGGGGATCGACGTGAACGACATGGTGTGCACAGTAATATGGAAAGAATTGAAAATGCGCTTTCAATTGAGAAGATATTTGTTTCATGCTTTATTATTGCTCCATCATCCGTCCCCGCTTCCCCACACACTCGCACGCGGCTAATCCGCTAGCAATGGCTTTGCGCCTAGTAAGTTGGTCACCTTGTAGAACATTTCTTCGATGGATGGGCCTGCGAATGGAGGTGCAGCATTGAAAATGTCGGCAAGGTGCTGTGGCGCAATCACACTGGGGAAGTTGTCCTCGTCCACGTCCATCTCGTCATCCTCGGGCGCAGGCTCGTCGTCATCGCTGTCCATAGCCTCGTCGTCAATGACGGGCGCGTCCAGCTGGAGCTCTTCCAGGGGCTGAATGGCAGCCAGTGACGAGGGATCCGACTCTTCAGCCAGTGTCCACACCTGTGCAGAGTCGTCCAGCACGACAAAGCCGCTGGTATCGGGTGCAGCGACGAGACTCACGGCGCGATGCGGTATGCTGCGCACCATGAGCGGCTCCGAATCTTCTGGGTCGAAGATGCCAATGCTGGAGGAGTCACCCATTGGCATCGACACCGCAAAATGTCGTGAGCGACGGTCCACCTCGAGGAGAAGAAGATCCTGCATACTAGGGATGTTCGGAATGTCGAGCCCATAACGCAGCTCGTCACCCACAACGTCAAACACCCTCAAGTCGTTTGACAAGATCACCAAGAAAGGTGACAATGCGCGGATGGACTTGAGCTCGCCAGCCCACAGACCCTCCAACGTCTTGATGATGTCGCCAGACACGGCATCAATGACAAAGACCATGCCCGTGTCGACGCCACCAAAAGCGGCAAAGATGGTGGAACCGTCCTCGGAAAATGTGACAGAGCCCTGCGTGGCAATCCGAGTAGCATGCACAAGATCCACAGCAGCCTCCTGTCCCAGGCCGTCCCCAATGGCGACGACCTTGGCACAACTCCAGGAAGACAGATCGCGGCCGTCGTTGCCCTTGGCGACGATGCCTTGGCTCTGTCGGACTCTGGGCCGCCACAACCTGACCATACCGTCACTGCCAATCGTAGCGAACCCAGATGACACGGGGTCCGCGGCTAGGTCCAGCACCGTCTCGGGTTGTGTTGTCGCGTGCGGTGCGTTTATCCTCGAGACCAGGGCAGCCTGGGTGTCATCGGCGCCGACCTCCCAGAACTTCAAGTACACCTCGTGGCGTTCTCGGATGAACTGGTCGCGAAGGTCAGGGCTGATATTCTCCACGTCCCTTTCCGCAGGCTTCCAGTCATCGACGCTCGCGAGCCACTTGCCGTCCGCCGAGAAGGCAACGTGTGTGATCAAGGGCTCGTCAATGGGCGCACCCTTCTGGGTGATGTTCGATTCGGTGGGCTGCGTGCGTGCCAGTGGCTGTTTCGAAACGCTGGTGAACGTCTCGAGATCGAAACACTGCAGCAGGGGGGCCGAGAAGTCTCCGCTCATGGTAGCCTGGCGTCCGTTGCCGACACAGACATGTAGTTTCGACGGTTCGTGTGCTCGGATGGCGGCCGGAATGGGCCGACGGACGTTTGCGGGTGACGACCAGACACGGTTGACGAGGAGATCTTTGGGTATGCTGGCGGCGTTGGTGGAGGCGGACTGGATGCCAGACACGTAGGCTGTGGGCTTGAGCTCGGCGGTCGACACGATCATGGCTGAGTTGTCGTCCAGGTGGACGACGTAGGACGAGCCATTGGCTGACACTACAATGTTCTCAATGCTGCCTGACAGATGCGGCAGGAAGTTCTTCTGCGATGTGTCCATCTGCCAAATGACCATGACCTGCTCCGAGCCACCGGAAATCATGTAGTTACCTGACAAGTTAGATTAGCATTAGTCTTCGAACTCAAAGTGAGGCACTCACCATCGCGCGACCATTTGACCGAGTGCACCGCCCGCCTGTGCCAATGGTATTTCTGCGCCTGGACGGCCTCCTTCTCCGACTTTTGTTTCCCCAGGGAGAGGAATTTGGCGATGGCGTCCTTGTAGACGTAGATGCCACCTCGCGCGCCACCGACCGCAATGTCCACCTTGGCCTTCTTCGACTTGGACACGCGCAGATCGATCGAGGTGACAATGTCTGGTGCGTCAAAGGACACAAACTCGTAGGAAAGGTCTTGGAGGCTCTCTGCGTAGGTCGGAGTCGAGCCGATGAAGAGGCAGTCGTTCAGGGCGCCCACGAGCACCTTGCCGTCGCTGCTCGCCTCAAGGAGTTGCAGACCGCTGCCTGATTTCTTGAGGCTGAGAATGTTCCGCGACTGAGGCTTGCCATCCGTCTTGAGGTAGGCCACAATGTCCATGCGCGAGGACTTGTCTGCCTCGACCACCACAACGACGTCCTGGGCCGATTTGCCGCTGCCGACAGACACCACATTCATGGCCTTCGCTGTTTTTGACTGTGTCTCAAACGCATCCATCGAGCCTGAGGAGTTTGTCCAGTCGACGTGGAACACACGGCCATCCGAGAGTGCAACCCAGACATGGCTCGCAGATTGCTTGGACGCTCGCATCCCCACGATAGAGGCTGGCTTTGTGTTCTTGGGCGCACTGGGGGCGAGCGTGGGAATAGGGATCCTTCGTACGAGAAGCGAGTCGACAGCCGTGTAGATTTGTATCGACGTGTTGTAAGCTAGAAGGAGATATTGGTCGTCGTCGGTCAGGATGGGGTCGAGGTCGAGCATCCTCCCGCCCATTGGTTTCGAGATTCGCCATCCGCTCTCGCTCTGTCCGTTTTGCACGCTATTGAGAGCATCGGATTGCCCATTCACGAGCTTCCCTGTCGTCTCGGCCTCGGCAACCTGTGCATCCTGCTGCGAGGGTGTCTTCCTCACGCGCTTCGGCTTCTTGTCCGTCTCGCCCGCCTCCCTCTTGCGCTTCTTGTTGAGATCGTCCCTCTCCTTGGTGGAGGTCTTGTTGCTGGCCATTTTCGGGGTGGTGAAAGCAGCGTACGCTTGGCGAATGTGAAATGACCTGGCTGCTGCACTGGTGAGCGAAGCCGACGTAGTGGAAAATTCGGCTGGCGCTGCCAGACATTTTTTTTGGGCGGGCGGGTTCCGCGATAAGATAAGGATTTTTCAGGCTGGCAATACTTCGGTCGATAATCTTCATGCTCTTTCTCGCCCATCAAGCAGCAAGCGCATCCAACGAAATTTGTCGCGCGTCGTTTACCAACTCTCGCAAAAATGATCATTCCAATCCGCTGCTTCTCGTGTGGCAAGGTACGTTGCGCGAGCGGGCGACTGACGATGCGTTGTTTCTGACGGGCACAGGTCACTGGCGACCTCTGGGAGCGCTACCTCCAGCTGATCTCCGAGGGCAAGTCGGATGGGTGAGTCTGGCCACTATTACAAGTGCATCATGGTTGCTAACAGGTTAAGTGACGCGATGGACGAGCTCGGTTTGCGCCGATACTGCTGCCGCCGCATGGTGATGACCCACGTCGACCTGATCGAGAAGCTCCTCAAGTATACCCCAGACGGTCGCAACATCAAGAAGCAGGAGATGAACGAGACCGCATCACGCTCCAACGAGATATAAATGGCAGGGGAAGAGATGCATATTGGCGTTTGGGATTGAATTCTGGGTAGGCGCAGGTACGGATGCCAAAAAAAGACATTGAGCTATCGCGGCGACGCGTGTTTCTCTCTCTTGGTGCAGTGTCTGTCTATCTGGATGTGCTTCGCTTTGCGCACACGGACGTGACCAGTGCTCTGGGACCCTAGGGCAGGCAGCATGAGGATCGTGGACTGTACCGTCATGGCGGCCGTCAGCAACGCCGGCTCCAACACCGCCCGTGGCCGGCAGCACACCCCTTCGCTCCCTCTTCTTCTCCGGCATGTTGGAGCCAGCCATATTCCTATCGAAGCAACGGCCGCAGGTTCCCCCGGTAGACCACACTCAATAGGAACAAACATGCATGAGCGAATAGCAGCGACAGCCACCTATTCCTCAAAGTATCTCCCACGAATCGGTGTCTGTGTTGCCTTCACTTTTGACGCACGCAATCTTCCCGGGCTCGTTGTTACACCGTTGACACCCTCAGCGTCTTTGACAGGATTCTCCGAGGTGCCCGGTACGTGCCTGTGCGCCGTGAATACAAAATTCTGGGCTCTGGGTCGGGCATCGTCTGACCCAAAATGCCACCTCCAAGGGCGCACTAACAATGCCTGCCACGACAAAGTGCATCGCGCTTTTTGCGTGGCTGCTTGGTGCATGCCTGTTTGCAACCGAGCCCATGCTGACGTGTGAAAGCACGTTATCATGAGATTCGTCTAGTATTAACAGAGTCCCAATCATAGATGGATTGTATGAAAGCGATTCTGTACGAGGTACTGGTTTGGAGCAAGAGCTGTCATGTGTCGGGTGATACGTCCAGCTCGATATCGAGATTCGAGACCCTGTCTCAGCCCTGCGGTGGCTGACCGTCAGATTGCTCACGCTCAATCCTCAATCCTCATGGCCTCAATAATAAGCAAGGAATCTGCATCAATCAGGTCACATAATCACTTTGCTGCAGCGCTGGGAAAGTTTCTGGGGCCATCAAGAGCCCTGGACCTCCGATTCATTGTCACGCTACAAGACAGAGCCCATGCGGAAAGGCAGCCACTCATGAACCTTTTGACATCGAATAGCGTGGGGCTGATGGGCTCCAACTTGAGTCTCCAAGAGACGTCGGCGCTTAAAGGGTCTCGCCAGCCAACGGAAAGACAGGGGTGTCTGGTTACTCCGCCCGATCAGCGAAGGCTGCTGCAGTCCTAAAATGATAGACACCGTCTGCAGTGTCACTTTGGCTTATGGCAGGCTTGGACACGACAGGAGCATTCTGTGCGACTTTGGTCGCCGAAGTGATGGTCAGAAGAGCTTTGTTCTGAGGAGGTCAAGAGCCAGAGAAGCATGTTTAAGAGATCCGTACCTGGTATGCTCTCTCTGTCTCACGACCAACACGTTCTCTTCAGCTTGAAGCGGAGAACATATTCCACCTGCTGTCTGCCTGGCCAACACACAAAATAGCTACCTTATTAGTTACTTATCTGTTTCTCAGTGGAGTCCAGCATTTAGCTCGAGCTCAACTTGTTGGTGCCCTCTCTCGTGTAGCATGATCTCCCAAACCCGCGTAGCACGATCTGGCGCCAAAACCAGATCCCTGGGTTCTGTCCTCTCAAGCACTGCCAGGGAGGGGAGGGTTCTGTGACGAACCACCTGCTCCTCCCAGCCTAATTAGGCGCCTTTTCTTTTTATTAGACTCCGGCTGTGCGGCCAGGCTCACTTACGAATCGAGGCTGACATTGAGCACGATCTTTGTTGTTGGGTCTTTGTGTCCTCCAAGCTAAAGAAAACGTGTTGGTCGTGAGACAAAAAGCTGGGCATGCAACGATTTGTCCGTCCCAGTCGAGGGGCAGAACGGTGCCTCTGGCGTCGACCCGCACAATACACCAAGCCCCGTCAATACCTGGTAGAACGAGGACAGCGCATCAGCAGATGGATGATAAATGCATAATAATGCTTACATTCCCTGACTTTGCAAGAAGAAACGACTCAAAGCGTGCTCGAGGCTCGAGCAAGGCTCCAAGTTGACTGGAGTCAATGGCCCCCCCAGAGCTAAGGCCGAGGTGCAGCATGGGCTGGCAGATGGACCCCCGCCCATTGGTCCTGCGGCTCCTCCTTGATGGGACCTCCAGTCGATGGGAGCGCGTAGCCGCCCGTTTGTCGGTCTTCGACACCATCTCGAGCAGCATGCGGCTCCTCCAGTCCGTTCTCTCTAGCCATATCCCTCCTTGTGCGCCGCCAGTCTCTTCCCTCTTCCACCGCGCCTGTTTCACCTGGGCGATTCAAGCGCGGCCTCTCTCGATGCGACCACGTTGCTAGTCTATAGCTGCTGTTGAGCCTGGAGGACGTGCTCAGCCCGGCAGGCATTCTCAATCATCGGACCATCGTCTATTCTGCGGCCCAGCGTGGTTTTGGGGCATTCATTCCCTGGACCCGGAAAAGACCATCGTGTACGACAAGGCTCACTCTCGACATTGGCAGGGTCGGGCGGGCATATAAGGTCCTGGGCAGATCGGTCCATCCGCAAAGCAAAGCATGGCTCTCGAAGCTCCCTTGCGGTCGTCTTTGCAATTCCCGTTTGGAGGAAACACAGGAAACACAGACATGTCGACAGGCTCGGATCTCGACAATTGGAGATCGCCCTCGCGGGTCGTGTAAGAGCTCAGGCTTCAGGATGGGTGGCACAGCGTTAACAAACGTGATTAGATCCTCCCCGCCCCCTGCGACAGACTCGAGCTCCCTACGCCCCAGCTCCGCAAACCGGTATCCCTCACACTCCATGCATATCATGAGCCCGAGCGATCTTGTCGGGCCATCTCCAGTAACGTCCAATGGGACGGAGACGACGGAAATTGAGGACGATGCCACCGACGAAGTGAAGGAAGCGTCGCTTGCCGACGACGCACACGAAAAGCGCAGGTCGGAGGCGCTGATGCTCACAACCGATTTGCCCGAAAATGTGCGTCAGGGCAGTGAAGAGGCGGTTTCGGTCATACATGCCCCAGAGAGCTTTGCCACCTGGGTCAGTCGCTCTCTATGCTGTACTCGTCGGGCACTGACTGACGTTGTGTAGAAATCGGGCGTGAACCTACAGCAGCATGAGTTTGGGCGAGCGTCACCAAAGGCAGACGACAGCAGCCTCAGGGCCGATCATCTGCCCTACAGACCAGCCATCTCCACCAATGTCCAGCCAGTGCGGTATTCTCTGGACAGCGCCACACCCCGCGCGCAGGACCTGCAGGACATGCTCAGCGACAGCAGTCGTCTCCGATCATCGAGCACGAGCAGCCTGGAGAGTAAGGGTCCTCGACGTACTCTATCAAGTCCCTGGCTAACGTTGCGCAGAAATCGATGAGCAGACGGAGAATGAGGATAACGACATAGACGACGACTTTGCCTCTCAGCACACCCCGAGCCATCTGCAAGCGCCAGAAGTGGTAGCCCTCAAGTCGGCATTTGACGAATGCTGGACTCTATGCAACACCTTTGGCAACCTGAGTTCTTTCCATCGCACACGGGTATTCTCCAGCTCCGGGACGCCAGACGCCCACGAGAGGGCATGGAAAACGTGCTGGCAGCTATGCCAGAAACTGTACGCCAGTTCCACCGAGAACACAAATTCCTTGAACGCCAGGCTCAGCATCGACCTGTGCCGAGACTTTTGCCAGGCCTTGTTTGATGTGCGGCATAAGAAAGACGAGGCAGCCGACTCGGTGTTGCGGGTCAGCTTTGAGTTGAACAACCAGTAAGTGATACGACCAAGTCATGTCACAACCGCTAACAGAAGCAGCCTCTACAGCGCGCAAGACAGCCGCAATCTGCCCGAGGAGTTCAGAGAGAGGACACTCGATTTCTACATCACCCTTTGCCACCGGCTCATGAAGCAACGCAGCGACTTGACGGAAGAGACGGACCAGCTGTTGCGGGCGTGTTGGACCTTGGCGGAGATGCTGTTCAGCTTACGGGAAAACAAGCGCGACAGGCGATTACCAGACGAGGAGCTCCTCAGCTCGGCTGTTCAAGCGTGCTGGGACTTGATGGAAATATTCCGCCGCGGCTGGACACAAGTCCAACCGGACCGCAGCACCCCAAGACCAGGTCACCCCAGCTTCAGCTATTCACATCAGTCAGAGCGCGCCGAAAGCCGGACGTCCAACCGGTCCAATCGGTCCTCACGTTACTCCAAGCGTGATCGCGAAAGTACCAAGAGCACCAAGAACAGCCATCGCGAGGAGCCACCGAAGCAGCCGCCTTTCGTCCCCGAGACGCCAGTGACCGAGTTTGAGCACACACCCGTGTCACCAGAGAGTCGATCACCTCAGATGCCGAACATTATGGTTCTCGGCACCGACAGCAACCGAGGAGGAAGGTGGTCCAGCAATGCATCCAACCTGTCCAGCTATTCTCAGAGCACGCACAGTAGTACGCGGACCTCTAGCACAGCCACTACTACCGCGGCAACTGAGGACCCCAACCTGGGCCGAGCCCGCATGTTGGTGCTGCGGGCAGCGATGAACTTGGGTTTCGACCGTGATACCATTACAGATCCAGGCTCCGGCTCCATCATTCTCCAGAGGTTCGTGCAAGCTCTGCCATCGACGGCTTTTGGACCGAGCGCGAGCAATGCAACATTGGTGCAGCAGTACAAAAACTCAGTGCTCACCGATGCAATCATACCACGGAAGCAGACGCTTCCGGCAAATGGCAAGCGTGCTACCGCATTGGAGATGGCTAAGAGCATCAATGCCGTCAGCAAGCTGTCCACGCGCTATGCATACTTGCGGGATCTTTACCGATTTGTCTTCCAGTTCCCAGTGGAGGAGGTCGAGTCACGTCGAAACGTCAGCATCGTCGTGTGAGATGCTTACATACACAACACACACATCGCTTTTTTTTTTTTTCTTCCCCTCCCCATCTACCACGATTTACGAACTCTTGCAAGCAACGACCTATCGTTTATGCGAGCGTCAGATACCCTGATTTCAATGTGCGAGCTAGGTGATATGGCAAATTTTCGGCGGCTTCAGCGTTGAGTGGAAGGAGTTGGTCACGAGCACTCCTGCAATCAAATCCGAGCCCCCTTGGATGGACTTTTTAGGTATATTAGTACTCACAGGCTGTTAGTATTGCCCGTTATTAGCACCACGCTTAATACATACATTGCCTACTAAAGAGTTCGAGTACGGTATATCAAGCTCATAGCGAACGATTTCTCGCCGGGGGCACATTGTATCCATTATTAGAGAGAGATATTGGGGCCCTGGCGCCACTCGGTTGCCCTTGACAGCTAGATACATGAATGCCGAAAACGCACTGCCCGGTCTCGAGCTTGTCATTGACGATGTTAAAAAGGCAACCAATCAATAGGGACCAGGGGAATTCACGTTTATGTGCAGCCAATAGAAACACGCATCGACCGAAAATCAAGAGTGATCTGTGTAGTTCCACTTTTACTTGCTGTCACTTGTGAAGTTGTGTAACAACGAGACTGAGTTTTCCAAGGCGGTGTGTTTCTCAGCCAATGAATCGCGCCTGAGCAATTCCATCAATTTCGAAAGGGGAGAATGTCAGTGATCTGCCGGGTCCGCACTCACTGATCTCTCAGATTGATCTTCTATCAAGATCGAAAGGGGAGAGTGCCAGTGATCTACTAGGCCCACACTTACTGATCTGGCAGACCTATTCTCAGGTATATAAGGCGTTCCTCTTCCCTCCAAAGCATGCACACTTTTCTTCTCCATCTCACTCATCCTCTTCCTCTTCTGCCTTGCACGGCCACCCTACGCCATGGCTGCCCTATGCCAGGCTGACTTCAAGGTCAATTTCTCGGCCACGGGTGTGTCCACACAGGTCACCAGTGGCACACCCAGCTACCCTCATGCCCAAGTCACCCATGACAAGGCTCCCAACTCGAACTAGTGCTCCGAGTCGATTGCCAAGTTCGCGGTCCCGCATGACGACTTCAGCATGTGTTGCGCATGTACGCTGATTGACCACAATCAGAGCACAGTGGATTTCCCTTTTGACTTCTTTGAGAGCATGGTTGAGCCCATGTGTCTCATGGTCTGGACATTCGATCGCCGTCCTGCTCAGGCCAAGCCAGGTTTGATCCAATGGATGCATAATACTGTCCATCAGACGTTAAAGGTATGCAGCATATGGACTCTGTCAAGCACATCTAACCCGCTATAGCATCATTCGCCTCGAAGCTGCGAAGGTTTCGAGCTTGGTGACAACATCTTGAAGAACGTGCAGATCTAGAAGCCCCAGCAAAAGATCAAGGAACACACGTTGTTCCAAGTTCACGTATCGGAAGGCAAGGGCTTCTTCGTCAAGAAATTACCCACGGTATGTACAGCGTGTTTTGATTCTTTTCAATTATCTGACAATTCTACAGCACCTCTTTTACTCGGTCTTGACGACCGTGCCAGACGTCGTGCTCAGGCAACCATTTACGATTGGATGTCTGCGATTCCCCTTGTTGCCCCAGCAAGCCCAGGCACGGGAGTCCCACCTACAGCGCGAGCTTCGTTTGTGCTGGGGCGAGACCGGCGACGAGTTTTGGATTGATTTGCTATTGCGGCATGGCGTCAGCCTCGCCCTCAAGAACATTGCATGGCTTGGTATAATAGGGAAGCGAGCACGAAGACTTTTGAATCAACATGCCTCTGGCGACGAACATCTACCGTGGATTGGGGAACATTGCAGCGGCATGGTACGACAGGAACGCGAACATGAAGCATGTCAGGGATGGAACTACACTTGCCTTAATTATTCAGGCCACACATTCGACCCTCACACCGCTGCCAACGCCAACAGGCGTTATCTTCGCACGCTCTTCCTTTATTTCTGAGCATCCGCATGTCCTTCACATAGACAATAATCATCAACTTCATCTTCTCTTTATCTTCTTCACATCCGACCACCATCCACGTTACGCTCTAGTTCGGGCTTTGGACCTTCCTTGGGATGGAGCTGTTACTCCGGTCGGGCACTCCGACGGTGGTTGCAGTGCCGCAAACGATTTCACTCATTCTCCCCCCCAGGCCAAGCCCAAGCAGCCCAAATCATGATGGTGCTTTGGTTGCTTAAGCTTGGCCTGTGGGTAGGATGAATGGTATCTTGTGGCACTATATTGTTCTTCGGTTGGTCTCGGTAGATTAGTTTGTCGATGCTTTTAAATATATTGTATTAACTACCGATTGCAGTGAAGCAGTCAGGATAAAGCGAGCGAGAGGCATGTGCGGTTCACGCCAAACGAAAAAAGAGCATGTGGTGGTAATAAATTCAATTCGCTGGTGCATCCCGTGGATGATTTAAAACAGTATAACCCCGTCGTCAACCTGATGATCCTAGGTTGCCATGTGCATTTTTTCCTGATCTCGTGGTATCAATCCCAGCGAAAGACCCTGAACGCCATGTGGCCAAAGCCATAAAACAAGTCAAACCCCCCTGCCCTCATATCTTTCCCCCAAACCAAGATGGCAGTCCTCCGAAAGCGTCGGCAGCCCCAGCATTCCGAAGTTGATCAGGCAGAGCAACATGTCGCGAGAAGCAGACCGCGCTCAAACATTGCACTGCCGATAGATCTTCTTCTTCATCTGGGTCAAGCGTTCCCGCATGTCGATCAGACTGTCCAACTTTTCCTTGGGGGGGTCGACCAATGCCACCACCTCGTAGTGGAGAGCCTCATACGCGCTGTAGAACTTTTTGAAGTCCTGTGCCTGGCTCATGACTGAGTCGCTGAGCTCCAGAGTCTGGCGTTTGGAGTTGGGAGCGGACCGTTCATCCTCCGCCTTGCGCTTTCTCGGATGCGGCTCACTGCTATGATCCGAAATGTCTGAGGCGTTGGTGGGAGGCGAGGACCCCAATGGTGACGACTTACTAGGTGATCTCGTCTTGCTCTTGTTGTACAGCGTCTCAGCAGGACGGTTCAGTTGTTGGGCTGGCAACGGTTTCGACTTGATCCGTTTGGAAAGTGGTGTGCCGGAGCTTGAACTAGAGTCTTCGTCTTCCTCGGGTCTCGGGCGTTTCGCCATGGGCTTTGGGAGCGGGCGAGGTGCCGGGGCAGTCTTTGTAGCTGGGCGTCTCGCTTCAGCCTTTTCCTTTTCGGTTCGCTCTTTCTCGGCTTTTTCCTTTTCCATTCTCTCTTTTTCCTTCGCTTTCTCCCCGCGCCAAACTTTTTCGACTTTTCCAACTGGCTTCTCATTAGCGTTGGCCTTGTCCCTGGCGGCCTGCGAAGTGGGCTTGGCTTTGGCGGGAGCCGGGCTTCGACCACCTGAAGAGTCCGAGTCACCAATGTACTCCGCAGAAAGGGGTCCACGCCCTTTGTTGGCTTTCGTGTTGCTCGGTTTTGTGGTCGACGCCGCCTTTGCTTTGGTGGGCGAAGGCTTGGTAGTCTTTGGGACAGGAGTAGAAGGTTTACACTTGCCATTCAGCAGCCTCTTGACTTGGGCCTCGGAGCTGCTGATCTTCTTCTTGGTGTCGCTGCTCCTGGACTTCTCGCTGCTACCATCGCCGTCGTCCCTCGACGATGCAGAGCTCTCTTCCGCTTTCTGAACCTTGATCTTGGGCGCTCCTCGAGCGATGTTGGCCTGAAGCTTGCTGAGGAAAATGCCCTTGCCACGGTCTTCGGGACGATTGAGACGCTCCCACTCGGGGTCTGACGCCGACAGGCGGAGCTTATCGTACTGCTTGATAGCATTGTTGATGGCTGTTTCCCGATCCGCGTCGCTGTAGTCATAGTTCCACACATCAAGCTCTTTGAAACCCTTGGCTCGCATCTTCCAAAGCTGCTTGTTGTCCTTGTCTTGATCGGCAATCTTCTCGAGGGCGTTTCGAAGGTCTTCTGGCTTTCCATCCCACTTGCCTTTCAGCTCATCATACGTGCGGTCATGGATGGCAAGCTCGTGAACCAGAGCTGCTCGTGCTTCTTTAGCCGGGTTGAGCATCGGCGAGGAAACTGGTTTCAGTGCTGGTGAAGTCGAGAGCGATCGTGAAGCGCTATCCTTAACAACTGCCGAGAGCTTGCCGTTCTTGCCATTGATCAGCGGCTTGGAAAGGATTCGGGTTCTAGGGGAGATCAGTATGCGAAGAACAAAAAAGGTCCCAAGCAATCGTACCCTTCCTTGGAAGCTTCCGCCGCCCTCAAATCATTCTGCAACCTCCCAAGATCAGAGTCGCGACTCGAGGCGGAAGACGTCTTTGCCTTGGGTTTGGCGGCAGAAGGGGCTTTCTTGACACCCGGAATTCGGTTCAATTTGGGGTTCATGAAAAGAGGCATGCTTGGTATCCGTGTGCCCTCTCGAAGGGAGTTGTACGGCTGTGTGAGGTAGAGGTCGTACGGTTCATCTTCTGCGACGGCAGGAGAAGGTATGCGGTGGGATGTTGAGTCGTAATGGAAGGTCTGTAAGGTAGTAAGTTAGCATTTGGGCATTGTGCAGAAAAGGTTGTAATAAAGTTCGAGGTATATAGAAACCAGACCAGCAAGCATTCGCACGCGTGACTACTAGCTCACTTTGAGCGGCGTGGCTGGTCCGGTCTTGACTATTGTCCAACAGCAATCAATGGCACGTACTGGGTCGCTCCCGAGAGCAAGCGAGATATCGCCGCCATTCTGAACGCATTTGATCATGCCCTCGATTACATTGTCGCTCAGGGAGATGGTGAAGGCTTGCTGCGTCAAAGGGTGTGTGTCTTCGGCAGACGAGCCCTTGAGCTGCACCCCATTGTCGGGGATCTTGAGAGAATTCATGGCGTCGGTGTGTATTTTGCTTGTTTTCGTATACGTTTGTAGTCGAGCAGATCTAGTGAAGGAGATTCGTGGAGATGGTTCGGCCCTTAGGTGAGGACCGAGGCGAGGCAATCGATCGGTGGTCTGTGAATAGTCGTAGATGGCGATGATGCTATCGTTATCGTTGTATATAGAGGATCAGACGAAACTCGTCACAGACATCGACTTGTCGATTGTGACCGTATAACCGTCGTCTCCGTCGTCGTCGTGGCTGGGGCGGCCTGGAGACACTGGCAGCCAGCTGCTGCTGGCTCACAGGCCGCTACGTTGACTGGACAATGGGCGATGATCCAGCAAACAAGGGGGTTTCAATGACGAGGTGTAGACCTCTGTGACAAGAGGTACAGTATGTGCACGATCAATCACCGACAAAGAGGGCACAAAGGCCACACGATGCATTGTTGGGCGAAGGAGCAAGAGTTGAAGAGCGAAGAGAGGCTTCATGACGAGAGAGCCGGGAAGACGTGGACCTGCGCCGACTGGGCTAGCGAACACTCACCACCGCGGAATGACTGATGGGGGTGTGAGGCAATGCATGGGTGGGGCGGTATACATTAGGCGTGGCTCTATCCGCGCCTCACCTTGAGGGCGCCCAAGTGCCCTGGGGGAGGCCCGTATTCCTCATGTCCAGGCGGTGCACAGCGTACGGGGCGGGCCGGGGGTCTGACGGATGAGGGGCGTGACCTTAAGTTAATTGTCAGGCACAGGGCAGGAGGGACTGGACTGGACTGTCAGCAGCAGCACTGCCAGCACTTTGCTACGGAACGGCATCATCAACCAGGCGGTGTTGGACGACACGAGACCGCCATTTGCTGTTCGCCTCGGTCATTGATGATTCAGAGGTGACACTCGAGGGGATGGCAACTGTCGAACGCCTCGGTGGATAGTTCCCTAATTATGGCGAGGTCGACTTGCCCTGTTCGGCACGATAACCAGGTCTTGGCTTCCGACTCGCGTCTGATCAAGGAAGCAGGAGCGGCAAACGATTAGCGTCCAATCGAATGCAACATCGCCTTGGGTGGTCTTTTGATATGAACAATAATAACTCACTATGAAAATCGACTTTGAGTTGCTATTGCTGTGTGCATACGCTGACAGAGATGGATGTTGGTCGTCGAGGGGATTTGAATCCATCCGCAATCCCATCCCTCCAATATGAGCATGAGATTACTTGGGGGTTCCCGGCAATCCAGTCGCACCTGTCTCGCACTTTGATAATGAAACAACCGCCACCATGCCAGGCGAAACACAGATACCGAGAATAAACTGCACAAGAAGGTTTCAACACCACTGCTAATTCAAAAAGCGTCAGGATCTCCGTACGTGCATCTGCTGTTTGCTGAGAAGTACTGTATTCATTTCCCTCGCTGGACTCGATGGGCCTCGCGGAATTCGTCGGTAGCAGTGGGGTGATCTTCCCAACGTGAATGGCGTGGAAGATCCCGAGGGAGATCGACAAGAGCAAGTCTCGCGCACGCAAGGCTTCTTGTTAGTCCAGGTAGAAGATCAGCAGCACATCGCTCAGTCCAACGTTACGAGTTCCTTCACCTTCACAAAGAGCCTTTCCTCCGTTCCGCCATAGTTGATGGCAAAGGCGCACCTGGCCTAACTTAAACTTGTACCACCCACCGATGGCTGACATCACCGCTAGCGGCGCCAGCCAGGCAAGGAAGATGGCAGCAGCGACCCTGGAATGCTCTTGCCGGGTGAAGTAGCCCCGATTTCGAGTCGCCTAGGGGCCAGGGCGATGGCATCGCGAAGACGCAAATAGATACAGCCTCGCCCCTTTTGATATTGACGATTCTCATAATCATTTTATTGACAGCTATTCGGTCCCTGCGACTTTCTCTGCGTCTTTCTGAATTATTAATAATTACCAGCGACGAATCGTCCCGAGCGAGGACACAATCACACAAACGGTCCCGGACACCTGCTCCGAGCGGAGGGAGGGGAGGGGTGCATCTTAGCAGACCATCTGCAGCGTCCAAACAAGTCCAACAAGTCCAGTGGTCTTCCACAACGCACAGCGCTGTTCTGGTGTCTCCCACCGCTGGCGGTGGACATCTTTTGACCGAACTACTTGCTTGGCACGCATCGTCGTTTGTCGCAGGCCGTGGCCCGTGGGTCCAACGTCTTGGCCTCGCCATCCGCCTGCAATTTGTGGCTTCCGGGGTCCAGTCCTCTCGACACATGGCTCAGATCAGGAAATCAGCACGGTTGCGAACTTGCGGTTCTCCTGATGAGCTGGGTCGAATCGCCAGTCTCATCAGTTCAACATGCTTGGGGCATCGGGGCATCAGGAAACACTGAAGCATGAGCCTTCCATTTGATCCTTCCATGCATGGCAGATCGGTGCCCGCTCGTGGCATTGGTGTCAGGAACGTGCCGGGCTGCGTGACGAGTGGCAGCCAAAAAAGACCCTGATGGATATTCCGCAGCCGCGGACGCCGCCCCCATCTTCCTCCCCTTCAGAGTTGGGGTCATTTTGAGCCTATTCGTCAGCTGATGAATCCAAGTACGTAGTATTCGTACCTGTCCGACACGACAAATCGCCACTGGGTTTTTTTTTACATGAAACAGCAAGTGACTGTGTGCCTACACGTATTACGCTGGCTCCAGTGGAAGATGCGCGGATTCGTTGGCAGGCGATGATATGGCATAGTTCGGTATGACGATGCGGGCAGCATGTGCAACGTTTTTTTGGACGGGCATGATCATACATGCATGACAGATTGCCCAGGCTAGGTCCGTCCTCCCGAGTAGCGTCTTTCTTCTTGCAACAGAGCTACGAGCAATGGCAGGTTGCAGATGTCTCTTCACGCAACCTTGAAGGCTATGTCGCGTGTCACTCAATCCGGATGTCAATCGAAGGCTCTATCGCATACGTGCACAGTGGAAGAGCACCTTCATGAATTCAGCTGCTAGTGCTCCGTACGATCATATCGCAGCGCAAGCACGTGCCATTCTGATTGAGCCCGCGATGTCGGTCCAAATTTTCCCTTGAGAGGCAGGATGGCTTGATAAGCAGCCAACGCAGGTTATTGACGTGTCGCCGAGCATGATGCATGACGGGTGATTTCCGTCAGAGGCACGCCGACATTAAGGTATTTAACATCTCGCCTCCTCGGTGCCTGCCATCGTACAATCTTTCACGCACTGAGGCTCATCTTCTCTCATTCCCATCATCACCCCAATGACCTGACTCAAATTGTCTGAGACTTGGAAATCGTCCATTCCATTCCCCGGATAGGCCCGCTGCATAGCAGTCCAACTCGGCATAGCGCCATGCACCCCCACCCCACCATCCAGGCCCCATTGGGCAGACTGAGTGCAGAATGGGTTCGGCGTGTTCAGCATCGACTCTCGTGAACGCACAGTCAGCTGCAACTGCGTCTTCCTCCTTCCATGACGGTCGCCTGCGTTGCTTGACGAACCTGGTATCGACGATTGGTACCTCGCATGAACTTGCGGTGGCAGCCCGTCCGAGGTTCCGAACAGGCATCGAGCAGCGTGGCCACATCACTGTCCACGCTAAGTTAATAGGATAAACTCCCAAAAGTCTGCGAACGCGGAGGTCCACGCTGGTCCACGCCGTTGATTGGAGCTTCTATATTGATGGCTGGAGTCCTCGCCAGTGATAGCCACCCAGGATGGCGCTGGCAAGCCACATGTACTAGTCTGCGCAGCCGTGTTCAGGGCCCCTCCTCCACGGCTGCGAGTGACCGCGGCTGAGGCCCAATTGAAGGACTGAGGTGCCGCCGGGTCCGATACCTACAAGTCTGAGGTTGTTGGTGAGTTGACATAATGCCGCAGCACAGTCTCATCTGTGATATTACCAAACAAGCGCACCATATCCAGCACGTCTGTCTAATAGTACATTGATTGATAGTGTACGCTCCCAGGGCGCCTTGCCAGCCCTTGTGGTCCAGAGCTTTGGACCGCAGACACGGCATGGCCACCGTGACATGTGCAAGTTGGACTACTGTACTCACTCGACAAAGTCGCCAGCGCTAGTTGTCTTGGCTATCCATATATATCAAGGGCGGTGTCAATATCGAGAATAAGTACAACCTCTAAGCATTACAAGGCCTAAAGGCTACACAAGGCTATAAAGGTTTGCACCTTTATTACACTGAGTGAGTATGGTACTAAGTGACAAGCTACGTCTACCACACCCCTCCATGTCATTCCCGCCTCCATCAAGAGCGGGCACGGCGGGGTCCGATCTTCGCCCTTCTCGTCCACCTACCCCAGGTTTTGGTGAGAGGATTTAACGCACCCAAGCACACATATTACAACCAATCTAGCAAGGAGCATGGCCTTCCGAGAACATTGATCCGTCCCAGGGCCTGGCGGCGTGGTCTTGTCGCCTTGAAGTCCATTCGGCCACCTCTTGAAATTGCTGTGCTTAGCTCGGGTTCGTTGCCGCGTCTCGTCTCACTGCGTGTACCCAGCTCAAATAGCGTCCAAGTGGGCAGCTCATGCGCTACACTGGCGCGCGAGGGGGCTGGCTGAGAAGCAAAGGGAACGAACGACTGGACTTCGTGTTTCGTCAGCTTCCCGAGATGTGCTCCTGTTCCTGAGACATGCTTTCCTCGGCGATTGGCACCCATTTCGCGGCTCGGCATCGACACTCCAAAAGACACTGCCGGCTGTTCGTGACAGAAGCCAGCATACGTAGACGTGCGTACATCTGAATGGCACTTGTCAAGTAAATCGCATGCTGATATTGTTCAGATAATCGCGCAACGTAGGTTGCACCTCCTTGGAACTCCCTGTCTCGACCGACCCAAGCTCCCATAAGAACACGTCTCCCTCCTCCTCAGTCAAGGCGCCCTCACGTTTTTATCCATAATCTCATAACGCCCCGTCACAAGGTCATTCGACTTTCCCCACCTATTGAGTCTTGAATAGAAGGATCGCGCAGTGGCCGAGGTAGAAATAGATAAAGTGCTTGGTCTCTGTACCACAACGTCAGCCGCTGCGACACGCAACGCAGCCTTGAGGGGCTATTAGGTCCAGCAGAACATACCATGTGTCACGAAGCTGCCAAAGTTGCGGCCCACGATGCAATGCCAGGTGGGACCTTTGCGCTCGTCAAACTAATCGCTGTCAGTCGTGCTCTGCGGCGGGTACCCATTTCGCTGTCGGGGGACGGACCGTGCGCTTGATGTGCTGGGCAATGTCCTGGCGAGTGTCAGCTTGCCATAGTGCAAAAGCGTCTTCTTTCTGGCGACTGACCTTCTCGATTGTGAACTTGGACATGGCCTCCTGTGCTAGCAGAGTGTAAGCTTCCTTGGCGCGTGCATGGCCACCTTCGCCGCCCACTTACCGACTTCGACGGTCTCCTGCTGCATATCCTCGGTCTGGCCAACCCATCAGCGTCTCGAGCTCGTTGCACGTCGCGCATCAACGTACCATGTCCGCAGACTTGATCTGAGCTGTAGTATTCCGCATGTCAGCCGTGTGGTCCATGGCTCATTCCACGTTGTTTGTAGCTCTAACCCACCTTCAAGCTTCTCCCGCGGCGCGGGGCTCTCGTTCTTAATGTCGGACATGCTGATCGCTTCGGCGGCGCGGCGTTTTGAAAAGTTTCGGGGTGCGAGGCCTAATTCTGGACGCGTCAGTCGTTGCGTCCACCGCGATTGAAGAGGAGACCCCTATTCGAGATCAGAGCCGGTTGGGCCATTGTAACGCACAAGTTCGTAAGGGCAATGCAGCGCGTTCTGCACGAGTATGGGAGATGTGGGTCGGCGATTATGACTGCCAATGTTAATGTGCAAGGTCGTGTGCTGTTAGCCACGTCGTGTTGTGTTGGGTTGCGATTTGATAGCTTGCTCGGTTGCTTGAGGAAGTTTGGCGGAAGCTGGAAGCAGGGGCCTGTGCACGGACCACCCGCCCAGCTGTGCCTGTGACAGGCTGCGAGTGACGTGTGACGTTAAAGAGAACATTTGTTGAACTGTTTCCCCTTGATGGCGAGGATGTTTCCGTTCATTATCTTTCAGCGAGTCTACTCAAGACACTTCAATTCAGTCGTATGATTACACACGCGATGCTGACCTCACGTAACGTACCTATGCGGTCTTGGGGTTTTCGTCGAGCGAATCGACATGGAGTCTTCTCATCTATCACAGCTCCAGCGCCATGGCACCTCGCCTTTCATCAGGCAAAGGCGCAGTCCACTACAGTGGACTCTACGGGAGTGCCTACTTCATCCACGACGCAGGATTGGCGACGCCCACGAAGCGTACGTGTATATTGAACCAGCAGTTGGAAACGCTACCAAGTCTGCGGTTGCGCAACTGTTGGGTGATTTAGGTCCGAAACCAGACACTTTGGAAAAGCTGCCGTTGAGGTTCCATCATGGATCACGTCACTTTGCTCACGGTAAGACGAGAAACCTTCCCGCACTGCCGATACCGTACTCTTTGTCCCATTGTCTATTGACGCCGATGGTATTCTCGCGCAGAATCGCTACAATTGCCACGGGTTGACATTGATCGGGATCTGCCCAAGCAGTCAAGCACGTGCCATGACATAAGCCTTGCTTCGCTCTGGCTGTCGGGAAACTGGCAGGCCATAACTCTCGATGGAAGCCCTGATGGTAGGCCTATCTAGCATCTCTTCCACGTGGCTGTCCCAAACAAACTGACTTTGATGCTATAGAGCGCTTTGAAAGAGAATCAAGGGAGAGCGCCCATGAGCTCCGAGGCACGCTAGATAAGCTCAAGGAGCACTAATGAGGTGGGCTTACACCGCGGGCGTGTTGTAATGCTTTGCATGAGCAGACGTCGTCGGTGCTATGTCCTTTCTACCTCTGTAGAAAGGCGGCTGATGTCTAATGCCCGTTCGCTGCCACTAGAGCTACTCACCTTTAGACAGATACTGCCCGATCTCATTCACACAGCTGTCGAACGTATTGGCTGTCCTGGAAGCACCGCTATTGGGCGACTTTGGTATCATTTTCTCGGGTCGTTGACAGGCCGGACACGGAAGTGATGTTAGACTACACATGTCGACTTGTTACACGCGGCCTGGACACCTTCTCGGGAACACAGCAATACGCCCGAACAACGACACTGCCATGAGGGTTATGGGAGAAAGACAACTAGCACAAGAGCGTGCCTTTCGAAAGGACACATTACTTCATACTCTCGTCTGAGCAGTCTGTTTGGGGGGAGAGGAAAGTTGCCTGGCGATGAACCCTGGAGTTTGTCAGTTGAGTCTTGCGGGATAGGGGCCTCGCTGTTCGAATCACACCACCAGTTCCGCTACCATACGTGTGGGAGAGCCCGGTGACTAGGACGACCCATCAGCTCTATGCTACCAGAGTCGAAGTCGGGCCAGTTTCACTAAGTCCGTCATTTGAAGATGAAGCGAAGCCGCCCTGGCTTTCCTTGTCGACATCAGCAACGGCCCTGGCCATTCCGAAGGGCAGTGAAGCTCTTGGAATGACATGACCTACTTCTGGCCGATATTGCAATGGCTGTATAAACAGGCCTTCTTTCTTCATCTACGTCGACGGTGCCAATCAGCGGATCCAAGAATTCCAATATGTTTGTTTATGTAGCCGGAGCTGTCAGCGCACATGTATGCAGCAAAGACACTGCCATCGAACGCCGAAGCCGCATTCTGCCATGTGATAGAAGGCCTAGGTCTATTCTTGCAGGATTTTACTTCCGGTGGCCTTCAATGTAGGGTGCAGTTGGCAGCACGTCCTGAGAACACTGGACAAAGCTCCGTTGGCTGGATAATCACCACCTCGGGCAATCTATGAGGCAGTCACACTCGGCGTCAGCCTCCTCAAGACCATTGTGAACCGCTGAATTTGGGGCGCAAACAGGGGTAGGCACGAGTTTGGCGAAGTCGGAGAAGACCATTGCCAGTGAACAACATCCTAGCGATGACCAGATTCGGGTTCATGGTGACATCTGAACGAGCACGAAGAGATCTAGGTTGAAGACCAGCGACACAAAGAGACGTACATGCGTAGCTACCTGGCCTAGTGTTCATGTTTGCTTGTGCAACTATTCTTGTCTCTTATACGGGAGGTCGACTTCTGTGAGCTTCACGCAGACACGTGAACAGACTCGAAGTCGGGTAATGTCATTCGCGCACGTGGGACGCAGCGAGTGATGCATGTTCATTGTTGTTTTGATGTACGTGAACACTTTGCCAAAGCATCTAGACATGCCTATGTTTGGCAGTGGCTATGGAGCCTAAAATGATGCTATCTTTGAAATTCAGTGAAATGAGTCTTATGTGACAGATGATAATACCCAGGTAGGCGCAAGACTCAACCATTTGTTGCAGATGGTATGCCCAGCCCAAACAATGAGTATGCCACATAATAATTACATATACTATTTAGGCTTTGAATAACAACCGAACAAGCACTAACCACAACCACATGTCATCTACATGAAGAGCTATTACGACTTGCGCAGGGTAGTCAAACTTTGACCGGCAATTGAGCCACAGCCCCACCCAGCCACACCGCTCAAGCCACCTTATCGATATGAATTTTTTCCTCCCTCCAGAACCATCGTCGTTTTAGCTCGCCCGCCAAAACATAAAAACAACGTACCCCCCAACACCATCATGCATTGACTCACCCACACCAAGCGACGACCTCATCCTCAATGATGGCTACGTCGAGAATCTTCATCAAGGGCCTTCCGCCCAGTATCACCGAGGCGGAGTTGCGTAAGCACTTCTCCGCCGGCGGCCGTGAGATCACAGACATCAAGCTGATCCCCCAGCGACGCATCGGCTATGTCGGCTACAAGACGCCAGAGGACGCCTCCAAGGCCGTCAAGTACTTCAACAAGTCGTACGTGCGGATGTCTAAGATTGCTGTCGAGTCGGCGAAACCCGTATGCTACACCTACCCTCTCTCCCTGTGATTCGCGTCGCGTGTTCTAACAGAGGAATGCTAGATCTCAGACCCGTCCCTGAGTAAGAACCAAGGACACGCCCGGTCGGCTGGGCCCTCTGCACCAGGGAAGAGGAAATCGCCCGAAGATGCCACCGACCCGAGTGATTCGGTCTCGAACAAGAAGACCAAGAAGGATGAATCACAGCGCCTGCCTGACGGCAAGCTGCGTGAGTACCTACAGGTCATGGGAACAACCAAGGAGGGAGTCTTCGCGGACCCCGCTGCGGCCGATCCCAACGAGGCTGAGCCAGTACCCAAGCTTGACGTCCCAGAGGGCGAGAGCGACGGCGAGTATGAGCAGATACCCTCACGTCGGGAGAAGCCCAAGCGGGCTGAGCCTGCAGTGAATGGCTCTGCCTCACATGCCCCGGTACCCTCGCACGATCAGAATGCTCAGCCTCCGCAGCTCAGCACAAAAACTGAAAGTCCACCTGTGGAACCAGAGGACTCTCAGGCACAGGCACAGAGCGCGCCTGCAACAGCCCCGCCAGCCACTGACGATGACTGGCTCAGGTCACGGACCAACCGTCTCTTGGATCTTGTTGACCCTGATGAATTGCCACAACCAAAGGCTGAGACAGAACCTTCTCCGCCAATGCAGGAACCAGACAGCGCAGCGGCAGACCCCAAGGTGTCCCCTGAAGAGAGTGTCTCGATCCCGAACATTGACAAGGATGCCATGGACGTTGATCGGCAAGAGCAGGGTGACAGCACGGAGGACACCATACGGCGCACATCGCGCCTGTTTGTGAGAAACCTCCCCTACGGTGCTACTGAAGACGACGTCCGGTCATTCTTTGACGAGTTTGGTGTTATGGAAGAGGTGAGTTCACAAGCATGCTTTTCCTTGCTTTGCACACACGGCTTTTCGTGATGAACCCAGATAGGGACAGCTTATACTACGGTATATGATGCGAACCCTGGCGAATATTTTAGTAGATGCTTCGACTCTCTGAACCCAAGCTATTTGACTTCCATTGTTTCAGTTGGCATTTTTTCTACAGTCAAATAATTTAACAAGATTGATAGGTACATTTGCCCGTGGACAAGGCCGGGACGCCCAAAGGCTTCGCCCTTGTGCAATTTGCCGATGGGTCAGAAGCAGTTGAAGCATTCCAGTCCAAAGATGGATCGACGTTTCAGGGACGCATCATCCACATCATTCCAGGCAGCGCCAAAAGGGAGACAGGCTTGGATGAATTTGAGATTTCCAAGCTGCCCTTGAAGAAGCAGAACCTAATCCGGAAGCGGGCAGAGGCAGCGTCCAACACGTTCAACTGGAACTCCCTGTACATGAACCAAGACGCTGTGAACACGTCGGTGGCGAATCGCCTCGGCGTCAGCAAGTCGGAGCTTCTGGACCCTACATCGGCTGATGCCGCCGTCAAGCAGGCGATTGCAGAGACCACTGTCATCCAGGAGACCAAGGCCTATTTTGCAAGCAATGGCGTGGACCTGAACGCATTTAAATCGCATAAGCGAGGTGACGAAACCATTTTGGTCAAGAACTTTCCCTACGGGACGACGATTGACGAGCTACGAACTCTATTTGAGGAGTCAGGGCCTGTGCTGCGTGTGTTGATGCCGCCCAGCGGGACGATTGCGGTTGTTCAGTTCGCGCAGGCGACTCACGCCAAGGCTGCATTTGGCAAGCTTGCCTATCGCCGCATTAAGGACAGTGTACTGTTTCTGGAGAAGGGTCCAAAGGGCCTGCTCAAGTCGACCAGCCTGCCATCGGGGACGAATGAGTCGGATCGGCCGATTGGCGCCAAGGCCAAGGGGTCCCAAAAGTTAAGCGTAGGCGACCTCTTGACAGGCGGCGAGAAAGCGGAGCAGGCGGACCAACCGGTGGATACCACATCGCTGTTTGTGCGCAACTTGAACTTTGACACGTCGACGAGTGCACTGGCTGAGGCCTTTGAAGGCCTCGACGGGTTTGTCTCGGCGCGCGTCAAGACCAAGACGGATCCCAAGAAGGCAGGGCAGACGCTCAGCATGGGATTCGGGTTTGTGGAGTTCAAGACCAAGGAGCAGGCGGGTGAGGCGATTAAGGCCATGGACGGGCACGTCCTGGATGGGCACACCCTCACAGTCAAGGCGTCACACCGGGGTCTAGACGCCGCTGAGGAGAGACGGCGCAGCGACAAGCAGCGAAGCCAGGCGGGGCAGCGGACCAAGCTCATTGTCAAGAACTTGCCCTTCCAGGCGAGCAAAAAGGACATACGGGCACTATGCGGGACGTACGGCCAGCTACGATCCGTCCGCGTTCCAAAGAAGGCGGATCATACCGCAAGGGGATTTGCTTTTGCCGACTTTGTGACCCCCCGTGAGGCGGAGAACGCACTAGAGGCCCTTCGGGACACCCACCTTCTCGGGCGTAAGCTGGTGCTGGACTTTGCAGAGGCAGAGGCGGCAGACGCCGAGGAGGAGATTGACAAGATGCAGCGCAAGGTCGGTGGCCAGATGAACAAGATGGCCTTGCAGCAGCTCACGGGCAAGGGCCGCACGAGGGTGACCATTGGCGAGAATGAGGAGGACGAGGGGCTCTAGTCGCTCAATATATTGTTGAACAAGAATGAGGTTCATTTCATTCACCCTCTCTGTCTACCATCTTATCGCGTTCCCTTTGCAGTCCCTTTCCCTCTCCCGTCAATTATCGGCAAGGTAGCCTGATGGGTAATACCCGGCAATAGGATTGGATTGACTACGGGCCTTGAATGATGCTTGTCTAGTCGCCTCCCTCGACTCCCTGCCAAAGGGGTGTGTGTGCGCGTGTCCACAGTAATTAGTCCCGACCAGTCCACACAGACTGGATGCTCGCTAGCACGGTTGACAGATCCGTCGATGCCAGTCCCTCTAGACTAGGCTGCCGTTTTACGAAACAGAGTCCTTCTAGTAAGTCGGGAGAATGTTGCTCTAGCTGAAGGTCTACGGCTTCACAGGAACGCTGTCCTGACCATTTCAGGGGCCGCGACGCCTCTGGTGTTGTGTCTCATAGTCATTTCATCCACATACCGACGCGCTCATGATGGCAACATTGTCAGTCAGCGCATCGCCGTCGCATCACCATCTCCTCCATCGGGCCAGATGATGGATGGACGGGATCCATCCGTGCTGGAGGACGGAATCATGTACGTATCGAGTACGTACCTATCTTCAGCGCAACCCAAACCGAAGCTGAGACCCGTGTGCGTCGAAATCCCACCCCGCTGTGACTGGCGTCGACTGCCATTCATTCAGCCGTTGGCGGCGGTTAGAGGAAAGGCGGCGTCCCCAGATCAGACCTTGTCCTGGGTTGCAGCAGCGCAGAGGGAACGACGGGCAGACGACGATCAGATCTCCCTTGCATATGCCCGAGCCAGGATTCGATACTCTTTGCAGGTCAATCTGCCCTCACAATCTCCTATGCCATGTGCCAGCGGGTGTGCATGTCTCAGGCAATTGGCCGGTCAGAGACATACATGCATGCCTGCCTGTCATCCCATCCCATCCCCTCTGACAGGAGGAGGATGAAGAATGCGAGATCGATGTCTTGCCCAGGCGCCATCACCCCCTCCGCCCTGACAAGGCTACATACAGGCGGATAATGCTTCAAGCCCCCAGGGCCATGACAGCTTGTGTTTGGCCCGCGACACGTCCGATATGCTCAGCAGACTTTGCACTAGGACCCTCTTTGCGTCAAGAGGGTGTTCCCAGAACGGGTCGATCGAGGAAGCGTGCTGTCCTCTTGTGGACAAGGCTTGCTAGGCAGCCCCCCTCCCAAGGCTACGAAAGAGGGAAAGCCTCGTCGGGGGCTCCAGTCAGACGCAGAGGTGCTGCCCCAGGCTTGCTCATCCTCCGGTACTGGACCTTTCGGCTGGCTGCCGGCTCACTCAAGTCGGCCTGGGTATGGGTCTGCCCCTTCCAATATGATCCGCAAGCAAACCTTCCTTGAGGAGTGGTGGTCTTGGATCTATCAGCCCATATGCGCTCCATCGTCCTCTTGGGCCAAGAGATGTGTCGAGGGTTCATCCATCCCCTTTCGTTCCAGTCGACGCCTGGACGACAACAAGCTTATACATACTTACTTGTATCCCACCCATTCCTCTGACCTTGAAGATTCCTCACAGCATTTCTTTTCCTTCACACTCTCCCACAGCCATTTCCCATCCGTTTCGAGAAGGAAGCTGAAAGCAGTCCGCAGCGAGTGTCAGGTCTAGGGTCCAGTCCAAGTGACTCTGCCCCCGTCCTGCTTCGCCTTTGCCACCAGACTGGGGCAAGAAGAGAGTTGAGGCATTCACCCACATACGTCCCTCTCACGACCTGGTCATTCCTCACTGCTCTTGGGTTGGGGTGATCGACCATTCTTCGATACACCACCCATCATGTCATCCTCCTCAGCCTACCACCCCAGCAGGCCCGTGCTGTCTGCGCACCACTCAGACTACCACCACCAACACCACCACCACCACCATCACCAGCAGCAGCCTCAGTCTCACCACACACAGTCTCCCCTTGACCACAGGAGGAGCTTCCATGGCATCATCGACAGCAACCGCCTGCCTCTCCGGGACACCACCGGCAATGGCCAGTCCTCACACCACAGCAGTGTCGTGAACTGCTACCCACCTAATGGCATCCTCTCACCGTCGTCGATGCCGGCCTCCACCTCACATAATGCCCTGACTCTGCCGCCGCCGCCCCAGGCCCAGCATGCGCCGTCATCGATCCTACCCTCACAATCCTTCGACTCCTTGCAACGGATACAGCGGCAGCCACCTCCCCCCTTGCAACGGTTTGGCCAGGTCCAGCCAAGGGGGAAGTCGAGGGCCAGCATCAACCCTCTCTACTTCTGGCAAGCGTTCAAGCAGTACCGCAACCGACAAGCACACAAGGATGTGCAAAAGGACAAGGGTGGTGTGTGGCGACGGACAGAGTTGGAGGATGCCTTTGTCGACTGTAAGTCTTTCCGTGTATCCTCATGCGCCTTGGACTAACCAAGCATAGCTGTGCTGTTGATGCCACACATGGGACGACGCAAGTTCTCCATGGGCGGCAAGCTCCACGGGCGCAACATGCTCATCAGCGAGTACATCTTTGTCATTTGCGTGCAGCTGCTCGGCAGCAAGGAGATCTTCCGCATCGACAACTCCAACGACAGCATCGAGCAGATGGGCCGCAAGCAGGTCTCCTCGCACATGCAGGTCGTCAAGAAATTCTTTGACGACCTGCGATGCTTTCACTTCCTGTTCCCTGCCGAGGACAAGAAGGAACCCGGCACGACCAACTCGGATGATTACTATGATGACGAGGAGCAGGAGAGCTTCAAGGCGAACCCGGTCTTGACGGCGCTTGCCGAGGGCCGTGTACCCGATGTCAAGCCCAACTATGAGTACTTTTCCCAGTTGCTTGCTCTGCAGTCGAGCATCACGATCCGACCCAAGGCGGTGGAGATCTTTGTGTCGTCGCCCGACGTCAAGATCAAGGACGACGTTGCTTATGATGTCAACGATGAGCCCCTGAGCACAGAGTCCTTCCCCCACCTGGCAAAGCACCTGAACTCTGATGAAAGGTCGAATGTGCTCGGGAAGGATGTCCTCCTGCACGAGTACACCCGGTCCATTGACAGCACCACGTCAGCCTGCGTTAAGACTGTGACGCGCCGGTGGCAGAAAGATGCCCCCGCGCTATATGAGACTCTTGACTTGCCCACCAGGGATGAGGACTGTCTCTTGGTAGAGATGTGCTCGACTGTCGATCTCCACAAGGAAGCCAAGTTTCCCTCTGGCTCGGAGCTGACAGGGTTCGTCGAGGTCAGCGTGACCCTGCCTCACCTGCAGCATCACCGCTGGAAGTGTGTCACCAAGTTGACACGCCCCGCTGAGCTGGATCCGGATGACACCAAGCCGGAAGTCTACGTCAATGAATCGGGCATCCACCACCCTGGCTGCAACGACTCTAAGCCCAACTGCGACTGCCATCATCGCCCACGCGCCAACATTCACGTTCCCTTCCCGGCTGTTGAGTGGGCTTCTCTACTGAGCACTGCCGTGCAGTATCCCGATGTGGAGCATGAGCGCAAGAAGGCCGAGCGCTCCAAGTCGTCTGGCGCGGAACGATCCTCCAGCAAGCGCAAGCGCGGCTCAGAGGACGAGGGTGATGCTGCCGAGTGGGCTCGTCGTGAGTACACCGGCAGCGATCTCATGTGCAAGGTGGCCATGTACCAAGAGCTGTGGTCTTGTGCCGATGACCAGAACGGCAAGTGGACACGCCAGGCCATCATCTTTTGGCGCTTCAGCACCACGAACCAGTGGTACAAGTACAACCCCGTCTTCCGCCCTGCTGGCACGGTCTGGCGTTGGTTGACTGTCAACGACCCCATGAGCAAGTACCACCAGTCCAAGGCCCTCATCTACCCCAACGCCACAGCGCAGAGGGATGCGGTGATGAGCCCAACACCGAGCGTAAGCCAGCACATTACGGCCGCCATGAACGAGACATTTTCGTCTGCTTGGGACGGCAGTGCGCTCTCTGCCGTACCGGGGAGCAACAGCATGGGCAACATGTTTGATGGTTTCTCTAGTGGCCTCGCCACGCCTCCCCCGAGTGCGAGCTTGCACGGCTCCTACTCGGCCAGCGGTAGCTTCGACGCGACCAACGGTTTCCTGCCATCGTCCACCTGCGCATCGGAGCCGCAGAGCCTGGTCGCGAGCCACACGGCGCCACAGACGCAGTACTTTGACAGCGTCGGCACATCATACATCCCCGGCCCTCCACCACAGCTGGACCTCAACTCACAACTGCCCTACGACGCTGGGGCGCACCACCAACAGCCGTCCAGCGCTGGTGGACTGCAGGGCTGGGACATGGGCTCCTTGGAGGGCTGGTCTGCGCCCCCTACCGCGCCGCCTAGCGTGACACCGACCGGATCAGACTGGTCGGCCCCTGGCAAGGAGTGGTCCGCTGCGCCAGGGAAGATGGACGCGCCGCCGAGTATATGGAACAACGTGCAGTGGAGGGAGGACACGAGTCTGCGCCCTGTGAAGCGACGCAGGGGCGACGGACTGGATGGGATTCCCGTGACGGCGGGGTGGTGATTGGGCTTTTGATGAATCTGTCTCATTTGGCGCAAAGGGGGGGACTCATCCAGGGAAGAACACAAGGACAGCATAGTTTATCGGCGTTGGGGGATTTGATTTGGATGGCGGGGGCGCATGTTTGATGATTACGATGTATAGATATAAGACCACATGTTCAGCTTTCAGGGTTTGCGTACCGAATGCGCCTTTGTGATGATGTGGCCTTTTGCCTTGTTCGCGCCCGACTGGACGCGACTGAACGCGACCCCATCTAGTACGTATGCATGTCTTGGAACGTAGCCTCGTGAACCAAGACATGCAGCGTACCTGATCGACGGGCTGTTGAACGACGCGACGGGTTCCTGAATGTTGAAGACATACTTAAGAGAGGGAATATGATCAATCGATTGGACTGCCTTCAATGGTGAGCCGAGGCTGCGACGAAGGTTGGTGGCACGAGCTGGTAGGACGACGAGCAAACGTGTCGGCGACAAGGACAGACCCTTGGCGGGAATTCAATGGATTTACTGAGATAAGAACTGCCCATTATCCTTTCCAAAGGTGGTGTCAATATCGAGCACTATAAGGTCTTTTGCATAGTGCATGTAAATTAGTGAGCGAGGTGCCTTTGTCAAGTGAAGGTCGAAGAAGGTCACGTGAAACACCCTAATCCGTCGTCAAGGCCAGCAGGCCGGATAGTGGGCGAGATTGGGCGCTTCCTCAAACCACATGCACAATGCGGATAATTACGACGGAGAGTCGGCATCTGACGTGTGTGCGCATGGATGTATGCCTGCATACGGAGTACATGCAGACATACTACATAAAGGGCTCAATTCAGAATGCGCCAAGGAGTAAAGGAGCGTAGCAGAGGGCAGCTATGGCGGTGGTATACAAAGCCATCCACAGCGGCATCAAAGAATAGTTAGAAAAAGCCATTGAGCAAGATGTCATAGTTATAAGTAGTATTATGTGCCATCCCTGACCATGAAAGGCGGTTATGGGCGCTTCTCAGCCACTCGCTGCATCCCTGCACGCCACTCCTGGAACGATGGGGCCAGCCAGAAGTACCACCCACCCAAATCTGCGTCCGAGTGACTTGACCCTGCGCGGCTAGCGAGTTCGTTTCAACGACATCCTGTGGTCTCTGACTCTCGTCCGTCCCGGCAAACGCCCACTCGAAACGACAAGCTCGTTCTCAACGCGCCCCGTGTGCGACGACCTACATTGGTCGTCAGGCGTCTGCTTTTGCATCGGGCTGCCGTGGATGGCAAGGTCGCCATGGCACTGATAGGCTGCCGACCGCCCGGCCACGAGGCCAACGTCCCGACCGGGAGGCAGGCTGGGCAGCGCCAGGACCAGGTTTGGCCGTGATAGGCGGCTCTTCTTATATGATTCAACATGTTTCCCGCGTGCTCTTTTCTCGAATCTATGAATCAAGCGTGATCTGCATTCTTTGACTGACGCACCCATTCACCTGTCACTCACGCATCGAGGAACACAGGCAAACAACAACTGCTTATCACTCACCACTCTCACTCACCACTCTCACTCACCAGACTCTTGCGGCACACGACACCCACGATGAGCAACAACTGAGAGTCATGTTCGACGTACGACCAGCGCCATTTCCTTTCGTGTTCTTTTTTCGACAGATACCGTTATAACCTCAAATTACGAATCAAAAGCAGGCCCGAACGAACAAACAAACAAATACACACAGTCACGGAGTTCTCCTTGGACGTTAAAGCATCGCGTGTTGGGTGGCTGTTCGACTATTCTTCGACGACGAACGCCCAGGTAAAACCCAACTCCTGCGAACACTTCCAGTCAGACGAGCGTCTTCTTGTTCTCGGGCACCCTCGCGCCGCTGGCTCTGGCTGCTGAGCCTTCCGCCCTGACCAGAACACGTTCATCTTGCCTGTTCACACTCTTGACTGTGAGTTCACCTCTCCGCAAATCACTCATCATCTGTTCTTCTTTGTATCCCATCAGGCGCCCAAGTCCCCCGACTGACCATTTAAATAGCGCTCTACCCTTCTACGACTCACTGTGTTTTCTCCTCTGATTTACTTCAGCACAACCAGTGGCGAGTGATCGTTCAAGCACAATCAAAAACAACGAACAACATTAGCAGAATTTAGGAAGGCTGGTTTTTCTAACACCTTCTCTCTCTTCTCTTCTCAAATTTCTCTTCTTTCATTCCTTCTCTCCTTCACAGCGCATTACCGCAGGAACAACAACCAGCAGCTACTTTTGAAACCCTTCTCCTGGCGAGAAGCTCTAAGCAGCAACACAAACAACAACACTCCTTGACAGAAAAAAGAAACGTCATTACTATGAAGTTCACAAACAACCTGGACCGAGCCGGCCTCGGTCTGCTCCTCTGCGCGCTCCCCGCCACCGTCGACGCGCACTCGTGGGTCGAGAAGATCTTCCGCATCAACCCTGACACCCGCCAGTTCCTCGGCTCCCCTGCCTACGCTCGTGGCGGTGATTTCCGAGCCCTCGTGCCGGAGGGCATGACGGACGACAAATGGATCTACCGCCTGCCGCCCGACGGTGGCTGGACCGGCGACGAGAACATCAACAAGCAGCCCCTGTCTGCAGCCATTGCGGACATGGAGCTCGACGCCAGCCCCGGCGACTGGATCGCCATTCAACATCTGGAGAACGGCCATGTCACCACGAAAGCACCCGGTCGCCCCCTCAACAGCGGCACCCTCTTCCTCTACGGCACGACCGAGCCCACGGACAATGACAAGATTGCCGACATCCACCTCAAGTGGAACGCGGACGGCACCGGCGGCAACAAGAAGGGCAAGCTCCTGGCCACGCGCAACTTTGACGACCTGCAGTGCTACGAGGGTCGTCCCCCCGGCACTGACGATGCGTTTGCCCGCACCCGCGCCAGTGCTATCGGCACCGACCCGGCGGACAGCCTCCCCTGCCAGGCGGACATTCAGCTGCCCACCGACCTGGAGCCCAACTCGCGCTACACCATCTACTGGCTCTGGGACTGGCCCATCCTCGACGAGACCAAGATCGACATGAACGCCACCGCCGAGGGCAAGTTCCCCTGGTCCGGCAGCTGGGTGCGCGGCGACAAGGACATTGGCTTCGACTCGGACGTCATCCTCAACGGCGAGAGCTACACCAGCACCATTGACATCAACATCGTCCCCAGCATGGGCAACGCGAGCATCAGCGCCAACCAGGCTGCGGCCAACACCCTCTTCCAGGGCAAGGCGGAGCCGTACTCCGAGGCTATCAAGGAGCAGCTCAGCACGGACTATGGTGTGTCTTTCCCCCAGCCTGCGGCGGGCGACGGCGAAGCTCCTGTCGAGTCTTCTCCTGGCGTCCCGGCTGCCTCTGAGACCTCAACCACGCCGGAGGAGTCTGTCGCTCCTCAGCCAGAGGACCCCGTCGCCAGCTGCACCGGTGCCCCCATGATGACGCCTGACCCCGTCACTGTCACAGTCACCGTTACTGATACGCCCGCTGCGCCCTGCACTTCAGCAATGTCGACATCGACTGTCACCGAGGTCGTCACCCAGACCACCACGGTGACGCCCTCGCCCTCGTCCAAGTCCACCAGCACGTCCACCGTCATCGTCGAGGAGACGCAGTACGTCACCGTGGCGGCTCCCGAGGAGACACCCGTAGTGGTCAACAACGCTGCTATGCCCGCGTCCACCACCCGCCGCGGTTTCGTCCTGCCGGGCTTCATCGGCCAGGAGCTGCCGTCGTCCGAGTCTACCACGACGACGGCTACTGTCGCATCGATTGTACCGACAGCTCTGCGCAATCGCGTCAAGCTGCCGTTTGTCGCCTAGACGCAGACGGGACGGCTCGTACATGGGTACTATACTAACGCTGGATTTGCGGCGCATATACAAGGCACCCGGGGGGGGGGGGGGGGGGGCTCAATGCATGGATAACGACAGGTCATAAAGCATATCGGCGGCGTTTGGGTGGTACATGGAATGGATGGCTGGCTGGTAAGCCACGGGATGGTGACAGATAGGCATGGTGCCCGGTTTAACATTTTCAATGGACAACTTTTTTGACTTTTCACTTCTCATCGGAAGACAATAAATCGCTTCTTTTGCTCCCAAGGTATGTAAATGTGTAATTAGACTGTGATGCCCTCTGTGAACAGGCCCTACATCTCTCCGCACTGCGAGATGACCACGTCCATGTTGGGCACGTCCTTGCCGCGGTAGCCCGTCTTGGTCGCCTCCATCTTCTTGACGACGTCGACGCCGTCCGCGACCTTGCCAAAGACGACGTGCTTGCCGTCGAGGAAGGGGGTGGGCACGGTGGTGATGAAGAACTGGCTGCCGTTGGAGTTGGGGCCGGCGTTCTGCGTCATGTTAGCCTGTCCGTGTCACTGACCTGGAAAGGAACGTAGACACCACGTACCGCCATGGAGAGGAGAAAGGGCTGGTCGTGCTTGAGGGTAAAGTTCTCGTCCTCAAAGGACTTGAAGCCCCAGATGCAGGTCGAGCCGGTGCCGTCGCCGTGGAGAAAGTCGCCACCTTGGCACATGAAGTTGGGAATCCGCGGCGCGTCAGTCGATTCTTTTTCAGGGAAGAATATAGGGACTCACTATGCGGTGGAACTTGGAGCCCTTGTAGCCCTGCGGTCGACCGGCGCCATTCTTGCTCTCGCCCGTGCAGAACTGGCGGAAGTTCTCGGCGGTCTTGGGGACGACGTCGGCAAAGAGCTCAAAGGTGATGCGGCCCAGGGGCTCGCCTGGCGGAGTCAGCTGTACGTTCGGGGGACGTGAAGAAGCAAGGGAGGTGAAGTACCGCCAAGGGTGATGTCGAAGAAGACGCTGGTTGTGTGTTAGCTGTGAGATGCAGGCGAGATGAGCGATGAGCTGGGAGGCGGACGTACAGCGGATTCCCCGACTCGGGGAGCTTGGTGGGCGGCATGGATGTCGGTCACTGGTGATCTAGCGCGTGGGCAAAATGAACAGAGCGTGGATTGGGCTCGATTGAGATGGTTGTGATGAGCGATCGTTGTTGGGGTGAGTTGAGGTGAAGGCTCAAAGATCACGGCATGGTTGTTGGTGGGGCGCCTGTGACAAGTGTTCACGAGCTCACGGTGGACCATGTATTAGACCGCCATCGCAAAAGGACAAAGACTTTGTTTCTATAGGGTCTAAATAAAAGAAAGCTTTGTATACGCCACGCTCATATATATAATCAAAAAGACGTTCTAAGCGACGCCTGGATCATTCAGTATGTCTTGTGGGGCTCAGCAGGACTGGCTCATGGGTGTTCTTCATCTTCCATGATGGAACCGAACAAAGGACCAGAGATACTTTTATAAAATCAACATCTCAAGCTCCTCCGTGCCCAGTACCCTCCGAGACTGCTGCTCAGGAGCCCTGGTCAACTTCACCCATCCAGTACCAAACATCGAACCTTGCGTTGCTCCCCGTAAACGGCTCTGTGCCAAATTGCAAGGCTATATCGTCAGTAATCGCCGCCCATCGCTGCTTCTGACTTACTTGTGAGATGCTGCTCATGGGCTGGAAACCCATGCTTCTCCGTGATGTGCCCAAAAAATGGTCGCAGATCCCCCTCAAAGACCTTGACGTGCTCGCCCGCCAGGAAGCTAAAGACCTTCATGTCGCCATTCATACCCACGTACAGCTCCCACGACCGACCGTTGATCGTGACATGACCCGTCGAGGATCCAATCGGGTACATGCCCCCGTAGTTGCCCAGCCAGATCATGAGCTCGTAGTCGCCGCCGCTCGTGTCCCTGTCCCTATCCTTGGCCGTGAACAGGTCGTACGCCACATTCGCCCGGATGCTGTCCCCGCGATAGTCCCATTCGGCCTTTGTCCAAATGCTCCCAATGTCTTTGATCAGCTTCTTCTTCTTCCCGCCATTCGCCAATTCACGCCCCGAATAAGGGTACGACTTGACGTTGTTGGGCGCCCCGTCCCAGGACCACTCCGTGTGCCATGCGCTACCGTTGGTCGAGGCATTGTTCACGTACAGCACCTGCGAGCCTGACGAGGCGCTGTCTTTTCCCCATAGGTTGTTGTTGAAGTAGTAGCCGTCTGCGCCATAGTAGGCAAACTGCTCGCGAAGAGGCTCAGGCGCCATTGTCAGATTGGTACAAGGGAGGGTGTGGTTATTGTGCTCGGGCGGGCTGTGATGGTAGGACGCGGGCAGGCTATGGTTGAAGAAGGACAAGTTGCCCGGGATGGGGCCATGCATCATCGTCATTGAGGCTGGCTGGCCGCTGGCGCGTGTGGGTATACCGTATCGCAGTGGGCGGTTCTTAGCGTTGCGAGGTGCAGCAGCAGCGGCGTCGTGGTCACGAGTCTCACGACTTGACTTCTGTCATTTGGATGGAGGATCAGTGAAATACGCATTGTTTTGCTTTGCTGGGGCGAGCGACGCAAAGTCCATGCTTGTGGGCTTTTTCATGAAACTCTGTCTTGGACTCTTGGGCCATGGTGGCCTCTTGGGCTTGGGCAACCCAGGTCAACAAGTCATTCGCGGTCTGTGAGCAACCAGACTCGCGTCGCCTCTTGGAATGTTTCGCGACCGCGTCAAGACGAGCTTCGAGAAGCCTCATGATGAGACAGGAGGGTCCGGTCGATCAGTGGCGGCCAAATGCCGGGCTGGGTGCGATGATGCCCAGCTTCAAACATTTCAGCGGTTGGCATGTGCTCTTGCGAGTTGCCTGTTCCTCGAATGCCAGGGCCCGCGACATTGCCACGTTCATGCTGGCCCCCTCCGGCAGGCTGTGTGCTCAGGTGCCTGGATCTCGGTTGTTGTAGACGCGGGAATTGAGCTCGAAGGCGTCGTGGTGACGATGGCTTGGTCGTCAGGGCTCGTCATTCAGGAACGGTCTCGTCGGCTTTTCTACATCGAAGGATGACCTGTCATCGGCGTAAGCATGGCCTTACACGTATTCGAGCGATGAGATGACGATGACCATGATGATTATAAAGATGGGGAAGGCAAAAAATAAGCGATCCGAGTACCGGTATGCCAAGCTAGATCCGCCAGGAGTTGTAACAAGTATGTGCCAGAGATGATGAATGCCTTAGTGTTTCATGCAGTTTCTACATAACCCGTTACAATGCTCTTCATCACACTTTGTCGAGCGCTTACACCTGGATGGAGTCGAAATTGTGCAACACATTCATGCCCTAATCACTAATACTGTACGATGAAGAAATGGTGCGAAGATCACTCCAAAGTCGATGCATCATCATCACGGATCCGGGGCGGGACCGGAGCGCTGCGAGTGGAGTGCAAGTAAGGTACGTACCTCTGTAGCAGTGCGACGCCTGCACTGTGCAGGTCTCCACCCCCACCCTCCATTGGATCATCGGAGTCCAGTGAGTCCAGTCCAGTCCGTCCTCCTCATCAGCCCGCTCATTCTCACTCGCTGCGCCCACTCACACCCACGCCGATGGGACCGTCTAGCAAAAGTGTCGAGAGGGGCACGTTGAGCAACAAGCTTTCCGAAAAGGTGTCGACACGCGTCCAACTAGTTAAGTTATCCATCACATCCGTGAGGCTGATGGCTGGCACTCTCCCGCAAGTGCAAGATTCGAGACTGGTCTTCACCCGCGGGCATGTTCATTCCGAGACCCGAGACAAGGCCAGTTCCGGTCTGCATAAAGTCAAACGCTTCAGGATCCGAGCTGTCACTGCCGCTGTGTTTGTGGCGGCGGCAATCTCAGGGTTCCAGATGTGAGACGTGAGACGTGAGACATGACGGACGGAATAGCGTCCGCTATCGTACGCCTGTGCCATTCTACCGTACGTACTTGTAGACTGGAGTGGGCGGGATGGGCGGCCGCGCCGTTTTAGAGGCTGCTCACGAGGAATGCGGCCAAGCGAGTGGACTGAGCGGAGCTGAGCAGAGCAGAGCAGTCAGGGCACGAAAGTAAAGTCTAATTATTATGCCTCGTTTTGGATTCGCAAGAAGACATGGACCCTGTTGCTGAACCATGCGCATCCAGGGTCCCTTTGTCTGCTTCAAGTTCGCGGCTCGCCATGCACTCCGCATCGCGCCCGGCGTCGTTGGGGCAGAATTGTTGGTTGCAGTCTTGAAGATTCTTGGGCGTCCTCTGTGGAGGCCGTCCGCTGAGCCCGCTGAGCGGCTTCCCCATTGAGCGCGCGACAAGACAGCCACCTCCAAGCCTCCAGTCTTCCACGGGGGGAAAGCCGGGGAGAACGTGAGCTTGAAGCGAGCCACTACGAGCGGGCCATTTGTAAAGTTCGTGCTACTCGTGGCTAGGTAGCCTCCGTTGCCGGAAGTGGCGTCGTTGTGGCATGGGCGCCCATGATTTCAAATCGCCTTTCCAATCCTCCATGAGATAGTTACAAAGTCGTGCCCGTCATATAGTACGCAGATGGCAACGGCTGAACGCACTGCCGGATCACTGGATCAAGCGATCGTGCAGCATCGCCGTTTGCTCCCATTGTGCACAAATGAGGCTTCATCACACAGCCTCACCATCAGCCATCAGCCACCGCCAAATACCCGGCTGATTCCACATCATATACGAGTGATCAACCAGCATGAAAAGTACCTTATAATTATACAACGCTCTCCCAGAACGTTTCATTAATTATTCACTCGCGCGTATTCGGTGGCCAAAGTTCATTTCGTAGCCATTCACAGCGCAGCATCTTGGACAGACCGGACTAGACAAAGGTCTGGTCTTCACAGTGCGAGGCCTCCGCGGTTAAACATCTCCCCCCCCCTGCAAGCGCATCGTGCTGTGCTGGAACTCTGGAACATCCTGCACTGATCAGCGACAGAGGTGCTGGCAGCGCCGGGCGTCTGATTCAGCGCCATCCACCAGTGACCACCACTGCTGGGCCTGTCCGGAGGCCCTTCGTCCCGCTCAGGGTGGTCCAGTCTGCCTCTGCAACCAGCCAAGGAAAGGCCACTCCAGTCAATCCCGTCCGCCATCCAGCCTTTCTCCGCGTCGCTGCATCTGCATCTGCACTCCGCCTTCCCATCTTCCCAGCCTTCCTTCCAGTCTCCCCTTGCCATCTCCCATCGCTCTCGACACGCGCGGTCCTTTCGGTAGGCACTGCAGTCAGTATCCGTGGTCTCGCACGGAGAATCTACTCGACGACAATTGAATTCCCTCATCCAACGGTCTGCCGCCGCACGAGTTGAGGCGAATCCCACCCCTGGACCACATCACCACCGCAGTATCCGTACATCCGACCCAGTGGAGGCATCATTCGACCACGCAAACGGGAATCAACGTCCATCTCCAACCCAAATCTAGTACTCGACCTGGATGTGGCTGCCATAGCCATCGCCATTGCCTCGCCTGACCGCCCCGTCAGCATGCCTGCCGTCCAGGACTATGTGGGCGACGCCATCTGGCTCGTCGCTCGCGCTACCGCCGATGCCGCAACATCATCGACGACCCAATTGACTGGTGAGACTGGTCAACCTCAGGACGACGATCGCGGCAATCGCGATAAAAACTCGAGTTCGCCGCTCTTATTCTTCGTCGCACTGGGATTTGGCGTCGTATTCACCAACCTCTGGTAAGACACTCGGTGCCTGGCCGTTGGGCTGGGACGATGCTCAGCAGCGTACGGCTCCACGAATCCATCTTTTAACATTACATGTAGGATCATTGTTGGTGTGAAATACTGCTTTCGTTACAACGCCAGGAACCGGGCCATCCGCAACGGCGAAGACCCCGATCAGATCAACATGGAGAACATGCCTAACAGGCCGCATCGCAGGCGCCGCGAAAAGAAGCTTATGACGATTGACGAGGTCAATGAGAAGTTCCCGCTCACCAAGTACAAGGCATGGGTATCAGAGCGCGCGAGGGAAGGCCTGCCCACCGCTGGCGGTGTTGATGTTTCTGCGTCGCGAGCCAACAGCCTGCGCGACGCCGAGGGCATCCTACCAGCCATGTCAGATGATCGCACCTCGTTTGATCGCCATTCACAGACCAACGCCACCACGAATGCCGACACCACGGCCCCGGACCAGTTGCACACGGCCAATGATGACGAGAACGAGAAGCGGGACGCGACCGGAGCCGCAACGGAACCTGCCCCCGGAGAGACCTCTCGACGATCCGAGGCCGACAACAACCGACCCGAACTTCAGCGTATTACTAGCACGGGCGATGATGATGATGAAGACGACCACATTGACGCCGCTCTACCGCCCGAGGCACTGCAGGTCCCGGGCGACTCGTGCGCCATTTGCATCGAGCCACTGGAAGACGACGAGGATATTCGAGGCCTGACCTGCGGGCACGCATTCCACGCCGGGTGTGTCGACCCCTGGTTGACTAGTAGACGTGCGTGCTGCCCGCTGTGCAAGGCCGATTACTACACTCCCAAGCCACGACCCGCCAATGCTCCGAACGAGAACGCTAACGGCGCCCTGAACTTTGACGCCAGGCACAACTCTCGTCTAAACTTGCCTTCGAGGCTACGCAACGTGTTTGGCGCTCGTAACAACACTCCTGCGGATGCTACCGCGGCGACGGCTGGTCAGGAGGGTTCTCAGCAAGGCAGCCAGCAAGGCACCTTGTCTAGACTGGCGGGACGACGTCAACGCAGGAGGCGGGAGAATGCGTCGACTGATGCGGCACCTGAGGCACAGGCCGATGCTGCGACAGGAGCGGCCATGACAAATGCTGGCAACTCGCAAACACCAGAGGTCGTGGAGACCAGGAATGCAGGACTCTTGTCAGGCATGCGGTCAGCTCTGCGACGTGGGCAGCGACGAGACCATCAGGCCAGTGGACAGTCCGCGGGCACATCGGAGGAGTCCGCAGCCAACGTCACGCCGTCCCAGCTCGAGTCGGGGATACGCCCGAACAACCCATCGACATGATTCACGGGGCGCACTTTTGATATTTTCAGCAAGAATCCTTACATTGTTTATACACGCTCTCTTTCGCGGCACACAATTGTGACGCGTATACCTATCTATGAATGGGCAGGCTTGCCTCCTACGCACATCTGGTGCGACCTTTACCAGGAACCCTCATCCTTAGCTCTATTACACAACGACCGGCGCTTAGATTATGCGGTGCCTCTAGCTTGGGATTGAAACGTCTGTAACAATGCATTTTAAGGTGCGAGGGTTGATTCTGGGGCAAGCATGGCTTTTGTGTATGCGGAGCGTTGGAGTTGTCGGTTCAATAGCATTATGGATTCAATCGAGTATACATATTCACTCGGCAAAATCGCTATCGCTGGTGAACAAAATCTAGCTACCTATGGCTTAGTATTGTGTGACTCTTACACATTATAACGCTTATGGGCTGTATTTCTTACTCGATATTGGCACTACCGTTGACAAGGATATTGGCTGCTAAGACAGACCAGCGCTTGCGACTTTGTCGAGAGGATACGGTATTCACCACACTCGTGCTCTTTGTCTTTGATCTGGTACTTATCTACAGAAATGAACCTTTCGAGAAGCGGCCCCCAAAGTTGGCGCTCTTGCTGAGCAGCTCCTTTCTCTGCGTCGATCCTAACCGCCCGCCGAGGGCCATGTCCTTTTCCCGGTCGAAGCCTCGTTTACTCGGGTCGTCGTCGTCCTCATCGGCCTTGCCACTGTCCTTGCGCTGCTTTGTGTGTTCTTCCACAAGACTCCTCCCGCGACTCCCCTCGATATTCGCCGCGATTCGCCGGTTCCGCTCCTCCTGCTCCTTCTTCCGGACATTGGCGTCACCACCCGTGCCTCCCTCCTGCTGCGCCGCGCCCGAGGAGCGACCCAGGACCGCGTCCTGCAACCGTGCGAGTTTCTGCTCCGGCGTCTCTGTCCACATGGAGTTGACCTCGCCGTTACCGCCGCCGCTCTTGGCCCCGGCCGACTTGCCGGATGTGAATTTGCGGGCGCGGATCTTGGTGGTGTCGCGCTCGGTGAAGGGGCCGCCCGAGGGGGGAGGGGCGAGCATCCAGTCGTCGCGCTGGGGGGCTGCTTCTTCGTCGGTGGAAGGGGCCGGGGGCATGGAGGGGCCTATTATGGGAGCGCCCGAGGCGGAGGGAAGGGCGGGGCCATAGTCGTCTTCCGAGTCGGAGTCGGAGGAGTCGTCTTGGGTGGGAGGTTGTGCTGTTGGGGAGGTGGATGCGGGAGGTAGCGTAGGTCCTATTGAGGGTGCTGCTTCTGGCGCTGGTGCCGGCGGCGCAGGGCCGTAGTCATCATCTGAGCCATCTTCGAGGTCGATCTCGTCGGTGTTTGGGTTTGCGACAGGGCCAGTGGTGCGTTGGGCCTTGGAGGATGGAGAGCTGTCGTCGGGATCGGGCGTGTGTTTGCGCTTCTGCGGTGAAGGTGGGAGTTGGGGGCCAATTGATGACATCTTGCGAAGAGTTTGGGTGTGGCTTTTCGTGTCTCTTGCAAGGCCTCTTGTGCTGTGTCGTCAAAGTCGATGTGTGATGGAGATCAGGGGGACGCGACATGTAAAGTACGGACTTGGCGACGTCACTTTCGAGGTGGGCTGGGATCCACCACTCTAGGGGTCACGGTTAGTGAAGGGCGTCTGTGACGATCAAGACGCTCCAGAACAGATATGGCAGCAGCTTTCGAATCAGACACTTTTTCAATTATAAATTCGCATTATTCATTTGTTACTCTCATGACCCTGTCATCTGGCACGTCTCTTGTTATGACAGAGTTGTAAAGCCCGGCTAATATCCGGCCACGTCATCGCCTACGCAGCACTGCATGCCACCCACGTTAGAGCTCCACGTCTAGGCAGCGGATCTGCAGTGTGCACCGCCAGCTTACTACAGCTCCAGTCCAGCCTCGCACGAAGCCGACAGTAACCCGACATCACCTTGTGCGACGCATCTCTCGCCAGTCTTGGGCGATTGCCTAACAACCGGATAAAAAGCTAGACACGGCTCGCTTCCCTTGACCTGGCTCGCATCCCGCCAGGCATGACCTCGATACGATAAGAGCTCCAGAGGAGTGAGTGATGGGAAGCCATCCGCCAGCATGGCCGAACCCGAAGATACACCACAGGTCAATGACCCTCGCGCCGAGTCGAGCAGCGACAGCGAGTCCCTACACGGCGCCCCTGATCACGACGATGTCCCGCAATTGGAGTCGCACGCAGAGCCTGCGCCGCGCGAGCTCACAGACGTGGCTGTGAGGACGAAATCACAAGCCGGCGCACCTGAGGAGGGATCGGAAATGGGCTCCATTGATATGGGATCTGTCGAGGGCCTGCCGAGGAGAGTGGATAGTCCCATTGACTCTGTGCTGTCAGGGCCCGACGAGACACCATCCGTACAGGTACGCACACCCATCGTCCCATGGAAATACTCAAAGTGTCTAAACATCACAGGGCTCCGTCGTATCCTCCCTCGGGAGCAGCGTATTGCCGTCAGTCGCCTCGCGCCCTGGCCTCGGCAGTCCGACCCCTTCTTTCCGGCCCTTCGACCGACGCTTCAAATCGCGAATATCTTCCTCGGGAACATTGAGCCCTCGAGCCCAGTCGCCCGCCTTCCTCAGCCCACATAGCCGCCATGCTTCTCTCAGCTCCAACTTTGTACTCGACCAGTCGGAAACAGAGACGTCGTCACCGCCATGGGAGGTTGTCAGGTGGACGCGCCTAAAGAAGCTCAACGGGCAGGCCTTTTCCGAAGCTGGCAAACGAAACTTTGGCTCCCCAACTTGTCTGGCGGTCTCGGCGTCTATAGTGCTTGGGACATCAAAAGGGATCATCCTAATATTCGACTATAATCAGAACCTCAAGATGATTCTCGGGCCAGGGACAAAGGCAGTTGAGTCAGGGTCCATTACGTCGGTGGCCATCTCAGCAGATCATACGACGGTGGCGGGTGGACACGCGAATGGCAACATATTTACGTGGGATACGAGCCGCGCATCGAGACCTTTCTTGACCATCCCGCACCTGGACGAGTCACAGGCAGAGCAACGGACCGCAGATGGGCATGTCCCCAACGCAGCGGTGACGCACTTGGGCTTCCTGGGCACGAGGCACACGGCACTGGTGTCCGCGGACGAAAAGGGCATGGCATTCTCACACCTGGCGACGCGCGGGACCGGATCTTTAGGGCGCACCGTGAAGACAACCAGGATCCTGGGGCGCTACCCGAACGCGCCTATAGCGGCCGGCAAGTCTCTCAAACCAAGCACTGTGCTGGCGTTTTCGCCTCTGCCTCTCGGTAACGTCGAGCGCGCCACAGACACAATGGGGTTGACGGCGATGCTTACGCCCTACCTACTCGTCATCGTTTCGACTACGCCGGTGGCGCAAACGCAGCACAAGTCAGCGCGCCCCAAGGACATACAAGCGCATAGTCCAATGACCGGCTGCCTGGCTTGGTTCCCGGCCGTGAAGCTCAAGGTGCCCGATGCCCACACGGGCAGCGACGTGTCCCTGGTGAAGCTCGCCTACTGCTGGTCCAACGTGCTCACGGTACTCGACGTAGATGAGATTCCAGGCGAGGACAAGGACCAACCGTCGACATTGCGATTTAAAGCACGAAGCCGGTGGAAGTGCGAGGAGGCGATTGCCGCGGTGCAATGGCTTAGCCGCTCCGTCATTGTCGTCTTGACGCTTTCGCAGCGGCTGATTGTGCTGGAGGACCGCAGTATGCGGCAGACGGAAGCCTTCGACCTGATCCAGAAGCATGTTTACCATGTGGATCTGTTCTCACGCCAACTGCACGCCCTGGTCGAGCAACTGGACGAGGAGGATCCCACCATGCACGGCGTGGTGGGGGACGCCTTCTACATGAGCCTCAAAGCCTACAAGGGGAGGATATTCCTTTTGGGATTCGGCGATGTGTCCATAGGCGCACTGTCAAATTGGGCGGACCGCCTGATCGCCATTATGGAAAATGGCGATTATATTGCCGCCATCCAGTTAGCCACGTCCTACTACACAGGCGACGCGGACAAGCTCACCGTAGGGCTGCCTGAAGATACGGCGACACGGCAGGGCATGGTGCGCGACAAGATCATGGAAATCATGACCGCATCGCTGAAGTATGCTTTCAATCAGCGCGAGCAGTCTAGTGGTGACGCGGATAATCAGCAGATGAAGCAGCTTGCTGAAACTTGCTTCATTGCCTGCCAAAGTGTTGGCGACACGGACTACCTCTTTGACGAAATGTACGAGTGGTACGAGGAAGCCGGACTGGAGGGCATCTTTCTGGAAGCTCTCGAGCCCTATATTCTCGAGCGTACCATCACAATGGCGCCACCAACAGTTCTCAAAGACATGGTTTCTTACTATGTGTCCAAAGGGTGGGAAGGTCGTCTGGAAGAGATGATCTGTCACATGGAGACGGCGACGATGGACCTGGACCAGACAACGCTACTATGCAAGCAACATGGTCTGTACGACGCCTTGACATATGTATGGAACCAAGCGATCGGGGACTACATCACACCGATGATCGACCTGCTCACCCTCCTCATACCGTTCATCTCCAACGACGGCATGGCCGTGGACATTGGGGAAGACTACTTTGGTGTCAACGCGCTGAAGATATTCCCGTACCTGGCATACACCTGGACCGGCAGAATATACCCCAACGGCGAGCCCATGGACGAGGAGTCTGCTACAAAGGCCAAGGCGGAAATCTACTGGTTCCTCTTCTCCGGGAAGACCATTGCCTGGCCCAAGGAAGGTGGGCAGGAGTTTCTCACGCGGCCGCGCGACGAGGACCAGCCCTCTTTTCCCTATCTTCGACTGATTCTCAAGTTCGATGCCCCCAGCTTGCTCAGTGCCCTGAACGAAGCCTTTGAGGATAGCTTCCTCAACGACTCGACGGACAAGCATATCAACGGCAACAGGATGGAAATGCCCGAGGAGCAGATATTCGGGCAAACGATCAATCGCCAATATGTCATGTCGATTCTACTCGACGTCATGAACCCAAATGACTTTGCGCCCGAGGATACCATCTACCTGGATATGTTCGTTGCGCGAAATCTGCCCAAATTCCAGCAGTATCTCTTATTCTCGGGATCGACCCTTTCCAAGGTGCTGAATGGGCTGTGCAACTATCCCGGCGACGACCTGGCCGAGGACGCGCAGCTCAGCGCGGAGTACCTGTTGTCTGTGTACCGTCCCTCCGACATGGCCGAGTTGATGCCCTTGTTCAAACGAGCGGGCTTCTACCGAATCTTGAAGAGGACGTACAAGTCGGAGCAGCAATACGGCAAGCTGATTGAGACGTATTTCGAGGACCCGGAAGAGCAAGACGCGGTGTTTGAGTGTATCACCAGCTGCCTCCGTAAACAGAGCGGACTCAGCAATCGTCAGCTGAATGAGGTCATGGAGGTGGTCCGCCACCATGCGAGGGACTTGCTTGAAATTGACCCTGAGCGGACGGCGCGGACACTCGCCAGTCACGGGCACGAGCTTCACCTGACCGTACTAGAGTCGGCTGACGACGCACAGGAGCTGCGGTACGGATTCCTCAAGGCCTTGCTTGAGCCAAACAGCTCGGGCAAGGAAGATCGAGAGAGCCCGAATCGCGATCTCATCGAGAAGTATGTCCAGCTCATGTGCACGTATGAGCCATCTCACGTATCGGAGTACGTGGGCGTGGTGCAGTCTGCCAATCTCCGTCTCGACAAGTTGCTGCCTACCATGGAAGAGACAGGTGTGATCGACGCTGCCGTCGTCCTGATGGCACAAGACGGTCAAATCAAGGAGGCCATGGATCGCCTAGTGAAGCACTTGGGCAGTCTCGAGTCTGCCCTGCAGGGTCTCCTGGGCGGCACAAGCGGTAGAACCGAGTCGTACATGGTACCGTCTGCCACGGAAGAGTTGCTGGTCGGGCTGCAGAATTATGTGCACGTTGGCATCTGGCTCTGTCAAGGCCAGACCAAGACGTCTAAGCGAGTCAATGTCGTGTCGAAGAAGCAGCAGCAAAAACGGGCGGACATGCTGTCCGCTGACGAGCAGCTCTGGCTGAGCCTCATTGATGCCTGTGTGCAGATCACCAGGCGTCTGTCGCCCACGATCGCGGCCTTGGCCGACCAAGCCGACACTGTTGACGAGATAGACGGGGACCGACTCTTGGCTCTGCTGCGATCGCTCGTGCAACACACTTTCACGTCCCTATTGACAGCCACATCTAGCCACGCCGGCTCTCTCAAACCCGGATCCAAGCTCATATCGAACGCTGCTTCCAACTTGTCCTTCCTTCGTATTCTGCGGGCTTTTCTGACCCAGGCCGCCGCCGAGTCACCCAACCTGGCCGACTTGCGAGGTGTGCTGGCATCCATTTTCGCTGCCTACGCGTACGAAGAGTCGATCCTCAAGCTGTCCAACCGCCTGCTCGAGCGGAGCCTGTACGTCAACGTCCAGCAGGCCGTGCAACTGCGTCAACGCGGCTGGCGGCCCAGGGGCTCCACGTGCGAAGCCTGTGGTCGCCGGGTCTGGGGCCCGGGTGTCCCTGGCGGCGCCGTCTTCGACGCATGGGAGGATAAACAGACGCACGACGAGGAGAAGCGCAGAGAGCGAAAGGCGCGTGCATATGAGCGTGCCAAAGGCAGCAGCGGCTCCGTTGTCGATGCTGGTGGGAAGGGGAAGGGTAAGAGCCTTGCCCCCCGGCCCTCGAGTATGCTCCTCGAGCAGGAGAATCCCAAGGCGGCGGAGGTTGAACCCGAGGCGAAGAAGGAAGTGTTGGGCCCGCTCGTCGTGCTGGCTTGTCGGCATGTGTATCATCAGGTCTGTCTGGACGCGGTGCAAGATAGACAAGGGGACGGCGGGCGTGAGAGGGAGTACAAGTGTCCGATAGACGGATGAGCGGTGTAACGTAGATAACTGCGAATTTGAGGCATAGCGAATGTACGCATGCTATTGAGTCAATGACGATGCTGATGTTTGAATGTCGATTCTCGTCCATTTCGCCCTGAAGGTTCATGACATCATCAGGGTCCTGGTCTCCTCTCACTCAAGATGGGAGATTCACATTCATCGCCAACTGTCCCTCTCGAGCCAACCCTCCTCGAGCAATTCTATCCTCAGCTACTACCCCATGCGCTTCATCCTTCGCATCTGTCATTCCGGTGCCAACAGACCCCTTGCATTGCTCCAGGGACGCTTGTTCACGACATCAGCCTCCCTCTCAAGGGACTCATCCACCAAGATGAGCTGGATGGACTCATGGTCCCGGCCGTCCAAGTCCCAAGCTACACCTGCGCCCTACTATCTACTCTCCAATGGCGAGAACACGCCTTACTGTCGGTCCTGTGGACGGGTCATTGGGCAGCGCAGGACGAACAACACCACCTCTTCCACCACTACGAAGGACCCTGCACCAGTCAAGTATTGCTCCGCACGATGTCGGGGGAGCAAAGTCGGCAAACTCGACAGGGACATTGAAAGTGCCTTTGTCAAGTTCTTACAAGGTGAGGAGAGCATGCAAGACAAGCAGCCGGGAAAGGGGGGCAAGAAGAAAGCCAACAAGGGTGACACGCGCGTGTTAGTGTCCATGGGCACGATTGAGCAGTACATGTTTCAACACCACGCGCAACAAGAAGAAGAAGGCACATCCAAGGCATCTGAGCCCTCGGTCTCGGAAGACGAGGCACTGAGCACGCCGTACAACACGGATGGCACGCTCAAGGGAGCGGAGGACGACGATGTCGACGGGGACATCCTGGCGCGACTGTCTATACGCAGCGGCACGCGTATCCGTCCTGCGCAGGACGTGTCGCAGGTCAACGGCAGCGTGGGCGGGGAGAAGGGCCGGGCGGAGAGGATCGTGGAGACGGAGGAGATGGTGGAGAAGAGGAAGAGTGGGCAGCGGAAGGCGAAGGAGAGGGAGATGGTGCGGTGTGCGGCGAGGCGAGGCGTCGCGTTTGGGCTGCTGGTCAAGGATGGTGATCAAGAGGAGGGTCGGAGGAGGAAGTGTGAGGCTGTCATGGGTGGGAAGGTTGTTGAGCCGAGCTTTGCAAAGGGGGATTGGGCGATACGATGGAGGGAGGAGGTCTAGGCTGTTTGTTCATGATATCTCGACCAAGACATGCCCTTGTTCTGCTTACCCTGTACATGCACGCCCCACCACCGCGACGCGCTCCTCAACGTCACTTCGCATTGCCCATCTCCCATTGTTGAGCATCACAAACACCGCCCAACCCAATGTAGACAATGGCGTCCATCTCGTCGGACGACGACGAGGAATACCTCTCCTCCGACCACTCATCGCCATCGCCTCCTCGCCAGCCGAGCCAGAACTTCTTCGCGCCCCCCTTCTACGGGCGCCCGCCTACGCCGCTGCCACCGTCCCCTTCCTTGACCTCGCTTCTGCGCCCGTCGCGACCAACGACACCCGACGCCTCGGACGATGACGCGCTCGCCGCCGTGGTCCCCCGCGCAGCCCCCAAAGTTCCGACATACGAGTACTACGGCTTCGTGCTCTACCTGTTCAGCAGCCTCGCATTCCTCATCTACCTTCTGTGGGCCTACCTGCCCAGCCCCTTTCTGCATGTGCTGGGGATCTACTACTATCCCAACCGCTGGTGGGCTCTCGCCGTGCCCGCCTTTCTCGTCATGACGGTGGTCTACATCTTTGTCGCGCTGGCGCTCTACAATACCGAGATGCTCACGCTGCCGCTCGGGGACGTGGAGACGGTCGTGGACGGCGCCGGGCAGATTGCCGTGATCGACAGCCAGGGGCGGCTCATGGTGGGAAAGAACAAGGGCAGAGGGGAGAAGAAGGTGGATGAGGATGGCAACATGAGGTGGAGGGAGGTGTGGAGTGAGAGTACAGATGCGGTCTTGGACGTGCCACTCGGAGGAGTGTGCGAAGTCCTCTATGGCGAAGGGAGAAGCGACGTCGCCACGGATGGGGTTTTTGATCTTGCGGACAATTGACTGTCTTTTGTTGCAATGGCACCATTAAGGGTAGCATGGCGTTCAGGATCTTGATACAGGCGGGCTGTAGGATGTCCGCCGCCCGTGGTCCGAGCGACCATACAATTGGACTTTTTGGAATCAAAGGATCGCATGTCAGCTCTTGAGGCCCTCTGCACACCGTTCTGAGTGTATACTATCATTCGCTGCTATCCCTTAGTGGGTACCTTACTGAGTCTAGCTCGTCTATTCTCTCCATGTCGGGAAAGAGAGGCTCGTCCAGACCGGACGCCCCAGATATCGTGAGGTCGAGGAGCGACTGATCGCTGTCAAGCGTGTCCAAGTAGTCGCACGAATTCATTATATCTGTGCAGTGGCTTTGACTCATGTCCGACTGAGACCAAGGCGTAGGTGATATAGGAGACTGGATGTGAGTGCCTTCTGGTGACCGAGGCCTGGTTGGGAGAGGGACGTCTTCCGCTGGAGGCGTCTGGAGCGTTGCATCGAATTTGGTCAAAGAGGCGGCATCAAAGCACGAGCCGGGAAGGCAATGAACAGCATCATGATCGACGAGAGCGTTGTGAAGCTGTAGGAGAGCGAGGGTTGAAGTATGAGCCAGCTGCATGTCCATCGAGGCTTGTCCCGTTGACACCCGCTTTGGCCACCGTAGCGGTGTGATCATGGAGAGAATAAGCTTGCTACATAACGTGTCAGCACTGAACGAAGAAGGGTGGTGTTCTCGGGTGACGTACTGGTAGTAGATCTGGAGAACGTTGCGGTGGACAAGAATGCATGGTAGGACAGACTCGTCAGCGTCTGGACATGTGGAAGGTTGCAACACCTCTGGAAGATGGAGTCGCCAATTGTCCAACCCAGCGTGGCCCACCATGCGTCCATCGTCGAACGAAGCGGTCTGCTTCCGTGACCACGTCTCGGGAGGAGAAGCCGCCGGAGAAGACGGATAGGCCCGCCCGTTGGAGAGGTCATCCTCTCGCTCCACAGACAGCATCAAGCGGATCAACTGCACGGAGAAGATGGACGTGGCCGTTCTCTTCCCAAGCTCCTCTGCCGAGGAAAGATTGCTCACACCAGACCGGAGGCCAACATTGTAGTCGGCCAGGGTGAGTATCCCCACATCCGATGTCTGGAGCTGGATCCGGGGTTGTCGTTGCTGCGACAGCGCAAGAAGCCTGTCCCGTACAACGCAACCCCACCAGCATCGTCTCCGAATCGTCTGTTGCCGCTGTGTCAGAGTCGACCTTGGACGTGGCTGTCGATGCAGACCGAGGTGGAGAGCGAGGGACACAGCGAGGCCGACCCAGTGCCAGCCGTCCTTGTCCTCGCCGACCTGGCCCTTCCAGTACGACATGAGTAGGAAGGTTTGGACCAGAACCAGGTTGTCTTTCTCGATGTCCAAGGAGTACAGCGCTCGGGCGCGGGAGAATGCTTCTCTCCGGGCTTTTCCGCGCGAGGTGTAGCCGAGGCGCGTAAGAACGGCCACAGGGGCACATGTCGTGGCGGCGAAGAGCATGGCTTGGAAGAGGAGGATGGAGAAGCAGTGCTGACCGGCGTCAAGAGGTGTCCCTGGACTATGGAAGTGGGTACGGTACATATCCCAGAACTCGGTCTCGTCGATGAAGGGCATGTGCGGGTGGATGTAATCAAAGTAGGATAGGAGTAGTTGATCGAGTATATGCTTGTCAGGGAAGTGGAAGCATCCTTTGTTCTGTAGATAGGCAAGGTCTTCGCTTGAGAGGCCCGATAGATCGCAATGGACAAAATACGGCGCCGACCATAATCCAGGGGCTCCAAGGTCGACAGTTGGTACTTGCAGAGATGGGATGTCAATGGACTCAAGCTGACAGGCCATATTTTCATCCTCGATGGAGGCCGTCAGGACTTCATGTTGCTTCCCAGTAGATGATGGATGATCCTTTGCGTTGTCTCCGAGCGTTCCGAGCTCACCATGATGTACTGCAAGGTCCATGTCCTCGGAGATGGATGCACTCTCTCGAGGACTTGATACAGGTTGCCTTGCTCTTCTCCTCTGCCTGGCGCATGGCGCACAGTCCTGTATGCTGTCCAGACGACAATTGGTGCATGGCGCCCCGTGAGGGGCTACATCGCAACGGACCTTTCTGCGTCGGCAATGGAGACAAGCGACTCTGGCCCGTTTTGTGCGAGATTTCGTCGGTTGTTGGGCGGATTTGACGTGGTGCACGGCGGCAGTTGCTGTTGGCGAGGATTGGAGTTGTTCAAGGCATATCAAGACAGGATCCGACTCTGTGTCCATGTTGTCGTTCATCCAGTCTGTATCACACTCTGGGTCCAGTCGAGAGCAGACGGCTTCCTCAGCCTTAGTAGTCATACGAGCCGAGGCTCATAGCTAAATACGATGCTATGGATCAGACATGAATGATTCGGTTCCGACTTGAGCATTGAATCGACGATGCTATGCAAGGAGTTTGTGACCTCCCGAGTTCCGGTGGAAGCATTGACTGTACCCTTGCCAAGGATATTGCCTGCTACGTACAATGATTACTGGCTTGGCGAAACGCGGGGTTATTAAACATTTTGCGGGGCCCCAGGTTTTTGGGGACGTATAAGCGGATGATCAACCCCCAGTCATTCATGACTACATATGTCCGGTGGAATCATCTTGTTGCCAGTCTCCGGCGGATCAACATTCAACATCACCGGGCCACTGAACTGGGCATTGGCCATGGCGCCTCCGAGGGTATCAACGGCTTGTGCACGATGTCGGAGGCAAAAGCTCAAGGTGAGTAGTCTGTCTTGATGTCACGCACTGCATGTAGACTAATCTCAAGTCGTTGCAGTGCGATGCTACCAAGCCATGCACAATGTGCGTCCGCTCGGGTGCTGTTTGTCAGCCCCGGCAGGTGCACCAGTCGAAATCCACGTCAAGACAAGGAGAAGAGTCTCGACAGCGCCGTCGTGGCCAACGGGTGACGCCCATGTCGCCACAGCCCTCCCGGACCACAGCATCCGCATCCGGAAGCCAGGTGTCACCGAATGACCGACAAACGGCCCCTGACTCAGTCGAGAGTCTGCCCTTTGGGGCTTCAAGTAATCGGTCCGCCATCTCGCTGGCCATGAATATGTATCAGAGCCTGGGGACACGAGCACCGACCAAGGACTCCGCGATCCCCGGGACGCCGGCTCCGCCCCGTGTCTCCGTCTGGACGCTTCGGTCCATACGGATGCCCCCCCGCTCCGTCATGGAGACCCTCCTCTGTCTCTACTTTGAGAAGATGCATTGGTTCATCTGGATCTTCCATGAGCCAACGTTCATGGCGCAAGCACAGGCCATTCTTTCCGCAGAATCATGGACGCGCCAGGATATGCGGAAAGTCGTGGTCACGCTCACAGTCGCGGCCCTGGGCCTAAAGTGCGCCCTTCAGAACACGTCCCCTCAAGGCCGGCGTTTGCTGGCGTCCATCTCTTCTGACCCGTATAATCTTGTTGAGCAGCTGGTTGGCGAGGTGCGGCTGCACTTGCTCGACCTGCTCGACGATGCCTGCATCGAGACCGTCCAAGTGACAGTCCTTCTGGGAGCCTTCTACATCTTCCATGGTTCACCAAGCCTTGCCTGGTCTACCATTGGCATGTCTGTCCGAACAGCATACGGTTCGGCCCTACACTGCGTATCCGAGGACGAGCCAGAGGACTCGGTAGCTACGCAGGTGCGCCGACGATGCTGGAATCATGTCACGGTCGCGGACACGTTTGCATCCCAGATATACGGACGGCCGGCGTCCATTGACCCGGCCTTTTCTGCGCTCTTGCCGCTGACGCAGATGGACGATACTGTTCTTCCCGGTCTCGGAGATCGATCGAATGGCCCGGTGACAGCGCTGACGTTTCACTGGCTCAAGTATAAGCTGTACGAGATTATACGAGAGACCATCTCGACCTTTCGACTACTACGACCGCGCAGTCCCATGTCGATGCAAGATTTACAAGGTCTCATTGACGCTGTGCAGCGCATTGATCGTCGTCTCAAGGACTGGACCAAATCACTCCCATCCCCATTCGACGAGAGCAACGGAGTATTCAACGCCAACGACGACCAAGAGACCGAGACATTTGCTTCGCCATGTCCAAGATTCTTTGAGCCCCAAAGCAGTAGCGATGCAGCCGCCGAGGACATGGACCCAGCGCTTCGCCAGCTTCGGTTTCAAGCCTGGCTTCTGCAGGACACGTACAATGCCGCCGTGGTCCTCGCCCATCGTCCCCTTCTCGAGTATCGTCTCTCGGCCGACTACCGCCGCACCGTACTTCCGCAACATGTGGCGGACCTTGTCCACCGCTCCTTTGACGTCTCCATCAAGGCCGCGCTCAACATCTCCAAGACGCCCGTGATGCAGTTTGAGCACGAGTTCTGCCTGGCTTTCATCTTCATACACTTGTTTACCGCTGGTGTGATGTTATGCATACCACCCACGACACATCCACACAGCAGCATGGCACACGAGGCCAAGGCGGGCGTGTTCCGGATCATCCAGGCGGCCAAGGCGTTGCGGTCCCACAGCCAGGTGGCGAGGCACGCGGAGCAGTTGCTGAGTGATCTGCTCAAACAAAGTCTGTACCGCGAAGTGGACCTAGCCTTCCAAGAGGATAATAGGCCAAGTGAAGCGGATCCCGTCATGACGGACAAGGCCAGCACGCACAAGAGCAGGGGTGATACTCCCGTGGCGCCTCATACGGCGTCGGCGGCGGATACATCACACGTGTTTGTACAGCCACCTGCTGCTGGTTCCCACGGGATTGCGGAGGCATGGACCGACGAAACATATCTCATGAATACGGACGTGTCCTATCTTCAGCCCCTGGACCTACCGTTAGATGAAGCATTTGGTGCTTTTGGACAAGGTGATATGCCCCTCGTTTGTGTTGATGTATTGAGGCTGACATGGCATAGCCATGTTTAATTTGGCTCCAGATGATTCTTTGAACAGTTGGGGGTGGGGAAGAGGGTTTATGTGACTGTCTTCTAAAGCCGTGCCGTTGGCATCTCTGTCCTCCTTCTCGTCCTCTCTCCATCACGCAGTTCCCTCCTGAGCATCTTGCCACTCGGACTCTTGGGCACCTCCGCCACAAACTCCACGCCGCCCCTTAATGCCTTTTGTTTGGACTTGTGCTTCGCTACCCATGCCACCAGTTGCGCCGCGGCCGCGGTGTGCGAGACGCCACAATCCTTCCGCAGGACGACAAGTGCTTTGGGTACCTCGCCCGAGCGCTCGTTGGGCACTGGTATGACGGCACAGTCGGCGACGATGGGATGCGCCAATAGATGCCCTTCGAGCTCGGCGGGCGCCACTTGGTAGCCAGAGACCTTGATCAGTTCCTTGGTCCTGTCCACAACAAAGAGATGCGGATCCCTGGTGTCGGGGTGCCGTCGAATCTCGACCTCGTCGCCTGTACGGAGCCATCCGTCCGGAGAGAACGTGTCCCGCGTGGCCTCCTCTCGTCTATAGTAGCCCAGCGCAATCTGAGGCCCCTTGACATGAAGTTCGCCTGGCGTATTCAGTGTCGTGACCTCGGTTCCATCACGGGCCACAATGCGGACTTGCACCCCAGGGATGATGCAGCCGCTGGAACCGTCAAAGACAGTGCCTGGGTGCGAAGCAATGACGGTCGGCGCTTCTGTCATGCCGTAGCCTTGGCCCAGCGTCACATTGGGGTATCGCTGTCGGACGGCCTCCGTTAGTTCCTGTGTCAGGGGTGCCGCGCCGCAATAGATGCGTCGAACGGAAGGAAGGTCGAAAGTCTGGGCATCTTTGGCGAGCGCACTCTGCTGTGCGAGGCTGATCAGAATGGGTGGGACGACGTAGAGAAGTGTCATTTGGAATCTCTGCACCGCGCGGATCAAGTCCATGAGCTCAAACTTGGCCATGGTGACGACTGTGTCGCCACGAAAAGCGGCAACGTGCGCCATGAGGACAACGGAGTAGATGTGGGACTGTGGTAGCACACCGAGGATCACGTCTCGGTCCTCCTGGGGGCGAAAGGTGGATTCGTAGAGTGTCATCTGGAGGATGTTGGCGATGATGTTGAAGTGGCTGACCATGACACCCTTGGGGGTCCCCGATGTGCCGGACGAGTAACAGAGGTAGGCCACCTGACGACGACCCTGGCCCCTGACCCATGGAGTGCGCGGTATGCTGGGGAGCTGACGACCTTTGCTGATGAGGTCCTCGATGCTAGTAAAGTCCTGGGGTGCGGTATGTGTGGGCATCTCGTCTCCAGGGATGGGAATGAGGAACACGTTTTCTCTTGGAACACGGGCCAGATCGGCGGCTTCACAGGCTGTGTCCAGCTTGGACGGGCATGTGAAGAGAGCAAGGGATCCCGAGTCTTGGAGCTGCGAGGCGAGCTCGGAGGCCAGAAACGCGGCGTTGGCTGGTGATACGACGCCATTCATGTGGAGGACGGCCCAGGCAATGGTAGGCGTATGGATCTACCACCAAGTCAGTACGCTCGCTCTGCTGTGAGGTCAGTAATGATGGATGTTGTTCTCACATTGTTCACCGCAAAGACGCTCACCACGCGGTCAAACACGTGCCCGGAATCAACGTTGACATGGAGATGGGCAGCAAGCCCTGCCGCGAGCCATTCAATGCGCTGTCGCGTCTCGTGCACGCTGTACCCGAAGCCCTCGACACTATCGACGAAAGGGTTGGGGGAATGGGCGCAGCTCCAAGGCCGATATTGATCATCGAATACAAAGTCTGTCAGACAGATATCATCCGGGATGTCTGTATCGTTCAACTTTGGTAGCCAAGGGGGAGTGTAGGTGAGCATGATGTGTTGTTATTGAGGGGAGATCTGAAAGAGACTTGGTCTGGCGAGAACTTGTGAACGCAATATCTTGACGCCTTGCCTGGACTTGGGTAATGTCTCAAGTCTTTCATCCTTTTTAAGTCCTTTAGTATTTACAGCCCTTCATGTCAAGTTCTTACATGTACTGGCAGTTGAGGTGCATCATCTTCCGAGCAGCTTCCGGTGGAAGTGGGAATGATCACCATCCGGTTCCGAGCACTAGTCTAGTGCTTCCGATGCGACCACCACTATGTTTATTCCTAGCTCGAATGCGTTGAAGAACAACAAATGAGCGACTCCTATCGTCTTCCCCGCATTTCCCCAGCTGGGGTGCATGATGGGGGTCTTTAGTTCCTCGCAACTCAGCCCCCAAACTAGGGCCACAATCTCCAGACGTCCACCGGAGGCATGGCCTGCATCAAGTCTCCCTGCTACTCCGAATCTGCTGGGTTTGATCTATATAAGCCAGGCGAAGCGAATGGCACCCTCGTGAAGTAGAGAGTCTTAGAGAAACTACATGCAGATCACCTTCTCGCACTTCAACATGTCCAAGTCCATCACCTCTGTCGAACCTAGCCCATTGGCTACCGCCAAAGAGCATGCCAGCACCGACATGAATTATCCGCCCGAGGTGGCGGCGTTGATGAAGGAGTTCACCGGTGCCAAGTATACCAAGCTCATGCGTAAGCTTGACATGCGACTTATCCCGATTGTGAGTATACTTGACCTTATCATGTTCGTCAATGCTGACGCTGCGTTCCCAACGTAGATTGCCATCTTGTACCTCCTTGCTTACTTGGATCGGTATGCTGCCTTTTGATTGCCTATCCGAGTGGCCATGTACTTTACTAACCTCTGTTCAGTGGCAATATTGCCAACGCTCGGCTGGCTGGTCTCGAGGAGGATCTCGGCATGGAAGGCGACCAGTATAATGTTGCCCTGACCATCTTCTTCGTCTCCTACATCGTCTTCGAGGTACCTGCCAACATGGCCCTCAAGTACCTATCACCACGCATCTGGAGTATGTCTATTGGAACTGGGAACCCCATGCGATAGCCGTGAGACGCAGCAAGCTGACGTGTCATTCAGTCACACTGATTGCCGTGTCCTGGGGACTTGTCATGACTCTCATGGGTCTTGTTCACAACTACGAGGGTCTACTGGCGGCACGGTTCATGTTGGGCGTGCCAGAAGCTGGAATATTTCCTGCCGCCGCATACTACATCACGATATGGTACTCACGACACGAGGCCATGTATCGGACGGCACTCTTCTATGCCACTGCTTCTTTAGCGTACGTATCTCTTGACGCAGACACCAATCTGAGCTAGGTATCATAGTCCAGAGATCGTTGCTGACCGCAAGCCTAGTGGCGCCTTTTCCGGCCTTCTTGCGTATGCCATCACACTCATGGACGGCATAGGCGGTCTTGCCGGATGGCAGTGGATCTTTATCCTTGAGGGTATACTGACTGCCTTGTGCGGCTCCATGGCGTACTTCACCATCTACAACGGCCCCGACTCGGTCTCGTGGCTCACAGATGAAGAGAAGGCGTACATCAAGGTGAAGCTGGCGTATGACGGCAACAGGTCAGGCATGGGCGCCTCAGAGGAAGGGTCCAAGAAGAAGTATATCAAAGACGCCTTTTGCGACTGGCAGGTGAGTGCGACACATTCTTCAGCATCACGTCGTCTTGGTGTTCTACCACGAAGAAGCTAACCGTGATATCTAGGTCTATCTCAGCGTCGTCATCTATTTGGGCATCTCCGTCTCAACATATGGCATTGTCTTTGGCCTTCCCACCATTGTGTCCACCCTCGTAAGTCAATCCCCATGTCTCACCGCCCAGAAATTGTCCAATTGATCATGACCTCGTCCAGGGATATACCGACCGTGCTGCCCAGCTCATGACGATCCCCCCCTACGTTACAGCCTGCATCCTCACCATCGTCGTCGCTCACCTTTCCGACCGACTCAAACGCCGAGGCTACTTCATCGCTGGCTCCCTGGCTTTTGCTCTCGTAGGCTTCATCATTGCCATCACGACGGCAGGACATGCGAACCTGGCGGGTGTTACGTATGCAGGTTGCTTCATTGCCTGTTGTGGATTCTTCCCAGCTTTCCCAGGCGTCATTTCCTGGCTTGCGAACAACCTCGCGGGGCCGTACAAGCGCGCCATTGCCATGTCGCTACAAATCTGTAAGAGATCTCCCTACAATACTCCTTTGAGTGAAGGAAAATTTGGTTACTCATCATCGTCCTCGTCGCAGCATTGGGCAATACCGGCGGGCTTATTGGATCCAATATCTACCTGGCGCGAGAGAAGCCACGGTACACGACAGGCTACGGTATCTCGATCGGGTTTATTAGCTTGGCCATTGTGGCGACGGGTGTCATGATGGCCGTCCTGTCTTTGAAGAACAAGAAACGGGACCGGTATGTTGAGCAGAAAGGGGGTCCGGACGGCGTGGTGGACCAGCACGGTGATGTCGCGTTGACAGAGATGGGTGACAAAAGTCCCCTTTTCAGATACACGCTGTGATGTGGAGCATGCATCTCGGGAACGCGTGGAAGAAGAGAGAGCTTACTCTAATTAGCTTGGGTTTCTAATCTTGTTGAGTATCAGAACACACTTGTTTGTCATGTACTAAGGAGTACTACTGTTTAGCTTTGTGATTTGTCTCATGGGACAGCCATTGGAAAGAAGACTGAGGCAATCTGCTGAGCTAGGCCAGGTTGACTATTCAGGAGAGGTGGGTGGTAAAGAAGTGGCCGTTCTTGGACGGTACCGGGTAGTCTCGCTCGGGTGGTGTGAATCCACGTCTGTGGGTGCCAGGCTGGCCAATTGAACATATGGTGGGGTCATTGACACCAACGCTAGCTTCCTCTTGGACAACCATACTTTTTTTCTACATGGACACTTCCTTGTGACAATCCTCCCCCGACCATCATTCGCTTCCCATCGCCATGGCGCCTGCAAACCCCAAGTCTGGGGGCCCAGCATCCTCTGCTCGTGACGTTTTCAAGCTCCTCACCCGAGGTTCCAACCGAAAACCAGCACCGGCGAGCACAGCGGTCCTCCCATCCGCTGGCGCAAAGGCGAATCCCCAACTCTACCACGACGAAGTTCGAGGCCACAAACGCAAGCGACCGAGCCAAGATGCCGAAGCACCCGTTGCCGAAGAACTGCCCGTCGTAGACTTTTTCGCGCCCAAGCAGGACGAGGCCAAGGTCGACAAGAAGAAGCCCAAGCGCCAGCCCAGTCCGGAGCGGAAGCCAGTGCAGCTGCTGAGCAGCGATGAGTGTCGCCACGTGCTCAAGTCGCACCGTATCAAGGTGACACTCATGTACAAGCCCGCCGAGCCACAGACGGTGAAAAAGTCGAAAAAGAAGAAGAGCAAGGTCGAGGACGAATTTGAGGAGCTAGTGGCGCAAAGCAAGAAGGACGAGAAGAAGCAGCTGAATCCGCAGCCGCTGGAATCTTTCTCTCAGTTGAGGAGTCAATATGGCCTCTCGAGAGGGGTGGCGGAGAATCTGGTGCATCAGGGATTCCGAGAGCCGACAGAGGTACAACTAGGCAGTCTACCCACGCTCCTGGACCCGACTGTCGCGCTGCAGGAAGAGTCAGGACTACAGGATGGTGTAGACTTCATGGCCGTCGCACCGACAGGAAGCGGCAAGACAATCAGTTTCCTGATTGCTGCGATCAACAACATCACACGGCGGAGAGAGAAGGGGGGAAAGCACGGGCTAGAGGCTGTCATTGTGGCACCGACAAGGGAGCTCGTGCATCAGATCGTCAACGAGGGCAACAAGCTTGTACAAGGGACAGGTCTCAAGGTCGCGGGCATGCGAAGAGGCACAAAGCCGGTCATTGAGGAGGTCGACCCCCCGGAAGACGACCCGGAGGATGAGGACGAAGGTGAGGCAGCGGACTCTGAGTCTGACGAAGACGACGCGGCGCCGAAACAGAAGAAGACTACCTATGCGGACATACTCGTCACCACGCCAGGCCTTCTCATCAAATTCCTCTCCAAGCAGAAAAAGACACTGTCCACTGTCAAAGACCTCATCCTCGACGAGGCCGATGTGCTTCTCGACCCCTTGTTCCGCGACCAAACGCTCTCGCTGTGGACCTCTTGCACCAATCCATCCCTACGATTATCGTTCTGGTCTGCTACCATGGGCTCTAACATTGAGACGCTCGTCACCTCCACCATTCAGACCCGAGCAAAGTCACTCGAGACGACCCCTAAACCGCTGGTCCGCCTGGTCGTCGGCTTGAAGGACACTGCTGTGCCCAACGTCACGCACAAACTCCTCTTTACAGGCAACGAGGCAGGAAAGCTCCTTGCCATCCGCTCCTTGATCCGTCCCACCGCCAAGGACGACATCAAGATCCGCCTGCCCTTCCTCGTCTTCACCGAGACCATTGAGCGCGCGACAGCCCTGCACGACGAGCTACGGTACGACATTCCCGTCTCCGCCGGCGGCTCCGGCCGCATCGCAGCACTCCACTCTGGTCTCAACGACGCCGCGCGCTCGGCTATTGTGCGCAAGTTCCGGGCGGGCGAGATCTGGCTGCTCATCACCACCGACCTGCTCGCCCGCGGACTGGACTTTCGGGGCGTCAACGGCGTCGTCAACTACGACGTGCCCACCAGCGCGGCGTCCTACATCCACCGCTCTGGCCGGACGGGGCGGGCTGGTCGCGAAGGCGGCATCGCCGTTACCATGTGGACGCACGACGACATTCCCATCCTCAAGACCGTGGCCAACGTCATTGTGGCGAGCGAGCGGCAGGCGGGTATGCACAAGGAGGAGGAGAGTGCCGTGCCCAAGTGGCTGCTCGAACGGCTGCCGGACGTGAGCAAGGAGGAGCGGAAAAAGTTGAAGAAGAGCGGGAAGAGGAAGACGGACCACAAGATTACGAGCACGAGTGGCGTGGAGAGGCAGAAGGAGAATAACCGCAAGGGAGCGATTGAGGCGAGTAAGAAGAGGAAGAAGGAGAGTAAGGGGGAAGCTGTGAATGAGGAATGGGGTGGCTTTGACGACTAGACAGTGAGAGCGAAGTTTTCATCATTGGTTGATTATTAGCTATATATTCGTCATGACAGCCCAGCTATCCGTCTATATTTGGTTCAAGACACACTGGTGATGATACATATTATACATGGTACACAGAGGGGGTATCACTTCTTCTTGTCGCCGTCGTGAGCATCGCCATCTTGCTTCGCCGTGTCACTGCCGCTGATCTTCCTCTCTTCCGCGGACAAGCTGACAACATTCTTCAAACTGCCGAAACTCAAACAGTCGCTGATTCTCTGGGCGCCCGAGAACAGCATCACCAGCCTCTCAACGCCGCAGCCCCAGCCACCCGTCGGTGGGAGAGCATAGTCGAGGGCTTTGAGAAAGTTGGAGTCGAGTGGTGATGTCTCGCCATCGACATCCGTCTCAATCTGCGAGCCGTTGTCGGGATCAGCCACGGCCTCGTCGGGTTCCTGGAAGCCAATCTCGCCATCCGGCAAATTGACCATCTTCTGATGGTTCGCAAGCTTCGTCCTCTGCGCCTCGGGGTCGTTCTCCTCTTCGTACATGTTGGCCAGCTCGCGACCGCCGACAAAGAGTTCGGCACGGGCCGAGACGAGCTGAAAGGTTTTCTCGCAGAGGAAGCTCTTGGACAGCGGTGACATGCAGGACGGATGATGCGTGATGAAGATGGGCTGCTTGAACGAGAGTGGCTCAATGTACACAGCCGCGAGGCGGTCGAGGAGTTTGGGGAGCGTGGTGGGCGTCTCGCCGGGAAGATTGATGTTGCGTAGCTTGAGGACGGCGAGCAGCTCAGGCAGAGCGTTTTCCGAGCTCAGCTTGGGCAACCGCAGACCAAGCGCCTCTTCGAGCGCCGGCACAAACTCGACCTGGCGGAAAGGACGCTTATAGGCCTCCAGATCGACGGGAGGGAGGGACGTGAGTTGCGTCTTGATGAGCTCGCTCGACTTGGCAGCCAGGTTGTAGATGAGCTCCTCGGTCTCCTTGATCAGGTCGGCCAAGTTGGTGTATGCGCTGTAGAACTCGCACATGGTGAATTCGGGGTTGTGCGTGGCGTCAATGCCTTCATTGCGGAACGCTGGGCCAATCTCAAAGACCCTGTCGATGCCGCCGACGACGAGACGCTTGAGCCACAGCTCCGGTGCGATGCGCATCGCGAGGTCCCGGTTCTTGAACTCGGTCGCGTGCGTCACAAAGGGCCGCGCCGTGGCGCCGCCAGCATTCTCCGAGAGGATCGGCGTCTGCGCCTCCAAGAAGCGTTTGGACCAGAAATGCTCGCGCATGCCGCGGGTGATCTCAGCCCGCAGACGGAGTATGTCTGTGGACTCTTGGTTGACGAGCATGTCGACATGGCGCTCCTGCATCCTCGTCTTGGCATCCGAGAGTTGCTCAGGGATCTGCTCCATGGCCGGGGACAGGAGCTCGGGCAGATCGACAGCCTTGAGCGTCATTTCTCCCGAGTGGGTCACACTCTTGCGGCCGGTCACCGCGATGTGATCGCCCACTTGGACCAGATTGCGGAACAGCTTGAAGCGCTGCTTTGAGAGAATCTTTTCAGTCATGACGCCGGCGTTGACCATGATCTGGACCTTTTGGTACTCGTTGACAATATCGATAAACATCAACTTGGACCCAGAGACGCGCTTGCGACGCACGCGACCCATAATGGTGACCTCCTCCTCGTCACCGAGGCTATCGAAGCGCTCCTGGAACTCGGCAGGAGTGAGTCGAGGCTTGTCGTCGCAGGATAGGAGACGCGGCCAAGGGGTGTCAAACAGACCGGTGCCCTCGGGGTTCTCATCGTGCTGCGCTTTGCGTAGATCCGCAATGCGCTGCTTTTTGAACGCAGAGACGCGCTCCGAGTGAGAAGAGCCAAGACTGGAGTCGGGCTCGTCCGAGTAGTTGCGGAGGGTGTTCCCAAAGGGCCGGGCCCCTACTGTTAAGGGGAGCCGGGCATTATGTATGTGTGTTCGTACAGACCGACTGGCCAGTCGAAGGCAGTTCGCGTAGGTCATGACGCCTGAATTGTCAGCCGCCAGTCAGGTCGAATGGGCTGCAAAGGAAGCAAGGTGGACGGAGAAGATCAGACAAAGGCGTGTTATAATCACACACGGCAAGCCGTATCAATCGCAGCGGTTCTGAAGCGAGAATGCAAGTTCATCATGAAAAGGGAGTGGTGTGGTAGGGCAGTGCGACTTACAAGCATAGTGAATGCGTGGATTTGCGACACCAGTCAAGGTGGCCGATCCAAGAGGAGCTGGAGATGGTGATAGTGGAAGGATGTTGAGCTTGTAGGAGAGAATTGCATTGCTTGTGTCAGTTTTTCAAATTGCTGCTAATTAGCTTCAGTGGGGTTGGAGTGTACCGTGGATTTGCCGGTCAGTGGTATTGGCCTACCCGGGGCTCTCATATCCGACATAGATCCCGTCCGTCACCCCCGAGTCCTGTCCTCTTCAATCAACTGCCATCAACTGCTGCTTCTCGCGCGTGTAACGTGCAAACATGTGACGCACGCTCTTGTGCAACTATGATTCCTTATGAGGATGGACACCCCTCCCGGGCAGTGAAAAGCCCATTCACACATCGACACAACTTCCCAACGGAAAGCGTATCGCCATGACGGACCCCCTTCGCATGGACTTTGTCGACGCGGTCTGCGGCAAGGAGATCTACAACTTCTTCAATAACCGCGTCATTGAGCACACAAACTCGACCGGGGCCGTTCTGGCCGTTAAAGTCAGGATGCGGCCACCATGGAATGGTCAGAGGGTGACACGGTGCAGTACGCTGCACCGAATGGCGTTTTGGCGCCAAACGTGCGCGGTATCTACGAAATTGTCACAAGGAAGCCTATTGCACGCGTCCTCGTGACCGAGCGTGTTCCTGGCGTGCCTCTTGCCAGTATCTGGCTGGACCTTGGCGACGCCGAAAGGGCCAGCTACGCACCCAGCTCGCTTGCATGCGCGCCTGTACGCAACCTTTCATCGGGCGAGTTGGGCGCCAGCGTTTGCGCAACCCTTACGATCGTATACCCACGACATACTGTGGACCGTTTGCCGATGAAAAGGCATTCGATACGTGGTGTCTAGCCCGTGTCACGGCCCTCCGTGGCCCGTTTGTCCGTCTGAAATGGCAGTGGCTCATGAGGCGGGAAAAGCGCAACCCACCGGGCGCTTTCGTTCTGACGCATGGCGATCTGAGCCCGCGAAACATTATTGTTCAGGACGGTGTTATTACGGTCATCATTGATTGGGAAACGAGCGGCTTCTACCCTGAGTATGCTGAGTACGCGTTTGCTATGATGCTGAGTCATGGACATGAGAAGTGGTGGACGCCTGTGTTGAAAGAGGTGCTACAGCCTTGCTCGAAGCAGCGGCTCGAATTCACGCGTCTGTTTGAGGACAGAGGATGGTGACATGTTGGGTAGTGCGCCCCTGATCATATCCGGCATTTAGCAGATGGTAAACTCCTGCACCGTGCCGAAGCCGTCTGGCACGCGGACCCCAAACTTCTGACCGTCATCTCCGTAGACGACTTGGTCGTCCCTCAGCTGGACCCCAGCCTCTTCGGCCTTCCTCAGTAGTTCCCCATCCATCACCCCATGCACATAGCAGTCACCGACGAGCTGATACTCTCCCTCGACGCTGGTCTTCCTCAGCACAAATGGCGCATTGAATCCTTCGAGCATGACGACAATGTCCTGCTTCTCAGCATCGTATGGGACCGAGGCAATGAACGCGCGGTCATCCATTTCGTACCGTCTGTCGCCCGCCGCCTTGTCTGCTTCCTTCTGCCGGATGCTCTTCCCGGACAGCATGGCAAACCGCCGGCCTCTCGATGCTTCCTGCATGGCGACGGTGTAGGGCACCATGCGTTGCTGCAGCTCGTCTTCCATGGCTTGGTCCATGTCGATCAGCAGCCACTTGAAGATGAAGGTCTGGTGGACGCGTGCGCCAGGCATATTCTCATCGTCTGGCGATTCGAGGCCTCGCTTGTAGAAGGCGCGGAACGCCGCGAACGCGTCGAGGAATTCGGCGGCGACGTCCCGTCGAGGCTGTTCTCCCCCGGGGGCCTTGCCACGGGCAATTCTCTCGCCTCGCCATGAGCGATCCATCGCGAGAGTTCGTGCCAACGCGGTCTCGAAGCCTTCCTCGGCATAGCGCTTCGCCCCGGACCCCGCTTCAATTTCGAGTGCCATGGATAGGACAACGTTTCGCCCGTCCTCGTCATTGAAAGGGGGGATCTTAACGTCAGGCTTGCCCTTGAAACCGGAGAATGTCGACTCGTCCTCGTCGTGCGAGTAGTATCGCCAGGCCAAGGACACTGTCTTGACCGTCGACAGCACCACGCCACGAACCACGAGCTTTGGCTTCTCGCCCTCGGTATCGATGATTCGTATGGTTGGCTTTGTGGTTCCCATGCAGCTGTACAGGTCGGGTGTCATTCTCGACCTCGTTTGCCTCGTCCAGTCTGGGACCCAGGTTGGTAGATCGGGCGTCTGAGCAGTCACGCCCGCAAGATGGAGCAGCCTGGGTCCAAGACCAGCTTCCACAAACTTGCGCGCCACGTCAATGTATAATTGATGGACAGGGTTCTTGGCTGAATAATCCGGCACGATGGATTGCGAAATGGCATCGTCCACGAGACCGAGGAGTGCATAGATCTTGTCTCTGTTGTCTGTGGCCTTGTTCATTCTCGTGATGGCCAAGAGCTCCAGGAAGTGCGATGGCTGTTTGGTGATGGGCGGCTCTGCCAACGTCTTGCTTCCCTCATCGCCAGACTGCTCCTCTTCGCTGGGCGTCTTCCTCTGCTCGATGAGCGTCTGGAGCGAGCTCGCCGGACTCAGATGCACGATTCGCGCACTTTGATCCGCAAGGACCCCGAGCCTCAGGAGACGCGGCAAGCCTCGTGTCTGCGCCTTGCCCCAGAACTCCATGACAGCATCCAGGCTGAAGACGGCCATGCCGTACAGGATGACGACTTTCTTGGCGAGAACCAGCTCCTGCAGCACCCACGCGCGGCAGAACCAGTCCACGCGCCAGAAATCAATCAGTCTGGTCCATACGGCCGCCCCCTCGTTCGTGTTGGGGTCGGGCAGTCGGTGCTTTCGCCATTCGGCGTCCGACTTGATCTCGAAATCCGGCGAAGCGTCCCATATCCTCGTCAAGTAGGTCATGATGCTGATGGCGACCTGCGCGCTTTCTGTGCTCGCATCCAGTTCCGCATCAAAGGGTGCGTCCGGCACCTCGCCCAAGTCCAGCTGACCCGAGGCGTGCAGTGCCGCAACATTGTCAGGGTTCGTTGGCTGGCCAGCAGTGCTTTCAACCTCCGCTTCCGAGTCAGAGAGCCCGTACGAATAGTGACCGGGATGGGCGAGTACCATGGACGCCTTGCTGTAAATCTCGCCCATGAGCATGACCTGCTGTGACCGCTCGTGGAGATCCCCCTGATTGATGCAGAGCCCATCCGCCCACAGCCACGACTTGCTGAATCGATTGAAACAGGTGCGCAGTGCATGGTATAGGTTCTGCGCCACAAGTGTCCTCCCGCCGTTACAAGTTAACGGTAAGAACTTCTTTGGATTGCCTCATACGTAGGACAGGCAGAAGAAAGGCGGTGCTTCGTCCAGAGGGAACGTCTTCACTTCGATCTCGTGTGTGACGCCCGCTGCATCTGGCGGCGCGAGCCTCATCAGTCGAAACTCTCGCTTTTCGAGGGGGGTGTACGTGAAAGGCGTAGACGTGGTATCGAAGCGGACGGTCGGTTTCTCCAGCGACCGCTCGGGCAGCGTACTTGCCTCATCGTTGGGATCCTGGACGTTGTCCACTTTCCCAATGTACTCGAAATTGTAGTTTGAGGTGTCCTCCGCCGCCTCGGGGGGTGGCCGCCAAGGACTGGCACGCAAAGTGACCGTCGCAGGGTCGACGCCCTGGAGGTTGGCAAAGTAGTGCTTGAGGGGCTCCATGTCACCCGCAGCCATGGCATCCAGGGCGACTTGTAACTCGATCCCATCGTCGAGCATGCTCTGCACCCGGCCATCACCTCGGGCCGCAGAAGGCTCTGCAGGTTGGGAGGTCATCCCCTCTTGGTTGTGGGCGGCGGCGCCATGCTCGCTAGGGCCATTGTCAGCTGGCGTGTTCTCGTCGGTTGGGGCAGTCATTTTGTGTTACTCCTTCATGCTCTCGAGTCTCCTGGGGCCCGGGTCTTATGTAGCCCTGCTTAGGCGTGACGATCTCGTTCATCGGCTGTGCCAGTCTGCCTGTGGCAGTGGCCCCATCCATGCACCTGCATGCTTACTGCTTATTAGTACGGACTGCGGTGGATCCTTGTCAGCCAAATGGTCTGCATAGACAAGACACAAGTAGTTGTACCCAGAATACCAGGAGATGGAGAATGGAGAACGGAGAATGGTGAATGACGAGGGAAGAAGTAAGTTTGGTGTTCGTGGGGTGTGAAGCTGCCGGGTAGGCCAAGCCGCCATCCGACATGGAATTTCTCGGTGAGCCGCCCTGGCAGGTGCAGTCCTTCCTCCTCCCTCACCTCAGCCTCCAACATCACCAACTACAAACAAATTCGTCGCGCCGCCTCTCACGCGACAGCAAGCCAGCGCAGCCTTCCATCCCGCGTCGCCAGCACCCAGACCCGACGCAAGACGCCCCTCAATCGCGCATATTGAGCTCGTCGCGATTCGACGCCGCCATGGCGCAACAACCGCTCTCTTCGGCTGTCCCGCCCACCGACATTTACGGCGGCGGTGCGCATCCCCTCCCTCCTCCGGCACACATTTTGGCTGACACCATAGTACAGACGAAGTCTCCGCGCTCGTGCTCGACCCGGGCTACTGCAGCACCCGCGCCGGCTGGGCGGGCGAGGACGTGCCCAAGTCAATCCTCCCCTCCTTCTACGGCCACATTGGCAGCACCAACACCAACCTCTTTGGCGATGAGTACCTGATCCCGCGCGAGGGCCTCGAGGTCCGCAACTACATGAACCGCGACAGCGTGGTCGAGGACTGGGACGTCGCGCCCAAGTTCTGGGAGAACATGCTCGTCAAGCGACTGCAGCCCGAGCGGCCGACGGCCCCCGGCAAGAACGGTCTGAACGACGACCCCAAAAAGGACGGCGAGGGGGACGTGTCGATGGACGGGGCAACAGCAGAGGCGGCGGCCGAGGCGCAGGAGGAGCAGGAGCAGGAGAAGGCCCTGCAGGAGAACCCGCTGCTGGTGACCGAGGCGCCGTGGAACACGTCCAAGGCGCGGGAGAAGACGACCGAAGTCATCATGGAGACGTGGGGCTGCCCGGCCTTTTGGCTGAGCCGCACGCCCACGCTGTCAGCGTTTGCGGCCGGCAAGGCGACGGCGCTGGTGATTGACATTGGGGGCTCCAACACCAACGTCACCGCCGTGCACGACGGCATGGTCCTCAAGCGGTCCATCCAGCGCTCGCCCGTCGGTGGGCTCTGGCTGTCCTCGCAGATCCGCAGCATGTTCGAGCACGCGGAGCCCAAGGTGGCCCTCACGCCGACCTACCTCATCGAGAACAAGACCCCCGTCGACGCCCTCGCGCCGGCCCAGGCCCGCCTGCGCAAGTTTCCCTTTCAAATCGCGGATAGCTTCCGTCGGTACGAGGAGGAGCGCGTCCTGACCGAGTTCAAAGAGTCCGTCGTGGAGGTATGGCGCGGCAACCCCGGTCCCTACCGCGCGCAGGGCACCGAGGACTTTATCAAGACCCAGCCCGGGCGCGTGTTTGAGATGCCGGACGGCTACAACCAGATGTGGCGCGAGCAGCGGTACCGCGCGAGCGAGGGTATGTTTGACGAGAGCGTCGGGTACCCCCTCCCCGAGGCGGAGCGCATCACAAAGGAGCAGACGATCCCGTCCCTCATCCGCGCGGCGCTGGAGGCGGTCGACGTTGACCTGCGCCCCAACCTGCTCGGCAACGTTGTGGTCACTGGCGCCACGAGCCTGATCAACGGCTTCAACGACCGTCTGAACAACGAGCTGATTGGCATGTACCCCGGTGTGAAGATCAAGATCCACGCGGCTGGTCTCACGAGCGAGAGGCGCTTTGGCGCCTGGGTGGGCGGCAGCATCCTGTCGAGTCTGGGCACGTTCCACCAGATGTGGATTTCGCGCAAGGAGTACGAGGAGAATGGCCCTGGCATTGTCGAGAAGAGGTGCAAGTAGGTGGGTAGGAGGAAGACAGGCAGGCAGAAAACTACTGAAAAAAGGTCAAGGCGTACCGGCGTTGGCGAGGGGTGTGGGTTCATTTAGACGATGAAAAAAGGTTTCTAGATGGTCACGTTACTTGAAATCATGATTCTTCTTGTTCAGCCTGGCAGCAACGACGCTCTTCTCTTCGTTGCTTGGCCCAGACACCCAGCTCGTTCCATATGGCCTCCTTCTCCTTGGGCGAGAGCGTCGCCGCGAGGCCGCTGGTGCTCGACGACACGAACACCCGGGCGCCCGGCCAGTCCCCCTCGACGACGCCCATGTTCTCGCTCTCGTCCTGCCAGCCGTAGCGAAAGTTCTTGCCGACGGGTGTCCCGCCGTGGCGCACCCGCCAGATGCTCTCCCAGATACTCTTGCCCACGATGCACATGCACTCTGGTCGCCACGTGCGGGCCTTGTCGTGTAGCGCCTCGACGCCGTCGTCCATCTCTTGCTTGCTCAGCTCGGCGCCGTTGCGGCTGGGTCGGCCCACGATATTGGTGAAACCCATGGAGTAGAGCTCTGGGAGGTTACGGTCCTCTGAGTAGTGGCACAACCTGTCGGTGAGACCCGAGGAGAAGAGTAGTTTCCAGAAGAGGTTACTCGGGTGCGCATAGGCGTGGCCAGTTCGCGCGGTCTGTATGCCCGGGTTGAGACCGACGAAGAGGATCAGCAGGTTGGGCTTGATGGCGTCTGGCAAGGGTGGGAGGTGGGCATATGTGGAAGGGGGAGCATAGGAGGCGGGAGGGCGACTTCTTTTGGATCGCTTTGGCGGCGATGAGGCTGCTGCTGCTGCTGCTGACGACTTGCGTTTCGCAGGGGATGGCGAGGAGTCTTTTGAGGATGCTTGTGATGGCGGCGCCAGGCTGGTTTGTGATAACCGCGTGCTCCTTCTGGGTGAGACGCTCGATGAGTCGTTGTCTGGGGATGTGTACATGAAGTCCTGTAGCTGAAGGCGACCATGAAAGGTGGCTTCGTGCGGTGAGGTTGACTCTTGGTGGTCGGCCTGCTCTTCGTCCTTGGCACTCATATTGTCCTTGGCATTGATGATGGGTCGATACTGGTCTTGCTTCTACTCTGAACACAGTAGTTATATCTGGGATCGTTCGAGAGGCAGACAGCCTGCAGGAGTCCAGGCTCCATGTCCATCTTCACTGGCAGTTGCTATTTCGAGACACGCCCCACTTTAGCTTCAGAGTGAGCTGAGCTGAGCTGCGAGCAACACAGGCTCCAGTGCCAGACAGTGGCTTGACCGCCATAGAAACTTGTCGATGCGGGGCACTAGAAAGAAGCCTCTTCATGGATGATGGAGGGGCACAGCCAGCTTGGCTCATGTATGCTGTACACGTACGATCAACCACCGATTGCCACAACTCACCTCAGTATTCAGAGTAACATTGATTAACATGCGTGGTCGATCTCCGGCAAGCAATTGCTGAACTGTTGGCTTTAGAGGGTTGACCTAGCTCATGAGCAAGTCACTGCCCACAGCAACAGACGCAAACAAGGTCCGGTCAGCAACATAAAATAGAACCAGAGTAAACAAAGCTACCAGATGTGAACCAATAAAACACCCAATTGAACCCATCACCCCTGGAAGCTAGATGCACGGCCACGACGTCAGCCTGCCACAGCTTGCTGGGGCTGCTCAATGCGCGGGCGGGCAGTCACTCAGCCAGTCCCACATGGCGATCTCGTCCGCAGCAACCAAGATCCTCGTATTCGACCTACTTATAGCTACTCTTCACTCCCACAGACACTGCTCTCCTCCTTTTCATACCCTCCCCTCCACGTACCACCACACACACACAGCATGGACAAGATCAAGGAGAAGCTGCACCTTGGGTCCTCCAAGGGCAGCGCCGCCGAGCGCAAGCCCCCCACCGACACCGAGCTCGCCCAGCTCAAGGACAAGTTCACCGCCGCCAAGCAGGACCAGGTCTTCACCTTCTACGACGCCCTCCCCGACAGCGAAAAGGCCGCCCTGTACCACCAGCTCGCCACCATCGACCCGGACCACGTCAACGCCATCACAGACCGTGCCCTCCACCCGCCTCCGAAAGACGACAGCCAGCAGGATGTCCTCGAGCCCCTCCCCGAGTCCGCGACCGCCAGCATCCTCGACTCGGACGCCGCCGACATTGACAAGTGGTACCAGTCCGGCCTCGAGCTCATTGGCAAGGGCCAGGTCGCCGTCGTCCTCATGGCCGGTGGCCAGGGCACCCGTCTCGGCTCCTCTGCCCCCAAGGGCTGCTTCGACATTGGCCTGCCATCCCACAAGTCCCTCTTCCAGATCCAGGCCGAGCGCATCCGCAAGGTGCAGGCCCTGTCCGGCAGCAGCAACGCCGTCGTGCCCTGGTATGTCATGACCAGCGGGCCCACGCGTGGGCCTACCGAGGCCTTCTTCGAGGAGCACAAGTACTTTGGCCTCGACCCGGCCAACGTCAAGATCTTTGAGCAGGGTGTCCTGCCTTGCATCTCCAACGACGGCAAGATCCTCCTCGAGTCCAAGGGCAAGGTCGCCGTCGCCCCCGACGGCAACGGCGGCCTCTACAACGCCCTCGTCCTCTCGGGCGTACTCGAGGACATGCGCCGCCGCGGCGTCCAGCACGTCCACGCCTACTGCGTCGACAACTGCCTCGTCAAGGTGGCCGACCCCGTCTTCATCGGCTTCAGCGCCGCCAAGGACGTCGACATTGCCACAAAGGTCGTCCGCAAGCGCAGCGCCACCGAGTCCGTCGGCCTCATCCTCACCAAGAACGGCAAGCCCGACGTCGTCGAGTACTCGGAGATTGACCAGGCCACCGCCGAGGCCCGCGACCCCAAGAACCCAGACGTCCTCCGCTTCCGCGCCGCCAACATTGTCAACCACTACTACTCCCTCCGCTTCCTCGAGTCCATCCCCTCGTGGGCGCACAAGCTGCCCCACCACGTCGCCAAGAAGAAGATCCCCGCCGCCGACCTGCAGACCGGCGAGACCGTCAAGCCCGAGACGCCCAACGGCATCAAGCTCGAGCAGTTTGTCTTTGACGTCTTCCCCATGCTCTCCCTCGACAAGTTTGCCTGCCTCGAGGTCCGCCGCGAGGACGAGTTCTCCCCGCTCAAGAACGCCCGCGGCACCGGCGAGGACGACCCGGACACCAGCAAGCAGGACATTATGGGCCAGGGCCAGCGCTGGGTCGAAAAGGCCGGCGCGGTCGTGGAACAGGACGGCGGTGTTGAGGTGTCGCCCTTGATGAGCTACGTACGTACAGTTTCACTCTTCTATCAGACAATGCTAACAATAGTAGGGCGGCGAGGGGCTGGAGAAGCTCAGCGGCACCAAGATTGCCGCGCCAGCGGTTCTCGAGATGGAGAAGTAGAAATGGGATGGCCGTTCCAAGGAGGCGGCAGACGACAAAAAGAAATGTCGCCATGCAGAATATGTCACCATACAGGATATACGTGATAGTTGTGTATGAAGCGAAAAAGAATAATTGTACCAGCCCATCACTGTACCGTCTATAGTCTTGCCGCCGTGTGATCATCGCCTTGTACATGGTTACTCTATATTGCGTCTCGGTCTATCTTTTCTCTCTCTGGTATCTAAGACTCACGGTCGTCGTCGCGCACATCCATCTCGCGGTCGGCGAGGTACTTTTCCGCCTCGAGAGCCGCCATGCAGCCAGTTCCTATCATCGTCAGCATCATCACACCGTAGAGGACATATCAGAAAACCTCACCCGCGCTGGTAATGGCCTGGCGGTAGCGCTTGTCCTGCACGTCGCCCGCGGCAAACACGCCCGCCACGCTGGTAAGGGTCGTCCCGGGCTCGGTGACAATGTAGTTCTCCTCGTCCATCTTGATCTGGCCCTTGACGAGCGCGGTGGCCGGGTCGTGGCCAATGGCGTAGAAGAGACCGTTGGCCTCGACCACCTCCTCCTCGCCGGTCTTGGTGTCCTTGACCACGAGGTGGGACATGAGGCCGTCCTCGCCGCCACGGACCTCGGTCGCCACCGTGTTGAAGCGCACCGTCGTCTTGGGGTGCGCCAGCAGGCGGTTGGCCATGGTGCGCGAGGCGCGGAGCTGGTCGCGCCGCACCAGCACCGTCACGTGGCTCGCGTACTTGGTGAGGAAGGTCGCCTCCTCGGCAGCCGAGTCACCGCCACCGATCACATAGAGCGGCTTGTTGCGGAAGATGGGCACCGCGCCATCGCACACGGCGCAGGCGGAGATGCCGTTCTGCCAGTACTTGTCCTCGCCGGCGAGGTTCATGCGGCGCGCCGAGGCGCCTGTCGCGACAATGACGGCGTCGGCCGTGTGCGTCTCGGTCGGGGCGAACTCGGTCGAGTACTTGAAGGGGCGCGAGGAGAGGTCGAGGGTGGTGACGGTGTCGGTGACAATCTCTGTGCCGAAGCGCTCAGACTGGGCGCGCATGTTGTCCTGGCCTGCGTTAGCTTGTCGTGATGAGCATCTACCTCCGCACCAGGCTCGCGTACCATCAACTCCTGGCCCATGATGCCCTTGGGGAAGCCGGGGAAGTTCTCGACATCGGTGGTCGTCGTGAGCTGGCCACCAGCCGCGGTACCGTTGGCCATGAAGCCCTCGTACAGGACGGCTGTCCTCATTAATGGACGCTTTTTCAGTCAAGAGGGTCTTGCTTACGCTTCAACTCGGCGCGTGCCAGGTACACGGCCGCCGTGTGGGCGGCAGGCCCAGAGCCAATGACTGCCAGCAAATGTCAGGGCATGTTCCCGTCCTCGTGTCGTCCAGCCAGGCGTGCAAGTTACGTACTGACAACTTTGCTGTGCATGTTTCGGACGCCCAGTTCTTTCGGGGGTGTCGTCTTTTGTAGTCCGCTTGCCGCAACCGCAATCGATAGCCCAGCGCTCGAGCGAAGGGTCCGGCTGAAAAGTCGTGAGGTAAACAGTTTGGCGGTTGTAGAGGGGTCGGGAGGGAAAGTGGTGATCCTCCTCCTCGGTAGGAGAAGTTCTGGCCGGCGGGGTTTCGGAGGGGCAATTGTACAGTAATGAACGAGTATCACTGAAAATCAGTCCCGAAGGGTCTTCTGGAATATGCACGACGACGGGCCGCGACGCGATTGGGCTGTCGATTTCTAAGCTGCGGCGCGTTTGGGTGGTGTGGAGGGACGGGGCCGAGGAATAATCTCTGCCTGGGTTTCGCCGAGCCGTTCAGTTTTGGATGGGCCAGATTCCAAAATGGACTGGATCTTGGCCTGTTCGCAGTTCATTTTTGGCTCGAATTTTTGGCCGCGCGGTTACGTTTGGCCAGAATGAACTGAATTAGTGGGGTGCAACCAGTCGATTCAGACGTGAATGGGCTACCCGGCAGTCGTCACGCGGCCTCAATGGACTGGATGTCGGCCGCCTCGCAGTCCAATTTGGCCCGGATTTTTGGCCGCGCGGTTACGTTTGGCCAGAATGAACTGTTGGCGGGGTGCAACCAAGTCGATTGATAACGTAGATTGACTACCCGGTAGCCGTTAGCAGGTCCCGATGGACTGGATTTAGGCCGCTTCGCAATCGATTCTGGCTGGACCTGGCTGAGCAGGCTGGCAACCAGGCTGGCTCATAGAGACCTGTTCCAGTAGTCCAATAGGATAATTACCACAAGATTTGCCCACCAGCAACTGCCCTAAGACTACCTGGTAGATGTTAGACTTTTGTATTGTACCAATAAAACAACACTACATATATCATGAACAACTGCGGCTTCGAACGATATTTGAATTACCTGACCTGAAGAAGCATGTACTCTTGCACATGTTCCTCATATCAATTAGATATACGAGATTCGATTGCAAACCACATGAAGCTGGTAGTTTCTACTGTGGGCATATAATTGGCCTGGAGAATACATTGCCTTAATTGTTTTTATACACCTATACCATCGCTCTACGCAGCCCCGTCCTGCGGTTGTCATACCGCACGCTCGTTCACAATCCGAAATGTCAGTGTTTGATGATATGGGGACACTGCACCATCTTGCACAAGAACCATCACACGCTAATTATGCCATCTACCTAGATATGTACTGCCGTAAATACGAACCCCCGCGTGGTGCATGCTCATCGCAGCCCCAGGCCTTCCTCACTCCCATCCCTCTTCCCAAACCGCGCCCCCAGTCCCCCAATATCTCTCTTGAAGAATTTCCCGAAATTGCGAAGATTCTCGTTGATCGTGGCCTTTTCCATGCCGCTCTGGCCCGCACGGTCCGTAGCTGTGCTAATGTCCCTCGCCGCACTGAGGAGCTTCTCCCCGAGAGACCCGGTATCAAAGCGAGCACCCGTCGCTGCACTCAGCGCACTGCCGCTGCTCATGGACCCTGCGCCCGCCGTATGACCCATCCCAGAAGCAGTCATCAGCGGTGTGAGAAGTGGTGAGCTCGCGACCAGCTTATCGTGGCCGCTGCCATCTCGATGGATACCAAACAGCTCCACCAGATGATGCTGGTCCTGCTTGCGAATCCCCTTGAGGTCAAGAATCTTCTTGAAGTTGGTGTCGGACCGGTCGCCAATATGGATCAGGTAGGCTTGCACAAGCCCTTCCGGAGGGGAGGATCGCACTTGGAGCGTCTTGAGAAGGGGGTCCATCCTATTCATGCACTGCTCGACACGGCGGACGAAGCTTGCCGACGGCGTCTGGTGATCCGGCGACGGGTTGTGGAACAGAATCAGGTTGTTGAACGCTTTCGTGAGCGCGTACTTGTCCACCAGCATCTGGAATCGTCAGTCAAGGTCGTGTGTCACCGAACCCAGTATAGTCTCACCTGCTGCGCACCAACCTCCGATATGGGTCGGCACTGCACAATGCTGTTGATGTACGCCGACGCCAAGTGCTCGACGAGATTGTCGCAAAAGGCCCTCGCGTACTGCTGCTTGGCCACCACCCCGAGAATCTCCTCCACTTTGCCGTTCACGCGCCGCACGAGCTCGCTGACATAGGAGCTCTGGTCGCCCGCGCTGTCCATTGTGCTCCAGTTCGTGTTGCGCATCTCGCGCCACACACCGTCACACTCGACCTCGACAATGTGCACCAGCGCCAGGACGGCTGCGCTCGCCACACCCAGGAACGCATCGGACTGAGATGTCAGATCTACCTTGGACACCAGTTCACTGTCGATACGTTTCTTGATGTTCTCCTCCAGCTGGTTCGTGTTGGCATGCCAGAAATCTGCCGAATTGAGTACCAGCACTACATCTTGTATCGTCGGCGCTTGCTGTCCACCCGCCTGCAAGATGTGCAGTAGGACTTGCTGGGCGTATTCGTCCAGGTACTTTGCCAGTACCCTCGACAGGTCCAACAGGCGATCGCTCGTCGACAGCTTGGCGCACTGCGACAATGTGAGCTTGTAAAAGTGGAAAAGCTCAATGGCCGACGGTATGACAGCCGACGGCGAGAACTCCTCATCCTCCGCAACGAGTGGTTGGTTGCGGTACTTGGGTATCACCGAGGCCAGCTGCTTGTCCTGCGAGTCGACCCACAAGCTCAGGTACGGTTCAAAAGCCACAGACACCAATCCATTAAACTTATGCGGCCTTTCGTCCTGCGAGCTCAGTGTGTCGATGCTGGCCCTGGGTTCGCTCCCGAAGCGCCTCTCTAGGCTTTGCTCGAAATCGAGAGTCTCCTGCAGACAGCTCAGCAACAGGTTGACGTCTACCTTTTGTCCCTCGCCGCGCCGCATGCTCTTTTCCAATATCAGCTTAAAGTCCTCCCGCGTGCCGTCGCAGAATGCCGTCGCCAGAACCTCGTTCGCCTTCCAATGCGGTGGGAAGATGGCCGCGTGCTCGTCCTCGTGGGTCTTCAACATGCGTTTGAACCATGCGTAGCGCCGCCCAATGTTGTCCAGGTTGCCCGCCTCGTCGTTGCCCCTGAAGACTTGCCGGTATTCCCTGAGCTCCGTATTCACGTACCAAGTCATGAGCCTGGACTTGGCTTGGTCGCCCAGGGAATCAACAACAAGGCAAGCTTCCTGGAGCGTACCCCTGCGTGCCGACACCTCAGCTTTGGCGAAAGCCATTTCAAAATCCTCGCAGACCTGCTCCAGGAGCTCTCTCTGTAAATCTGCGACCCCCCGGCTGAGTGTCGCAATCTGCTCAATGCTTCGATAGCTGTTAAAGTGCTTCATCAGCTGGATCACAGCCTGCAGGAGCCCGGCGCACTCTCGATATTGCCTGCTCTTCGCCAGTCCGCGCAGCTGCTCGTACGCGGTCGTCAGCATCTGCAGCCGCTTCAGTGCTGTCATGCTGAGCGTCAGGTTCCGTTTCGTGCCGTCCAGCCTCTTGATATCGGCCGTCATGCTCGTAATGTTTTGCTCCGTTTCCATAGCCCGCGACCGGACCGTCTCGATCTTGCGGAAGAGCTGTGCTAGCTCCGCCTGGGCCGACTGCATGCGCTCGAGGCTCGAATCAGGCTGGTACGCCTGCTGCTGCTCCAGCCGGGAAATGTCGCTCGCGATTTCATGTTGGCGGTGTCGTAGTGTATGGGACACTTGGCTGATGGAGGAGACGGTCGACGGGTGGGAGAAGAGCTGGTTGAGGTGCTCGATGGGGTCGTAGTGCACTGCGCGCGGAGGCAAAGGTTAGTGGTTGCTTTTCGAGGGGCCACACGTCGTGCTTACGAGCATCCAGGGCTGTCCCCTCCGATCTGGCGCCCATATTCACGCCAGATTCGCAAGCGGATGTATGTTGAATCGTTGTATGTAAGGTGTCTGGAAGCTACATGCAGGGGTTCCGGTCCGCGGAATGGAAGCTGTCACATGCTAATTGACTTACCCTATATGAATATTTGGCTGAAGCTCAGCTCGCAGCACATATGTCCTTTGTTTGTTTTTTCGTATGAATAAAGTTGTCTTTTGTTCGTGTTAGGACATGCCGATTGGTTTTTCACTCAAATGTGCCTTTTTGTTCTTGTTGACTGCGATCTTGTCGAGATCGTTCATTTGACTTGCATCGTAGTACTTCAAATGTCTTCTCGTGTGAGGTAAAGTTAGTCATTCAAGCGTCCAGCTCTGAAATCTTCTTCATGTTCTACGACTTAAAACTGCAACGATATATCTACTGTTACCTTTTCCTCTGCACCGCATGTCAACCCCAGTTCTTTCCAAGCCCTCTGAACATCGATCTCTAACACGAGCCCCTGGCGTGGAAAGTGGAGGAAGTCGACAGGGACATACTCTCCATGCAACTTCACAGTGATGTTCTCTGAAATGTCGAGGCGTGACGGACTGTCGATGTAGACACCTGATGCAAGATTAGCTCTTGTACCAAAGTCAGCAACAGGTAGCATACCAAGGACGCCGAGTGCCTTGAGTGTGGTCGTTATTTCGATCTTGCCGTCAGCTGCCGATTCAAAAGAGGTATTCAAAACAGCAGCACACCCCATCATCTTGTCCAGAAGCCCGAGGTTCGCTATTTGCACGCCGTCTTTGACTGTGCTGTCCAAAGGCACCAGGGGAACAGCGTATAAAATGTCCCACTGGTGCGAATCAATGGACACATCGTATAGAACGGGCGTCTTCTTGGTACAGTCTGAAGTTGGCGTTAAGCCAGACCGGTAGGAACGGACAACATATTTCTTGTCTTCTTCCACACCAGGGAAGTCTGAGAGGGCCACAAGTTCCATGATGCGACGCCTCGTGACATTGAACAGTCCTAGAATCGAGGCTTTCGAGTCTGCATTGTCTGAGATGTTAGATAATAAGCTATGTTGAAGGCTGCGAACCTACCGTAATGATTCCCAACCTTGAGCAACAAAAGGTCCTTAGAATCAGCAAAGGGGTCCATCGCTCGTGCGGTACCGCTCGGCCGCAAGACCATTGTACCATTTTGAGGCGTCCTCGCCGATACCTGGTCAATCAATCCAAGGTCGTGTTCGCCGAGCTTATCAGTAATATAAATCGGGCCACCACTGATACACCTCCCAGCGGCATGAAAACCTGCATAGTCGTGAACACTCTGGAACATATCCCAGTCAGGCAACACATTCATCTCCCGGAGCAACACACAATTGTGTGCATTCGTCCAGATATGCCATGCGTGTGAATCCAGCTCGTCTGGAAAGTAGTCGTCGGATGTTCGCATAGGGTATATCAGCCGGTGGCAAGAGGCATATGTGTATGATAAGGCCTGTGGGAACATGGACATGCAAGAGATGGTCTTCATCTCGAAATGTCGAAGTGTAGCTTGACTCCATGTGTCGAGATAGGAGTACAGGAGCTCGCGACGAGCTCTGGCGCTGCTCCAACACTCTACCATGCTCTGCACGTCAGTCTTGACGCCATCGATGCCAGCATCCTTCAGGAACTCGTAGAAATCGTCGTAGAACCTTGCCAAGTCATCCTTGGAAACGACCGTCATGTCACCATCGAGCCCGAGGTGGTCGTCTTTGCGAGCAAGTGTCTGGTTGGCGTACTTTGCGGCAAGTCGACCCCTGGGATCTATCCCGCTCCAGTATCCAAGCAGAGCATGCCACACGGCAACATGGCGAATGCGCCCGTATCTGTGCTTGATCGAAGCGACTGTTGCTTTCAGACCCGAGGAAAACCTCTCTGGAGCGGCTTCAAAGTCGGTCCACCCTCTTGAGAACGGCGTGTCGCCGTCGCCGATGTGCTGCCAGCCATCGTCCAAGATGAGGTTGGTGATTTGAATGCCATGGCTCTGGAGGTCATCCAATACTTCGAGCAGACGTGCTTCGGTCATCTCCGGCCCCAAGCAATTCCACGTGCCTAGATACCGTTAGTGCAATGAGCATCGAATGCCTCATGGGCAATGCTGAGCACTCACAGAAACCCAGACCGTCGTGCCAAGCGTCGCGATCGGTCGATTTGTACATCTCAGAGTGAAAAGGGGCTTCTTCCTCCTGGTGCTCCATTCCGATTCTGGGTAAACTATCACTTTGTTCACGAACGAATGCCATTATCCCCTGGATGGCCTTCTCTAAGTGACGGGATTCGGCGATAAGTACTGTAGCCTTTTCTGGATATGCCCCAGAACCATCACTGCGTGTCTGGCCTTATTAGCAGCAGTTCTTGCACAAGAACTCACTTCCCCTTACATGAACCGTGAGCATCCCATCATGCGTACTCTGGAACACCGACATCACATTGTTCAAGCCGCTGACTGCGAAGAACGCAAGATAGTGCCCGTTCTCCAGCAGAAACGCACACAGGACGGCATCTTTGTCAAAAGACAGATGACTTCGCCCGTGACGAGGCGCAAGCCAAGAGGCACACTGACGCACAAGGGCAAACCATCTGGGAGAGGGCATCAGCCACTTCCCGCAAGACGCACAGTCACAGAGATCATATCCGGAAACCTACCTGAGGACCGGCTTGCGGGGGAGGCCGAGATGGAAGTCACGAATGGTAGAAGTATCCTGATCCGGTTCTCCTCGCCCAGGGCAAGGTCGTGGAACTCCCGCTTGAAGGCGCCAAAGGCTCGCAATATCGCAAGGGCGTTTCTCGATCTCCCATTCCGAACCGAGATGTGGAAGCTCTGCAGAGATATCTTCAAAGAAACCCGGCGAGGACTGTCTCACAACAGTCCCATCTTCTAGATTGGACTCGTCCCTGACCCAAGTCCAGTCGTCTGCGCGACCACTGCGATACTTCACAGTGAAAGTGATAGAACGCTCGAACGTGAAAGAAAAGCGGAAGTAGAGTTGCCCCGTCAGCGAGTCTTGTCGCTGTAGCGGACATGGTCTGCTTGCCTCAGGGCAAGGACTCAGCCGTGCCTCACTCCAGTCAGCAGCTCCGTCTACTGAGTACCAGAGTGATGCTTCCCATTCCGGATGATTTCCGGATTGAGTGTGAGGGATATTGAGAACAGCAGTCAAATCGAGCACATCTCGATCAAGTACAGTGACTTTTCCAAGTGGAGGATAAGTTTGAGCATGAATTGGCATCGCGAAGTTGCCAGGCCATAAAAGTAATTGGGCGTCAAGGCCAATAATGGCTATGACGGCGATGAATAAGGCGGCGATTTCCATTGGTGGATGCGGCGCCGGAACATGGATGATCCGCCTGCCTGGAAATCTGCTTCGAGGTTGACGGAGCTTTACGGGAGGGAAGACTCTATCCCAGCAAAACAACTCATCACCTTTGTTCGCCCTCCAACCTCCGCAATGGCGTCTCGGAGACTAGCACTCAACCTCTCGCGAGGTCTACAAACCCGCCGAGCTGGCTTTACGGCCGCCTCCTGGAAGCGAGGTTTCGCGTCCGCGGCCTCGGGACTCAAGACTCAGACCACGACACTCAAGAACGGCTTGACGGTAGGTTGCGCGTGCGCAGGGGCCCATTGGCCTCGCAGACGACGTTTGAAAAATTCCAGCGATTGATTGTGTCCATAGGTCGCTACCGAGTACTCGCCATGGGCACAGACTTCGACGGTCGGTGTCTGGATTGACGCTGGCTCCCGAGCCGAGACCGACGAGACCAGCGGCACCGCGCACTTCCTCGAGCACCTTGCTTTCAAGGTATATCACCAATGACCGCATTTACGCACGCGACAAATGCTAATTCCGAACCACAGGGCACCCAGAAGCGTTCGCAGCACCAGCTCGAACTCGAGGTCGAGAACCTCGGTGGTCACCTCAACGCCTACACTTCGGTTAGTACATTACGAGAAAACATCAATCACAGCCGGACACAATGCTTACATCAAGCCAGCGCGAGAACACCGTCTACTTCGCCAAGGCCTTCAACTCCGACGTTCCCCAGTTTGTCGACATCCTTTCCGATATCCTCCAGAACTCCAAGCTCGAGGAGTCCGCCATTGAGCGCGAGCGCGATGTCATCCTGAGGGAGTCCGAGGAGGTCGAGAAGCAGGTCGAGGAGGTCGTTTTCGACCACCTCCACGCCACGGCTTTCCAGCACCAGGCCCTGGGCCGCACAATCCTCGGCCCCCGCCAGAACATCCGCGACATCACCCGCTCCGAGCTCACCAACTACATCAAGAACAACTACACTGCTGACCGCATGGTTCTTGTCGGTGCCGGTGGCGTCCCCCACGAGAAGCTGGTCGAGCTCGCCGAGCAGCACTTCTCTGGCCTGCCCAGCAAGGGCCCCGAGAACCACGCGTACCAGCTCTCCAAGAAGAAGGCTGACTTTATCGGCTCCGACGTGCGCGTCCGCGACGACACCATGGGCACTGCCAACATTGCCCTCGCCGTCGAGGGTGTCAGCTGGGACTCGGAGGACTACTTCACCGCCCTCGTGACCCAGGCCATTGTCGGCAACTACGACAAGGCCATGGGCAACGCGCCCCACCAGGGCAGCAAGCTCAGCGGCTTCGTCCACAAGCACGACCTCGCCAACAGCTTCATGAGCTTCTCCACCTCGTACAGCGACACCGGTCTCTGGGGCATTTACCTCTCCACGGACAAGATCACCCGCGTGGACGACCTCGTGCACTTTGCCATCCGCGAGTGGATGCGCCTGTGCTCCAACGTCTCGCCCGCCGAGGTGGAGCGCGCCAAGGCGCAGCTCAAGGCCTCCATGCTGCTGTCCCTCGACGGCACGACCGCCGTGGCCGAGGACATTGGTCGCCAGATCGTCACCACCGGCCGCCGCGTCGAGGCTGGCGAGATTGAGCGCAAGATCAACGCCATCACCGAGAAGGAGGTCATGGACTTTGCCAGCCGCAAGCTGTGGGACAAGGACATTGCCATCAGCGCCGTCGGTGGCATCGAGGCCCTCTTTGACTACCAGCGTCTGAGGAACACGATGAAGCCCAAGTTTTAAAGGAACGGTGACGTTTATGTGGAATTAAAGCAACTGCTGGGTAGAGCTGGGTATAGAGTGTATGAGATACCGCGAAGGCCTAGTGTACCATAAATCTTTTCCCTCTGTTCATACACATGCTAGTCCCAATGAATCTGCTGTGAGTGATGACTGGGCTAAACAGCATTTGAATCTTGTGGAAATGTCAATCGTCATTACCAAGGATCTGATACGAATGCCTGCCGCACCCCACAGATCAACGCCGTGAATCCATCCTGTACGCCTTGCAAGAAAACACCAAGATTCGCCCATGAACCTTTACCGGCCAATCGCTTTGTACGGACTGCCCAGATATACAACTGTGTGCCTTTTAGGAACCCTCCGCCATTTCCGCGTCCACGTCGTCGCCAAACATGTCCTCCACTGTCCCCCCTTCGACGGGGTCACCTCCCTCGTCTTCGAGCGGCGGGGCCTCGATGCCCTCCATCGCGTCATCGCCGTCCTCGTCGAGCAGGCGATCGGCTTCCTCCCACGCGTCCTTCAGGCCCCAACTCGTCCCGCTAAGTACGAACCGCTCGCCGGGCAGGCGCACACCCCACTCGTTGGGCACGATCTTGGGGAGGGCGACCTTGTTCTTCTCGCGCGCCAGCTCCTGCATGTATTCCTTGCTGATGCCGCCGCCTGTGCTTCCGCCGCGGAACTGGTAACTCAAACGCGCCCCAATGGCCAGCTTGACGGCGTTGGCTGTGACGGCTGCGTCACCCGCTGCTAGATTCGCTGCACTGGAGGCACCGGCGCCCTTGGAGCCGGCTTGCTGAATGTAGGGGTCGGCGGAGAGGTGGATCGCGTCGTTGAGGATGGAGGAGGTGTGTCGGTATGCGAAGTCGAGGAGTAGTAGGGGTACGCGCTGCTCGTAGGATGTGACGCCTTGCGACGTGAGCAACAGCTCGATGAGCCTGGCATCTCGTGGTCGGGGGGCTGCGTTTGAGGATGACGGGGGCAATTGCCCATGGGATTGTGTAGATGTAGATGCTGGGGCTGTCGCTTGGGTTTTCTGGGTGTTTGGCACAGTTTGCGAGCTGTTTGCTGAGGCCGCAGGAGCACCGCCGTTCGTCTGAGGCTGGCTCGAGGCCATGGTGGATGGAACGCGCGACTGCGACGCTGGGCGTGAATTTGAAGGTTGATCGGCTGAGGATGGGAATCAAATCGGGTATGCGGTCCTATATGATGACTTGCGACCCAGCTCGTGGTTTTGGATTGTTGATCTAAGCTCGAGGCGCCGAGTTGTTGGGGGTGTATGCGTGTTGCTGATGGGCATTGAAGCTCTCTGTGAGATGCATGGTGTATGCGGGAAGCCAAGCAAGGTACGTCGGAACCTTCTTTGTCCGGATGCCGGGGTGGTGGGGCGGGCTGCTTCGGATGAATGCGGGAAGCAGATTGGACGTGTCCAGTTACTGCCCCTAAATGGCTTTGCGCACTAATTACGCTGTTGGGTTAATTTAGTATTATAGGTACGTACCTTAGTAATTAGGCTGGCCTCCCAGGACCAAAAGGCCAAAACGATGATGGATGGAGGGGCAATTCTGCCCCACCATGTACTGCTCATCGAACTCAAGCCGCCGATGCAGGAACTTTGAGTCAACTTTTCAAGAGAGTACTATATCCAGACATTGACCCATCCTCCTGGCCAGGAGACTCTGGACAACTTGCAATCATCATGGAGACGACACTCCCACTTCCGTTCCTCATCAGTGTGGCGGTGCCCCCAGGGCTGGCCAAGCTCGAGGGTCTCACGCGCGAGGAAGTATCTGTGCTTGGTGTCCCATTCTTTGAAGCGCAGCCCAAGATCCTGGACAAGCTGTCACGATTTCTGGGACGTCACAACCATGAATTCTACTCTCACATGGATGTCACGAGCCTCGAATCTGTCGATGATGTCGTGGCCTTACTCAACGAGGGAACCCGAAAGGTGTTTGTTGCTGCAGAGAACCTCTCCGCTTACACAGAGTTTGGGTCGAGGGTGATCCCAACAGTTTCCAAGCGAGACCTATCCGCCGCTTCAGAGCACGGTCTTCTGATCAAGGAGTTCGACCCATCATCGGCAGACGTCGACAAGTTCATTGCCGAGGCCAAGGAGAAGAAAGTCAACAACTTGTACCTGAAGCCCACATCGACAGCTTCCGCTGAGAAGGTTCTCGACGTGGCCAAGCAATGCGGTGCCATACCCATCCTGGCCTCGACATCGTTGACAACCAACAAGGACGACAAGAAGCGCCTATTGCTGTCCAAGGTTATCGCTGGATTCTGTAAGTCGGATCGCCCCGACGGTCTAATCCCCACCGTCGTCACAGATGAGTCAGGCATTGCTCTTGGTCTCGCCTACACCAGCGAGGAGAGTATCCTCGAAGCTGTGCGGACCCAGGGCGGCGTGTACCAAAGCCGGAAAAGGGGTTTGTGGATCAAGGGCGCGACATCGGGCGACACCCAGGAACTTGTCCGCTTCGCGCTGGACTGCGACAACGACACCCTCAAGTTCGTTGTCAGGCAGACGAACCGCTTCTGCCACTTGGAGCAGACTGGCTGCTTCGGCGACCTAAAGGGCATCGCGGCCCTGGAGCAGACGCTCAAGGCGCGCAAGGAATCAGCGCCCGAGGGGTCCTACACGAAGCGCCTCTTCTCCGACGCCAGCCTCCTGCGGGCCAAGATCATGGAGGAGGCCGAGGAGCTCTGCGATGCCAAGACGCCCGAGAACACGGCCTTTGAGGCAGCCGACCTCATCTACTTTGCCCTGGCCAAGGCTGTCAGCGCCGGCGTCTCCCTCGCCGATATCGAGGCCAACCTCGACGCCAAGGCGCTCAAGGTCAAGAGGCGAACGGGCAACGCCAAGGGCAAATGGGCGGAGAAGGAGGGCATCAAGATCGAGCAGCCGCCGTCCAAGGTGGCGCCCGCCGAAAAGCCGGTCACGGACCGCATCGTGATGCAGAGGATCGACTCGACCAAGGCCTCCGAGGCCGAGCTCCTCGAAACCCTCAAGCGGCCCTCGCAAAAGTCGCCCGACGCCATCCTCAAGATCGTGACCCCCATCATCGAGGACGTCAAAAAGGGCGGCGACAAGGCTGTGCTCTCGTACACCCACAAGTTCGAAAAGGCCACCTCGCTGACCTCCCCCGTCATCAAGGCGCCCTTCCCCAAGGAGCTCATGGACCTGCCGCCCGAGACGATTGAGGCCATTGACGTCTCGTACGAGAACATTCGCAAGTTCCACGCGGCCCAGAAGGAGGACAAGACTCTCCAGGTAGAGACCATGCCCGGCGTCGTGTGCAGCCGCTTCTCGAGACCCATTGAGCGCGTTGGCCTGTACATTCCCGGTGGCACCGCCGTCCTGCCCAGCACGGCCCTCATGCTCGGTGTCCCCGCCATGGTCGCCGGCTGCAAGAAGATTGTGCTTGCGTCGCCGCCCCGGTCGGACGGGCGCGTGACCCCCGAGATTGTCTACGTGGCGCACAAGGTCGGCGCCGAGAGCATCGTGCTCGCCGGCGGTGCCCAGGCCGTGGCCGCCATGGCGTACGGGACGGAGAGCATCACCAAGGTCGACAAGATCCTGGGACCGGGCAACCAGTTCGTCACGGCCGCCAAGATGCACGTCAGCAACGACACCAACGCAGGCGTCAGCATCGACATGCCCGCCGGTCCGTCCGAGGTCCTCGTCGTCGCCGACAAGGACGCCAACCCGGCGTTTGTGGCGTCTGACCTGCTCTCCCAGGCCGAGCACGGCGTCGACAGCCAGGTCATCCTGATCGCCATCGACCTCACCCCGGAGCAGCAGCAGGCCATTGACGACGAGGTCCATAACCAGGCCATGGCCCTGCCCCGTGTGGACATTGTCCGTGGTGCCATCGCCCACTCTGTCACCGTGCAGGTCAAGACACTAGACGAGGCTATGCGCATCAGCAACGAGTACGCGCCGGAGCATCTCATTCTCCAGATCAACGACGCCGCCAAGGCCGTGGACCAGGTCATGAACGCCGGTAGTGTATTTATTGGGCAATGGACCCCTGAGAGTGTCGGCGATTACTCGGCCGGTGTCAACCACTCGCTTCGTAAGTTCCCCCCTTTTCCACTAGGAGGCAAGTATCCAGCTAACCCCGTGTAGCTACATATGGTTTCGCGAAGCAATACTCTGGTGTCAACCTGGGCTCGTACGTCAAGCACATTACAAGCTCCAACCTCTCCTCGGATGGTCTACGCAACGTGGGTTCCGCGGTGATGCAGCTCGCCAAGGTGGAGGAGCTCGAAGCGCACAGGAGGGCCGTCGAATTACGCCTGCAATACCTGGATGCCCAAAAGTAGAGTCCAGGGGGGCAACAACACTAGAATCTAATTTTATCATGTTTGGTAATGGACAAGTCAAGTGTTGTGTACATTGCTTTGCTATGATCCCTCGAATTTTCCCCCTACGCCATGCTTTTGGGGGCCAATGTGTCTTGTCCCCGCGCTGAAAATATGCCATTTATATGTGTCCAGTCCCCACGAAACGCCGCTCTATTATGCAGATTCTTCTTCTTTGTCTTTCCTTTTTCCTCATTCGCTTCGTATCTCGACAGGTTCGAGCACGTACTGCTCATCCACAGCAGGCGTGCCATTGGTGCCCTGACCAAAATGTCTTAGCATACTCTTGTCACGCTTCAGTCCTTTCCGAGTGAGAGATGACCAACCCCGGTTATAATCTCGGCGTTGACGTCCTCGGCACCGAGCTTCTTCCGCTGTGGCGCAGAGGGCTCCATGACCTGGGTATCGTCTTCCGACGCGTAGGCGAGGTGCTCGTCGTCATCGTAGTCCTTGTTGGTGTAGGCGAGATGCTCGTCGTCTTCGTTGGCTTCTTCATACTCCTCATCCAGACGGCTCTCGATGGACGCGCGAGGTTGATCGCGGGCGTCATCAAATGATTCGCGGGAAATGTAGCTATCGCCGAGATACTCCCCGGCTTCCTCATCCTCGTCATCCTCAGCATATACGCTGGCCTCCTCGTCTTCTCCCTCGTCACTTTCGCTGGCCGAGAAATCATCCAGCGGAAGGGGGTCGTCACGCCAGTACATGAAGTCGGTGAACTCCTCCCCGCCGCCTGTGACTAGCGTACTGATCGGCGGGAAATAGTGGTCAACGACCTCGTTGATGTTGACGTAGCTCATCTTCAGCTTATTCAGAGTGAGGAGGTCCAAGGACACCTCAGAGTTGGAGTTGATGGTAAAGATGCGGTTCCGAGGCACATCGACAGTGCGGTAGGAGATCTGGTCCGTGAGTCGGTTGCCAAAGCCAGCGTAAAAGGGACTCCGCTCCGAATTATAGAGGTTGCTGATGTCTCGAAGAGTGGCCATTTTGAAGACTTGGGGTTGGCGCAGATAGACCTCGCGGCGCAGGGCTGCCATGGTACGATCGGGAGACAAGATAGTCGGTCCCGCGGGTAGACGGCTGCCGTCTTGCACAATGTTGGCCAGATAGGTCCGTGTGGTGTCCGCTTGGCCGACGGATCGACTGGTCAGGTACATAATGTTGTAGCCGTTGGCGGCAATGTCGCTGTACAGCTTGGCAATGCCAGCGTGCGTCCAGTCACGCCCAATCATGTTGAGCACATGGCCGAGGGCATCGGACTTTGTGATCGTACCGTCAATGTCGGAGATGACAACGGGGACTTCGTGCCGCCACAGGTACATGTTGGCTGAGCACGTCGCTCTGTTGACCGTGAAGCTCATGCTGTTGGGACCGGGCTTCAGCTTCAGGTCCTTGAGCTGCTCGCTGGTCAATCGAAGGGTCTTTGCGTAGTTGCGGGTCGGGTCGCCCCCTCGATTGGTGCCGGTCGGCGTCCTGGGCGGCGTCTGCATGTCGAACGGCCCTGCGTCCGACTCTGCTCGTCTCTGTCTATTCGCGGTCGGTGGGTTTGTGACGTCGCTGTCGTCGCTCTGGTATCCTGGGTCGGATGCGGCATCCGAGTTCAGGCCGTGGCCCTGCATCGTGGACTCCATCGTCCGCTTCATAGCAGCCTGGCGGGCTTCCTCGCTGCTGTAGATGACGAGGTTTCCCTCGGAGTCGAAACCAAACAACGCCCCAATATCGTAGTTGCCCTCGAGCTCCTCTGCCAGAATCTTGCGCGCTAGCACCTCGGCGCGAATCATCTCCTCCTCGCTCCCTTTGAACCCCGTCAAGTCGAGCGTGAGATCGCCCGTGTCGTTGACTTTGCTGGGGATCCCAACAGTTGACAATTTCTTGGACAGGATCATGGCACGCTCGATTGCCTCGTTGAGTTCAAGGGGAGGAGGGCTTTGCGAACGCTCGGAGAGTGGCCCAGCGTGGTCGTCGTCGGTGATTTGGTCCTCGTCCTTCTTCTCGGCAGAGCGAGCGGAATATCGTAGCACATCGTCGCTATGCGGTCGCATCAGGGCGCCTGACCAGTCGCCCGAGGCCGGCCGTCCAGCTGACATGTTTGGAGACGTCGATTCCGGGGTGAACATTGCTGCGCACATGTTAGTCAAGGCGGTTGCCGTCCGCGCACCAGGGCTTTGTGCGTACCTTCATCGACGCTGGCATGCGTGTGCAGCACTGCAGGTGGCGGCCTTGCAGGTCGTCCATTTGGCGCGGCATTGAGCTCAAAGTGATCAGGCTCTTTGAGGTCAGGTGTAGTGGATTGCGCATCCAACGGTGGACTGCTTGCTGGTGACACCAAAGGCGAGGTTTGCATGGATTGTGGTACGTTTTCGGTCGTCTCAAAGACGAAGAAGGCCTCGCCACCTTCGCCAAGTTTCATGGAGTACGGCTGCTTGACCCCATTGACCTTGAACTCGACCTTCTTCTCATACGGACGCAAGAGGGAGAACTTGCCGAACCGTACGTGGAAAGGCGAGCAGGCGAGGGAGCCATCCTGCTGTTGTACGACGATCACATCAATAGCGCCACTCAAGGTAGCGGGATTGATGGAATTCCATGCAGTCGACACGGAATCGCTCAAGTTGCGAACATATTGCATCTTGTCGTGTTGCGCGCCCGGATCGTCGGCGTCGCAACGTAGGCTGGAGTGACAGCGGAGGGGGGCTTGTTGGCGCAAGCCGAGTTTCTGTGTCGTTTGGCCGTGGCAAAATAGGTGGCTGTCGTGTGTCGTGTAACAAATGCCAGGGGATTAAGGAGCGGAAAGAAGCGAGACGGCGAACAAGAGGCAAGGCAAGAGAAAGATCGTGATGCTCTAGGTCGGTTGAGCGGGTTTGGGACTGGACGCTGGGCAATACGTAATGATGGATGATGGGGGTGGATGGGTCAGGGACTGGACTGTCACTGAGGTAGCCTGTAGCGGTCGTGGGGTACTTTCGGCGCGGACGTTTGAAGCAAGTTGAGGGGCACGCGTCTAATTAGAGGGAGGACAATAGGTATAATGAAGAAGGGAGGGATGGGAAAGGAAGACTGTTGAAGCAGAAGAAGCTGATCGATCCATCAGAAATCCCTGCGCCGGTCGGTTGCCTGTCTTTGTTGAGGTTGAGTGAGGTGCTCTTCTCTTTACAGTAAGCCAGGCTCCATCCAACCACTGCAGGCGGGCAGTCCGTGACGGCGGGCCAAGCTTTTGCAGCCTTCGCGCCCATTATCCATCCATTCAAACCACTGCATTTTTCTATTTCGAGCCATATAGCAGCCCTGGAGCCTGTCACAGGCTGCCGAGCGTTTTCCGCAACGGACAAAACGCACCGACTGCGTTTCTACTGCATGTGACGCTGGCTGGGGTTTTCATCTTTCCCATCCATGGCCCTAGAAGCCAATGAAATGCGGATTCGAACAAACATGTGCCAGCCACTACATCCACGTTTATTTGACTTGCCATATAATAATTACCCCTTCGTGCTATCCAATATCAAGTAGCAGCCACCGTCATCATTTTTTAGGTTCACCTTAGGTCATCTCGATCACCGTTGCCATTGAAAGTCGGGACTTGTCATGTTACGGCCGATCTCACGGTGGGCATGTCACCAGCCAGGTGAGTGACCTCATGACGACGCGAGCCTCGGTACACTCTTTAGCAAGTGCCGACAATCCTCTGGGGCTGCATCACACTGTCCAATGGTCGAGGGAAAATACTGCAAGCACAGGGTAAAACATCTGCTGCGGATGTTTCCACCCCATTACACCTCATCATGATGGCACCACGTGACACCTTGCGAGGAATGGTGCCTGCCTGGCCTGGCTGACTCTTGCTCGAGGTCAAGATGAGCCATTCGAAATCCGTTGACGCTTTCGTTGATACGTAGTAGAGTTCATCTTGGGCTGCGATAAGGAGACGACTGCAATCAAATGCCCACAAGGAAAGCCATCATCCAGGGTTTCAGCGGCAAAAAGGATAACGGAAGGGAGGGTGCTGGTCGAGTCTTGGGCGGACAAGGTACAATCTACCGTGTAGAAACAAGCTCGAGATTACGGCGCCAGTTAGGCTCCAAGCCTGACTGGTGTTTGCCGGTCTACATGGGCTTATTAGAGAGCACATGCACTCCAACTGGTGCCAGCAATAGGCACAATGCATTTGAGCTTGCTCTCTCTGCAAATCTGCACAAGGTACCTTGGTAAGGAAAAGGCTGCGGGACAACTGGAAGGGAAGCAAAGGGCACCAGCACTCCCTAATACAAGCTTAGTAAGTAGATAGACCTTAGTTAGGCCTACTAGGTACCGTACAGGTAAGGTAGCTTTGAAAATAGGGTCCTCCTGCTGCAATCAAACAATTGACCAAGGTAAAGTGCATGTCAATATCAAGCGAGTCAACAACAGCAAACCCCAAAGACTGGGGCCGAAAAGCATGACAAGCCGACAACCGTACCAGCATACGGTAATTTTATGCTAATAATTTACTGCTCATCACGACCTGGGAGACAAGCTCAAATCCTTCACGGAATCACGCACGTCTCGTACTTATGCGGCTCCATGTCCCCCTCCCGAGTCGGATCGCCGCCAACCCACTGCCGAGAATTCTGGTACGTGTGACTTTGACAATTGTCGTGCGTTTTGGGGGTCCGCCAAGTCTTTTCCAACTCTAGCCTTTCGCAACCACCACAGACAGCACAGCACGCACAGCACGCAACCCATCCAATCCCTCCCTCCCCACGCACGACCGACCGACCGACCATAGGGCCGACGCAACCTCGAGACTGCTGTTGATGGTCACGAATCGCGTACCACGATACTCGCTCGATTTTCGCACGTCCTCATAGCCAGTCCGCCAGCCACCCGTCCGACGCAGCACCATCTCGCGAATGCAGCAGCCGCACCCCCGGCGGTACTGCCTCGTCCCTCCGACAGCGTCGTCAACCAGACTGTAGAGTGTGCTTCCGCTGGGAATATGTCATGGGCGTTCCCGCTCTTGACCACGCTCACCCTTATCATCATCGCTTCGTGTTGGATCCGCTCGTGGACGCACTCCTGGAGGCCCCGTGCGAGGGGCGCTGTTACCATCTTCCTCTCCATCCTCTCCGCCATCTGGCTCGCCCAAGTACGCTCCCTCACGCGGTCGTTTCAGCAGCCGACTGCGCACGACGTATACAACGCCCTGCGACCCGATGTCCTGTTAGCCAATCACTTTAGAATGGTTTTGACAGTCGGTGCCATAGTATGGTGAGCTCAGCACCTCCCGTCGACGCGAGGCGCCTGACCAGCTTTACTGACTTGACTCCTTCCCGCAGGCTCATCCACCGCTCATGGCAAACTTTGTGGAAACCCGTGCCCGAACTCATCAACGTGCTCGGCGTCGATGTCCCCGAAGCCCCGGATGTCTCGCTCGCGGGCATCCGCGCGGATGCTGCCACTCTTAGCTGGACGCCGCCCGCGCCCAATCGTCCGGTCCAGAAGTACTTGATACAGGTCAATGGCATTCACGGTGCGTCTCTATGCGGCCCCTTTCGTACCTCTTTTTGTACTAATTGGTATGCAGTCGGAGAATCTCCTGGCACGGATCTTGCAATCACCGTTACGGGCCTGAAGCCGAATCACTTCTACAATATCCGTGTCGTGGCCATGGGCCCCAACAATTTCCAAGCGGCCAGCGAAACCATTCGTCTTCGCACCTTTGGCGAAGATGGGAAACCGTACCTTGGCAACTCACGTGTCCCCACCAACTTTGTCGAGGAGGACGCATCCAAGGCCAGAGCCGTGGATGATGGTGGCGCCAATGGGCCCGCTGCGTGCTCTTTTGCGGCTTCCATCGAGCTTCTCGACAGAAACTCCAACCCGGCTCGGGATGGTGCTTCTACTGCGCCCGGCCAGCGCCGTAACACTCTCAACCGACGCCACTCGCCGTCCGTCACGAGTTCGGAACAGCCGCCCTTGCGACCCTCTGCATCAGATCACGATGGGCCAGAGCAATCCTTGGACGTGCTGAGTCGCCAGTTCCAGGAGATTCGAACCGAGATCAATGATACAGTGGCCACGATCAGTACCGATGAGGCCGAATTTCAGCAAGCAGAAAGCGAGTTGAAACAAGAAAAGGATCAGAAACGGGCCTATCTGAAGGAAAAGGAGGAGCAGACAACGACACTCAAGGCCAACGTGCGTACCACTATGGAGCTGATGCGCACGGCGGAGAAAGAAAAGGCCAAGAAGGAGGGCCAGCTCAAGGAGAAGGAAGCCAAAAAGTCAAAGGTGCGAGACCACATTGTCAAGCTCGAGAAGGAGATGGAGAGGATGAAGACGGAGCGGGAAAGCTTCCAGGCCCAAAAATCAGATCTGGAGAGGCAGCGGGACGAAGACGTGCAACAGCTCTTTGAGGGCAATGCCAAGCTGCAGGAAGACCACAATGAGCTCGAGGCGGACTTGAGCAACAAGGGAAAGCAACTGAACGAGATGAAGGAAGCTAGGAAGCACCTCGCTGGGGCAGATGACGAGCAGTCCCGCGCGAGCGACGAGAAGACGAGAAGGGAGTGGGAAGCTGCCCGCCAGGCCTTGCATCACCAACTCGTCGAGGAGACAAAGGTGGCGCACCAACTTGACCACCAGATCCATATGCTTGCCGAGCAGATTGAGTTGCATTCGCAGCATCAAGTCGAAGCGGATCCCGACGCTGTCTTTTATGGCCAGTCTGGCGATCCCCTCGCCGAGTTGGACATGGATCACATGCCCTCTACCCAGACGAAACGGCTCAGTCGCAACAGCAACGACATGCACATGTCACCTTCGGCACACTTTGGCATGACCGACTCGCCTTCTCAGCTTCCTCCGGGCCTGAACCGGCCTTCGACCGGCTTCGCGCCGATGCTGTTTATGCCGGAATCCGACGAGCATCAGACCGAGGAAGAGATGCGATCGGCAGGCGGCCCGCTCAGTCCGTCGGCACAGCTGTATCTGCCCTCTGGTATCATTGACAACGAGTCCGACACTAAGACACCTCACACTCCTCTGCTACCCGAATCTGTCACAGCCAACGAGGGCGACCCCCAGTCGCCAGAATCCTCCCCCCGGTCCTTCAGCGTCTTCTCGAGCCCGCACTCGTCTACGTTCAATCTGCCCTTCCCCTCGTATCAAGACCAGAGCGAGCGAGGCTCTCTCAACTACACGCCTCCTGCGCTCGGCTCCACCGGCGGCCTCCGTCTCTCGAGCCTACTCTCGAGCTTCCACCGCAACCGAACGACGAAGCCGGAGGGTGAAGAGCTCGCCGGCCCGCCGATTGGGACTCTCAAGCCCGGCCAGAGCCAGTCTTTTCCCCGCAACACCGACGATGGTGACATTGCAGGTGGCAAGCGTAGGATGAGCTTTTCACTCAAGGGTCACCGGAACTCGACAGGCCTCGACAGCCCCAACCCTTTCGTCGGCTCCAAATCGCTCCTCGGGAGGCGACTCAACCCGTTTGCGAGCTCGAGCGGCATCATGTATGCCGATCGCGACCCGACTACCTCAAGACCGCCCTCTATTGCGTCAGCCGACCTACCTCGGCCCTCGACGGACAGTGGCTCCATCTGGGGGACGATTGGGGACAGTTCCATGGCCAAAAGCCGTCTATGGTCGCCGAACGAGGGACGCTGGGCTTCAAGAAGCGGCTCCCGACGTCCTAGTATCCACGGGTCTCCTTCGGCTCTGACAACGTCGCTCGCCTCCGCGGACGATGAGATCTTGTACGACACCGAGCTCAACAACACGCTGCCTAGTCAGGTGGGCGTCATAGGATCGAGGCCACCAGGAGCAGCCGCCAGGCTACTTAGCCAGCGCCTGAATCCTGCCGCGCCAACATTCATGGGCTTGTTCCGTAACAAGGATCGCGAGGTGTTCTCCGAGAAGGAGAAGGACAAGGTCAAAGCCAAGGAGAAGGGCAAAGAGCAGAAGGGCAAGGGAAAGGAGGCCACGCCGAGCATCGAAATGCCGCCTGGTGGCGATGAGTCGCCTTCGGACTCACGCATGTCCCGCGACACCTACTCGGTCCACACGCAGACCTCCGTGTCCGAGTCGCACGACTCTCTGTCTCTGGACCCGTCCTCGTCCAACCCTCATCTCGACCTAACGCCCGGTCTCACGTCCAGCTCCAAGGACTCTGACAATATGAACGGCATTCGGAAGCTCCTGCGCAAGGGCAGTTCTGGTAAATTCAGCCTGTCGAGCCGCCTGGGCAAAGACTCGAGCTTGTTCAAGAAGGGCCCCGGTAGCGCCACCAACTCGGACAGGAACGCCTCGGCGGATCACCGGTCCTCGATCGGCGACCTGGAGGAGCTGGGCGAGGACCCGGGCCTGTTTGGACGCAGCTACGAGAGCGCGGCCGGCGCGCCGTCCGTTGGCTCCGCCAAGTCCAAGGAGACCAAGGAAGGGCGCATGGCGAGCTGGCGCTTCATTAAGAAGAAGGGCAAGGAGACAACGACGCCAAGCAAGGAAAAGGAGAGCATGGAGATGGACCGGGCTCTTGAGGAGGAGGACTAGTCCAGATGAGCGAGGCTGTTGGGTACGTATGAGGCGCATACGGGCTGAGGGGCGGTGTGTCAGCATATCAAAATACGAAAAAGGTTCTTCTCTCTAGGCAAGATTTTCATCATGTGCAAATGTGACTGTATTCGAAGCGGTGATCCTGATTGCCTTGGGGTTGGGGACAAGATCTGGACGATGGGATTAGACGCGCTCAGACAGGGGGGTCAATTCGCCAGGCTAGATCCAGTGATCTCCTCACTGGTGATTAAGCTTAATAACAGGCATATATGAGAGATTAAACAATCGAACCAACAAGGTGCGAGCACCCCCTGTTCAAGAACGCACGCTGGATGGATGCACGTGGGGTATCAGGCGCGGTGGTGTTGGCGGTTTCGGGGAGGGGAGGGGGGGGATGATGATGGATTTGATGTATGCCATGGCCGAGTATCTTACGTATTGGCGCTGATCTGTAGCGGGGCTCGCTCTGCCTATGAGGCCTGTACTACTCGTTGTCCGTGATGCAAGTAGTCATAATGGGTATCTGGATGCCTCGTAGTTCGCTCGTCGTGACAGCAGTGGCGTAGCTCCTGGGGAACTGCGGAGAGGGCTTGCGTCTGGCTCCGAACCATCCCACATACAGACTGAGTCCTAGGACATAAAAGTGACAGGAAACCAATCGGGGATTATCAGTGAACGTATCCAAGTGTGATAGTCCACGTGTCCAGGGCGGTTCACCTACGGGTGGCTTGGCGTTGCCGGTGCTAGAGGAGGATTTAAGAATTCAAGAATTAGGCGTGCAGGGGTAGCGTTGGGGTACTCGAGGCACGTGAAGCCTTTCATTCGTCCATGGTGGCTTGTTGCTGGCTTGTTGGTTGTCATCTGCCGGTTGTCCTAGAGAGGGACCACCTGGTAACTCGGACACTCGCCGACAATGCAAGGCCAGGACCCTTGGCTGCATCCGCAGACCTCTGTTACTATCATTCATTTGTTTCAGTGGCCTGTGCGTAAGTGCGGAGCTGCTTCGACGACTTTGTCACCTCACCCCTGCGAGGCACGAGAAGCAGGACATGCTCCAGGGACTACTGCTCGCCAAATGCAATGCAACCTGAGGATGGACGGTCTTGGTCTTGGGGGGAAGGCTCCAGCGAGGACCTGGGAGGTTTAAAAGAGGCACTTGCCCGCCAGCTGCTGGTCAGGACTCCAGTCGGGAGTGAGATCTTCTCTCTGTCCTGCAGGTGTCCTTCGTCCAACATCTCACATCCACCGAACCATCACCTTCAAGTATCACTATCACTCCACCTCCAAGATGAAGACCTCCGCCGTCCTTGCTGGCACCATGGCTGGCGCCGCCATGGGCGCCATTGCCCCCAAGAACGTCATCTTCGTGGTCCCTGATGGCCTGGCGCCTGCCTCGTCCACCATTGCCCGTACCTACCTGGCCATGGCCGAGGGCGATGCCACGCCCAGCAACCCTGGTGCCATGCCCATGCTTCCCGTGGACGCTCTGGTGAGTCCATTGACATGCATGGCCTGACGATGCCATGAGGGCTGGACCCAGAAGTTGACCGTGACAGGCCATTGGCAACACCTTCACCCACTCCGCCAACAACCTGGTGACCGACTCTGCTGCCGCTGGCACTGCTCTGGCCACCGGCCACAAGACTGGCAACGGTATCTTGGGCCTTCTCCTTGATGGAAAACCTGTTGGCAGCATCCTCGAGTCGGCCAAGCTCCACGGCTGGAAGACTGGTCTGGTCGTCACCTCGTCCATCTCCCACGCGACCCCCGCCGCCTTCTCGTCGCACGTCCAGGACCGCAACAACTTCAACAGCATTGCCGAGCAGCAGATTGGTTTCAGCCACCCTCTCAACCAGAGCGTCGATATCATGTTTGGTGGCGGTCGCTGCAACTTCTGGCCAAACACCCACAGCGACTCCTGCCGCGAGGACAAGACCGACCTCTTCGGCTTTGCTGCGGAGAATGGCTACTAAGTTGCCCAGAACCGCTCCCAATTTGACGACATTGAGCTTGGCAAGGGTGAGATCCGTCTGCCCATCCTCGGTCTCTTCAACGACGCCGATCTCCACTACGAGGCCGATCGTAAGGAGCAGGATGAGGATGTGCGTGAGCCCTCTCTGTCTGAGATGACGGGGACCGCCCTCAACGCTCTCCACCGCGCTACCCACTGCAAGGACAAGGGCTACTTCATGATGATCGAGGCCTCGCGCATCGACCACGCCAGCCATGCCCACGACGCCAACGCCCACCTGTGGGATGTGCTCGAGTACAACAAGGTCATTGAGACTGTCACCCATTGGATTGACGAGCACCCCGACACCGCCATGGTCTCAGTCGCCGACCACGAGACGGGCGGCATCACCCTGCCCGGTGGCTGGGACCCCCGTGAGCTCATCGGCTCCAGGCACAGCGCTGAGTTCCTCGCAGAGCAGTACGCTGTCTACGGAGGCGACGACAAGCACGCCTTTCTCCGCGACGAGATTCTGGCCTCGTACGGTCTGGGTGACATCTCTGACAGCGACTTGACCAAGCTCAAGTCGGGCGACGTCGGCGCCAACTTGGCCGAGTTCCTCTCTGCCCGTGCCGGCATCAAGTGGTCCACCGGCGGCCACACTGGTGTGGACACCACCCTATACGCCTACGCTGCGGGCGAGATGGGCGAGCAGCTCAAGATTGACCTCGCTGGTGCCCACGACAACACGGATATCCCCAAGTACCTCGAGGAGGCCATGGGCTTGGACCTCGATGAGGTGACCGAGCTCCTCCGCGAGAACTGGTAGACGCGGTCTCGGGGCGGATGTGCGCGGTGCTATAAGCCTGGCGAATTCGTTGTAAATAATTCATGAGGCAGATATAATGAGATCCCTAGATGCACAATGCCTACTTGATCAGTTCCTCGAGGGTCGTGAAGGACATGTTTGGTGATAGCGATAACGATAGCGACATGATAACGATAAGATAGGCACCCTGACGTCCGACAGCGCTGTCAGTTGCTGCAGGGTGCCCCGCGGTGGGTCCTCGTCAGCCTGGCCGCTGGGCTGCAATAAAAAAATCTGTGATGGTCCGCCTCCGATTTCTTTTTCCCTCTCTTCTCCTCTCGGGAAGAAGCGTCACATCAATCCTGGCAGTCGATTAAGTTATTTGCGATCAGGTCATCTCCTCTTACACGACGATCTCTTGTCGACTGTTCAGCCTTCAACCTCACAAACCCAACCCCCTCCACTCCTTGTCAAGATGACTCCCGTCAATGGCGTCTCCAAGGCCCTGGACCACACCAAGGCCCTCGAGGTCTTGAAGGAGTACGAGATGTCGGACGGTCTCGACCTCCACCAGCTCATGGACACCACTAAGCACGGTGGCCTGACCTACAATGACTTCCTGCTCATGCCTGGCTACATTGGCTTCCCTGCCTCCGAGGTCGTCCTTGACTCGCCCGTGACAAAGCGCATCACCCTCAAGACGCCCTTTGTCTCGAGCCCCATGGACACCGTCACCGAGCACGAGATGGCCATCTCCATGGCCCTCCAGGGTGGTCTGGGTGTCATCCACCACAACTGCTCCCCCGAGGCGCAGGCCGACATGGTCCGCAAGGTCAAGCGCTACGAGAACGGCTTCATCCTCGACCCCGTTGTCATTGACCGCAACACCACCGTCGGTGAGGCCCGCGCCCTCAAGGAGAAGTGGGGTTTTGGTGGTTTCCCCGTCACTGGTACGTTCTGTCTCGATCCTGCACATGCCACTCTTTCTTGATATGATTATACACAATATTGCAAATAACTTTCGTTCCACTGAAACGACGTCGCTCTCATGCGGAGAACCAAAAGTTCTGATCTCACACACGTCCGCCATGTCACTGTCACAAACCCTGTCGTGGATCTCGTGGCTAACAAGGACATTACAGAGGACGGCAAGCTTGGCTCCAAGCTGCTCGGTATCGTGACGAACCGCGACCTCCAGTTCGAGGACGATGACAGCGCCTCCATCTCGACCGTCATGGTGACCGACCTCACCACCGCCTCGGACGGCGTCGAGCTCGCCGAGGCCAACCGCATCCTCGCCAAGTCCAAGAAGGGCAAGCTGCCCATTGTCGACAAGGCCGGCAACCTCGTCTCCATGATCTCCCGCTCCGACTTGACCAAGAACCAGCACTTCCCGCTCGCCTCCAAGCTGCCCGACAGCAAGCAGCTCCTGTGCGCCGCCGCCATCGGCACGCGCCCCGAGGACAAGCTCCGCCTGAAGAAGCTCGTCGACGCCGGCCTCGACGTCGTCATCCTCGACAGCTCCCAGGGCAACAGCATGTACCAGATCGAGATGATCAAGTGGATCAAGAATGAGTTCCCCGGTCTCGACGTGATTGGCGGAAACGTCGTCACGCGCGAGCAGGCTGCCTCGCTCATCGCCGCCGGCGTGGACGGTCTGCGCATCGGCATGGGCAGCGGCTCCGCCTGCATCACCCAGGAGGTCATGGCCGTCGGCCGTCCTCAGGCCGCGGCCGTGTACAGCGTCAGCTCGTTCGCCGCCCGCTTCGGTGTCCCCACCATCGCCGACGGTGGCGTCCAGAACGTCGGCCACATTGTCAAGGGTCTGTCCCTCGGCGCCTCGACCGTCATGATGGGCGGTCTCCTGGCCGGCACCACTGAGTCCCCTGGCACCTCCTTCGTGTCCCGCGAGGGCAAGCTGGTCAAGGCCTACCGCGGCATGGGCAGCATCGACGCCATGCAGGACAAGAAGGCCGGCGGTGGCGGCAAGGACAGCCAGCAGAGCAACGCCGGCACCGCCCGCTACTTCTCCGAGGGCGACAGCGTCCTCGTCGCCCAGGGCGTGTCGGGCTCCGTCGCGCACAGGGGCTCGATCAACAAGTTCGTCCCCTACCTCGCTGCCGGTCTCAAGCACTCCTTGCAGGACTGCGGCATGACCAGCCTGACCACCCTGCACGAGTGCGCGGCCAACGGCACTCTCCGCTTCGAGCTCCGCACGTCGAGCGCCCAGATGGAGGGCAACGTCAACATGGAGGCCTACGAGAAGAAGCTTTACGCGTAACGAATGAAAGAAGGGAGGTATTTAAATAACGGAGTACAAAAACGAAAGAAACAATATATCTGGCAAGGATGGGACATGATTGACACGGCTCGGAGTTCTGGGAATATATCGTATAGTGGCAGCAGTTGCTTGCCTGCAGATCTCAGAAGAAGACTAGTTCGAAGCATCTGGATCAATGAAATCACCTCGTGAATGAGGGATTGACAATCGTCTTATTGTGCCTACTGGATGTGACCAGCGGACGTTTGCTGGTGTGGTTATGGGTGTTTTGGCTACCCTAGAGTGGCCCTGGACGCTACTCACGCCACATGCATGAGACGTAAGATCATTATCTTATGCGGCTTGCTATGCCGATGTTGGAGAGAAGTTTTACATTTTCTGTAGTTCCCCAATTTGCCCACTCACAGTACTCACTCAGGTTGAGTTTGGGTGCTCGGTTGTGAGGACATCAAAATCGACTCGCATCGAAAGACTTCCTACAGAACCTCCCCAGAGACCAGAGACGCTCATCACACAGCACATGTTGCTCATTCATATAGTTGCGTATCTTTGAAATCCAGTCTCAATTGCCTACGGTAAATATCCAAACATCCGAGCTGTTACCCAAGTCCACCCAAAACATAGTAAATTCGTCAAGGTATCAAAATATCGCTGGGCATCTACCCTCCTACCACAAAAAATGTTCGCACTATATCGTCATCTCGCGCACACACGAACAGCCATAACCATCCAGATCACCTGTATCCAGACGCGCGGATGTCGTTGGTGGCATACCAGCTGCCTCGATTCACATCAGGCATGTACATGCTCGTGGTGTTGGGACGGTAGCCCGCCGTGTCGACGGCCTGGCGCTTCTTGGGGTTGCGGCTCTCAATCTCGGCGTCGTGCTGGGCGAGGGCGCAGGCGCAGCAACAAAAGGCGACGCAGCAGTCCTTGCCGCCGGAGCCCTCGATGCCGTACTTTTCGCGGATCGTGCCGCGCTGCTTCTTGACGTAAACGCAGCTGAGGGCGCCGAACTGGCCGCAGTGCTGGCAGTTGCTGTCCTCGTAGTTCTCGAGGTACGGGTTCCTCGTGCGCTCCTCGGCGCGGCTGTAGACTGGACTGCGTTAGCGAAGGGATGCTGGCTATGTAGGGAATGAAGTGGTGACGAGGAGGGAGGGGCGGACGTACCAGCACAGGGACGGAAGATGGCGTCAAAGAGGGAGCCGCAGTGGAACAGGTCCACGTTCCAGTTTGTGTTCCTCTGGGGCTGACCAGCCCTGCGCTGACCAGTTTGGTTCATTTCCATTGTGAGAAGAGATGTGTTGTAATAAGCAGTGGTAAGTCGATTAATGATCGTGGTTTGCAATGTGTCCAGCACAAAGACTTGTGGAAAAGAAGATGTTTTGACGATGAGTAGGAAATAGATGAAAGAGGTAAGAAACTAGACAGATCCAAAGGCAACATCACCTAGGCCCTTCTCATGGCGGCGTGTGTCTTAAGATAGTCCATCCTCCATCGAGGCGCTGGCCACATTATCGTCATGCCACCGCTCGGTGACGGAGAGGGACCCTGGCGTTGGGCTGGGGTTTGGGGAAGAGATCCGCGGATGACATTGCCCTCATTGGATCCATCAACTACTGTAATCCGCGCACAGCATTGTGAGAGGGATGCGACATCCATATGGGCGCTGCCAGTGACCGGAGGGAAATCCTACTTCTTCTGCTTCATGTGCAAGCGTCGAATGCCTTGGACCCTGAATTGATGGATGTGACGTCGCTGCACCCTGAGCCAATAAAAGTTGGCGGACCCTCCCGCCCGTTCTGGCATCCCGGCCCCACCGTCTTCGTCACACTCACAATTCCCTTGGCCTTTGGACCTCGCTGGACATTGCAAGCAGTCCCTGCATGATTAGCTGCCGCTGTGTTTATAGACCTGCTGCAGAAAGCCCCATACGATCAGGAACACCCAGAGTTCGAGTCACTTCTGAGTATCGCCAGCCATCTTCGAGCACCGTGATCGTTCGATGCGTCGTGTCAGCCAAGGCTAAAAAAAAAGAGCAGAAACGCCGAAGCGAGACTGAGAAGATCCGTGTCGTTGCCGAGTGTCCGCCTGAACCAGTCTGTCGGTGGTGCCGTGATCCTGCGGACGAGTCGGCAGGTCGACAACCTGCAGAAACGGACTTTTCGATGGAAGAGCCCCAGTGTAGAGACGACATTGAAGACCATTGTACCTTTTGCGCCTTGCTCCAGACAAAGTGGCACTCGACGTTTATGCTGGAGACATCTCTGGCATCTTCTCCATTGACAACAATGCTCCAGTGTCAGGAGGATGTCCGTCTCGACATGATAGCATAGTCTGGCTTGACAATCTTGGTCCTCAGTTTCCTCTCCTTGGGCGACGACTCGTCCACTTGGAACCCAATCCGTCGATAGAATGTCATGCCAGCCTCGTTGCTCAGGAAGCACGTGAGCATCACCTTTTTGATGGTGGGAATGTTATGCGCAATGGTGGACAACAACTCCATCATCCGCCGGCCAAGACCGGTTCTGGGCGTGTTGATTAGCTCGATGCGCACCAAGACGAGGATGCAGTCCATTCCACTCACCCTCTGAGCGCCTCCCGCAGGTGAATCTCATAGCAGTATATCACAGGAAACCCGTCCTCAAAGGTAGGCATCAAGGATGTGTAGCCCAGGACTTGGTCTGTTGGATCGTCCTTCTGTTTGACGAGGATGTATCGCAACTCGGGCGATCGCATCTCCTCCTTCTTCACCTCTGGATGCCATCCTGCCACAGACTCGCGATATGCCTTTCCGCTGGTCTCATCAATGAGATCAAAGCAAGTTTGGAAATCGGCCTCGCGCAGATCTCCTGAGCTAACGAGGTCGAGGATGTACTCAGACCCTGTTTGGGAATTCTTCCAAGAGCACCAATCCTGGCAGCTGGGTGTGATGAGAAATGGAAAACCAAGCTTTGCCACAGGTAAGTTTCTTACCTGACACTGAGATAACTTTTCACAAAGTCTGCATCCGACTTCTTGATTGCCTCTGCAATGGCCTGCTCCTCTGTGACGGCTCTGGCTAGCGCAGCTCTCCGCGACTCACGCATGCGCTTCAGCACAGACATGGGAGCCAAGAATATTAGCCAAAGAACGAGTGTAACACGGGCGACCAATGCAAAGGTGCAACGAAACGATACAGGCAGTAACCCGTTAATTAGTCGCGTGCCTCCGTCACGGGCAGCTCCAACGCGTCGCGTTAGCCGAACTTTCCCCGCCACATTTTCCTTTTTGACGTCGTACAATCAGTCCCGGATCAAGACCATTTCAATTCCCACCCCAGCCAATAAGTAAATACTTGCTCGCATTCCCAATGAGATGACATTCAGTCTTCGGGTGCTGCTCTCCACCCGTGGCTACGCCACACATGCTCGTCCCTCAAAGCTCAAGGGCACAATGAGCCTGGATCACGTACGCCCGGCTTGACGCACCCTGCAACACGACTGAACACACGCTGACCCCGGATGCGTAGTTTCTGCAGAGACAGCTCACCATTCATTTCTACAGGAAAATCCTACGTGGCACAAAGGCCATCAGGGACCCCGCGACCAAGAAGGAATCGCGCGGCTTTGCGAGAGCCGAGTTTGAGCGCCATCGCCATGTCACCGACTTGGTGAGTTTTCGATTTGACAATGCATCCATGGCGAACCCGCGGTTCCCGAAAGCTGACTTGTCTCGAACCAGTCACATATACGATATCTCCTCTCCACTGGGAAGACAGAGTGGGAGAACATGGAGAGGTACATAGCAAGTATGTGAAATATTCTTTTGTACATCTGTGTCGAGGCCCGCGCCGGTGTCGTCCTCGATCATGCTCCCCGTCTGTACCCTCGAATCCACGGTCTTCCTTTGTAGTCGTACAATTGTCCGCTCGTGCAGCGTAGTGTAGTGTACAGCCTCTCGCGCCCTTCCATCGGATCACCGTCGCGCTCAGCCTTGCCTCTGCTTGTGCCTCGGATTCGACTTGCAGATGATGTAGAGGTACCCATTGTGTCGCTTGCCGCACTTTCTCCGAACAACCTGCTCAATCCCCAAAGTCAGTCAATGCTCGCCGGAATCTCAAGCGCGATGGGCCATGGCGCGCCCCCCAATCCCATCCACCCCGACCGCGCCGTGGACAAGCCACCCATAGAAACGCACCTTGCAGTGTTCACACCTCTTCTTCACCGAACTGTGCACTTTCATGCCCCTCGTCTGCTGCTGCACCTGCGCCATCACACCGCCGAGCATCGGTCGCATTGTCGGGACGGACGTGAAGACGGAGCCGAGGGCTCGCGCAGGGCTGAGCATCGTCGTCGCGCGAAGCGAAAAGGATCGTAATATCGACGCCATTTGCGATTTGGACCGGATCGGATCCAGAGATTGTGTGATGTTCTCGCAATGGCGAGGTAGGAGACAAGCGAGGTGTTGGCCTGGGACTTTTCGGGTGTGGATTTACGCGCCCACGTGACCACCGGAATTGACGACAACTCACGGTGACCCCCACAGACAGTACTCGGAAGCTTCAATGTTGTCCCATCTAGAGCACAGCGCAGAAACTTTCGCTCATTGAAATGTTTGCAGAGATACTATTAATGAATGCTATTGCTATGCATAGTTGTTGATCTTTGGAAAGCCAGTACTGTACCGCCAAACGTCAACCCGCATTGGTGTCTTCGGCCAACGACTGGCCCTCCTCTCGTCGACGCCGCTGTCTTGTTCCGTTTCTCTTCTCTACTAACCTTATTTTACACTCAAAGTACTTGTACATTCACCAGAAGGTGGACTTGGGGCCGGGATAGTTTCTTTCCTCCCAGTCATCCCACTTGTCCTTCTGGAAGTAGTCATACGCTTCGCCGGGGTGAAGCTGATGTTTAATCTGCCTCGCAAACTCGCCGCGCGCTGAGTGTAAGTCGTCAGCACCATGTTCACTGGGGATCTGCAGCTCCTCTGCATGATCCGGCTTGCCGCGAGGACAATGTTCCGCGCAAAGCTTCTTGGTCCGCTTCGTGGGCGCTGTTTCGTTGAGCGCCACCAAATCGTGGGTCGCCATGCGGAACGAATCAAGCCGATGTAGACGCAAATCAAAATCCTTCCATATGTCCACACGCTGAAGAAGCTCCTCGAGGCTCGGAAGTCCCTGGAGAGAGTCTTTCACGATCTTCAGTCCTCGCACCTGGTCTCGCTCCAGATGGCCTGGACCAGCTGTTGCGTGTATACTCTTCAGGTGCATCAAGCGACGGGCCGATGGATGCAAAGGAGCGTCATCATTGAAAGCCATCTCCTGATGTTCGGGAAAGAGTATGTCGAGGCAGTGTTGCTTTCGTGCCAGTAGGTGATGCGTCTCCCGATCTAGAGTGGCTCGCAAATGACACCCACAGCAGGTCCGATAGGCGACTCCAGCGTCGACATTCTTGGCGGGCCAAAATCCTTCGAGTGACTTGTACCCGCAAGACCGACAGAAGAACATCGCTTGCTTATCCATACCTACATCGAAGAAGTCATGCTCCTCGTACTTGGGCTCGGGAAACCGCATAGTCTGCGCCTTGATGATATCAAAGGTGGCCTTTTTCCGCACTCGGTCGCCCTCAGGGCCCAGTGTGGCCTCCGTCATTCGATACATTGCGTCCAGGAGGTAGGGGATGTCGAGGAATGGCCGAGGGACCATGGTCAAAAAGCGACGCAAGCCGCAGTCCTCGTCAAACAAGGTCTCGATCCCCATCTCCGAGGCTTTGAAGAAAGCCTGAAGCAGGATGAGATTGAATCCATGATGTGTGAGGTCGAAGGGCAATCTGTCCCACGACACGCCATACACCGCTGAAGAGGGCCTTGTTACGTCGGTATAGGGGCATCGACTGTCTGATGGAAATTGAGTCCCGCGCCAGAACGCTGGGAAAAAGTCCAGGCTCGTGATCTGCTGAGCAGCAAGGCGTGTTTGATTGACCTCCCAGATCAGATCGAGGATGCTGACCAAGTCGCCAAAATGGAGCAGTGGACAGTTGTATATCCCCAGGGACGTAACATTGGGGCAGCTCCGGACAATGACTGCGAGTAGCCGACGGTCAAGGAGAGGTACTCCGTCGAAATGCAGCGCCTTTAGTATTCGCCTCTTGTCGAAGATATGGCTCAGGAGGTTCTTCATTTGGCGACCCAAGAACATGTGGGTGAAATCGAATGGGCGCTCAGGCTGAGAAAAGAAAGGTCGTTGTGCTCCATTAGGGTGCAGTTTCCTCTCGCTGGCAATAGCACGAAGAACGTCGCTCGTCACGTCGTCGACCCATCCCGCGACTCGATTTCGCTTGAAGGCCTTGTATTTCGGGAAGTTCACGGCCTCCCGAACGCAATGATGTATTTCGTCGGTCAGGCTGCATCTCGACTCAATGGCATCTTCCCACCATTTATTTCCCTCGAACTCTTCGACGTGCGGGTATGCTGGGTCTGCAGACCAGCCTTGGAGCATGCGTTCGTTGGTGTATTCCGGACAAACAACGACCAAGATTCCACTGCGGCCTGGCCTGTCGTATGCCCCAGACAAGAAATTGTGAACGCGCTGGTTATGGTTAGTTGAGCATAGCCAAACGTCATGAGCACACCTACAAGGTTTCTGGTTAATGCAATCCATGTGGCCATGGAACTAACTGCGAGGTTGTGTAGTCGTATCAGACTGTTAGCAAAACCCGCCTCCAACATGTCCGGGCCAATGTTCTCGTCCGACAGGAGCACGAGCAACTTGTGTGTGGATGGTTTCATTAGATCGGCAATTTTAGCCTCGATGAAGGTTCGACTCATGATCAAAGGCGCCTAGATGTATGGTTAGCTTGGCAAAGTCAAGAAGTTGGGTGTGGCACTTGATGCTAGTCAAAATTGCCAGGGATTTGGCCGCGCTATATGGGTTGGAAGTAAACTTACTGAGAAAACGTGGCGTTTTGGCAGACAGGCCCTGAGGACGTCGCCTTCCCAGCAAGCCTTTGCGAGCGAGACCTGGGCAATGTCACATCGAGCCACGTATGCTTCGAAGGAGAGTGTCGTGACCTTGGGATGGAGCCCTTCTCGCATGAGCCGCTGCACGGACACATAGTTACTGTAGACTTCGGGTGTTTGCTGTTGCTGCTGGGCAGCTCTCATACGCACAGAGTACCTCTGCTTAACGACAAGTGCAGCATTGGTAGCATCGGTTAGGGCCTTGGACTGGGTCTTGGGCATGCACTGTGGTTTTGCCCATTGACTGCGCTGGACCCTTTTCTCCCGAGGAGCGCCCTTACCCTTTCCTTTTCTAGAGGTAGTCTGAGACATGATAGACGCAGTCGGTGGTATAGAAGCTGTAGGGCTGGGTAATATGTAAGCCCGGTGGCAGGGAGAAGAGATGTCGTAGGATGAGAGGGCAACGTTTGAGGCAGCGAGCTTCCAACAAAGATTGATCCCTGAAAAGTGTGAAGTAGGAGGGCATTTATACTTGGTCAACCCTGAGCGCTTGAGTGAAGACGCGAGTCTAATCTTAACTCTGAATCAGAGCCAAAGTTAGAGTTGGTACACCTCATGTGCTAAGGTAGGTGAAGTGAGTGAGTCGCGGAGCGCCACTTGGCGGCGATTGCACCGAGGATAAAACCATCACAAGTGTGCAGGAGAACATTAGAAGCGAGGAAGGTGCGAGGCATGAGGTCTTGCAAACCTTTGGAAGATATCGATATCGATGAGTCTTCTCTGCCTGCAGCACGAGATCGACTCATAGTCACAGAGTGGGTCATCTGAAGATGTGTGCTTGCCAGTACCAGACTTGGATACCAAAGGCTGGATCCAGGCACTGCAGAGCAGTCTGAGCATGTGATAGTATCGAATATCCCGTTGCCTTAATTAGGCCATGGCATCTCGCAATTGGCTGAGATCAAGTTTGCGTGGTAGTTGGCGAGTCCCATTAACCTTGAAACAACCTCGGGATGCAATGAGGGTTGTAAATACTAATACTATAGATACCTAAATTGCCAACTCAGAGAAAAGCTCACTACCTTCCTAAGCTTTCCAAGACAGGGCTGTCTCGAGTTCCCAGAGTCCGAGTTTCTTTGGTAGACAGTGTCCTCAGCAGCTTGGATGAGCGTTTGAGCTCACGAGCACCGTAGCGCTGGCATCCCAATGAATAAGAAGCCCTTTCCAGAGAAGGGAGAAGCCCCGCAGACGAGTGTTGGTTTTGATATCGCGGAGGCGAGTAAAGCCCTTAATTGTTGGTGAACAGTGTCAGGAGTTTGCCGACCAACATCATGAAAGATCTCGAGCACGGACAACTAGAACAGCGGCTCAAGAGTACGATGATACAACTAGAACGGTGAGCACGATGCGGTCCTAGATCTGGAGTGGCGCAATAGCATATAGAAGGCTTGGACAGGATCAGCTCGACCCGGTGGACCTTGCAGTGCCGCCTGCTGATACCATCTGACTGCAAAAGCGTGTTTTAAGTCGCAGCTGGAGGTTTGAGATATCATGACGCTTGCGAGGTTGCATATTTCTCCTGTTGAAAACAGACCCACTGTTTACGTCGTGTGCGTATGGGAAAATAGGGGGAAGCGCAGTGATTCTAAGGTATTCTTACGTGAAGATCAACACATCAACAGATCCGATCTCGGCGAAGAATTTGAAAGCCTGGAAGCACTGCACGGATGAAAACATGCCATCGTTGCCTCGGGTGGCGTGATGGAGGAGAGGGGGAAACATCTCGGCCTCGCGTTGCAAGGTGCGTTGCGCGAGTGCTCAGTTCAGCATGGCCCAGGTGAATGGCCGGCCGCTGCCATCGCCGCGCAATGCCGCAATGTGCCAAGCGAAGAATACTCCAGTCAGGTCCCTCTGGCCGCTCTGACTGTCCGAGTTATGGCCACCGTGTGCTGATCTATTTCATGTTGTACGTACATGTAGCTTTGAGACCGATCAGATTTATATGTGCATTCTACTACCTACCCGGGAGACCAGTATGTAGTACGCAGAAGGTTCCTGTCAAATTACGAATAAAGAAAGTGAGCTTAGGGCTCGAGCACCATCGTGATACTATGATGCCCGCAGCGTCGGGTGATTCATTTTTTCTAGGTCCGGTGGTGAGTGGCTTTGTTCTTGTTGTCAAATCAATAAAGCGTCTGGGCGCAGTTTTTCGTCGCCCGTTGGTTGACTCATACAGCCACGCTTAAATAGTGGCGGCGCCAAACCGCTCGTTTACGAAATGAAAGCCAATGCTGGGGCCTAGCGTGGTCATACGTCCACAGCAAGGACCTCCAAAGCTTATTGCGACGAGCTTTTGTTAGCCATGCTTTACTTGGAACCCGTCTGGAAAAGCCATCGCCAAATTGTCGCCAGCGTTGACGATGGTTGTTGATTACAGGGTCACTATCCGTAAGGAGCTTCAAGGCGACGGCAAATGCAGCAGATATGGATAGATTGGACTGAAGATCATCAGCAGGAAAGCTTGGACTGGTGCAGCAAGCCCAGCGACAGGGGAGGGACCCTGGCGCCAAGCCACCCGAACTGATGTGATGGGTCTGGTGGATCGCGATTTAGGATTGCTTCTTATCTGCGACCTGCGGACGAGAGCCAAAGAACAGACTGGCTTCTTGTGATCGGCTCGCAATGAAAGCATCTCAAGCCTATTTACGATAACTTTCGATACTCAGCGTCGAGGACCTGAATGCGGTGCTGGGTCGTTGTGATCTCAGCAGATACGACCGCAGCATCCTCCTCCAGGCTCAGTCAAGGTGATCGGACAGGTCTGAGGCATCCTGGGAGAGAAAAACAAGTCCACTCCCTTTTTGTTCCTGGACTGTTGACCCCCTTGATCTTTGCAACGTTTGAATGACCCCCGCAATGTCTCAGCTGCCAGATAGCATGTTCCCCTCCTTGTGTGTAGCATAGTAATAACTGCTTGATTCAAGTTGAAGACTGTCTAGACAGTCAACTACAGCTCGTGCCGTGCGAGATCGGGACCACGGAACACGAGATGCAATTTGTTGACCAGACCAGTGTCACTGCATAATGTGAGACTGGCAGGCCTCGCCTGAACAGAGTGCGTCGAGACCTGAAAGCCGCAATGAAGCTTGTGAAAAGAATCATGCACATGACACAGAGCCGTCCACTTACACAAAAACTGGACTGCACTAACGCACAAGTCACATGGGCGACAGACTCGCAGCCGCAGTGGAACCCATTGCATGAAGAGGGCATGGCGTCAAATATCTCCACCGGCGCGGGCAGCGAAAGAGACCGGTTTTGTTGAAACTCACGACTCTTTTCAGGACGAGCTACCATCCGGCGCGATATGCTGAGCTCAGGTTCAGTTGGGCGAGGAGGATGCAGGGAGTGCACCCCTCTTTATGACTCCTCTTCATGCTGTGAGGGTCGATAGCATGATCGAGGAGAGGAATTCTGAGCGCAAATCGTTGCACTAAGAACAGAACGCGGCCGAGGTGCGGTGTACACCATTGTACTCGTCGTATCGTCGTGCTCCCTCACCGCCACGCTTCTCGAAGATCACATATTTTAGAGTCTGTGCGGTCAAATTGCTGAGCAAGCTGGCGCGTCTATTTGAATCTTGGATACGTATTCTTATTTAGTAGAGTAATTAGAACAGCGTTCTAAGCTTACCGCGCGAAGCAGTGGGCCTCGTGCTGTACACGTACTTGTTAAGTTGTTGTGCATGTGTACAAGAAGCTGCAGCCAGTCGACGTCCGGCCGGTACTTGAGTCTTGAGTTGCTCCACCAACCTGCATGAGATGTGCAGCGCAATTCGCAAACAACGTCGAGTCGTGCAGTCGAATTGGCCAGACAGCAGCCCGCGCCAGAGCGACACCACAACAGAGATTTCTTCATCTGGTTGGCCTGGAAGCGTGCCCATTCTCACGATGGATGGGTGGACGGCCTCACGTGCGGTGCTGTGATGGAGGGTAGCCAGCATGACGTGCCCCCCCTTCACGTTCCCTCCCTCGTTCGCTATCAAGGTCATGTGGTGTGGCTGACGCTTAATTCCCACCGCATCTTCCGAGTCAGGGCGATGAGCATTTGTTTGGGAACAAGGTCAAGAAGTCAACGAACATGATGTGCAGCAGCGGACCAGATAATAGCAATAAACGGTATTCAGAGGGGAAGGGGGCCCTGGGGACGCGGTGAGGTGCGGAATTCTGCAGGGAAGATGAAGGATAATTAAAAAAAATGGGATATGAAATTTGTCGATGAATCCACTGCCGTCGAGCTCGTTCCGGGCGCTAGCAGATGATCGGAGTGGAGCTTGGTCGACAGAATTAAAGGGTCATTCAGGAACGGCACTTGGCGAAACTGAGCGAGACTGCTTGGAGGCCCTGAACACAACGACTGCCTGCGAGCTCGGTCTGTTGGCTTGTCACTGCTGAGTATCTCATTGAGAACTTGATACTTTATAGTTCTGCTCGTAAAGAGCACGGACAGACAAAGCACTGCAGTACATAATGATCGCCATCGACGCCCTCCTCCTTGAGTGCTGATGCTTAATTTTCTTTTGTCGGATCCACTCGCTCAATGCGACATGAAGCACGGGCCATGACTTCACCCAGCAGCGCCTGGCTGGGCGACCGATTCGTTCCAATTCTTTTTGGGACCCTCCTTGCCGGGAGGAGCTTGGGCCATCACCGCAGGCTCGCGCGAGCCAGCCGGGCCTTGGCATCTGCTAAGCTTGATTCACACATTTGTTTCCTTTCCCAGCCTCGTGTGTGCTCAGCAATGGTCTGACACATGATAGCTGGCAGGCAGGCAGCAAGATCAGGTCATTGTCTCGCGCTGCGAAGACTCGCGCACGTCGCCTCAGTTAGCCAGGTTGTATATTGTTCACGATGATAGACTGGACCGCGTCAGTCGGGGGTTGGGCCAAGCCCAGGCCTGCCGTCTGGTATCACCGATAGATAGCTCGCTCACCAATGTTCCAGGCGAAATGACCGCCCGTAGTAATTAGCTGCTGGGTGACTCAGGTGGTCGCTTAGTGCTGTGCAAGGCCCATGATTTGTTATTTACAGCACACACAGGGCAGGGCACCGCCGTCCGATGCTCTTGCCGCCGCCCTGGGCGCCAGTGAAGTGTTGCAAATTCCCCATCCCACCACCCCCTTCATGTCACTTTGGGGCCCTTCATCAAACAAGGGTGGGCCAATCCGAGCCCTGTCCAATGAACGAGAAACCTCTGAACCTCCTGGAAGGCCAGTAATTGATCGATTCGGGGCGGCTGTCTGCACCGTGGGTGCTGGGCTGGGCTGTCAGACCCTGGTGGCCCTGGAGGCCCAAACACGGCGCATATATAAGCAATCTGCCTGGCGTTGACAGGAACCCCTTTCCCTCTTCTCCTTCCCTTTCCTTCCCTTTTTCTTTGACCACTCTCCAAGCAACCTCAAGATACCCTCCATCTTCATCTGCATCCACGGCCGCCTTTTCTGGATCAGCCAGTTCCATTTTCTTTTTAATAATACCCTTTGCTGCTTCTTGTTGTGATACCCAACCAAGTCTTTGAGATACCCCTTTCACCTTTTTACAATGGCTGCTGCTGTTCAGAACACCCCCGAGGTCAACAACCTCAACACCGAGGAGACGGCTCCCGCTCTCACCGCCGCCGTCGAGACCCCCAAGATCGAGGAGACCCCCATCCCCAGCACTCAGCCCACCGAGGAGAACAAGACTGCCGAGGAGCCCAAGGCGGAGGACAAGGTCGCCGACGAGACCAAGCCCGCTGAGGAGACCACCGACGCCAAGGCTGAGGAGAAGAAGGAGGAGGTCAAGCCCATTGAGGAGGGTCATCTCGGCCACAAGGCGCAGGGCGCCAGCTTCCCCAAGTGAGTCTGCGCCAGCCCCGTTCGCGCGCGCCGTTCATAGTCACTAACACCTGATTCCAGGAACCTGATCGGCAGCAAGGAGTTCTTCTTCTTCGGCACCGACGCTGTTGAGCCCAAGGCCCTGACCGGCTACCAGAAGAACGAGAAGTCCACCGCCACCTACCAGAGTAACGTTGCCTGGGCTTCGGAGACTGGCAAGGGTCTTCTCTTCATTGGCGAGAAGTCTGCCCCTACCGGCATCATCAACCTGGTATGCAAAAATTGCGGCGACAACGTCAAGATGCAAATGCTAACTAGACCTCCTAGTCCGATGCCACCGAGCCCGAGACCGAGGGCGCCAACAAGTTCACCCTGACCTCCAAGGGCAACAAGCACAGCTTCAAGGCCGCCAACGCCGCCGAGCGCGATAACTGGGTCGCTCAGCTCAAGCTCAAGATCGCAGAGGCCAAGGAGCTCGCCGCGACCGTCACCGAGTCTGCCACCTACAAGAGCACCCTCGAGAGCTTCACCCCCAAGAAGGAGGAGAAGGTCGCCGACAAGCCCGCTGAGGAGACCCCTGCCGTCGCTGCTGACGCTGCTGCCCCTACCACTGAGGAGGCCAAGACCGAGGAGGCTGTGAAGGAGCCCGAGGCTGCCAAGGGCGAGGAGACCGTCGAGAAGCCTGAGGAGACCAAGCCCCAGGCCAAGAAGCGCTCTTCTTTCTTCGGCTTCCTTGACAAGAAGGACAAGCCCGTTGAGAAGAAGGAGGAGACTCCCGTCGCTGCTGACGAGCCTGCTGTCGCCGCCGACAAGCCCGCTGAGGAGCCGAAGGCTGAGGCCCCTATTGCCACTGAGCCTGAGGCCGAGGCCGCCAAGACCTCCGAGGAGAAGCCCGCTGAGAGCCCCAAGGAGAAGGCCACCAAGCGCAACAGCTTCTTCGGTGGCATCCTGTCCAAGAAGGAGAAGAAGGTTGCCGAGCCCAAGCCTGCCACCGAGGCCACTGAGCCCGCCAAGGATGGCGAGACTGCCACCACTCCCGCCGCTGAGACTGCTCCCGTCATCCCCCCCGTCGAGGCCACCACTCCCCTCGCTGTTGACGTGAACAACAAGGAGACCACTGCCGCCTCTCCTGCTGAGGAGACTGCCGAGAGCCCCGCCGCCGCCACCGAGGCCAAGAAGGACACCAAGGAGAAGCGCAAGTCTTCCCTCCCCTTCCTCGGCAAGCGTGAGAAGTCCCCTGCCCCCGCTGAGGGCGAGACCAAGTCTTCCACCAGCGCTTTCTCCAAGCTCCGTGCCACCATCAAGGGCAAGAGCGGTGCTGCCAAGACTGAGGACAAGCCCGCCGAGGAGGCCAAGAAGGACGAGGAGGCCGTCGCTGAGACCAAGGCCGAGGACGACAAAGCCCCCGTCGTCCCCGAGCCCGCCACCGTCGAGCCCGTCAAGGATGAGGCTGCCGAGCCCGCCGAGACCGAGACCAAGCCTGAGAACGTGGCCACCACCACCCCTGCCGTCACTGCTGCTGCTTAGGAAGCGCGTCGGACATGACAGCGTTCTCACGACTTGAAAGACAACATGACGCCAACAGTTCACCACAAGGGGCACCATTACCGAAAAGAAGAAGTCGCAATACCAGAAAACTCAACAAAAACCAACCACAAAAAAACAGAAGTACATGCATGAAAGGGTCGGATGGAAGGATGGTTTCTGCATTTCCTCACATGATACCAAGATACCCTGTCTTTGAGACTGCTTTCAACACTGATACCACATTTCATAGCTGCTTTTTTGCGTCCATGGTCCACGGACCATTGGGGGGTTTCACGGCGGGAGCGGGATTGTCGGTCGGCGTACCGGCCACGACCCGTTCCTTTCCAGCCCTCTCGTGCTTTCACTGCATTATTCCAATTACTGTCTGATACCCGGTGGAGGGAGAGAAGAGATACTTAGTAATGCCTAATAATACAACTGTTGCGTCTATCTTCGTCTGTGCATCGAACGTTTTGACTGTCACTATTACCATGAGGGAGTTGGGAACAAGTAAACACGTCTCGGATGTGGCTTGTTGCGTGGACTACTTGGTCGTCTATGGCTAGGTCCAAAGTGCCATCCCAGGGAGTCATAGCAAAAACGAGGAGAGGTAAAAATATAGGCTATCGCAAGGACAAGCCCGTTGTGATTGATTGATTACATTGTATACGCTAGGATAGGAGACCTGGTTCATCACCCAAGGTCGTAACAAAAGCAGCTGCTGTCCCAAAATTGCCATCCAATTTGCGCCTAGCTAGACCATGTGTAATTGCGTGTCTTCATGCGCTTCGTGTATTCCAGGCCGCACACTCCATGAACTCCGGGCAAGGGCCACAGGTAAACAGAAAAAAAACACAATGTGGAAAAGCCGAGCCCCTTTCCGTGGGGGTGGCCTGGGTATATATAGGTGTGTGTATGTATATCCTCCTTTGGATGTGGTGCTGCTGTTATGTGATATAATGCTTGTAGTGTGGTTCCAAGCGGGGAAAGCATAACTCGCTAGGTGTATAGAGGTCTGATTCACTCTGGGGTGACAGATAGGTTCTTGTACCGACTGACAAGCTCCTCAATTTTGGGGAGGAGCTCGGGGATACGGAAGGGCTTGGAGATGACATCGTCCTGACAATTGGTTAGCAACAGGTTCCCTCGCGGCACGACAGATCAGTTAAGGGTCCACTCACGATACCGGCAGCTTTCGCGCTCTGGATCTGCTCAGGTCGAGCATATGCCGTGACAGCAATGATGGGGATATGCTTGACGATGGTGCCCTCCTTCTCGAGCTCACGAATCCGTTTGGCGCACGTCATGCCGTCCATGACGGGCATCTCGAGATCCATGAGGATGACGGAGATGTCGACACCTTCCTTTTCCTGCCCGGACCAGAACCGCGAGCGCTGCAGTGTCTGCAGAGCCTCCTGTCCGTGGTTCGCTACAAAGGTGTTGTTGCCGCAATTGCGCAGCTGTCGCTGCAGCACCTTCTGGTTGACAATGTTGTCCTCGACGATGAGCACGTCAAAGAGCGGGTTCGTCTTGACATCGGATGGATTGCTGCGTGTCGCCGCGCCTGGCGAGGGCGTCGTTGTGCCAGCAGCCACCGCGGGTGATGGAACCTTGCGCGCAATCTTGAAAGGCGAAATGTGCTCATACTCGGAGGGTGGGTGGAGGGAGACCCTGCTCTGGATGTAGAAGCTGAACTTGCTGCCCTGTCCCGGCGTGGAGAGGACCCCAATCTGACCGCCTTGCATCTCGGTCAAGATGCGCGAGATGAAAAGGCCAAGGCCGGAGCCTCCGTACTGCACGTGTGTCCGGGGTGTAGCCTGCTGGAAGCGCTGGAAGAGCACCTTGAGCTCCTCCTCGACCAGGCCTGGGCCGGTGTCCTCCACGGAGCAATGAATGTGGAACAGCTCGCCGTCACCCCACTCGTCGGACCTGTCAATGTCCATGGACGACGGGCTTTGGCGCTCGTTGCGCTCAAAGTAGTGCATCCGCCCTTGCGTCACCTTTGAGATATCCTTGAGAGCTGACACTGTGACGGTGATGTTCCTCTTCTCTCTGGACTGCGTAAACTTGATAGCGTTGGTCATCAGGTTGATGAGAACTTGGCGCAGCCTGGAGGGATCTAATTTCGCCCACTTGATGCCGTACTTGTCGAAGCTCTCGTCGACAATGAACTCAAACTCAATGTCGTGCGCCACCAGCTCGGACTCGAACATTTTGAGCGCACGTTGTATCACACGAACGGGCTGTTCGTCAACGGGCGTGACAGCAAGAAGTTTCGAGTCAAGCTTGGACAATGTCAAGATGTCGTCCACAATGCGCTTTTGGTGACTGGCGCAGAGGTTGATCGTGTTGGCGGCGTCGAGGCAGCCTTCGAGCAGGCTCTCGACCTCGTGCTTCAAGTGATGGGAGGCGAAAGATGTAATGTTGGTCGCGATCTGATCAGCGCATTGCAGTATAGCCGACAGGGGGTTGCGCATCTCATGACTGGTAATGTCGATGAAGTTCTCCTGCTGCCTCTTGAGCTCCACGGCCTCGGCGCGCCTCTCGTTCTGCACCTTCTCCGCCCACTTCTGCGACGAGATGTCGGTGATACAGCCAAAGATGGATTTGAGGTGACCCTCGTACGCCTTTTCGGGGTAGGCGCTCATCAGCACCCACGTGTCAATCGTGGCGTCGCCGCTCTTCTGGTCGCACTTGAACCGGAACTCGACAGAGATGGTGACCTTGTCGTCCAGCAGCTTTTGCCAGGCCGCCTGCATGGCGGGCTTGTCCTCATCACGGACATAGTCCATCCAGTCGTTGGCGTTGACCATGCTAGGCGGCACCTGCGATATCTGCCACCACATGTCGTTACAGTAATTGATGTAGCCCGTGGGATCTGCAATGAACATGCCGACGGGCGCAAACTCGGCCATACGCGTGAACTTGTACTCGCTCTCGTTCGCCTCTTGCGATTTGAGCTGGAGCTGCAGGGACAGCTGCTGGCGGTCGAGGGCGGCCAGGCGCGCCGCGCGCTGCCCACGTTTGATCTCTTCCTCGAACAGGACGACGGAAGCCATAGACGTGGCCAGCTGCCGAGAGAGAAGGTGGATGAACAGCTTGTAGTCATCGTCATACGGCCGCCGGGGGTTTACGCCCATGACGATGAAACCCACAACCGACTCCCCAACGGTTGTCGGAACAACAGGGAACACCACAATTGTGCTGCAGGGATCGCCAAAGCCTTTCCAATCCACGCCTTGAACCAAATCCTGCGGGAGAGTGCCATCGTGCGCCGAGAGCACGATGACGGTGCCATTGTTGGACATGGATCGGCGCATGTGCGGGGCGAACCCCTCGTCCGACGTTTTGAGATCGAGCGACTCAACGGCTGCGTGGTGGTCGTCGCCGATGCCGATGGAGCCCTCGAGAACGAGCTGCTGAGCGTGGAAGGTACTCGCCGAGTGCATGGAGGACACCTCGCTCTCCGTCGAGTCGTCCTTGACCGAATAGATCAGGGCAAAGGGGACATCGTACTCATTGTACTCGAGTCCCTTCTTCACTTGCGGCCAGAACTCCTGCACGGTGGTGGCGCTGGCGATGCGCTCCCCGGTCTCGCGCAAGGTGAGCATTCTCCTTTCCGTGACCTTTCTTCGTGTGTTTTCAAAGGCCGGGTTGTAGAGGCCTACCACTTCGCCCTCTGCTCCCACCAGTGGCACGATTGACCAAGAGAAAAAAGTTTCTTCCAGAAAGCCGTGTCGTAGAATGAAGAGTTGGTTGTCGTGCTTCATGGTGGCCTGACCGGACTCCCATGCAGCCTGGAACACGGGTTGGATTTGGGGCCAGATCTCACTCCATGCATCCTCATATCTACTTCCCATCAGACTGGGGTGCTTTTGGCCAGCGAGGTCGATATAGGCCGCGTTGTAGATGGCATAGTGCTGAGGCCCCCAGTACAATGCTGCCGGATGGGGGCTGCCCATGACCATGTTCGACATGGCGCGCAGTTCGTGCGGCCAATCCTCAATGGGCCCCAGTGGCGTCATGCACCAATCTTTTGACCTTGCCAGTTTGATGTGTTCGGGTAGTTCGTCAGTGATGGGGATTCTCGTCCAGTCAAACGTGGACCTCGCAGGCTGAGCCTGGAGCACCGCATTGGTGAACTCGTCGGGGTGGTGCCAGTCAGATGTGTCGAGAGCAGGCTCAGTCCCCATGCCATTCACCGTGATCGAATCAGCGGCATCGGGCTTCATCGGGGCTTCTCCAAAGTAGTCAAGCGGATCAATCGCTTCCGTGCCTGGGGTGAGTGGCATGTCTGGAGACGGGTCCTCAATCGGCTGGTCGAGGGCAATTGGCTCCTCGGTCAAAGGTATAGGCGAGTCGACACGGTCTGGCGGGATAGGTGTGACGGCGCTCACTACGCGAAGACGTTTCCTCAAAGTCGAGCACGCCCAAGTTATGTTGCCGTACGTATGCTGCGGCAGAGGCAGGTCTGGGCCTTCGGTCGACTTGACGGTTGTCATGACCCAACCTTTGAAGTTTGCAAAGTCGGTCGCGGCTGTGGACCCGTCCTGTTCGACGATGAGCAGGCGAAGGGCGCTGTGAGATGTCCGAAGCGCCGTGTTATAGAACAGAATGTGCATACCAGGGCGACTGGCGTTGACGGGATTCCCCAGATCCACCAAGAATGTCGGACGGTCATCTTGATCCAGCAGCTCGATTACATCCACCCCACTGAGGCCCTGGAGTCCAGGCGCCAGCGCGCGAGAGTCGGGCGTCAGAGCCGGGGCGGACGTGTCCATTGACGAACCCCAACTTCCCGGCGTGCTGCCTGAGCGCCCGCCGCTAGCAGAGTCGACCCTGGCGCGCGGCATCTTGAGCGTCGTCACAGGTCCAGATGGCTCGTCGTGGAGTTTGGCGAGGATGGATGTGGTCGTGTCGCTGGACTGGTTGCTGGCATGCCGCGAGGAGTGTCTCGAGCCAGCTGAGTGCGAGAAGAACAAGGGCGATGTCGCCCCTTCAGATTGTGACGGTTTTTTGAGGCCTCCTCCGAGGGCTGGGGCTGGCATGTCGGCCATGCGGGGCGGTGATGCTCCTGTACGTGCTTTCTTGACGGGCGACGAGTCCATGCTACTGTCGTGCACGGTCTGCCTGGACGAGGATCTCTTTCCGTGGCTGGGCTTCCGACTCAACGCTGAGTGTCTGCGATAGGTCTGCGACGAAGTTGCTGCAGGCTCAGGATGAGAACCTTCCCAAGCAGCAGTTCCTCTCACCGAGAATGAGCTGTCGCCTAACGGGCTTCCAAGTCCTGCGTCGTGGGATGCCGTTTTTGGTGATCGGTGTGGTTGACCTCGGTGTTGGCCGTGGCCAGGGCGATAGTACTCAGCTTGCCATAACCCCAAACGGTCACTGGTCTGGAGGGTGGATGATTTCCCGGCTCCTCGACTCGGTGAAGGGTCCTGGTCAGTCTGGAGGGCAGCTTGCGGAGCAGGAGTACTATTGAGCGTTGTCTTGGGACCAGCAGGAGTGTTGAGGTGAGGAGTGGAAGAACCTGGCGGCGGGACCGGGTCGTCGATGTGTTGCTGCTGCATCAAGGCGCCAGGGACGGGGTCCAAGTCACAGGCCTTTTTTCGCTTTCTTGCTGGGACACAGAGCCGGGGGAAGGCGGCGGGCCTGTGAGTTCCAGTCCAGTCCAGCCAGTCCAGCCCAGAACAGGGCAAGGGTGCGAAATGCGCTCAGGATCGAGACTGTTGACAGCACGGCTGCAGCAGCGCCCCTCGGTCGGGGGGTGGGTGGCCGAGGGATGAATCGAAGTTAAGGCAGACGATCGGGATGGGATGGGGCGATGGTTGGAGGAGTGAATCAGAACAGGTACAAGTACTCCTTGGTCGAGTGGAGGCACGAATCAGGACGCGGCAGCGGCAGGTAATTCGCGTCTAGTTAGGGGACGAAATCATTGGAGCTACCGGACGAGCCAGGAAAGTTTCTTGGACTCGATCTGCTGTGAACAATACAAACGTGAATTGACACGGCTCCAAATCTGCCATCGGGGTGAGATGAGCAACAAGGAAGAAGTACCTTGAGAGAGCGGGAGAGGCGGGGCGTAGGTATGTAGCAGGTCCTGTCCTACCAAGGACGCTGACGACAGGAAATAATTATAGGACAGATATGGGGAGAAGCACAGTCATAAGAGGATAGATGATACTGACGAGTCGATAGCTGTTGGCGCAAGAGACAGGAATGCATCTTAAGCCCGTCCTGTCGGGTTGCTGATCTGCTGATGGAGGCACAATGATCCGATGCATCGGCCTGAGCTTAATGAAATACTTGCTGAGGCTCTGCCTGCTGGCGATGAGCGGCGATGGCGGACTGGGTCTAGACCACAGAGATGGTACCTCAGAGGGGCACAGGACTGGACGTGACAGGAGCACCCTGTGGCCTGCCTCGCTGTTGCTGCCACCAGTCTCTCTGCCTCTATTATCAGACCATCCGGATGGTGCATTCATGAGGACTGGACAGTGCGATGACCGCTGCTTATTCCTTTATTGCCAGCGCGCGAATGCATTTCACATTCACTCTGCGTAGTTGCCCCGGGATCTACAGGGAACACGGTCGAGACCGCACATGCATGGATGCGACGCATGCAGGCCGCAGGGAGTGCAACTTGGACAAGGAAGCAACGACTGTGAATCTGTGACGATCGCCAGCTTCCACGATTCGCCGCTAGTCAATTACAACGTGATGGGATCTTCGGATCTACTCGAGATTTAGCCTCTTTTTCTTGCTGGGGTCTGGAGCAGCATTTAGACTCTAGTAGTTCTTTTTCTTTTGTGACTCTCTGGCACAGATAAAGATTCAGAAAAAATAAAAACTGGGTCGCCGCGTGGCCATCGTGATCGGCCAGGCCAGGCCAGGCCCGCAGCAATGGGCCCGCCAAAACTCCAACAAGTCCAAAATCTGAGGATGTTCTTCTACTGCGTACGTAGGAAGTACAGTGCAGTGATCACTCAGGCTGCTGTGGCATCGCACGCTTGTCGATAATCCCAACGACTGCGCAGCGTACCTAAGCAGGTCTGCACACTCTTGACACGGAAGATCGCGTCATCGTCTAGCGACAAGCGTGGAGCGACGGCCAAGGCTTTGTCGAAGCCCCGACTTCCGACACTGGGATGGAAAAGACAGACGAGGTGTCCAGAGGCTTCGATAGAACACGCTCGGAACACTGCGAGGCTGCGTGTGCACTATCGAGCCTGACCAGTGCCTCCCAGCCGTCAGCTGCAGCGTCCCGCTCGATAGTCGCCCACGCCAGCAACGGCGAGGCATCTCAGCCCCTCAGCCTCTCAGGTACGGCACCGGCAATAATCATGTTCTGACGCAGTCCCAGCAGTCAATGAACGCCCAAGAGCATCTTCCGGTGCGGGGCCGCTCAGGTCCCGGCTACTTCGGCCTGGTGGACACAGCCCGGGACCTCACCCTCCGCCATGACGGCGCTTTTCGCTAAATGCTCACGAAAGACGGCCATGTTCATGAGGTGAGCCACTTGGTTCATTTTCCTCGACCAAAGATTGGTCTGACATCAGTCAAGAGCGCGTCCAAGGTGGGACAGACAGACGTCCATCACACAGCGTGACAGCGAGCGCCTGTCGAGGCTCGTGATTGGCTCCGGCCCAGCCAAACACCAAGCCGACTTGCATGGGCGCTTAAGTGATCCCCTCACTTCCAGCCTCCAATTGGCTGCGTGATGCTCATGATGGCCTCCTGTCGCCTCTGCCCAGAGGCAGATGGATAAGGCAAGAGGCAGCCCTTGGCCCTCGTTAAAGTACGTCTGGCCCCTCTGTCGGCGGCCAACTCACGACCCTTTATCACGACTTGATCTTGGCCGACGTCCATATCAGGCCTCACCAGAACTTCAACGACGACAGCTAAGAAGGCGACGACGACGATAACTGCGCACTGTACCGCGAACAGACTTTAGTAAAGAGGCGCATGTGAGACGACAACCGTGGCGCTGGCCGCTACGAGCAACAACATCATCACCACCAAGTCCAAGTCGCCACAGGCGCAGCCGAGCCACATCATGACTCTCAAGGAAACCTGGGCCAACAGGACATATCGCCCGTTCCTCCGCCAGTGGCCCAAACCCGCGCGCAAGGGGACGGCGTGGCTGATGGTCGTCGAGCTGGTCGGCCTCGTTCCCATCCTCGTCATCTTCGGCATCGCACAACCCAACCTCTACCGCACCGACCTGTGGAAGATTGGCTACGAGAACAAGCTCAACTCGAACCCCAACATGGTCCTCTACGCATACGCCAACTACAAACCTCTGCCGCAGGTTCCGCTGGTGTGGTCGAAAACGTAGGTCCTAGTCGAAGAGACGGGTGTCCAGTGAGCGAGAGCACAGTGGCTAATCTTCTTCTTCTCCCGCAGGCTGACCGACTTCAACGTGGCCATCTCGGTCATCTCCCTCTTCCTGCTGCTCGTCAAACTCATCACCTTCATCATGAAGGGCTGGCTGCCCCTGATCGCCCTGGTCGTCAACATTGCCATGACGACGCTCTACACCGTCAGCGTCTATGGCCAGATTGGCCCCGACTACGCAGACCCGCGGTACCCGGCGCCCGCGGCGTGGTACTTCCGCTACGGCTGTGACATGGCCAAGGAGTGGGGTGTCTACAAGTCGTGCCAGATTGCGCAGAGCTCCCTGGGCATCACCTTTTACATGCTGTATGTGGGCATCCGCCGCCTGTTTGTTTCTGCTAGCCCGACGACATGTGCTGACACCCATCTAGCATGGTCTACCTGCTCAACCTGGGCTTTGCCGCCTGGGCCATGTGGCCCAACAAGGAGCTCAACGACGGTGACGACGACGACGATAACGACTCCCTGTACGGGTACGACACCAAGCCCGTCGAGATGCAGAACATGAAGAATGAACCTCTGGTGTCGGCAACCCCCTTCACGCCGAGGACGCAAGCTTTCCACACCCTGAACCGGCAGTTGCCCCTGCGAGCGCAACGAGCGCCGTGATGTGAGATAAGAGTCGCCTCTAAACACATGACTATGTGAGAGAGTGTGAGAGAGAGCTGGTGCGGCATGGGAATTTCGGCAAAGATATTGGCGTTCAGGATGTATTCAAACAAAGAGCCCACCATTGCTCCCCATCCAAGTGGTAACAGTTACATAATTCCAGATTCACACTGCGAACGCATGGTGACGAGCCAGTCATGTTTCCAAACACTCAATCATGTATTGCTGATGCTACATTTCCAATTCCTCCCCCATCACGACTGCAGCGGCTTGCCCATGCCGCCAAACGTAAACGTCTTCACCACCTGGTACTCCTCGATACCGTACTTTGACCCCTCCCTGCCGAATCCGCTGTGCTTCACGCCGCCAAACGGCGACGCTGGGTCGGAGATGATGCCCGTGTTCACGCCGACCATGCCCACGTCCAGCGCCTCCGCCACGCGGTACACGCGCTCCATGTTCTGCGCAAAAAAGTAGCCCGCCAGGCCGACCTCGGTCTGGTTCGCCAGCTTGATCACCTCCTCCTCGGTCCGGAACGGGAAGAGGCCCGCGACGGGGCCAAACGTCTCCTCGCTCGCAATGGCCATGTCGCCCGTCATGTCGCGGATGACGGTGGGCTGGAAGAAGTTGTCGCCGAGGTCGGGCATCTTCTGTCCGCCGACGAGCACCTTGCCGCCCTTCTTCTCCGCGTCGCGCACGTGCTGGTCGACCTTGGAGACGGCGCGCCCGTGGATGAGGGGCCCGTGGGTGTTGTTCTCGTCAAAGCCGTTGCCGACCTTGAAGCCCTTGACCTTTTCGGTGAACTTTTGGACAAACTGGTCGTAGATGCCGGACTGGACGTAGATCCTGTTGGCGCAGACGCAGGTCTGCCCCGAGGAGCGGAACTTGGAGGCAATGGCGCCCGTGACGGCGGTCTCGAGGTCGGCATCGTCAAACACAATCAGGGGGGCGTTGCCGCCGAGCTCCATGGACAGCTTCTTGAGCGAGCCCGAGGACTGCTTCATCAGGAGCTTGCCCACGTTGGTGGAGCCGGTGAAGGAGACCTTGCGGACCGTGTCGGACGTGGTGAGCGTCTCGCCGACCTCGGGCGTGTTGTCGAGCGCCGTGACGACGTTGACGACGCCCTTGGGGATGCCGGCCCGGTGCGCCAGCTCGGCCAGCGCCAGCGCGGTGAAGGGCGTCTCGCCCGGTGCCTTGCAGACCACGGTGCAGCCGGCGGCCAGGGCGGGCGCCACCTTGCGGGTGATCATGGCGGCGGGGAAGTTCCACGGCGTGATGAGGCCGCAGACGCCAATGGGCTCCTTGTAGGTGACGATGCGGTTGGCGGGGACGGAGCTGTTGATGGTGTCGCCGTAGATGCGCGGGGCCTCCTCGCTGAACCACTCGAAGAAGTTGGCGGCGTAGGTGGCCTCGCCCTTTGCGTCGGCGAGGGGCTTGCCATTCTCCCAGGTGATGAGCTTGGCAATGTCCTCCGAGTTGGCGACCATGAGGTCGTACCAGGCGCGCAGGAGCTTGGAGCGCTGGCGGCCGGTCTGTGTGCGGAAGGAGGGGAAGGCGTCGGCAGCGGCGCGGATCGCTGACTCGGTGTCTTGGGATGTGAATTCGGGGGCTGTGCCGACGAGATCGCCTGTCGAGGGGTCTTTTTGTTCGTGAGCACGCGGTTCGAGGTAGGCTGTGCGTTTGAGACGCGAGAATGGGAGGACGCACCATGGACCTTGAAGGTCTTGCCCGACTTGGCGGCTACCCATTCGCCATTGACGTAGCAGACGTTCTGCTTGAACAGAGACGGGTCTTTGAGCTGGAGAATATCGTTAGCCATGTGAAGGCAATCACTCGTTTGTCGAGAGTGATCCCAACGAACCTGTGGTGGCGCCATTGTGGAAGCTTGACGAGCAAAGAGGATGGAATATCGTGAGACGCGCAAGGATGACGAGGGAGCAGTCAGTGTCCGGAGCAGAGTTGAGGTCATGGTCGCCTCTTTATGAAAATAAAAAAGTAGCAGACTGAACCGGCAGCACGACCCCCTCAAGTACCTTGCGTTAGATGGGCCCGTTTGGGGTGTGATGGCTGATGGAGGGGTGAGTGAGTGCTGCCCGTGGTTTGTGCCGGTGTTCGTTCACTGGTAATGATAAATGCGGATGACGTCGTGTTGACCCTCACGCTCGCTTCCCAAAGAAGCGATTATCAAGAGAGTACGCATTGAGTCTCGTCTTTGCTACAATTACCCGTGAAGGAGGCTCAGAGTGATTGCTAACTTTGATACATTATTCACACACCGACAACTGCGTACTTCCTATCATTGCTTTCAACAGCGCCAGCTTCAAAGTTCCGAGGCTCGCACCACGCTTCCGAGGGTGTGGGGAAGCGTCCGGACCGGCTACGAGGAACCGGTCCGGCAGCGACGAAGCCGGCTGCATCAACATCTACCAAAAGGTATTCACTGGGCAAGCCTCAAGGTTCCGGATAGAATGATAGCCACGCTGTTTGTCCGGTCACTCTCCCTCTGATGATACCGCAATTGGGGAGCAATAGCGGGCGCAAGATCCATCCGGCCTTGCCAAAAAGCCGACATCCGCAAGACACCTAGACTAGAGGTGCAGGTGATTGCTCCCGGGCCTGGGCTTTGAAAGCTCCTACAGGTCTTGAGTAGCATTATGCTATGATAAAGTCCCAACCGCAGTGCCTACTGGCGTAGTCTGACCATCGGTGCTTCTACACAGTTACTCCTGCTCGCAAAGCGTCAGAACCAGCAGGGCGAAGATCGTGGGGCAAAATGATTTGCTATATAAGCCTAAAATTGAGAAAAATCAAACCAGGTCGTATAGTGTAGTGGTTATCACGTTTGTCTTACATTATCACCAGATATGGGGACACAAAAGGTCGCAGGTTCGAGCCCTGCTACGATCATTACATTTTGCAGTTCATGCCCTCTGGTGGGTGGGTGTGATGATGTTTTTGCTCTTTTCTTGCCCTTCTGGCCTTCGATGGAAAAGGTAGATCAGGCCAATGGTTGCCTTGGTTTGAGATCGACGACTCAGTGCCAGAGTGATGAAGCGGGATATCCTACTAGTCTAACCGTACATGACCATGCACTATTTGAGTTTGTGTAGAATGCGGCGTCAGGGAACTTCCCGGAGTCAATGGCATAACTGGGACTTGTAAATGCTGCTGGCGCACCCTACTTGTAATTATGGTAGATCAAAAGTCAATGGCGGCCTAACCAATATGCACGACGTATTCGTTCGCCAGCTCAGGCGCTTGAGCTGAGGCGCGACGCGCTTATCTTATCGCCAACGTCGAAAGCACCGTTCTCTGGGCTCGAAACTTCTTTTGCGACAATACACTCCCCCCAGACACCCCAGATCATGGCTTCACGACTAAAAACGCCCTTGAGGCGCCTGTGGCAGCCCCTTCAAAGGCAAGTTCGATTGATCCTCGCAAAGAGCGGACAGCTGACTGCCCCAGCCAAACCATCCGGCTCCCCAAAGGCACCATCCTCCAGGCAGCCCGACCGTTCACAACCACCCCAGCTGTCTACAAAAAACGAAAGATCGCGGCACCTGCCAACTCCCCTGTTCGCAAAGACGAGCCGACATCCTCCTCGAAAGATGGCGCGGCCTCGGGCGCCGCCGACGAGATCGACCCTCTCGACTTCACACCACTGACGTCCACCTTCCCAGGCATCGACGCGCACTTCAAGACCCAGCTCCAGGTTCTCCTCCACGGCGGCCGCTTCAATCCAGACCAGCTCGGCACTCTCAACGTCACCGTCAAGTCCGTCGTCCCCGCGGACGACATGTCCGGCACCAAGGTCACAAAGGTCGAGGATTTCCCCCTGCGCGAGCTCTGCCAGGTCGTCCCCCGCGGCCGCACGCTCTCCCTCCTCGTCAACGATAAAGAGTACATCAAGCCGATCCTGTCCGCCATCCAGGCGAGCCCGGACTTTAACCAGCAGCCCCAGCGGTCGGACGAGAACGACCTCGAGCTCATCCTCAAGGTCGAGATGGAGCGCAAGGAGGACGTCATCAAGCGGGTCAAGGACCTGACCCAGACCTGGCGCGAGCGCATCCGCCACGCCCGCGGCAAGCACGAGAAGCTCATGAAGGAGTGGAAACGCAAGGGGGCCATCCGCGCCGACGAGCTGCGCAAGGCGGAGAATGAGCTGCAAAAGGTGCAGAACAAGAAGATGAAGGAGATTGACGACGACGAAGCCAGGGCGGTCAAGCAGTTGGGGCGGAATTAAGAGGTCATGGGAGAGAAGGAGAAGAACAAGGACAATTGTAATATTACACCCAAATGTACAGAACCATGGTCTACGTACTACAAGAACACCCGTCGCCCACATCGTCATGATCATGCCTTTTTGGGCTGCTGCTGCTGCTGCTGCTGCTTGGCGCCGCCTTTTGGCTTTGCCCTATCTAGCAGCGAGGCGACCTTTGCCTGAAAGATGGATGCTTCCTTTGGTTGCCACGTCTCGTTCCTCAGCTGCCAGTTCCTGGCAATCTGCGTCGAGTCCTCGGCGTCCGCAAACTGGGGCGCCTCGTGCGTCCCGAGCACCGCCTGCTCCCACACCACCTTGCGCACGTGCTCGTCCGCGGGCAGCACCTGCTGCTTGTCCGTCTTGTAGCGCGCCTGGAGATGCGCCTCCACGCGGTCTTTGGACTCCACGTCGGAGAAGTAGCGGAACTTGGTCGTGTGCAGGTCACGCGCATTGTCTTTGGGCGTGTGCTCGTCCGGGAGGCCGACGCGGTCTCCCCCGCCCAGGGCGGCGAGGGACTGGTGCACGGACGCCAGCGCACCGTGCTGCCCTGATGGGACGGCGGGGAAGTGGCCCTCGAGAGACTTGGTCGTGACAGAAGGGTTGAAGGTCGTGGTCACGCCGTAGCGCATCGTGTCCATGAAAGCCTGGGCCTCGGGCTCGACAACGTCGGCCTGGTCGAATCGCCCGTCTTTGCGGTCGCCCTCCTCCCCGTCCTCGCCCTTCTTGCGCCCTTTACGCAGAGCGCTGCCTCTGCGGCCTCGGGCAGAGGCACCTCCTCGTCCACCCCGTGCGGCGTTCCCCCTAGATGCGCCAGCGAAGCGATTGGGCCCTCCTGCGGCACCACCGGCAGCAGCACCCGCTGATGCGCCACCACGGCCGCGGAAACCTCCCCTCCCGCGTAGACCTCCTCGAGGCAAGCTCTTGATATCGACAATCTTGGGCCCCGTGGCGCCCGGGTTGCTCCTGGGTGCCGGTGCTGGGCGTGTCTGCCCTCCGACTAGGTTCTTGATCTTGTCTGCCGCGGCGAGTGACTTGCTCCGCACGTTGAATGGTTTGTCTGATGGCGCAGGCTCGTCGGCCTGAAAGTACGTGGATGTCGAGAAGCTCTGCTGGAAGTAGGCGGATAGCGATTCGACGTCGGCGGGCGCTGTGCGACGGGTCACCGACCGTAATGTCTGTCGGTGCATCATTGTGAAAGTGTCGATCCAGGCGGCGTCGGCACGACGCGCTGGTAGTCGACAATTGGGTTTGGGGGGGTTGGTAAACGAACTGGCGAATGCGATCTCGAGATGGTGGACGCGAGGTTCGAGGAAGAATTTCTAGAGGTGCACGTGACCGCGCTCCCCGGGTCCACATCGCAGATCACTGTTGGCAACTTCACCTTCACCACGAGACATTGCGGTTTGTTTTCACATTCAGAAGCTATGATAAATCCTTATTTGAAATCAACGGCAACTGGTTCGCTGGCCCAGTCACTTGAAACAGAGATCCGAGAATAACCCCTTGTATAATACCATACATAGACGAACAACGAGGCGAGAACCTCTCTAGCCCGTAGTTTCCACTTTCCCACGCAAAACTTGAACTCCTCTGCGCCATGTCCCAGGAACCGGCAGACTACCTGACTCGGCTGAATGCCGCGTACTTGACGATCCTACGGCGAGCGCTCGTTTCAGAGCCGACCGAGGTTGTCACGCCTCGTCTCGAGTGGGACGGCGGGCCGACCACGGCTGTCACGCCGTGATGAGGGACCCCAGGTACGCGCACGTCTCGCGCAGTGCCCCTGCTTTCCTGAAAGTTCTTGTATGATGTATCGCGTCGTGGAATAGGCCGACACGTTCGGTGACGATGGCATGCCCTCGCGCCAGCAAGCTTGCAATCACACCGCCATCTCAGAAGCTCTGGGGGTGCACGCTTGCAGGCTACCAACTGTTAGCTCATCCCTACAAGCCAGTGTTTCGGCGGAACATACCGGACTGTTGAGCATTTGCTGTCGCTTGTTGCGCCCTTTCTTAATGTGGCTCTTGAGTGCGGTGGAATCAAGAGGCTTCAGCAGCTCAAAGCTGCACAGCAGCTCTGATGATACAGACATAACCGCACCCCAATTGTCGAATTCGCCGCAGTACTAGCAAATGGTTAGCGATGTACCCATCATAAAAGGGGTGCGAGGACTGGGTGAACGCACGTTTGGTGCACTGAAGACCGTCACAAGGACCTTGTCGTTGAAGAACTCGTACCCGTCTTCTACCACCATGTGGGCGCGACAGATGAGGTCAAAGTCGTGCACCGCAAGAAAGTCGGTAATAACGCGTTTTCCAAAGCAATAGCTGACTCCTCGCTCGTTGGCTTCCCAGTCTTGTTCCATGTCTGCAGGGTCGGACCAGAGCAAGTCGTTCAACAGACCGTAGTCGGGCACGTCAGTGGGCCGCGCAATGTTCCGGATGTCGTCCATCTGTACCAGAGCCGGTGAGAGACCGCCGTGGACACAGAAGATCTTGCCGGCAACGATGGATGCAATTGGCAGTGTGTTAAAGCAGTCCACAAATGTCTTCCAGATTTTGACGTTGCACCTCCGCTTGCACTCGTCGTAGAAGCCGTATACACGTGTCACATTCGCGCACTCGTGGTTGCCACGCAGCAGAAAGAAGTTCTCTGGGTACTTCAGCTTATAACAGAGCAGCAGCAGTATTGTCTCCAAGGACTGCTTGCCGCGATCGACGTAGTCGCCCAGGAACAGGAAGTTTGAGTTGGGAGGGAATCCGCACATCTCAAACATGCGGAGCAGGTCTGTGTACTGACCATGCACGTCACCGACAATCTTCACAGGGGCATCGAGCTCCAAAAGCGCGGGCTGGCTGAGGAACACCTCCCTAGCCCTCTGGCAGATGGCCACAATCTCGGCGTTCTTGAGACAGACACTCTTGGTCACCTTGCCTGCGTACCCCGCGTCGAGAAGGCGCTTGATGAAATCATCAATGTCAATATCCTTGATGTCCGACATGGCAACTCCGCCGGCGGTAGGGGTCGTGCTCGCGTTGGCATCCGGGCTGGCCAGCTCAGCAGAGGGCGCTGGTTGCGCAGCGGCCCCCTCTCGTCTGACGAGAATCGATTGTCCTGGCTGTGCGGAAGGCCCTGTAGGTAGTGACACGGTACCGGGCGGCTGATCACTCACGTGATCAACCTCTCCCGATGCTTGGGCAGCCGACACGTCCGCGTGCTGTCCACTCTTGATGGATTGCGACTGCACGGGCGACGGCGGCATCTGGTTGTCCGAGGCGGGAGAGTCGATGGACAGGTTCGACATGTCTGTGGTCGTCGATTTCAGCGATGGCAGATCCCCTCTGTTGGCTCTGGATACGCTCGACCTCCCACTCCGTCCAGATCGCACCGAGGCGACATCGGCGGCCTTGTTGGCCTCTACTTCGTTCACGAGCGAAGAGTTGCGGGGGCTGTCTGCGCTTTTGCTCGCGCCCCCGGGGATCTTGGACCGCAAGGATCGGAATGAGCGGGACGATTCCTTGGTGTCTGACTTGCTTAGGGACGGGTACGACTGCAAAGTGTCGCCATATGAGGGGCCGCCAGGCCCGGCGCCTTTGGAGCTGGAGTTGCCCATTGCGGGAGGGTTGTCTTAGCCCCAGAGGGTGTCGCAGGGCAGGCTGAGCGGAGTGTCGTGTCTGAGCGTCGTGTCTGATATTCGGTGTGGTGGTTCGACGAGCTAGTCGACGTTTGCGCTGTATGGAAATAAGAGAGAGAGAGTTTAGTGCATTCGTCTTGAGCAATCCGACATCAATCGCTCGCAGGTTCGAGAGACAACGGGGCTCGACAAATAAAGGCGGAATCGGCGTCGGCGTGTCGATCAGCAATGACGTCGGATCTAACGGACTTATATGCGTGGGCTATGTAGTAGTAGTGACAGCTCGGAGATAAAGGTGTCGATGAGGGAGGCGGATGTGTGCGCGAGTCGATGGGCTGGCTGGCTGGTCGACACGGATTGTGAAAGTGAGGGCGGAAGACCGGTGGCGGTCGTTGTAGGATATGGGATGTGTGAGAATGACTGTTTCGCAAGGCGTGGACGGAAAACCCTGCCAATCCGGCCTCCAGCGGTTCACCTCAGAGGCCTGCTGCGGGGAGCTTGCCTCGTGGTGTGGCAGCGGCTCTCACTATTGCCTGATGGTACGTGCACGATATGCAGCCGCTTGACGAAGGCGCAGGGCAACACGAATGACGGCGATACTTGGAGCAGTCGACGAAGCGAGTGACTTTCGGATTTTCAAACTGTGTCTTGGCCTTCCTGTTCAAGTTCGTGCTGGCTGGCTGACGCCGAAGACGGACAGGTGAAGGACATGGAGGCCTGCGGCCTACTGTAGGTATGTTAGGCACGGGCACGGCAAGCACAGGCCACTTGGGCTAGGCGGGATGGGACTGTGAGACTGATAAGGCTGTCTAATCAGTCTAGCGCGAAGTGAGAGTGCGTGAAACTTCTTGGCGGCTTGCAGTCCAGGATTCTGAAGCTGTTCTCGAGTTCATGTGGCCCTGAGACGCGGAGGGCAGGACGGAAAAGGGACAGGGAGGCCTGCGAGTGGTACGTAGAGGCTCCTAATCAATGTCTCGTCGTGCCTTGGAAGGTGGTGCATGCCAGCAAATGCGAGCGTTACTGGCAGATGCGATGAAGAACCAGGTCCGGGCACTCGATTGGCTGCTTGGCATCTGGGGATTTGATTAAGGTTTGGACTGTTCGAGACTGACTCGGACCGTTGGAACTTGGATGTGCATGACCACGTCCGAACCCCTTCTGCTCAACTACTACCATTCTCCGCGCATACGGCTAGCAAATGAGAGCTCGATCGAGTTGTGAGCATCCATCCACATTGCTCTTTTGACGATGACTGCGCCAGTCTCCTGGCGCGGGTTATTTCAAGTGTTTGGGCTGCAGACGCCAAACGTTTGAGCGACAGGGTAGCTAGTGTGTTGCGGCAACGTGGTTCCTTACTTTACGATTCACAGAGCACCAATGGAGCAAGAATGTAAGAGCCCCGTACAATAGACCGCGCATCAGAGTGGTACATACGAAAACGGCCACGCACTAATTACTCGGCCCTACTGAGGTACGATAGCCAACTAGTGAGAATGACATGCCACAATGTATCGTGCAGGGTAGGTCAAACTTCAACGTCACAGGGAGGGACCCTGGGCTCTCACTCTTGGATTTCGTTGATAAAATAACTTGGGAATTGTCTATATTACTGCGCAGAGTGGTGACGGGCTCATACACCAACAATGGGCCATTGGATTACTTAACAGTTTCAAATTTCTAGCACGTGAATTCCCACACTCGTCGACTGGAGGCGGCGAGAGGCGTTGTGGCTGGAGGTGCTAAATTTAGCACAGTTAAGTTTAGCGTCTCAATCGGGCTGTGTAAGCGTTGCTACTGTAGCAAGCCCCTGTTTCCTTGGACCAAGGCTACTACGTACGCGAGCGTTGCCAACCTCGTCGCATGCTGTCGACACATCGATGGACTGTCATATTGTCGTAATTCGAGCAAGAGAGCGGTGTCCATGTTCAAGCGTAGTTCAGTGCAGCAGCGGGAGGCCGCGAGTTGTTGGGTCGATCATGCTCGTGCGCTGAGCAGATCTGCACATGTTGCTGTGGAGATTGCCTGGACAGCCTGTTTCAGGGTCCATCTTTACTGTACATGAGGGTGACGCATCCGATGCATCGGTGCGAGATGTACGATCAAACTTTGTCGTACGGGACCAGAAGGGACACCGCTTGGGTTTGGGCCTTGGCACGAGCAATGCGTAGTCTAATTCGCGTCCAGGACCCAGTCGTCGACCAAGGGCGCCTTGTAGTGGATTGAATGCGACTGCAGAGGATGCCAGCGCGGGATGAGGCTCAATCAGGATGCTGACGACAGCCTGCAAAGCGAGATATTTTCCCCATGCACATCTTCCCTGAAATAGGATGAGTTATCCAGTTGCTGAAAGTGAGATCTCCATCGACTGGACGCGTCTCCCCAGCAGCAGCAGCGCGCAGCAGAGCAGCGCCCCCACCCCCTGGGGCATTCTCCAGCCGTTACTGCGCCACGGTCCAGCCTTCACTGCAGTGCCCTGCCTGCCCTGCGATGTCAGGCTGACATGCCGACAGCAGCCTGGCATGCCAGAGACTGCTCCTCGTGTTTCAATTATAAGACGGTCAGCTTCCTGCATCCTCTCTGGGCATCATCCTCCATCTCCCGCGTCTGTCACGTTCCCTCTCCACCGTTTGGCAGCTTGTTTGTTCTCGACAACAATCATATCTACTTCCTATCGGATAGCTCAAGCTAGCGGCTCGTCAAACAAACTCGCCTACGACCAGCATCACTATATTCACCGACCTTCTCCACCACCACACCTACTACTTCCCACGGCTTCGAAAGACCCAAGCCGGCATCATGAGAGCGGGACGCTTCGCCTGTGTGGCCTTGCCCATCATCCTGACCGTGGGCGCCATCATCGCGTTCCTGGTCGCCACTCTCTCCGGCGTCGTCCACAACTCGCTCTACATGTTCACGGTGAACCTCGAGGACATGACGCTCGACGAGGCCACGCTCTCGAGCCTTGCGGACAACTTGGGAATCGACACTTCCTCCCTTAGCGACCTCACGAACTCGCTCCCCGACGGCGTCAGCCTCGACGATCTCAAGGCCAAGCTCCCCGACGGCGTCAGCCTCGATGACCTCAACCTGGACAACATTGACCTGAGCAATCTCGACCTGAACAACTTGGATATCAACGACCTGCTGAACAGCAACAAGAAGCGCGCGGATGCCAGCGTCTCGGCTGCCGACCTGAACCTCGGTCAAAAGTACGAGATTGGCCTCTGGGGCTACTGCGAGATCAAGAACAAGACGGACGGCGATGGCACCACGCGCGACTGCATCAATGCCGAGTTTGACTGGGCCAATAAGCACTTGCGCAGTAACTTGACCGAGGCGTTGCGGAACCAGATCCCCGACGAGGTGGAGAATGCCATTGATCTCTTCTCGACGATGACTCGCTACACCGAGATTGTCTTCATCGTCGCGCTTGCGGTCTTTGGTCTCGAGCTCTTCCTCGGCATATTTGCGTCCTGCACCCGCATCGTCTCGTGCCTCGTGTGGCTGATTGGCCTGGCTGCCATTGTCCTGTCCATCGCGGCGGCCGGCATGGCGACGGCCATGTCCGCGATTGTCATCGGTACCATTGAGGCCTCGGCGAAGCAGTACGGCGTCCACGGATCGATCAACACGCAGTTCCTCGCCACCATCTGGATCGGCTGCGCCTTTGCCGTCGGCGCCTCTGTCTTTTGGCTGTTCACCATCTGCTGCTGCAAGCCCGAGCACAACAGCCACAAGAACCGCGACGGCGCGGACGACCACGAGAAGCTCATGGGCAACCGTGCGTCGGGCTACTACCCCATTGGCGGCACCAACCACCACGCGAATAGCGACCACGAGATGACCACGAGCACCTACCACAACCAGTTCCAGCCCACCTATGGCCAAGCCTACAGCCACACGCCCGCCTACAGCTCGAGTGGCCGCTCGGATGCTGGCTACGAGCCGTATGCTCACCGCAACTGACAAGAGAGAGATGGGTGATTGCGGAGGAGCGCAAGTTCACGACGTAATGACAACATGGCTTTTTATGCATTTGCAGCAGGCGTTTTTGGCATTGGATATCGAGCTGTCTCCCTACTTTGTTGGGGGCCATTCACTGTGCGGATCAGACCATGATACCCGAGGGGGAAACAATACTCAGATAGACACTATTGGATGAAATTAAAGATATCATATCATGTCTCTACACTTAAGGCGACATGGCCTTGGACGTAATTAGTTTGTTGAAAAAGCTCGAGAGGCCTGCCTCGCGACTCGAAACTTTTCCCGGCGGACTTTGTATGTGTGGACCGCAAAAAACTCCCTTCACCATAGCCTGGCTATTTCTCTTGCTGCCACTCATCGTCATGCAGTCAAGCAGAAGCAAATTGTTCAGAATTTAGTACTGATAGCCTGAACATCTGATCATGGCAAACCAGGTGGTGCCTTGAGACCTATTTTGCCTTGACGACTGAGACCATCAATGTAGTCGGAAGCAGGCGGAGTTGGAAGCCAACGTGCGGTTGCGAGAAGACGACCCTGTTTCTTTCAGACTCGCCAATCCTTTTACACCAGTACTCGCTTCCAGGCATGCGTGATGGTGCTGGTGCAGTATTGAAGTGGTTTCTTATCCAGGAATACCACGCAGGCGACACAATACCCTGTTGTTACCCACGGGTGCCGCCGAGCTAAGGATGAGGAATTTCGGAAAACCGCCTGTACCTACGTAACAGATGGGATTGTTTGGTCTTGGCGATAACGAGGAGTAAGATATGGTCAGGGACTCAGTGCTGCGGGCTAATTAATCAGACCATCTTCCTCGGCATTTTGAGGCCTTAAATAAGGTCCTGATAATCAATCAATCTGTAAAGACTGTAAATGTAATTAGGTTGCCGCTCGTTGAGTGTTTAATCAAACCAATCAAACAACGCGGAAGGGTGCCTGGACCTATTTTTATAGACCCTCCACCAATAAGAATATGTGCATTTCCCCCTCCGCACGGACCGCACCTTTCCCCCGGTCCCTACAACATATAGCTGCCAACCGGGCATCACCATATGCCTCATTTTGTTCATAGCGACCTCTCTACCATCTATCACCTAGTGTATTCGGCCACGGACGAATACTATCCAATACAATCTACATTTATCAATATCAGTCCAAACAGTCAAAACTTGCCCAAAATTTGCGTCAATCAGTCAGATGGACCCCTGGATCTGGCCTGATTGATTGACCCGCAGCCCTGCCCAAGATGGTATCGCGAAATAGGACCTACCACAACAGGATATCATTCCTGCATATCGCAGTCATGGTCATAACGCCAGAAATGATCCTTCGGCGAACTCTGCCTGTAGGGCAGAAGCTTTACGCACGTGGGCATGGCATGTCCTTCTCGTGCTGACTGCCAAGCGTACTTGGCAGGCCTGGAAGCTGGGCAAGACTATAGTAGGACCCTGAACAGTCGAACATAGGTAACAAGACCCCTATACATCGTCGGCACGTGCTATGGTCTGCATGGGTCTCATGTCCTGTGCCTGATCCTTCGCAAAGACTTACATCGTCTCTAGGATTCACCTATCGTCACAACAGATATAGTGGCAGGGCAATGGAACGATGTGAAATCCATGTTAAAAGGGGGCCCGGGCGCCCCAAATTTGGGGCTCGAGTCCAACTCTATTACAGGACCGAGTAAACGCTGCGTCCTGTGCAGACACCTTGACTCTTTCGCACCGTTCGTTGCCCCTTGAGAAGATTATGGTTGTGCTTAGATGGTTTGCTGCGGCGTTGGCTGCGGCCTCCTGTCTAGGCAATGCTGTCTCGGCATATCCTTTCGACTCTGAAGCCGACAATAGCACTGATCCTTTCTCTGATTACCCTGCCCTACTCAAGTCCCGCCAGGACAACGTGGAGTTACGCATCCTGCCCCTCGGTGCTTCCATCATGGAGGGTGTCGGATCGACGTATCACTCGGGGTACGTTCTCAATGTGACAGCTCAACAAGGGCAACAGCTCCCCAAGTGTACTCTTCATAGCTCACCAGCTCTCTATCTACTTTATAGGTCTCGAAAATACGTCCGAATGGCACTCCGGAACGACGGGTATGAGGTCAACATGGTCGGCACGCGCCAGCACGGTACCGACATGAAAGACAATGTGAGCCGTCCCTCCGAACATAACCCTAACCACGTACATAAAGTGTAAGGTCCGAGCCCAACGTCTAATTCATGATCATGACAGGACCACGAAGCAACCTCGGGCGCGAAGCTCCATGAGGTTTTACAAAACTACCTCCCCAGGTCCCTCGCCTACAAGCCCAACATTGTGTACATGAACATTGGCACCAACAACGCCAACAGCGGTCAGGACGTCAGCAACGCGTATGAGATGATGGCCTCTATCCTTGACAAAATCTGGGGGAGCTCCGGCATGAGCGAGACCTGTGTGATTGTTTCGACGCTGCTACCCACAAACCATGCCGAAGGAAGAATCAACCGCATTTCCATGAACCAAGCGTACCGTAACGTTGTCCGAGATAAAGCGAACGACGGCAAGTGCGTCTATCTGGCCGACATGGAGCCACCGGGTGAGGGGTCTGGGTTTCTTGGCCTGGACCAGCCCGTCTGGATGGCCGGCGAGACCATTCACATCCATCCCAACGTACGTGAGAGGCGTACCTGGTGCGGTGTTGCCGCTGTGCTCTGGCTGACAAGATGATCACTCCAGGACGAGGGTCATAGAAGGATGTCTTACATCTACTATGCGGCCATCACAAGGGCGCTCAGGGCCGGCAAGGTCAAAGAGGCAGCCCCGATGGAGCAGAGCGGCCAGCCCAACTGTGACAAGGTTCGAGGCAATGGCGAGTTCTCCCGTGAGTTTCACCTTGTCTAAAGGCCCCGATGACATGGATGCTGTTGGGAGCCGTGACTGACGAATCTGACCCTGCCTCCAGCGAACACCCAGCGCGGCTCGGGTGAGGGCAATGGCATTTACCAGCATTTCTCGTCGGAGCAAGGCGTTATCTTTGAAATCGAGAGCCCCTGGGACCGAAACCAGTGGCGTTGGGCTCGGCTGTTCAGTAGGAAGTACGATGACCTCCTCGGCTGGTATGACTACGAGGAGAATGACCATCGTTTCGGTGTCTGGTATGTCATCAAATCTTTTGTTTCTCCCATCAGCGAGCACGTTGCTGACAAGAGATTCCTTGTGCAGGAAGAACTCGGGAGACGGCGCCGGCAAGTTCACCCGCATCGGCGACCTCCACGGCAACATCTACTGTATTCCCCGCGGCCTGCGCTTTGCAGACGTGGACGGCGACGGTCTCGACGATATTGTGTGCGTCTCGCCGACGGGTGATCTGCATGTCTCCCGGAACACTGGCGACGGGGACCGTGGCTCTAGCAGGCTGCCCACCTTTAAGTATCTCGGTAAGATCATGACCGGCAAGGCCGAGCAGAGCCGCATCCGCCTGGCGGACATTGACGGCGACGGCCGGGTTGACTACGGCGTTGTCCACGAGGACAGCGGTGCCGTGGAGTTCTGGCGCAACTCGGGCACGGGGGAGACGCCAGGCTTCTGGCAGCATCTTGGCATACGGTCGACCATGGTGCCTGGACCGTGGACGTCGACGAGGAACGCAGGCATCCGCTTTGAGGATATCAACGGTGATGTGCGCTTTTTCTTTCTCCGCCCCGTGACTTGGACGTATCGCTGATAAACTACAGGGCCGTGACGACTATATGTGGATGAGTGATTACTGGGGAGAAACGACAACGTACACCAATGCACGCAGCTGTCAAAAGGGCCGCGAGGGCAACGGCCTCAACGTGGCGTGGCGCCAGGCCTTTTTCCGAGGCCAGAATTCGGGCTCGACACACGGCGGCATCCGACATGTCTACCCGAACCGGGACCTCGACGACGACAAGGTCCGCGAGCGGATTCACTTTGCGCGCATCTACGGGCGGGAGGAGTCCTTTGCGTACAGGGACCAGTCCGTCAAGGACTATGTCTTTATGGAACCCACCGAGGGCGACGACAAGAAGTTCAAGTTCAAGGTGCATGCGTGGAAGAACTTGGGCAGTGGCGGCACCAAGCTCGAGGCCGACGGCAACAAGTACTGCAACATGCACGGCTGGTCCGATGGACGCGCGGACTACGTCTGGGTCCGGTCGACGGGCGAGATGGATCGTGAGTACCAACTTGGCAGTCCTCCTCGACCCCGGGTTCGCTGACACGCTGGCCTCTAGTCTACCCAAGTCGCGGCCTGACGCAGGTCGGCAGCGGATCGTTCTGGGAACCGTGGGTGCCCGGCTTCTGGAAGCCCCCTCAGAATATTGACCGTCGAGAGCTACACCTTGCGGACTGGAACGGCGACGGCGCCTGCGATATCATCTGGGCCGACCCCAAGAGAAACCACCGCGTGACCGTCTGGATCAACAACTACCCCAAGACCAAGAGCTGGAACAATGCCTTTACGCAGCTCCAGAACCCTCCAGACCTCCAATGCAACGATCGCAACGGCATTGGCATCCACGATAGTAAGTGAACCTTGCTCTACTCGCTGACTGACCGCGGCTGACCTTGGATCCCTCAGATGCCGTGCAGTTTGCCTATCTCGGCAACGACAACAGGCGCGCCGACTACCTGTGCATCAGGGAGAACGGCCTCGTCAGGGGCCGTCGCCAGCTCAACGACGGTAGTTTCGGGCCCATGGTCCAGTTCAAAAAGGCCGAGGGCGTAGACCGTGCCAATATTCGCTGGGGCGATGTCAACGGCGACGGTCGAGACGATCTCATCTGGGTGGACAAGTTCAACGGCAACGCACGCGTCTGGTACGGCGCAGGCCCGCACGGCAACCCTTCCGCCAACGGCGGCTCCAGCTGGCAGTGGCGCAAGATCGACGAGCCCGTATACGACGGGAGCTACGCGGGTACCTGTCAGTACTTCCCCGACCTCAACGGCAACGGCCGCGCCGACCTGCACTCCATCATGGGCACGTGGACGAACAAGGCCGAGACCTGGTTCAACAGAGACTGCGCGCTGCGAGACGCACACGGCGATGACCCCGGCGGCGACCCCCAACTGCCCGTACAGCCAGGAAATCCCATTGATGGGGATGGCCCAGGGGATGGCGACCACCCTGGATGCGACAGAGAGAGCGACTCGCGCGATTTCCGCGACTTTGACTGCAACGACCCCCTGGTTGCCAATCACTCGGAGGACGAGGATATTATCAAGGCATGGAGCGGGCTCGACGTGCTTGGGGCCTGGCGATCGTCACTCGACTGGTGGCATTGCAAGCGAGCGGAAAGCGACGTGTCCGGCTTCTCCAACGTGGTACGTGGCGCGCCTATTTGTTCTTCTTCTTCTTCTTTGGAAAAAGGCCCAGCTGACAAAGATTCTTTTGGTAGATCTCCGATTTCTTCAACGGTCCTCAAGGGTAAGACTGTGTCCCGCTGCTGGCATGATTCAGCAAACATGTACTGACCTTTGCAACCCGTACAGATTCCGATGCGAAATATTCGCGGAAGTCGGCAATTGCGGCGGAGGAAACGCTCTCCAGTGCGACGATGTCCGGTGGCCCGCTGGCTACTTTATTCTCAACTGGTTCAGGAACATTGCTTCGGTGAGTTGTCCGAGTTGCTACTCACCTGCCATCTTGATCTATCCACACGAGGCTGACTGGCTACCTACCGTACCAACAGATCAACCGGGACTGGGACAATGCCCTCCAGGATCTATCCGACTACACGCAGCCAGACAACGTAGCGACGACCTTTGGCATGAGACCCGACGATACAAACCCCCGACTCGCCATACTCCTCGATGTCGTGGTCATGGGCTATTCCATGGTCATGGGCCCCATATGGAACAGAGGTATGTCCACCCAGGGCAGGACTCACAAGACTTGCTGACATGGCACGTGTAGTGGTCTCACAGTCACGTCGGCCAGGACTAGGAGGTGGAAATGCCGGCACACTCAACGACGAGATCAACGACCTCGTCAAAAACAGCGCCACGTTGGCCAAGGATGTCTACGCCGCACACTACAAAGCGTGAGCAACCAACCCCATTGTGTCATCTCTCACTGCCTGTGGGCACTGACACGTCTTTGCATCGCAGAAAAAGCGACGCAGGCACCAAGATGTCAGTCGCCACAGCCATGAAGGAGATTGTCAACAGCTGGAAAGCCAACGTGCAAGAACTGACGGAAACCATTTTCGACGGGAGTGACTCGTCCAACCTGAAGCTGACGCTGGTGATGGAGGGCGGCGCCATGTTGCTGGAAAACGCTCTCGATGGCGTCAACAAGGCCGCCATGACGGAGGCCCTGCACAAGACACTCAATGCCCAGATGATCCCCATCACGTGGAGCGTCTCGGCGGAGGACATGTATCCTGTCATCATCAGAGTGCGTGCTCTTCCATGTCCCTCAACTCCAGTCTTCCTCTGCTGACAAGTCACCCACAGGAGGAAATTGGCTGCACCGAACGGCCCCGAATCGACTGGACAAACAGCAATGTCGACTGGGTGACCTCGGGGGCCCACGGCCAGAGGCTCTGCATCGACGACGTGAGCTATTGGCTCCTCGCGCCGCGCAAGTTCAACCAGTGCAAGACGACGGCCGAAGGGGACGTGCTCAGCTGTCCCGCCTACGACGTGCCGCCCGGTTTCGATGCGCTGGAGAACAACGAGTACGACGTCAACGTGCGCGACGTCGTCGAGGGCTCCATCAACACGTGGGTACACAACGGACGCAGGAACGGGGGGCCCATCCCGGACATCAACACCGAAGCCATGGACGCGATTGTCGAGCGGAGCCTCCGGGCGCCTGGCTTCTTCAGGATCCCCGTCTGCGACATGGCCGAGGTCAGGGACAACTGGGAGAAGGCGTACAATGGTGCCAAGCCCTGGAACAACTTTCCTTGCGACGAGTAGATACAGTAGAGCCTAGTATCCTTCAGCAATGGATCTCATTAGTAGCTACCTTTAGAGACTGTTGATCAAATTATGGAGATAGTGCGGATCTTGAAAGTACCTCTTCCATCCGCTATTCTAGGTGGAGGGCTAGGTAGACTCGGTCTCTGCACTATTGCCATAGTTTCTAATTTCTAACCCCTCCAAAAACGCGCCGCCCCTCCACCAACAGGGATTTCAACCACGGCATGTCATCCCCAAACCCAGCGCAGTCCGCGCCCACACGAGAGTTCACGCAAGTCCCCGTGACCTCGCTCGCATTCTGCCAGACACACGGTGGCCGCAAGTTGGTCCTGTCAGGGGAGGACACGGAAGTCAGGGTCTACGACGCAGAGTCGTCCGCGCTCCTCTGCCGTGTCCCTGTCTTCCACGAGCAGCCTGTCCACGGTCTGTCCATATCGGACGGGAAAGTCCTGGCATGGGGCGCCAAGCATGTCGCCGCCTTTGAGATCCGGGGCGTGGAGGAAGGCATACGTCCACGGGTGGTTAAGGCGCTGGCACCAGACTGGATCTACGATGGGCGGTGGAATCCGTTCAACACCTCGTCGGCCGTGCTCGTGACGGCGCATAACGAGGTTGTCAGCTTGATTGTGGCCCTTGATGAAGGCAAGATGGGTTGCACAGAGGTGGTCTCGCCTGCGCGACCGAATCTCTACTCGGCAGAGCTCGCGTGGCTAGATGAGCACACAGTTCTCGTGGCTGCCGGCACAGCGTTTGGTGAGATTCTGATTTGGAAATACTACACACAAAAAGATGCGAGTGATTCGTCTTCGTCTTATGAGATGCTCTTTGTCTTGACGGGACACGAGGGCTCGATTTATGGGGTCAGCATTGCGCCAGAAGCGATCGACATCCACGGGGAGAGTGTCCGGCTTCTGGCGAGCTGTAGCGACGACAGGACGGTACGAGTGTGGGACATTACGGAGAGGGCCGCGAACAAGAAGACGTACGACAGTGGTCACTTCAACAAGGCCAGGGAGACTGGCTTTACCGACTACTTGGCGGCCGACAGCCAGCCCGTCATGGACGCTGTGCCGCCCGTGTCGATGGCCATGGGTCACCTGTCAAGGATATGGGGCGTCGAGTTTGGCGCCGGTCCGAGCACGGACATGGCCATTTACACATTCGGAGAGGACGCAACGACGAATAAGTGGCAGCTTGTCATACATCCTCCCGCATCTCCCGACGATGTGGACGCTGGGAAAGCCCTGACGGGTCGACTGCATCTTGTCAAGACGTACTCCTACCACGATGGGAAACATTTGTGGTCACACACGGTCCTCAGAGAGCAACAACGTACCCTCATCGCGACAGGCGGGGGTGATAGCCGGATCACACTGATCAACGACGAGCGACGATCACAGCTCGAGGCCGACTCTCATGATGACTCGTCGACAAAGCTTGACGTGCGGGACATTTGTCCGGTCGACTCTGTAGTGCTGCCACCAAGCAAGAAGCCAGAAGTGCTAGGTCGCTTCGACTTTATAGCCCCTGGCCAGATACTCATGACGACATCCACCGGTAGGCTTTTACTGGGACACCTCGGCTCCTCTCGTCGTGCGTGGGAGCGCATTGAGTTGGAGGCGTCCGTGCAGGAGGATCTCAAGGGATGCTACGTGCTCAAGTGCGCCTCGCCGGGGAAAGCGGTGCTAGGCACAACCGGAGGCAACGTCTACCTGTACAATGGGAAAGCAGGCACCATTGCCCACGTAACGCACGTGAAAGGAAAGATCACCGACATCTACTGCCTCAGCCAGCCTGGACAGATGTCGCAGATTGAGATCTTGGTCCACGTATTTGGCGACGTACAGCCGCAGTACCTCGTCCTCGACCACGAGACGGGCAACATACTCGATGCGGTGGATCTATCAGGGCTCGATTACCGCTTCGTGACCACGTCTGCGACCAAGATAGGAGACTATCTCCTCATGGGCTCCCGGAGTGGTTGGCTGTCTGTCATGAGCCGGCGTGGTCCGGGCTACAGCCGCGTCCTCGAGTTCCCCTGCCCCAACAGGGACGCCATCACCTCGGTCGTGCCGTTGCCGAGACGCGCGGGCGAGAAGGCCCCGGGGACGGAGTTCTACATCCTGCTGACCACGCGAGACGGAAAATACCGAATCTACGAGTTCACGCACGCCCCCGACGCCTCCTCGCCGAGTCTGGCGCTGTGCCACGAAGCGTGGCTGCCCTTTGGACCGATGATCGAGGGCGCGTGCTTCACGGCCGATGCCACGCCCGAGCTTTTGATCTATGGTTTCCGAAGCAAGCACTTTGTGGTATGGAACGAGACGCGGCGCGAGGAGTGCCTGTCCGTCGACTGCGGCGGTGCCCATCGCACGTTCAGCTTCCAGCCTGGGGCGCTGGCCACGGATCCATTGCGATGCGCCTTTACAAAGGCGTCCAGACTGAGCCTGTACGCGCAGCAGGCCTCGCACGCCCGGCATCTGAAGAGCCGGGGCACGCACGGTAGGGAAATCCGCGCGTTGAGCTCCAACGGTCGGTACCTGGCCACGGGCGCGGAGGACACGTCAATTCGCATCTGGGACTACCGAGGGCTGCAGGGGGATATGCAGTGCCTGGCGTCCATGAAAACGCACGTCACGGGGATCCAGTCGGTCAAGTGGCTTGGCGACAACTATCTGCTCAGCAGCGCCGCGAACGAGGAGCTTTTTGTGTGGAGGGTGAGCCCGCTCAAGACGGCCTCGACGACGTATCCCGTCCTGGGCGTCATCTGCGAAGCCATCTTTGACGACAAGACAGCCGTGGGGGACCTGCGTATCCTCGACGTGGACGGCGGTGTCGTCCAGCAGGATGGGGAGGAGGAGGCTCTGGTGCTCAGCTTGGTCCTCTCCAACTCCACATTCCGCACGTACAGGTATACGCGCCCCACGGGGTTCCAGCTTCTCGCAAAGGGCGCCTACACGGGTGCGTGTCTCACCCAGGTCCGTCAGCTTGGCCGGCTCGGGGTGGAGGGAGGAGAGTCGGCACTGGTGGTGACAGCCGCCACGGATGGGCATCTGGTCCTGTGGAGGGCCATTGCGCAAGAAGGAGAGGCCGCCGATTCTTCAGCGTTGGTGTACACGCTGGCGGCATCGCTGCGACTGCATCAGAGTAGCATCAAGTGTCTCGACATGGTGGCACTGTCAGACGCAGAGGCGGTCATTGTGACCGGAGGCGACGACAACGGACTCGGTATCACGACTCTCGCAAGGCGTGGGGGAGAATTGGCCTTTTCGAGCAGGGGCATTGTCCCCAGTGCGCATGCGGCGGCCATCAATGGGGTGATTGCGGCGAGGAAGCAGGATGGCGTTGTCGTGGTGAGCGTCAGCAACGACCAGCGTGTCAAGACGTGGTGGATCCGTCAGCACGATAGGGCTGTCGCCAAGACGGGTGATGTGTACAGCGGCGTCGCCGATGCGGGAGATGTCGAGTTCCTGGACGAGGAAGCTGGCCAGTTTGTGGTCGGGGGCGTGGGCCTCGAGATCTGGCACGTTTGATGTTGAAGGGATCGACGTGGCAGATTGACGTGCAACGTCGTGCGTAGGTATTATTATCCTCAAGGCTCATGCATGTGGCCGATCATGCGTCTTGTATCCCTGCCATCCCCCCTAAATGAAACATTCCGTTCAAACAACCAGTGAAGCAGTTTGGAATGCCCGTCGGTGCCGTCACCACAGGCAGTCTCGCTCCCATGCCTCCACGTTTCACATACGCATCCCCCAATGTCCATCATCTCCATGCCTTCAACACCCAAAATCACGCTGATTGAAGAAGGCCAATTTCAATCTGACATCACCCCGGCCCCGTCAGCCCTCTTGGTCCGAGTACGCCCAGCCCTACCTCGTATTCTGTGCCGCTCATGCGGCTGCTATCAAGCCTCTTGGCATCGTCAACGGGTCTCGTATCAGCAACGGTTGTTTCCCTTGTCCCACAGCATGTAGATAACTCTCCGGTAATTAAATTAATGAGAACGTGCACGAGTGTAATTTGCACGTCCGCGTGCCGCTTTCGCTTATTTTCTCCTTTTAAATTGCCTTGCCGGACTTTTCGAGGTGATCGTCAAATCTGACTTTAGACCTCGTCCTCACACTCGTTGCACGCTTACAAGCTTTAAAAAAAAGTGTTGAGCGAGAGCCAGCTAGCACACCTGCCAGCTGGCGCCGCAATCTGTCCAAATTCATTCATTCTATCCCTGTCTCGCTTCTTGCTCGCTGGTCGCTGCCGCATCTTTAGTCAGTCTGTCGCTCGCCAGGGGGCATCACAACTTCGCATCATGAAGCATACTCTCGTTCTCACAGCCATCATGACGGCAGCAGCCGTGTCAGCGGCACCCTTGGCAGCACCGAGAACGACGCTCCCATCGCCAATTGGACCCTCAGGGCCATGTCCAGATGTATGTTGATTGCACATGTGTGGGAACACGGGAAGCTGACACCGACTCCGACAGGCCAAAGTGGATGCGATACTGCGAGGCGACTTGGGCCCCGAGGCGTGCTGCTCCTATGGGAAATGCAAAGGCGGCGTTGTCGTGTCCGTCGGTTGATGAAGCAGCAATCGGAACAAGAACCAACGTGGAAGAGAGCGAGAGAGAGGGGGAACAACCGGCGGCGTCGTCACTTGACGATTCCGGGGAGATATTTGCATCACGACGACATGACAACCTTGGGTACTTTGGCGTTGGACCCAGGAGACAACAGACAGGACTACCAGATATACCCCGGCATATGGATGGTAACTGGAAGTGACAACCATTTGAACCAAAGTGCGGGCACTTTGTGCCATCATAGCAACACGATACCAACTCGGTACATCTTCAGACAATGTTCAATCACATCGTTGCCGGTCTGGTTTGCTTGTGCAAAGTGCAAAGGAGGTAGTTCTCCCACGCCCCCGCCGATCCTCACAGCCAAGCTATGCGCCCTGTGCACAGTTTGATACCCAAGTACCCATTCTGAAACAGCTAGCCCGATGACACTTTGAGGAAGAAACAGGGACACAGTAGTTAGCGTCGCGGCATCTGGCCACTGCGCCTCGGCAGTCAACGTGGTGACCCGCACGGCTAGCATCGACCTGCTCCATCAAGTCATGTGCGCGATCGTCGTGAGGTTATAAATGTTCCCCGCGTCGTACCACGCCTGGCCAACCTTGCCCCAGCCTCGAGATCGACCATCAATGGAGAAAGGACGGCCGACTGCATGTGGAAACCATGGCACATGATGTTGACAGACATGTCTTGCCCAGTATAGCATGGCCAACTCGGAGAGGGCACATCCGTTCGACTCAACGAGGAGATCGGCGTGTTGTTGTACTAGGGCCCGGCTGGACGGTGCGTCTTGGTCATCATGTACAGCTTCAAAGGCGTCAAGGACGATGATGAGACGCGGCTCAAGAACAACCAGCCCTGGGCAGCCGAGCAGAATCCACGTCAGTAGCCGGTGCCTCGCTTGGAGCACATATGCGAGTAATTAATTACTGCAATGTCACATCCGAAAATGCGTGCCAAACCGCATGGACAGCTCCTTTTCTCCTGCCGGATATATTCGCGACAGATTCAACCGGAGACCAACCACGAGGGGCAAGTGCCATCCCACCCCCGCCGGACCTCACAATGACCGGAGAAGATGCGATAGGATGCGACCTGGTCAGATGCGACACTGCAATCAATCCACCAGAACCGTAGCCGGCAAAGTAGGTCAGTGTCCGAAATTCGTGTCGAGAGAGCTTGTGCGAAGCGAGCCCTGAGGTTTAGGCAGCGGCTTTCGGGGAAAGCCCAGTCAAGTCCCCGATGGGGCAGAGAGTGCTTGTACAAACAGACAGACAGGCCACAAGCTGGTCGCTTGTGTTCAAGTGCAGACAATGCCATGTCATGCGCCGCAAGCCAGCAAGCCATGGAATTCGAAAGTGCTCCCTGTTTGTTCTGAACGGGTTCCTGGGTTGGGGTTCTCGCATATGGTTCCCGGCTGAACTGAGAGTTTCTTCCAGAAACCCAGGATCCGACTATGAGCCCGCCGCAAACGACCCCTCATGACGCGACACAGCGAAAAGAATAGGGAATCAAGACGGGGTTGCGAGCCAATGCTGGGCTGTGTATTGCCGCAAACCAGAGGTGATTGGCGCGGAAGTTGAGCGTCGCTTTATCGGCCTTAGGCTGCCCGAGCCTGGGGCCGGTTGACCCCACACCCGCTCCTAACGTTGGGGCCCTAGCTAACAAATTCCTGCCTCCAAGCCAAAGCGGGCACTCCACCGAGGGTCGCGACATGACATTCGTTCACACACGTACGTGGGGGAGACTGTCGGATGCGCCGTCATCTGGTTCGTGGCCGAGGGGTTGGCGGTGGCGTATATAGGAACGAGGTCTGGCCTACCGCGCATCGCTGCTTCACTCCTCTCGTTGTTTTCCCCAGGTACAGCTTTTCACAGGTATCTGACATCCGCGTCGTGCCTTTCTCCCACGTCCAAAGAACACCAGAAACGCCCCCAGAATGAGCCCCTCCGCCGTCGACAACTCCACCAGCGTGGACACCAGCAAGGCGCAACTGAAGCCCAACATTGGCGTCTACACCAACCCTGCGCACGACCTCTGGATCACAGAGGCGGAGCCGAGCGCGGAGAACGCAAAGACCGGGGCTGACCTGAAGCATGGCGAGGTGACCATCGCCATCCGGAGCACAGGAATCTGTGGGTGAGTAAACGAGAGGTGACGATGAGGCGGCGGCTGCGAATTGCGCATGGGCTAACCCAGAGACCAGCTCCGATGTTCACTTTTGGCATGCGGGATGCATCGGCCCCATGATTGTCGAGGGCGACCACATCCTCGGCCACGAATCTGCGGGTGACGTTATCGCCGTCCACCCATCCGTGACACACCTCAAGGTTGGCGACCGCGTCGCCGTGGAGCCCAATGTCATCTGCAACGAGTGCGAGCCCTGCTTGACCGGTCGCTACAACGGCTGCGAGAAGGTCCAGTTCCTTTCGACGCCGCCGGTGCCTGGTCTCCTCCGTCGCTACGTGAACCACCCGGCCGTGTGGTGCCACAAGATTGGAAACATGTCATACGAGGACGGTTCGATGCTGGAGCCTCTGAGCGTGGCGCTGGCTGGCATGCAGAGGGCCAAGATCGAGCTTGGTGACCCCGTCCTCATCTGCGGTGCCGGGCCCATTGGTCTCATCACTCTGCTCTGTGTCGACGCGGCGGGCGCCTGCCCCATTGTCATCACCGACATCTCCGAGTCCCGCCTCGAGTTCGCCAAGTCCATCTGCCCGCGCGTCATCACGCACAAGGTCGAGCGCGGCACGGCCGAGGAGGCCGGCAAGCGCATCGTCGAGTCCTTCGGCGGCGTCGAGCCCGCCGTGACCATGGAGTGCACGGGCGTCGAGAGCAGCATCGCGGCCGCCGTGTGGGCGAGCAAGTTTGGCGGCAAGGTCTTCATCATTGGCGTCGGCAAGAACGAGATCAACATCCCCTTTATGAGGGCGAGCGTGCGCGAGGTCGACATCCAGCTGCAGTACCGCTACAGCAACACCTGGCCGAGGGCGATCCGATTAGTGGAGAGCGGCGTGATCGACATGAAGAGGCTGGTGACGCATCGCTTCAAGCTCGAGGACGCCATCAAGGCGTTTAAGACGTCGGCGGATCCCAAGAGCGGCGCGATCAAGGTGCAGATCCAGAGCTTGGAATAGAAGCTCCATCAATGTCATCAGGTTCGGGGGGTAACAGGAGTTGCGGGTTCATCGGGGGCAACAAATAGATCGCCACAGTTTTTTTTGGACGTGATTTCAATGCATGAACTCTGGTTTTGTGAGCATGGTGTATTGAGAAAGTCATTGTATGAGGCAAAAGTGAGAATTCATCAGCGGACGATACTGATGATACGTGACTGTGTGAGGGCGGACGCGACTGTGGACCACACGATGAAGGCAAGAGCTCCCTTGGCCTCCTGCTCTCAGAATGGCCACCCCCAAAGAGGACTAGCGTGCATCACCGACCACTCACGGCCAGCGAATTCACCCGAGATTTTTCTGCCCCGTCCAAAGAAAGGCAAGTCCCTCAAACCGCCTCCGACCACGCCATCACGACGACCGACTGTCCAACTCCCAATTGCGATCCCACCACCACCCCCGGCTCGACCTCATCTGTCCCGTCTTCCTCTTCATCAATCGCCGGTCCTCTTCCTCGTCGTCAAAGAAAAAACACACAGCCGACACCATGTCCGCCGCCGCCGCCCGTCCCGTCCTCCGCTCGTCAGCGCTGCGCTTCGCTGCCCGTCGCTACCAGAGCACCACCACCCAGAAGGCCACCGAGGCCGCCAAGGAGTCGGCCACCAAGGCGCAGGAGACGGCTCAGGAGACCACCAGCAAGGCCCAGCAGGGTCTCTCGCGCGTCACGAGCGCGGCTGGCGGTGCCGCAAAGGGCCTGACCAGCGCGCTCGGCAAGATTGGTGGACGCACTGGCCGTCTGTTTGCCTTTATTGAGCGTACGTAGATCGATCACCCACAATGGGCGCCCATTCCGCACAGGGGGAAGCAGAAGTACTGACGAGACGCCGGGAATTGTATAGGCCAGACACCCTTTGTCGTCTACTACTCCAAGGTCGGCCTCGAGATGGCCAAGTACGTCGCCCACGGCCAGAAGATGAGCCCTCCGTAAGTCACCACGCACACACGCCACGCGGCATCGACATGCAGAATCGCTGACACGAGTTCAGGTCCATTGCCACTTTCCAGACCTACTACCAGAACCTCTTCCAGTCATTGCGATCCGGCTCCCTCGGTGGCCAGTCCGCACAAGGCCTTCTCCAACGTGCCCGCAACATTGGCCCGGCCCAGCTCGCCGCTGGCGGTGTCGTCGCTGCCGAGTGCCTCGGTTTCTTCACCGTTGGCGAGATGATTGGCCGCTTCAAGCTCGTTGGCTACCACGGCGAGACTGGTGCCCACCACTAGAATTATCCGCCGACAACAAGGTTCGAATTGGATGTACGATTTGAGAGCAAGCAGGCAGCAGCAGCAGAAGCAGTGGCAGCGGCGCTGAAAAGAGCGGATGCCGATAGACGAAGGAGGACGCAATAGACGCAAGAGTTTGCACATGGGGGAGGCACGGTAGAGCATTGTCAATTGGGCAATGGAGGCTTCTTCTGTTGTCTCCCGGGCCAAGGCCCAAGGTCATTTACGTTTCTTTTGTAGTAAACTGTACAAAACAAGCTGAACAGGAAACCTATGTTTTGCTCGCACACACTGCGGTTGATGTATCGCACATTGCCCATGAGCAACCCGATGGCAGCTCAGCCGGAACGCTCTTCATCGACGTGACTGAAGCTACAGCTATTAGACGAGAAGAATGTGGTCCTGTGGAACCGCATGTTCCCTATCACCACGACGAAATCCATCGCAACCCGATCCCGATCTATATCAACGCACGGCTATGCAACTGCCCGCTTTGCAACCAACCAACAAACAGACCATTTCTTCCCATTCAACACACATTGGTTGATTCTGCGCGTGCGCAGGCTCGCAACAGTGTAGGTACGCTCATCGCAGGCGCTATTTTAATAGCGATTATCCGTGTGCTGCGACCTCCAAGGGCTTGACTCCTCACATTCGCATACACCCATGGAAACCCCGAGCCCATTGAGAGCTGTATTCCGCATCGTCTTGCGTCGAGGGACGTACAATGCCTGCGCCTCCGCATCCGTTTGACCTTGGGACACCTAAGTGCCCAGAGGTCGGCGTGCTCTCCATATGTAGCTATCCCCAGGTGTCAGTATGAGAGAACAAGCGGAGGCTCCAGAGCAAATCAAACGTACGCGTTCATGTAAGCTCCATACTTGAGGGTGCAGGCTTCAGTCGTCGCTCGCTGGGCCAGATCCTCTATTTGGTCCGGATCAACAGCCGAGCCATAGCGGATCATGGGCACGAGAGCCATGGCCTCAAAGCCCTGCGTCACGACCAGGTTGAACCATTTTGATAGCTCGCGCTGGTCGTCTGCGGCCGCGGCCGGGCTGGGGCTGAGGTAGAGGCGGACGACAACCTGCTCAATGTGCTCAAAACCCGCTTCTGCCAGCATCCGTCTTGTGTGCCCTGGTCGGATGTGTGCACTTCGGTTGGCGCGCTCGAGCCCGGACAGGACCCCCTCGCACCACTCTTCGAGCGCCGACGAGGGCTGTGGCCGCTCGTGCTCAAACCCTGGCCGCCAGTCGATCTCCGTCTGCTCGATAAAGCCATATCCAGGTTTGAGGTGCCTGCACAACTGTGAGTACTCGTATCAAAGAGAGCATGGGAAACTCATACCTGAACACGTTCTGGTATACGCGGGGCCACATGTCAGTTTCTATCGCCCCCAGCAACAAGCGGATGTGTGCCATGTCGCAATCCATCATGAGCGGACTCCAGTCTGGATCCTCGAGATCGTGTTGCTTTACCTCAACATTAGGAGGGATCCTAGCATACAAGTCAGCAGTCTGCTGGATCCAACGACGGATGGATGACACCAGGGCCACCCGCCCGCTTGAGAAGAACGCTCACATGCGTGGGGAGCTGTTGTGCAAGTCAACAGCCATGACATGGGCGTTTGGGTACCTCCTGTGCTTGTTAGAAGTGAAGTTTTGCCTGGCCTGCGAGAGGGGACACCTACTCGGCCATCTGGCAAGCCCAGATGCTCGTGCCTGACCCGAGATCCAGGATCTTAGCTGCGTCGGCTGCTGCTGCAGGGAACTCGTATTCGAGGCCACCTTTCACCATGAGGAATACTTTCTGCACAAGATCCATGCGTCGTCTTTCTCCCTGCGAAATCAGTGAGACCATGGTGACAAGGGAGAGCGTCGCATGCGAGTCTATACCTCATCAACTGGGAAGATATACTTCCCATGCTTGTGTCTGCCGAACCCTCGGCCATATTCGTCGTAGTCAGCCAAATAGGGTGGCCGTCCCACGTCGCCGGCCTCAGACTGTGGACCGACAGGGCTGTTCCTCTGTTTAGCAATGGACACTCTTCCATCTTGTCTATAGACGTACGTTTGTGACATGATGTGGTTGCTCCTTTAGCCCCTTGACCAAAGATTGGTATCTGGGTGCAGCCACACCGAAGCACACCTCATGAGGCTTCGCGCTGCCTGTCGTTGTTGCTCGTTCCGAGTCTGTTGGCAGGTACAGCCACGCTGCTCAACGTGCAGTCACCTGTGCTTGATGTTTAGTCTATGTGGATAACTTGTTAAGATCAATCTGCAGTATGTATTGCAAGAGCTATGCCACGGCATATGCAAACACTTGAGGGGTCCCAAGACCAGCACATTCGCCATGTATGGGGTTTGTGGCAGGGTTCCATGTAGTCCCCGTGACTCGGAGCACTTGCAACGACTACTTGACTTGTACCATGGACTCACTGTCTTGCGGCGGCACCTCGGGGCATTTGTAGGGAAGAAAGTCCATAAATAATTTTCCGATAGGACATCAGACGGAGAATGACTTACCGATCACTTTCGGGTCGAGTCTTTCTGTGGGATTTTTGTACAGTACGTTGTTGCACAACAGCCAGCGCCGAGATGTTGGTGGTGGGCGTAGACGAATAAGAGAACTGTACTGTCATGGCGTTAACTTTGGCTTCGGGGCGGGTTGTGTTCAAGTTGCAGATGGGCAAGCTCACCTGTAGACAAAAATTGTGCTCCTGAAGTAGTATTGGGGAATGGCGAATGGCTTGGTGATTGTCGAGGACCAAGAGGAGGAGGATTGTCGTGGTTATTGGTGGTGCTAATGACGGGCCTTGCGAATCTGCGACGCGAATAAGAATCCCAGTGGCCAAGGAGAGCTTTCAAGGATCTAGCGGGAACGGTTTGATCAATAACGGAGCTAAGATGACGAGCAAGGGTGGGTGTCAGTGATGAACCTGGTGGACACCCGGAGCGGGAATCATTTACAAGGTACAGGGTTATGGGAGGACGCTATTACCTCGACCGGCTACTTTAGGTATGACCTAGAACGACTGGAGGCCGAAGTGATTCAGTAGGAAAGCAGGCAACGGACAACCCAGCTGGTAGCGCGCTCACACGACAGTGGCAGCAGGGCAGGGCAAGATTGGCGCACTGTAGGTTCGGGACAGGACTGGAGCCTGACATGTGCGTCGTGCAATGCCCCGACCCTTTTGCATGCGGCAGGCCAGGTAATAGGTAATGCTGGGTCGACGTAGGCGGGGACGCTCTGTGATGATGCAGATTGTGAGGCAAGGTAATGTAAGGCAGAATTTCGGCGGTCTGCCAGTCTGACGAACGGGAAGCGAGGTGGGCGATTAAAGTGGGAGAGAATCATATAAAACGGTCGAGGTCGTGGGGAGGAAGCGGCTCCCGAAACATGTAAGACAAGGCGGACAGTTTAACAAAGCAGTAACAAAAGTAAGCAATGTACCTTGGAGATTTTTTCGCGGAGGAGCCGGCGGCAGCTCAAGCTTTATGTCTTAAGCAATTGCTGGACGGCAGAGAAGAAGATGCGCGCCCCCCCAGGGCCCCAAGCGGGCGTGTCAACAACAAGGTGATGAGAGATACTGGACTTTGGCAGGCGAAGACGGCTAGCAGACTAGTCTCGCAGCCCACGATGTTTTGATGCTGTTGGTGACAAGATTGTGCGCTGGCGACTGCATCGTCGTTAGCCTTGCATATGTCATCAACAAGGCCTCTTCTGAGGCGGCCTGTTTGTCTCGGCGGCGCGTCAAGTCAGGCGAGACAAGTCAAGCCATTGACTGGGCCGAAAGCCTTCTTTGTGCCGAGGACTTGCCAGCGGGAGTGTTGTCGATCTGATCGGGCACCGACTTTGGCGAAAGGCGTCCATCGCGTGCCATCTTGAGGCCGGCCAGAATACAGGGTTGGAGGCGGTGATTGTTCCTTACAGTAGCATACGCAGGTCAAGTGATAAGTCCCTTGGTCAGGAATCAAAAAAGCAGATAGGACGGCGCAACAGCTCGGCAGTTCTCTGTCCATCACGAAACACGCGAGCAGGCTGGGTATAATGAATGGCTGGCGTGCAGTCGGTGAAGCCGACGTCGTCGACGCACACAAGAACAGCACACACAAAATAAACGCGGGCAATCACCCGACTGTTGCAGCAGACATTGTCTGAAGCACTTGTAATTATGGAGACAGAGTGAAGAAACTGAATGCTCATGCATGGGGTCAAAAGCCAGCCTGAGTGCTCATGCCTGAGGGGACGAGAGTGACCAGGCGCGTCACAGTGTGCGCACGGTCTCTGAGACGGGCAGTGATTCAAGCAGGTGTTTGCTGTACCTGCGTAAGGCAAGCATTATTGAGGTAGGGTGGTACTTGAGAGTACTCACTTATTAAGGTATCAAGCCCTAATAAAAAGTGCCTGCCACCAGTCTGCATGAATAAGGGAATGACTCCTTGCTGCTGGGCTCATGTCATCCATCAGCTGCTCTTTCAACGGCCTGGCCTGAAGTACACAACATTACTGGACCAACCAACCTCAAGGAAAAGGATGGAAAGTTCCTGACCGCACTGGCCAGGCATCATCAGGTGGGCGGGACTGGATTGGGCGCCTAAGGTACCTCAGGTACCCGACCTGATGTGCGCTGCCCGTCCTGCATGTCATTCTGCTGCCGATAGTGATGACGACTGGCTCGACTGGAATGGGCAATGACTGGATGGACATGGAGGGGCAACAACAAGTCAGCGGCCATCTGAGGAAGGAAGGCCCAGGCTGGTCGACCACCTGCCCCGTCCTTTTCGATCAGCAGCCTGGCACTTGGCGCCATCAACAACACACTTGTTGAACCAACAGTTCGTGATCAAAAATCCAGTCGACACGCCCTCATAGCGATCCTCACTCCCTTGCCCAGAGGCGCTTGCTCAGCACTATATACGCGCCGAGCGGGCAGTCACTCTTTGGCGCGCGGTCTACGCGGCACAGCACCTCTTTTGATGAATCTCGTTCAACAGATACGTCTACGGTCTCCAGACCCTTATTGTTATTTGTTGCTGCCGGTTAGCCACGCGCCGGCAGCCACCTCATTCACATAACCAACAGGCTACGGAGGTACCTTATTATTACAGTGCATACGGCGCCAGAATGTGATGGGAATCACCCCGGGTTTGCTATGAGCCGGCCGGCCCACTGCGCATCGACAAGAAAGAGCAGGCCAGCGATTCTTCGCGTCTGTCTCGGTCGATATCTATGGACGCCGTCGCTCAATGACCACAAATAACGCAACCAACCCGACCGCCCGCAGCGCTGGGCAGCCCTTCTCTCCCTGCATGTCCAAGGCTCGAGCCGCGCCGTTACAGGAACACCCCGGCTTTTGGCGCGCATTTTAGCCACCTACTAGTCGCTAATGCTATGGAGCTCCCTTTTTGTCGAGCCCGACAATGCACCGTGTGCACCACCAGCGGCCAGTCTGATCGCGCTGTGCCACAGCCCACAGTGCGAGCGATCCTGCAAGCAGGGTGCGTGCTCAAATCAAGCCTGTTCGTCCAACATGCTCAAAAAAGCGCCAGTCCACATTGCTTTCCCGGGTGCGCTTCACACCTGCAGACCGACGACAACGGAGTTCATTGCTGATTGGCCCTTGGCCATCAGATTGCATCTCAAAGTTTGCTGTCCACAAACCTCTCTCCTTCTCGATCGAAGCTGCGAGCACCTGTCATGATCCGACGCAATGAAGAAACAACGGGATCGCCCGAGTTGAACGAACCGGACCGCTCCACCCCCTGGAAACGACCCGGTTTGTCGTACCGTTAGTTACTAGCGCCCGCGCAAACTGGTACGTAGTGCTCGGTACGTACTCGGTCCGCTACGTATCATACAACAAATCGATCCGCCGGTATCATAATGAAAATGCTCTCCGCAACGAGTGATATGTGTAACATGATGCATCTCCCCACCGGCCGCGTACCTTCCGCTAGGAGCCGTCTGCACTTTCTCGAGTTCCATTGGGTTCCTGCCTGTGGCTGCTGAGCCTCGACGCACGGATACCGTGAACACGGATCCTTGAACCTGGGAAGGCGTCATGCCCGCGATTCTCAGCTGGGAGCCGGGGCCTTGCGACAGCGTCGGAGATGCATGCACGCACGCAAACGGTGCCAGACGGCATCCTGGTTATTACTGTACCGCCTCACAGTCACAGGCTCAAACACATCGATAATTAAGTTTCCTCGCGTCCTTGGCAGTTTAGCACGTATTAGTGCTCTTTCGAAATCAACCGAAGAAGCCAGGGTTGTTAATTATTGGGCATCTCCCGCAATCTTGCTGGTTTATGCTCGTCCCCCCATGTTATATTAGCGTATTTGACAATCGGGAGGCGGCCCCCAAGACCTGACCCGACGCTCTGGGACATCATTTCGGGTCATCACCATCCTGCGGGACGCCAACACACACTGCCCGCAGCAGGTGAACGAATCACCTTGTCCGCTTGGAAATAATGGAATTGAACTCTGGCGATGGGGGCGGTGATGCCTGATTGTAGAACGCCCCATGCAAGGCACGAAAATCGTCCACCATAAAGCTGCCGATCTGTATTTGAGTCGCGTCCGTCGTCTGCGCGCGCCGCATTCGTGTTGCCAACAATGTTACATCTACCGAAGCGCATGGTTGAGCAGGCCAGATGATGTTGACTCGCGCCTATTGCCCGTTTGGTCCTCGTTTTCGGTAGACGATGTTTGCATGGTCAAAAGGTAGGGGTTTGTAATAAACCTTGAAGTGAGCTATTATCGCAAGGCAGCTCAATGCCCCAGGGCAGGCTTGGTCGTTCAGGGCCGCCTCCAGCAGTCCAGAAGCACAGTTCGCTAGAATGCCAATGAAACATACAGGCTTCTTGAGGCATCGATCGCGTCAAGCTGAAGAAAGCTCAGCTCCCGAGCATCAATGGTTGCTGGACGACTCGAGACAGACAGCGCATCATGCATACACCGGTCTCACGCTTGGGAACCCATCCCTGCCTGGTTTTCCCTTGCTAGGGTCGAACCAGTCTGTCGGGACCCAAATCTGCGGGCTAGAGATCCACCCCTCTGTTTAACCCCGATCTTGTACTTCGTAAATTAGGGTCACTTGCGGGTTCTGCGCCCGTGGTCCATGCCATGGGGTCCTGGCGACAGACTCATGGTATCCGGGTATCATTGGCTTTTGTGACCGTCATCGAAAAACCTGGAACTCGGAGATCAGCGTACCTCCTGAGCAGCGATATTATGACACAGAAGTCCTCCGGAACATGGGGTGGCTCAGTCGCATTCGGGCGCAGTGACCCCTGCCATGCGTGCAGAACTTTGGCTCAGACGCGACTCCAGATTCAGCTCGCACAGTAAGGACGTACTCATAGTGTTACAGTCCATGTCCGTGGTGGCACTTACCTTACTCGCAGACCGGAGTCGCGGTGCCTAATATCGCGTTCGAACACACGAGATCGTCTGCTTTGGAGGCACCGCTTTACAGGAGCGGCTACGTGTAAGAGGCGATGAACACATCTGCAACAGTATCACAGCGTCGGAGAGAGATACGACGGGAAGGGACGTGCACCCAATCACGCCCCAGAAGCTAGATACTCGAAAAATTCCGCTTATATTGATGGTATTCAGATTTCGATGAATGAAGAAAGTAGCAAAGGGCGCGTTATCACATTCTTGATCCTCTCGGGCGATGTGCATACGGCTTATCGCCCCTCATCGCCGCTCACTGCATCCGATTGCCCAAATCGACAGAGACGCGGTTTGCCGACTTGAAAAGTACGTTATCACCCCGTGATGAATGATCGCCTTGCTCGCAGTAGCTTTCTCGTCACCACATAATCCCGAGGACCATGCCAGGCTTTTAGGTTTTGAGCTCATGGCATCCCCGTGTCTGTGGGCACCGCCGGACAGGTTGAGCGTTTACCACTCATATTCACCCGTGGCCTTGTGGAAGACGTATTCTTTGCCATTCACCGTGAGCACGCCGTCCTTGAGAGTGCACTTCCTGTAAAAGAGTCAGCGAGGAGCCTACGTTTGTAACGAATTCGGTCTACCAACCACTTGTTCTTGACCCGCTGGACCTTGTCGTACATGCATAGCATCATGTGTCCTAGCCCGTCTTCATCGCCATCGTCGTCGGGCCCGACGTCATCCGGGTCATCCAAATCAGAGTTGATCGCATCCTCGTCTTCTTCCTCATCATCGTCGTCGCCGTCATATCGAGCGACGCCTTTGCCTTTCCGCTTGGAGACCGGCATCGTCTTGTGGCGGGTGGCCTCTTCGAGGGGCAGCATCAGGCCGCCGCCTTCCATAGCCTTGGCCTTGGACGCGAATTGTTTGTGCAGAATGCGATCAATCTCGACGCGACCCATGGCCTGCAGCTCGCCCGCCTCGTTCTTGCGACACAGAATAGCGTCAAAATCTTCTTCTTCTCCATCACTGTCAACCTCGCCGGCGCCGTCGGTCTGGGAATGGTGCAAGTGGCCCTGTCCATTGGACGCATGTTGTTGAGCAGCCGTGGCCGCAGCCATTTGTTGACGATAGGCGACCTGTGGGTCTGTGACTTGCTGTCCTTGCTGTCCTTGCTGATGCTGCTGCTGTTGGTGACCCGCGTGGTGCCCTTGCTGGATGGCATTGATAGAGTTGACGGCTCGCTCACCATATTGTTGCTGAAGATTTTGTGCAGCTCGGTGCGCAGCCACGTTGTTGTCCATGCCACCAAAGCTCATGGGAGGTGGCATGGGAAGGTGGTGACCTGGCTCTCTCTTGATGGTGGGCCCCGCCTCATCCTGGCCATGGGGCTCCTGCTTAATGCCATTCTGGGGAGCACTGGGCGGCTCAGGGTGTGGAAGAGGTGGTGAGAAAGTTGCTTGTGAATGAACAGGTGCTGGTACGGCTGGGGGAGCAGCTTGTACGACTGGTTGAGGCGGGGGTTCAGGCTTCTGGGGCTCGGGATCCCAAGGAAAACGGGCTACGTCTAGTTGTGAAAGTTTCTTTTGCCATCCCTGCACATCGAAGTGTTAGTAATGAAATATGTCGTTTGATTTGGATAGCTTTTGAGTGAGAAGTGCGGCAGCCTGGACAGAGGACCAGGCAACTAAATGTTCGTAGGGTAACACGTGTGGACGTGTGATAAAGTGTCGCAGCGAAATGTGGAGAAAGGCAGCCAAAGTGACCTCTGAGAGGCAGGAGTTCGGAGGGGGGGGCCGCCAAACGCAGTGCAGTTGGCTTAAAAAGGGACGCGGAGCGCCCCATTGCCTCCTCTCACAAGTCGGACGCTGCTTCCCACTCTGCCGCCAGGCAATGGTGAGGTTGCGAGAACACAATCCAAAGCATCCCGAGCGCATCGCGACCAGACGGCAATACGTGACCGTGGGAGCGGTGTGCGGCCATGCTACTGAGCACGCATACTTTTTTCGATGTTTTTTTGCGGTCACTGTTCGCCGCACCACTGATGGTCTTGCGATCGCCTTTGTCGTTTGGTTGCGCGGGGAAGACGATGGGTGCACCGCAGCCACGAGGAATGGGCAATTGCGGTCTTGAGCGCATGGAAAAAAAAGGAACTCAAGTGCTTACCTGTCGCAGCATCTCCAGCACTGATTCTTCGATGCCGCTCTCCTCAAAATCGACGCGGGAACTGTTAATCACCTCGTCGATGACCGACTGGTAGACATTGCCGACGGCTTGGTTCGACATGGCGAGGGCAGTCGACGAGACGGAGGCTTGGCTCAAGCGGTATGCGTGAATCACAGTGGACTACTCGGAGTTGTCGACGACTTGCATCTACTGGAGTTGTCGTCGTCAAATGCTTGTGTTTGGTCGAGTCAAACAGCGGTGCTGTGAAACGCACGTGGCTCGCTGCACTCGGACCTTGGAAACTTTGACTCGCTCGATGTATCCGTAGGCTATCTTGCGTATGCTTTGCCGAAAGTGACTGTGCGTGAATACTCGATCGAATGTCACTATCGTGATATCGCAGTCGCTCAATGTTGGATGCATGGGCGAAGTTGCCTGCGATCGGTAGATTCCCTATAACCCACATCCCCGACGCCCGTGCTCGGATTAGTCATCCGACAGCCACCCGAATGCCGCAGAATTCAAACCTTTACGAACCCTCGCCTTGATGTAGCAAGGTTATCACCACAAATTCGACCCTACTTACCAGTGGCTTCTATATGTACTGAGTCTTCAGGCCAGCTGGCGCATTCACCGTGGGGGGTACTGAGGCGAGCCTGTGTGAGTACTCCCAAGTTATAATCACAAACGCCAGCCTTGGGGCATATGCATTAGAAAGGCCTGTTATGACTACCCCAAGCAAACGCCTTGCCGTGCTATCTGATTTCCACAAAGTTTCCGCTAGAAACGCTATAGAGTGTCTCGGTCCCGGCCATGGCACTGTCTCAATATCATCCAGATCATTTCACTCGTGCGTGGTGAAGCACTTTCGTACCACGAGCATTGAAGTGCAAAACTCCCTCAGCCCGCACGCCAACCCGCTCAAGCAGAATGCCACCCTAAGGAAAGGTGGTACTTACCGTGGATCATTCGGAGCAGCTACTCCCAACTCCCTCAGCGAATGGTCATGCTTTTAGCCATCTCGGCCTTGCTGGTGGATCCTGAGCCGCTGATGCTGCCAGGCGCGCCAGCCTTCTTCTCAAACACCTTCCAGAACTTCAGACTCTCATCGGCGGCGGCCGTTGCGAGCATCTGTCCGTCAGGGCTGAGGCAGCTGTGCAGCACACGGCTCTCGTGAGCAGGGATCTCCACATTGCGGACCAGGGTTGGGTAGCTCCAAATGCTGAGAGAGTTGTCGGGGAATCCGCTCGAGCTGACGATCTCACGGTAGTTTTGGCTCCAGCGAAGAGAGGTGACCTGAGAGCCGGTGTCGATGCTGTTCACGCGAGCACCAGAGGTCGAATTCCAGAAGTGGATGTGGCGGTCGTAAGAGCCACCACCAGTGGCCAACAGGTTCATGTTCCACGGGCACCACGAGAGGGCCTTGACCGCAGCCTTGTGGTTGGTCTTTGTGAACTTGGGCACCGATAGAGAGCGCGCGTCCCAGATGGAGACTAGATTGTCGTTGCCGCCAGTAGCAAGCTGCGCACCATCTGATCGCCACTCAAGACCGCAGACCTCAGACGTGTGCGAGACAAGCTCGGCAACCTTGTGCTCGGCGACCCGAACATCGTGGTTGAACACGAGGCCGCTACGCGCGCCGGTGGAGAGGAGATGCTTGCTCCACCCCATAACACCGACACGAGTGTCGTGGCCGTACATGCTGCGGATCTTGGTTGACTCGGCAACATCCCAAATCTGGACCTCGCCTGTCCCCAAACCAACGCCGACGTAGGCACCATCGCCCGACCATTTGACGCTGCTGATGTAGGTGTCCGCTGTGGTCTCCAGGAGGCACTCTACACTGCCTTCATCCGCGGACCAGACATAGACACTGCGCTCCAATCCAATGGCCACCTGGTTCTGCGAGCTCCAGTCCAAAAGGTTGAGGTAGTAGTCGTCAATGAGGCCAGGGGCGTCAAGAACCCTCTCCGGGGCGGTCGCAATGCGACGTCGCAGCTGCGCCGAGCTGCTAGTAGCAGGCCTCAGCGGCCGGTTGTACTGCTTGCGGAGGTCAATGGGCTTGGATGACTCGGGGGGCGCTGGCTTGAACTCAAGAATGCGTGTGTTGAGCTTGACTCCGCATGCGCTTGCCAGCGAGTCTTGATAGGCGACAGTGTTGGGAGAGGGGCGAGTGTAGTCGGTGCCCTCCTCGTCGTTGATGCTGAGACCCTCGAGAGCGGCCGCAGTATCGTCCGCAGCTGAGTTGAGAACAGAAGAGCTGAAACCGCTGCTGGTCTTGGGGCGCTTCTCAGCCGCATCGATTTTGCTGGAGCCGGCATTGGCGATCCCTGAGCTTGCTGTACGGCTGGGGATGAAGCGATCGGCGCCATAGGACACAGTGTTCTTGCTGCACTTCTTGCGCAGGGGGGCCTTCTTTGCCTTGGCGCTGGAAGGTGTTTTGCCTGTGCCTGTGAGGGTGAAATCTGACACGCCCAGCTCCAGGGCCTTGCGGGGAGTGTGAACGACACGGGCAATGTTCGACTTGGGCGAGTCACGGTGACTGCTGCGGGTGGTGTCTCTTTGCGAGGGCTTCGACGTCGATCTGGAAAGGTGGGACATGAGGCTACCACCGTATGTGGACTTGGCTGGCTTCTCCGGAGTGAAGGGTGATGAGTCGAGGTTGAGGGGGATGGTGGTTGTGTTGGAGTTTTGCCGGGGTGATGGAGTGAGAGGCATTCGTCCACCCGCTGTGCGGGTGTTGAACAGCCCCTTGTGGGACTTGATCGGTGTTGATACTGTTGCAGATGCCATGGTGACGACTGAACTGACTCTATCGGTATAGACTTGAAGATGAGATTGCTCAAAAGAATCGAAACTCGTTTCAATAACAAGCGCTGCGTATGACCCAGAAGCTCATCAAGAGCCAGAGAAGAGCCAAGCTGTATCTTAGGAAGTCGGAGAAGAGGCTTGTTTGTGGGTAGTAGCTGGGAGGCAAGAGACAGTTCATGGAAGGGCAGGCCAGCGGCAGCCTTTTGTTTACAATTTGCCCCACTTGACGTTTGGCCGGGCAACGGGGAGCCTGTAGCGGCTTGTCGAAAATCCGCCGCCGGCGCGGCTGAAGCTAGTCTCGACAAGGCTTAGCGCAGAAAATGCCCCTGCCGAAATTGCGTCAAACTCCAACTGCCAATCTGCCGTCTTGATTATCCACAGGTCTCCTCCACAATCCACACTGCAACGACAAGGCTGATCGACCGACATTGTGCAGCTAGACGACCGCTTTCGAAGTTAGGGCACTCTTTGCAGTGTATTCACGCCTGGTCCGTCCTCACAACCGAAAATCCGACACCCCGAATGCTTCAAGAACCTGTTCTTGACTCAGTCGTCTCGTGCACCTGCCTTGAGATGATCCATTAAGGCGCCATCGAGCCCGACAGTAGCCTGTCAAGATGGTTCAACCTTCGACACCAGGGGGCTTCCACGCCTCCATTTTTGGGGGACCTAGTGCATCTATTTCCAATGCGGAGTCGGGAAACAGTGCATCTCACGACCCGACGACATTATCAGCAGCCGGTACTGTTGTTGCAATGTCCACAGATGGCACCAACACTCCCACTGGGGTACCCACCCCCGGATCTGCTACATCATCAAACAACACATACATATTACCGAGCTCGCCAGCCAAGAATCGAATCGCCGCCGGTGGATACCGTCCCAAGGTCACGCGCACGAGGGGACAGAGACCCGCATGTCTTGTCAACGCTTCCGTCACGTATTGCGGTAACAACCAGATCTTTGCCTTTGGAGGGTTCGATCGATATACGGACGAGGTCTATAATCATGTTCTCAAGTTGGACTTGACAAGCCACCAGTGGTCGCTTGTTGACAACTACGGCGATATACCAGGGGTTCGGATGGGTCATACCGCAACACTGTATCAGGGCGACAAGTTGCTGGTGTTCGGCGGCGAGAACGAACATCGCACGTACTTGGCAGACCTGATCATGTTCGACCTGAAAACCGCGCACTGGACACAGCCGGCAGTTACTGGTCCCATACCCCAGGGTCGCGCAAGGCACGCCGCTATCCTGCACGAGGACAAGCTCTTTATTATCGGTGGCATCACTGGCCAGAACAACTACGTGCTCGATGACATTTGCTTTCTCGATTTGAAGACATTCACCTGGTCCAAGTCATGGAGGTTCGTGGGGCGGTTTGATCATTCTGCCTATGTGTGGGCGGACAGGATCTGGGTGTTCGGTGGGCTGAGCGAGGACATGGACAAGGTCAGCGATCTCTGGTGGCTGGACCTGAAAGGAAGCCCTGAATTCGACTCGCGCCCACATGTCGGGGTGTTTGATCGCAGCTCATCCAACAACCGTACTCTAGGCCATGCCTCTCGACCACCGTACACCAGCATGGCGCCTGCGTCCTCGACAAGCACTAGTGGCTATGCCGCCAACTCTCGCACCGCACAGGTCAATCCGCCTTCATTCCAGATCAAGTCCTATGCCCCTGTGGCACCTGGCTCTATCTCTTCTGTCAAGTTCATCTCTGGCCCGGCAGTGCCCTCACAAGGGTCAGGCATTCACTACCATGCATACTCGTCAGGATGTTTACTGGACTTTGTCACTCCTGCGGCAACAATTACACCGCGAGAGTGCTCACTGTCTTCCCTAGATCTCAATACTATGCGATGGCAGAAGCTTGCAGAGGGGCATGAAATCTTCCGGCCCGATTATAGGTGGCAATACTGCACCATCAATGATGACGGGACCAAAGCCTGGCTACTTGGATGTCCAACCGATCCAGGAACCAACGGATACGAGGAGTACTTGAGGTGAGTTTTCGTACGCGAGTGTATCTACTAGACAACTGACCTCGCAGCGATATCATGGAGGTTGACCTTCGCAAATATGGTTTCCTGGGAAACAATATGGCTCCAGAACCACGTGCAGCCGCGAGGCCCTCAGCCACTGTGCGGCCCAGCGACCAACCGTCAAAGGGGTTGGGCGGTGATCTGGCTAAACTCTTCGACCAGCCACCTGAATCTGGGAGCGGTACAGATTTTGTCGTGACGGCACTGGCTGCCGACGTAGACGAAGACGGCCTCGATTCTGGTTCGAAAGAACACGACGACATGTCGCAAGACCCGAATTGGCTGGCTCCGGATGCACCTACGTCTCGACCCATTCACGTTCATAAACTCATTTTGCTAGCACGCTGGCCACATTTCGCACGCCTCTACAATGCGCAGATGGCTGAGTTTCACACAAAGAAGATGCACATCCCGGAGCCCTATTCGGTTGTCAAGGCATTCCTCTACTACCTGTACACGGACTCCATTCAAGGCACCCCCGACGCCAGGGAAAGTGACGGCAGAACCGCCCTGACCGACGTGGCTGGTCTGCTCGTCATGTCCAACATCTACAATATTCCTCACTTGCGTCTTCTTTGTGTCAACAGGCTGGCACGCGAGCTTGACGTGGAGCACGCATGTGTGATCTGGCTCTGTGCTGGCCTTGCGTCAGAGGAATGGCTGAGGAAGCGCGCTTGCACCTTCTGCTTCACTCATTGGGGCCGCATCGTCCGTACGCAAGGCTTTCTCAACCTCCCGCGCAGTGCCTTGGTAGAGCTCTCCCAGGAGATTGATATGGAAGGCCGCATCGTCGGAGGTGAAGAGCTCGAGTGGGGGGGCATGGGCCCAGGGGAGATGCAAGCCCCTCGCAAGGAGAGTGTGTCGAGCAATCAGACACAAACGATGGAGTCGGAGGCTGAGGATGATGAGGGTATGGAAATGAATTAACTGAGCACAAGGACGGCGATGGCGCATCGGCGAGGATTGATCTTCTTAGTCCGCTCCTCATGTATCTTTTGGGGTGTTTTCGGGTTTGGCATTGCGAGGTGTTGGGGGCACTGGCTGTCTAGTGTAATTAGTTTATATGCGATAGTATTGTTCCTTGTTAGCTAGCCGTGCAGGCAGTCAAGATTGCAATTCTCGCATCGGCCAAGGTTGGAAGAACGTGACGCTCGTAACGCTTTAGAGTCTATCGGCAGTAACGACTAATCTATAGAGAAACCTTTCAACCTTTGCATGTCGACGAGTGAAGCCAAGACATAGGAATACATCGCCATATGCGTACGTACGTACGTTGTACAATCTTTGACACAGAGTGTAGCGACCAATTGAACCAGCGTTTGAATAGCCAAGAGCGACGGCAACGACCATGAGCGTCAAAAACGTAAGCAAGCATAGAGCAAGTTATGAGATCACGTCCGTGTAGCAACTCCACCCCATGCGCATGTGCGCTTGCCTGTCCCTAGAATGGGACACCAGGTCGGGGTACTGTACACCCTGCCAACCCGAATGTCCAGCCAGCGAAGCCACCTCTCAAAGTTGGCGAGTCATCCAGATCTGCCTCGTCTACATCCTATCTGATGTAGACGAGGGGCACGTATTGAGGAAGAACCGGCGGCCCACGTGGCAGATTGGGGGAGTCTCCGCTCCAGGAAGGCCTCTAAATGCCGCTCTCTCCTCTCACATATTGGTGCTGTCGACACTAGGGCCCTCTGCCGGTCATCATGTCGTTCACCCAGATGGACAAACGCTGAGCGGCCGGTGCGGGCGCGAGGAGGCGGTCGAACTGTAGGTGGGGGGTGTTGGTGGGGTACTCTGGCTCGACGGCACAAAGGTGGCTGCAGTGGTCGTGTTTTGCCCTGAATCCACCCAGGAGACACTGGCACGGCATTCTCCAACGTGGATCTTTCAGTGAACCTTCAGTCCCGCGCAGTCGCGTCACACCTCCAGCGGTGTGACTTTTTCCGTCCTAGTCCAAACCCGGAACGCCGTGGTTACTCCACGCCCTTGGAAGGGCGCCTTCAGAAAATATACTTGGTAACCGAAATGCAAGGAAAATCGAAAATCGTAGAACTTTTGGGTGTTGTTATTGTTGGGCGCGCACATCTATGGTGCGCTGGATCGGAGGGGTGTTCGCATCGAAGCTGATCTGCTCCTCGATGTGACATGCCACCAGGGTCGGTAGCGGCAGCGGCTGGCGATCCATTTGTGATAACTGGATGATTGCCGCTTTCGAGCGTAATCAGCGTTTCGAGCTACGACGTCACCAGCAATCTGCGATCGAATAGCTGATGACCTCATGCATCTCAATCCAGATTGTTTGAGTGTGGTCCTCACGGCATGCGAATGCCAATCGCACGAGGCTTTCTCATAACTCAGAGCACCTATGCCTGTGGTTGCGGTGTCGACTCATTGGAGACCATGCCAACACCGTTGATGCCCATTTGTGGGAGCTTGATACCGGCAGCCTCAGCCTGCAGCTTGAAATCAGGATTGCATGGTAGCGAATGCGATTTGTGCTGTGCGACGTTAGAGCTGGGGAGCTTGATAGCAGTGGCAGGGGTAAGGTAGGTACTCACATATTTGAGGCCATTCAAGTTCTTGTAGCGCTTGCCGCAGGTCTCGCAGTGGAAGGGCTTCTCCTTCTCCATGCCTTGAGTGCCCGGATAAGGAGCACTAGTCTCTGGGTTCACGATGGAGAACGTCCCGTCTCCGTTCTCATGTAGCTGTTGGGTCTGGTGGCCGTGGGACTTGTGGTATCTAGTGCGACGAGTCAGTGATCAGCCACGCCCCATGCAAGCGCGGAAAAGTGTGGTGGCACTCACTTTAAGCCATTCTGGTTCTTGTAAGCTTTCTCGCAGCCAATGACAGGGCATTTGAACGGCTTGTGTTCCTCATTCATCATCATGCTCTGCAGGCGCTGAATGAGGAGCTGATTCGCCTGCGGGTCGTTCATCTGCTGGCCTTGGTGAATGCCCAGCTGTGCGAGCTGCTGTTGTATCGCGCGATTGCCTCCTTGTGGGAAAGTGCCATTGGGACTGAAAAGATGTCTGCCCGGATCGTTGATGCAGAGATTCGGGTCGGCGCTGTTACCATTCGTACCGTTCCCATTGGCATTCGAGTGGTTGCCTGCGTTCCCATTGGCATTGCCGAAGTTGCCGTTGGCAATATCAACGTTGCCCCCGCCCATGGGCATACCTGGGAGGTCCTCGTCCATGCCGTCCATGTCCATGGACTGCTGCTGATGTGACTGCTGCGTGGATAGAGTCGGGGTGTTGACAGAAGACACGGTAGGGTTATGCTGGAAGCCAAAGTTGGAGGCTGCCGGGGTTGTGGGTTGGGATGTGCGTAGACCTTGTGTGATACCTGACGTGTCCATGTTGAGCTGTGGGCGCTGCTGCTGGCCAAACATATGTCGGGTCTGGTGCATGCGCTGCTGGTTCCCATGATCAAACTCCATGGTACCGACCGCATCGTCCATTTCCATGTCGGCCACAGCGTCCAGATCTGGGTTGGTGTTTAGGCCTCCGAACTGCGAGTTGTTGAAGTCGTCATTCTGCTGCACCGCTCCCATGAGGGGCAGGTTTCCACCAGGCATGTGCGTACCGACCTGCGTCGGCGATGGACGAGCTGTGGTCTGACCAGGCGTTGGCGGATTCGATGCGAGATTGTTGTTTCCCGGAAGTCCCGTATTGGGCGTGAAGGCAGCAAAGTTAGTGTTCCTCCAGCCGCCGTCAGGGTTGGCGTCGGTGTGCGATTCTTCGTAATGTTGAAGGAGTCCATGCAGGTCGTCGAGTTTCTGACCGCAGCAGGTGAAATCCTTCATAAAGCTCGCCTCCAACTTGGGGAGGTAGCTACCGGAGTGGAATGACGGGGACTGGTGCACCCCGCCAAAGGGCGATGTGCCTTGCATGGTAATACTAAAATGTCCATGTTAGCGAGTGATGAACATAACGCAGGTTGCCGACACCTCGGGAGCAAGGAAGCCGACTGGCGTCGCGGACGGCTCAAATCACACACAGGGCCCGGCATGTCTCGGGGGCGGTCTCGAGACATGCGGGACAGTGGCGTTCTCGACAGCGCTCTGACGACTTGCCCAGCTCCAGCACGAGAGAAGAGCGAGGCAATTTCGATCGGAGCAGGGGAAGAATGGCATGGATGCGGGACTCACTCATCGCGGACAAAGCTGCCAAATGACAAGCCGCCCCAGCTGCTGATGCCGCCTCCCATGAGGCTCCCAGCGAGAGACTCGCGGCGGTGGCGGTTGAGGTTGTCTCTGTCCTGGTTGCTGTTGTGGATGGGTCGAGGGCCGGCGCTCACAAAGGAGCCCTGACGACCGCGACCCGCCGAAGCATCTATTCCTAGCCCAGAGGCCATTTCAAGGACGTGGCCGATCGGCTGGTCGTGATCAGGGCGGTAGGTAGGTCGTGTGTACAAAGAGGCGCGGGGTGTCTCGGCGTGCGCAATCGTTCGGGGTTGGCCAAGTCAGGAGCGAGCGGGGGATGGGAGGCTATCGTGACTTTGTCGCGAGAAAAAAGCTCCACAGGGGCTTGTGGGTGATCGTGGTCGTGGATGTGTGTGTGTGGTAGCAGCTGGGCAGAGTAAGGTATATACAAGCCGTCGTCTGTTCGTGCGGTCTACGGAGTACGGGGTCGACGGAAGCAGACGTTTGGGAGGCTGAGGCCAAAGTAGCGATAGCGTGAGTCGTAGAAGGAACGAAGATGAGCAAAAGGTGAGGTTGACGTGAGGGTCGAAGCAAAGGAGATACGTAAGTGCCAGTAGGTGAAGGGAATACTAGAAGCCAAGCGTCGACTTATTTATTCGGGCGACAGTGACACAGGCAGACCTGGCTGGCCTTGCCTTGCCTGGGTGGCAGTGGCCGGAACGGAGCCAGACCCAGACGTAAATCGGCGCGAGGTGAGATGAGCGCATCAAAGACCCCGACACTTTACCCTTTCGGACATTGCGACACACCTAGGTGCCTTGCACGAGACCATGATTATTATTAGTGTGTCGCCTCGGCCTCGGGGACCTGGCATTGACTTTGCTACAGGATGCTCCATCATTTTCGAGAGACATGCGCCTCGAGGCGCTTCCCAACGATTCTGGGTTATCTTCATATTGTCACGGCGTTCATCCAGCATGCCCCGGCCGCTGGAAATGTGGACTACTAGGCACATGTACGTCCTTACTCACGCACAGGCGGAACGGTGCAGCGCTCCTTCCCACAACCGTCCCAGTACAGTCATGGCTGCAAGTGGGCAAGTGCGGATGGACTGCTGGGATCCGTCCACTGCCTGGCCTGCCTGCGGCCCTGCGCAGGCTGCGCTGGAGCTGCCACTAAGAACTACGGGCTTGGACTCGGCGCCAGCTGCACGGTTTGCAAGTGGGCACGGACCAGGGCCCCGACGCACCCAAGGCAAGGCAATTAGTGGCTCCAGTCCAGTCGCCTGAACCCTATTAGCTCCGACACAACACCACCTGGAGTCATGGACTGCACTGCTGCAGGCTGGATGGTTGGTGCCGCGAAGACATGGACTCGAATGTCCGGATCATGATCTGCGGCTGGTTGTCACGAACTGGTGTCGCGACCGTCGTAGCAGCGATGCTGTGTTTTTGATCCAGTTGGTTGTTGGCCGTATCAAGGTCAGCTTCGATCATACCTTACCCGTGGACGATGTTGGGCGCAGGAAACAATTGTACGTATACGCACTCAGGCTGGCAAACGGCCCACAATGTGTCAATGTAACTTCATAAGGTAAGATAACTATTTATTAGTCCGCATCCAGTACGGACAAGCTACGCTAAAACGTCAACGCCGTTCATTGCAGCATTGTCTCCTCCTCTATAGCAAGGCTTCGGCTCCTGAGGAACCCCAGAGCCACTTTCGAGACCCTGAGAAATTGGGGACCCAGTCTGAGGTTCTTTTGTTGATTCTCAGAGCTAGCTTGGGATGATCAATCCTGCATGTTCAGGCTTCGCGCAGCTTGGCCAGATGTCTTCCGTAAGGTAATTAATGGCCCAAGAGCACCTTCCAAGCTTCATCAATGTTTGGGGTGGCCAAGGCTGAACCGCCAGCGACGGAATGCCCTCACCAGGAAGGCCACATTTTCTGGAGGATCGACCACGCACCTCGGGCAACATTCGGAGCTCATCCCCGGCTCGCTGGCCAGCTGGCGACCTTGCCCTAGAAGAAGGGATATTCTGGGATTGAAGGATTGATGAAACCTGCAAAGCAAGTTGGCTTTGCAAGCCCCGGAAGCTACTACGTACGTCTGCAAATATGTACGGATTGTGAGGATTGTCTTGTCACGCAGGTATCCGTCACCGCCAGTTGCTGAATTGCATGATCCCCTAGCAGCGTGACTGGGCGTAATAATGCTGCATATTACCGATCCATTCAATGCTAATAAGTACTACGTACAGAGCGCCTAACAAACCAGCAAGATCCCTGAGCGACGTCAAACGGGGCCACACGACTACGTAACTCATATATGCCTTCAGGACTTTGAACCACCACTCTGAATTTCGCAGGTTGCGCGCACCACATGGCAAGATCTATACTTCGTCGGCAATGCTGCGCAGTTCCGTATGAGACCGATCCGGCACCTCGGCGCGGACCATACCTCGCTCATACACAAAGTAACAAGTATTTGTGGATAGTAGAGGCGTTGTGGGTGACCGAGGCTTGCCAGGTACCGAAGCAGATGCCAGAGACTATTGCTCGTAAAATTATAACTCAGACGGAGATCCAGACGGAGCAAAGAGGGGGGCACGCTACCCAGAAGTTTATTTGACAGATCCGCCTGCTCACTGCAAGTCATCTATCTCAGGCTACCTATCTTGTGGGTGGTTGCTGTCTCGCGCGCAACTTGACTCGACAGATGCGAGTTGTGTGCACGGTCTTTTTGAGATCGACATGAACCCGACATTTCTTGACCAACCGTGCACACCTCCAAGCAGCACCTGGGACCTTGGATATCACGATTGTGCAAGGGGCGGCTGCCTGCTCCCTCTGTTTACCCTATGTGTTCTAGTAGGCGACTCGCCGGCTGAGCCCAAGTGGACCTCGAAGCGTCGTGAGGGCTCGACGCCACTCGTCTGACTGGCCCATTGTGCCATCGTCTCTTGACTCATACCCCGTCTAGCTCAATGCCCTTTACCCAGCCAGCCACAAATCATCGACTGCGCGCGGCCATCACCTCGCTCCAGCAATTCTCCAACGGAGACGCTGATCCGCCTTTTCGTATAAGGATGCCAGGTGCCGACAGACACGTGAAGAAGCCAAAGCGGAGGGACAGAGGGACGCAACGGGAGGCTTCTAGAATGTCTTTGGAAGCTAATGACTACGTAGCAAATACTTGTGACACAGCGTTTGGTATACAGTACGTACCACACCGTCAAGTGTCGGGCGGTTCTCGGGCAGACGGACGCTTGCCAGGATTGGGCGGCTGAACCGAGCTTGCCACGCGGCAAGATGGCATTAAAAAATCATGGCCATTTTGGAGGTCTGACACATGCCACTCGCACTGTAAATGCAGCCATCTGGATATAGCAAGGGGCGGAATAGGAAACGCCGTTTGCGTGATGCGTATCAATTAAGCGCGCATACTACAGATTGTGGGCAAAATAACAGTACGGATACTTACCTGCTGAGACCGATGCGCCGCCAGCTTATAAAGCCGTAGGATTTCCCGATGGCCCTCTGAAGCCGGTCAAGACCATTGACTCCATTGTGCTTGTTGCCGATCGAGTACTCCGTACGTAGCGACGGCGACGCCGCGCCAAGGAAACGGAGCCTCCCGTCTTGTATGCCTAGCGCCTGGACGAGTTACGGAATATATACTGGTCCACTACCGGTTGCGTCCATGTCTCTGCGAGACGGACACCTAGACGCTACTGGCACTGCATTATTGACAATTCCTTCTAGCACAGCTACGATGTCGTGGTGCGCCTCGCCATCTTCTAAACACCATTCTCGTCTAGATCTTCAAATCGACCGCGACTGGTGTGCATTTGTGGCAAACCCGGACAGCCCGCGAACGATGTGGATTTGATTTAGTAATAAGGCCGCCGTTTTCTTTTTTACCCTTTTTGACGACCTGGCGTGCGCTGTGACGGAGCACTGTAACGCTAGGAAAACGGCTGGCCATCCCAAGAAGCCATACCCTTGCTCCCGCGCGCAGCGCCAAGGCATCCTCGAAAGGGCGCTGAGGCAGGCACAGGCGACAAAGTGAGGCACTAACGAGCTAGCTTGGTCCCGGGTCCTCGACATATCCGTCGTCAGAGCCGTCAGGCGACGAACGGCCGGGCTGGCCCTGGTTGCGCACTGCGCCAGGAAGAGCTAACAGCAACAAGTTACACGTACCGTACCTACACGGCATGCATGCACAGACAAGATGGCGCGCTGATTTGGCACATGGCGTTCCGCCCCGCTCCACCCCGCCCAGGACTCGAGGATGGCACTTGGCAAACGACGTTCCCACGGATGATCCTGGCGCGAGGCCTGCGAGATGCTTATGTGGCTGGGGGCATCCAGATCGCCAGACGCGTGCGAGATCGCGTATAACGTCCTCCTCTCGAGGTGCCGTGCATACAGATGCTGCACGCAGTCGGGGCGGCTGACATTTGATCTTGTGAGATCGGCGGGTTGGCTCGAAGTATATGGCGGATAGTTGCCGTCTCTCACGAGTCAGCAACAACCCAACGGCGGGGGAAAAGAAGCTACTACACATGAGATAAGAGGTTCCCCCTCGCTGGGTCAGGAACAAGGATGATGACACCATGGCGCCGCCACAACTGCCGACCAGGCTATGAAGTCATTGAGGTCCACGAGGCTGACGACAGTCTTGGTGACGGCAACGTGCCGATCTGCTGGGACAGCTCCTCAGGAACAAGCCTTCCAAGTCAGTGACAGCTGTTTCTCCAAATCCCATGCCGTGGACAGCTTGTTGATCAGTCACGGGAAGAGAAGCAAAGGCCTCGTCGATCCTCCACCATCGTACGACGTGATTGGTGCCAGCTGCACTCCCTCTCTTGCGCTTCTCCTGGGCACGTGTGCGGCTATCCTTGTGCTGATCCCACCAGGCGACGTATGGTTCCTTTGTTGGTGTTGTCGAGATAGGCGAGATATACCTACTTAGTCGCGTAGCTGCTGCCCGTCATTGAGCTGCTACATACCGATTCTGGATATCCGACTTTTGTCGGGCCGGGCACTGGTGACGGCTTCCATGTCGTCCGGCGCTTGCTCGCGCTTGCATAGCTTGGTCTTTTCGCCCTGGCTAATCTGAGGGAATCTCTTGGGAGTTCTCCCTTCTCCCCTGTATGGGCGCATGGCACGTGGTCTTTCAACCTTGGAGAGTGACGACGAGGCAGACCTCGGTGCTCTCAGATTGTTCGTCCAACAAGACCGCTTCACTGCCGATGCGTATATGATGTCCCAGTCTCTTGGTGCATGCAGTCTGCAAACATGGAGCCTCGTAGGTCGACGAGATGCCTGAGGGGCTTCTGGGACGTGTCCCAAAGGAGAGGTTCTGTGAAGCGGTCCGGCTGTCGGCCAGTGGCTGCATCACAGCCAACCTGGTGCCTGGCTTTCATGTCGCGAGCTTCCTGAACGAATCTGAGACCAACAACAAGTCGGGTGAGTGATGCCTGTGGTTCGGCTGAGACAGCGTACTGATCCGCAACAGGTTGTCACACAGCTCGAACAGAGAACCCATTTTGGTGCTTTGGCCAAGTGATAGTGCCTCGCGAGCGAGCGAGACGAGGCTGCAACCAGGTCGAACACGGAGACTGAAATGGTTGTCCCCATACATGTACTTGTACTGAGGTAGCATGACTTGACCTGACATCCCTCTCGAAGCCGAGTGTTTGGACAATTCCATGGTTAGTCATCAATGCACTAATTGTGCCATCAGTGCAAGCCCCGCCGACGATGAGATACCTCATCCCAACGTCAGCGCCTCCGACAATGAGTCGCATCCGCAATGGTCCGTATGTCGGATTCAAAGGAAGAAAAATCAGTTCAGCAATGGCAAGGGCTCGAGAACATTGAGCATCCCGAGAAACACTCGCGGTTCATGCTCATTAATAATGGAATTCGGGTTGGTCCGGCAATTTCTCGGTGTCTGAAGTACCCGCCCGCCCAAACTTGGGCTAGAGGGTACTTGCTTGCTTGCTTACCAGGGCCGGCCGGAGCTGCCAGAAAATTATGGCCCGACATCATGTTGCAATTCCCGCCGCCCGGAGCACGTCAACCACTTGCCCGTACATATTGCCTCGACTGCCCGTCATTGTCGCGCTTCATTCCCGCACAGCATCACAACCCACCGACACTGGTATACCGATTGCCTCTAGAAGCTCTCGCTGGTATCCATTGAACGACATTCGCAATTGCACCAAACAGAACACCTAGCTGCGACACCACCACCAACCGCCCATCATGAAGGTCATGTCCCCCGAGGAAGAGCAGGCCCACTACAACCAGGTACTCAAGGGCGGCTTCATTGGCGGTTCCGCTGGTCTGGCCGCCGGCGTGGGCGGCGTGATGCTCGCCGCGCGGCGGTACCCGGCCTTTCGCCAGCTGACGCTGCCCTTCCGCGCGTTCCTCGTCACGTCGTCGGGCACGTTTGGCGCCATCATCAACGCGGACCGCTTCAGCATGGCCTTTCAGAAGGCCAAGGACCCCATGGCCAACTACCAGGACGCCTCGTCGCGGGCGCAGCAGATTGTGCGCGAGAACGAGACGGCGTACAAGCGCTTCATGGACTGGGGCCGCGAGAACCGGTACAGCATCGTGTTTGCCAGCTGGATCGCGTCCATGGGCGTCGCCATGGCCCTCGTCAGCCGCGCGCCCATGAGCACCAGCCAAAAGGTGGTCCAGGCCCGTGTATACGCGCAGGGCCTGACGCTCGCCGTGCTCATCGCCTCGGCCCTGTTTGAGGTGAATGACGCCAAGAAGGGCGGCGGTCGCTGGGAGACTGTCAAGGTCATCGACCCCAACGACCCTGAGCACAAGCACCTCATTGAGAAGAGGGTGCACAAGGAGGAGTACGAGGGCCAGGACCTGTGGATGGGTATGTTTTTTTTTTTTCCTTCCCAAGCGTGACATGAGCTAACTTTACACAGACATGGTCGAGGCTGAGGAGAAGCGCCTAAAGGCCAAGCAGGAGAGGATGGAGAAGGAAGACAAGGACCCCAAGAAGGCCGAGAGCAAGGCCAAGAAGCCTGCTGATGAAAAGAAGGCCGATGACAAGCAGGCCGAGGCATGAGCGACGTGCATCCACCACCACGCCACACCATACAATGTAAAAGAAACGACGCCGCTCTCTCCTGTATACTCACTTGACTTGCATTCCATGGCGTTTTGCGGGTTTGGGTATTTTTGCTTCGCGGGACTCGGACGCAAGTGCATTGCAGGCTGCTACACATGTAGTCAATATAGAAAGATATATTGCTGCTATTTTTTGTTCGTATTGCATTGGAACTCCCATGTCCCCGCCCAAGTAACACAGTAATGAGAAAGGATAAAAAGGAAAAGTCTATTCCACACAACATGTCCATCACAGTGAAGCATGCCATCATAATCGTCATCGTTGTCCCAGGCGCGTGGCTACCAGAGCTGTCCGTCCTGGATCCTCGTCAGACCTCAATCGTAAAGTGGCTGATCTGCGAGTAGTACGCATGCACCGCCAGCTCGAGGATCATGACGTCCCTGTACACCTCGCTCCCGTCAAAGCCACCGACGAGGATCAGCCGGCTGTCATACAGCAGCGCGCCATGGTAGCCCCGTCCGGTGGGCGCGCGGCCGTACGTCTTGCGCTTGTCCCACGTCATGGTCACGAGGTTGAGCAGCAGCACGTCGTTGGAGTACTCTTTTCCGTCGTGGCCGCCGACCACAAAGAGGTACGAGCCGACAATGGTCGCCGTGTGCGACAGGCGGCGAAAGTTGACCGGGATCGAGACGGCCTTCCAGATGTGCTCCTCGACGTCGTACACCCAGACGTCGTCGAAGCACTCGCCGCCGTCCGAGCCGCCAAAGATGATGAGCTTGCTGCCGACCATGTTGGCGGTGTGGTAGCCGCGGGCGCGTGGTCGGACGTCCTTTGTGCCGGGCGGTGGTGTCCTGTCCGCGCTCGAGATGAGCTTCCAGGACATCTTGGACATGTCGCTGACGTCGAGGCGCCAGACGTCGTTGAGGGCGCGGACGCCGTCGCCGCCGCCAAAGATGTAGATGCCATTCTTGTAGAGGCAGGCGGTGTGGGCGCGTCGCTTGGAGGGGACCTTGTCGCCGACGACGCGGGGCCGTGACCAGCGAAAGTTGACCGTGTCGAGGACGTAAATGTCGTTGTAGTAGGCCGGGCCGTCGCCGCCGCCAAAGACGACGAGCTTCTTGCCGACGGCGGTGCAGGTCATGGCGCGCAGGGGCATGGGGATGTCGCCGACGACGGGTGGGCGGGACCAGTAGAAGGCGTCGGCGTCGAGGACGTAGAGGTCGTTGAAGCACGCGCGCGAGTCGCAGCCGCCAAAGACGTAGATGTTGGAGCCGATGAGGGTGGTCGTGTGGGCGCGCAGCGAGGGCACGGGGGTGCCGGAGGTCAGGGCCTTGGACCAGTACATGCCCGACGCGGGGGCGGGCAGGACATCGGGCCCGTCGCTGGGGCGTTGGAGCGGTGGATGAGGCGAGTAGGTGCCCCTTGGTGGGCGGGCGACGCTGGTCAGGGCTCGGGGGACGGGCGTGGCGGGATGGAGAGAGGCGTGCTGGCTCGGTACGCTGGTGGCGGGCCGGATGGGGAGGGCGTTTTTGTCCTTGCCATGATGATTGTCGGCGTCGACGGCTGGGGGCGGCGGCCGGGGCGTGCTGCCGGTGCTCGTGGAGGGCCGCGTGGGTGTTTGTGAAGCGGATTGGGAGCGCTGCCTGAGCTCGGACGTGACGCGTCGAGATTGCTGCCCAGGGCTGGCGACAGACTTGCTGGCGAGGTGACCTGGGGTGTGGCTGCGAGGCAGAGGGCTTCGGTCGGTGGACTCGTCCGAGTAGTCGTCGGTGCTCTTGGCGCTGGCGGTGGTGCTGGTGCTGTTGCTGGTGCTGGTCGTGGCCCTCCTGGTGGCGGTCCTGGTGCTGGACGTGGACGTGGTCGTGGTCGTGGTCGTGGCTGTGGTCGCGGTGGCCGTGCTAGGCGTCGAGCTCGTCGTCGAGCTGGGTACGATCTTCTGGGAGCGGACGACCTTCGTCTTGAGGGGCGATCTATCGACCGGCCTGCCCGAGTCCGCCATGGTACTGTGTGGGCTTCCTCATGGCCTGGGGGAGGACATTGGGGGGGAGGGGAGGACGGGAGGTCGGGTTCGGTTGGCGTGGAGGGGATGAAGGTGGTCGGTCAGTCAGTCAGTCGGGCAGAGTGGATGGAGTGTCTGTTGGTTTTGGGGCTGCAATGCATGCATGGGGTTAATTAAATCAGGTCAGGTACGGATAGACTAGCATCGGAGGCTGAGGGTAGAGCTCAGGTTGGGTCAGGTCAGGTCAGCCCAGCTTAACCATGACGCTGTGCCGCCTCGCATTCTTCCAGGGGACCAAGGAATTGGTACAAGTACCTGTAGGACTACTAATAGAGCTCTGCCACCCCACAATGCGGTCAGGGTCAATCGTGAATAGCTCAATAGCACAATGTGATAATAATCATTTGTTTTTCTTTGTCTTGACCGCGATTTGAGGCCTGGACATGCGTGAAGCGCACGCGACAGCATCGAGCCCCGTCCACTGTTCTCAAACAATAGCCCCGTGCGCTTGTGAGAGGATTGGACCAGCGGCTGGTTACATGTGCCTACATCAATGTCTGGCAGCACAGGACAAGGCAAGCATAGGAGATTGAGTGGATGGAGCGGTGAAGCCTCTTGTCTTCCATCTCGACATCATCAATGATTGAAGGACATGGAGCTTCACCGCGGTGAATGGCTTGACTAGATGGATGGAATACTTCATGATGGTGGTGCAGCGAAAAGTGGAACCTCACAAGAGAATTTCAACTGCTCATACATAGTATCATCTTAGTCTTTCTTGTCTTGGTGAAATAAGTCCATGGGTCTCATCAACCCTCAGCGCATCCTCACTTCCATCTCACTCGGCCAGCGCAGACTGCATTGAACATGGCAGACACCAATGGCTCAGCCCAGGGCGAGCAGCCTCACGCAGACCTTGCTCAAGATGCCAGCAACCTCACCTCACAACACGCACCACCCGCTGAGGATGAACGTGCTGCCAAGAGGCAAAAGACGAACGACACAGAGCCATCTGCAGCAGCCGACCTCACCATGAAGGACAGTGTGCCCGGACAGGACCTCCACGATGCACCATCTAAGCAGGAGAACAACGGCGAGGCGCCCAAGGTGGACAACCGCAAAACAAACGTCGCTCCCGTCAAGAAGGAGTACATCATAGAGCGCACTGGCGCACCCCCCGCTGGCACGACCGCGAGCAACGACGACGACGAGGCAGAAGGACGGACAGATACTCGACACGCCAGAGATTCGAGAGACGACAGGGACAATGGCGGCGGCAAGAAAGGCAAGGACAAGAAAAAGGCCAAGGGCGGCCAGAACACGGAACGCTCCTTTGGCTACGTCGCCGATGCCATCCGACTCTGCAACAGCCGCGCCATGTCCAACGAGTTCTCTCCGCGCGAGTGCAAGTTTGGCGATCGCTGCAAGATGGGCCACGACCTGCGCAAGTATCTCGAGGAGGGCCGCCGGGAGGACGTCACCATATGGGACGGCCAGTGTCCCGTCTACGCCGCCCATGGCAAGTGTCCCTCTGGCTGGAAGTGCCGCTTCGTCAAGAGCCACATGCGCGAGGTCGAGCACGACGACGGCCGCAAGGAACTCTGCCTGCTCGACAACGATGCGCCGCCAGGCGAGGGCGAGGCCAAGGCCAAGGACGAGCAGACCAACGACGAGCAACGACCCGCCGTCTACAACGTCGTCGACATGCAGATCAAGACCGACCTCAACCGCAAGCGCACCGACTTCAAGCAGGCCGACCAGTACATCCAGTGGCTCAACCAGCAGTCCAAGACCACCGACGAGTACCACCAGGCCCGCCGGGACGCCACTGAGGAGGACCTCCAGGCCATCCGCGCCCAGTTTGTCGATCCGCCCTTTAAGCCCTCCGAGAAGCGTCGCCTGTACTTTGGCCCCGAGACGCCGGCCCTCGCGCCCCTGACGACACAGGGCAACCTCCCCTTCCGCCGTCTCTGCGTCGAGCTCGGCGCCCAGCTGACCTACTCCGAGATGGCCATGGGCATGCCCATGATCCAGGGCTACAAGGCCGACTGGACCCTCCTCAAGGCCCACGAGTCCGAGATCGCGCCCCCGACCATCTCCCCCACCGCCAACATTGTCCACGACTACGACCACGCCCGCGACCTCCGCTTCGGCGCCCAGGTCTCGGCCAACCAGCCCTGGATAGCAACCAAGGTGGCCGACGTCCTCCACCGCTTCGTCCCCCACCTCCGCCTCATCGATCTCAACTGCGGCTGCCCCATTGACATGATCTACAAGAACGGCGCCGGCTCCGCCCTGCTCGAGTCCCACGGCAAGCTCGAGCGCATGATCCGCGGCATGAACGCCCTCTCGGGCGAGATCCCCATCACCGCCAAGATCCGCACCGGCGTCCGCAACAACCGGCCCACCGCCCACCAGGTCATCGAGAAGCTGGCCTTTGGCTCCCGCGACCAGCGCGACCGCCTCGGCGCCCCCGGCTGCGCCGCCATCACCCTCCACGGCCGCAGCCGCGAGCAGCGCTACACCAAAAAGGCCGACTGGTCCTTCATCGCCGACTGCGCTGCCCTCATCAAGGGCTACAACGACAAGAAGGACAGCCTCACCGACACCGCCGCCGAGCCCGACCCGAGCACCCTCGCGAACGGTGGGCACCTCTACTTCCTCGGCAACGGCGACTGCTACTCCCACGAGGACTACCACCAGCACATTGCCGACGCCGGCGTGGACTCGGTCATGATCGGCCGCGGCGCCCTCATCAAGCCCTGGCTCTTTGAGGAGATTGAAAAGGGCCAGTATCTCGACAAGTCCTCCACCGAGCGCCTCGGCTACATTGAGAAATTTGTCAAGTACGGCCTCGACGCCTGGGGCTCCGACGAGCTCGGCATCCAGTTCACACGGCGCTTCCTGCTCGAGTGGCTGAGCTTCACGCACCGCTACATCCCTGTTGGGTTGCTCGAGCGGCTGCCCCCGGACCTGAACGACAGGCCGCCCGCGTACAAGGGCCGCGACGAGCTGGAGACGCTCATGGCGTCCAACAACTACCTGGACTGGATCAAGATTACGTGAGTGCGCCTTTTTCCCTGGGCTTGGTCCCTTCAAGTGACTGACGACATGTGTGTAGCGAAATGTTCCTGGGCCCCGTGCATCCAGGCTTCAAGTTCCAGCCAAAGCACAAATCGAACGCATACGAGGCTGAGGGGTGAAAAGATACTAGACAGCGGGGAGATGACGAGTATACGACAAAAGGTGTAGTGCATTGCCTGTAGCATAGATGAAGCGTATATTGGGCCGTGCATTCCTATTCACTGCGTTGAAGACTTTCCCCAATTCCTACTCCTGTTCTATCGGTTGGCAAAATTTTCCCTGTTCTCTAAACTGCACTCTGAACGCCAGACTCTCGGGGTTCAAACTCAGCGAGCCAGGTATTCCAATCCCCGTTAGTAAAATGGTAAATATAGGGCCGCTGCGCGATACTCTTCTCCAAAAAGTCCTGGCCATCGTCGCTGCCATCAAAAACATACCGGACAGCGGGTCGTCCATCCATCACAAGAACAGTGTCCTCCGTCACGCCTCTATGACAAGTAAGCCTGTACTTGGCCGTCGAGCCGATCAGAAGCGTGGCTAGTTGATATCGACAGAGTTCAAGAGGTACCGTCTGACGAGTGCGGTTGCAATCAACGAATTCTTGCCACGCCTCGCTTGGCCAGTAAAGGCGCTGGAGCCCACAATCCGTGAGAAGGAGACCCTGGAGGACTGCGTTGGGGATTGCGATGCATACAATCATAATGTTGGTTTCGTCTGTGCCTCGTTGCTTGGCATATCCGGCATAGCATTGCACAGTGGCCAGTTCTGGGTGGAAGTAGACACGGTCAGAGCTAAAGTCGGATGGGCTCGAGTGCAGAATCCGACTTATGTGTTGGACACAGCCCTGCGTGTCGAGGAAGCCATCCGCTCGTGCTTCATCAATGTCTTTGAACAGTATAGTATGGTCACTGATACCCCGGGCGGCTATGTGGGTAAGTGACTCGGACTTGTCAAAGATGGACGGCGCTGGTGCTCGGCGACTGTGCTCTCGTGGCTTCTGAGTGTACCGGAGAGCTTTGAAGCGTATCTCGACGGTATCCCTGCACCAGTGGGTGCAAGATCGCGTGAGGCGAAGTTCTCTGAAGGCTGGATGCATAATCTTGTCTTGGACATCAGTGCTGAGACCGAACGCGGTCATGGCTTGACGCCATTTTTCGTCGTCGTGTTCCAGAAATGGGCAGTGGCTGCCATACGGCCACACTGTCATGAAGTAGAGAAAGGACTTGTTTCCTTTGTCAGTTGCTTGAGGGTGATCGGTCCAGGCATTCCAGACCGCCGTTGCCTTGTCAGCAGAGAAGCCGACACACTCGAGGGTGGTTTTCGAGATGACGATGGGGGGAATGTCTGGCATGCTCGCGGCCGTTGCTGGAAAGTCCAAGCAAGAAATATGCGATAGCTACAAGGACGTTCAGATAAGTTGGTGGTCAATAGTTCAACCTGAAGTGACCTCAAGATATGCCGATGAACTTACAAAGGCCAGCAATACCTATCCCCCAACATGGATTGATACCTCACAAGGTGCTGCTATGCGGCATAAACTCGAAAAGTATGTGAATAGAGCCACAGCTACGTGCAGACTAGTGATATGAGTAGTCTGGTGTTAGCCATCCTCCAGTACGGCGCGGAATATAGTGCACTGCCAAAGGGCAGCCTCGGAAGAAACCTTGCATCCCAATCATATGCCATTAATGAAAATAAAAGAAACGCTGTACACCGAGCAGACGCCCAAGTTGCCGCCTGCGTTTTCCAACAAAATGTACACAGCCCATAGCCTCACAGACTTATCGTGTTCTCCGCGACAGCACGCTGCCGGCTCCGCCAAACAACCGTATGTTTGCTCACGGATAGGGTATAGGTGTATCGGAGCTGCTGTCGCGTTTATGTCTTGCTCCCATGTTCCGCAAGGGCGCAAAGCCTGGCCAGCAGCCCGGTCTTGTACCTAGGTCGCGAACGGACCCAGATCGGTGTGAAGGCATCGCAGCGCGAGGCTTCCCCTTTTTCCTGTGTGCAGAGTGGGCGGTCTCAAACTCCACGCAGGTATGAGTTCCGAGCGAGTGAGGCGGCCTCACAGTCGCAGATCCACGCCCCTCCCACTAGGAATAGAAGTGGCTTCTCTGCATGGAATCCACAGTCGCAAACTCCTTCTCGGCCCCCTGGCCCTTTCCGGGCAACACAGGTTTCTCGGGCACAGCGCTGCTCGTGAGCGAGTTCGCTCTGCTGCTGTCGCTCGCGGCAGTCGCCTTGATTTGCTTGAGGTCCTGTCCAGGGCGCTTCAGGATCTCGAGATAGGTCGATGGCAAGTAACCCTGGCGTCCATCACGGGCGCGGCACGACCACCAGTCACTGGGGTTGCCCGCCGGATCGTTCTTGCTCAGCACGGCAACGAGATCACCCTTGCGAGCTTCCAGCTCTCCGGGGTTCTGCACGTTCGTAAAGTCGTACAGGAGGCGACAAAATTCAAGCTTGGCCGGATCGATGGGTTGTTGTTGCTCCAAGGCCTGCTGCTGCATCCGCCTCTCCTCCTCCTCCTGTGATGCGGCGAATGCTCGGATCATCTTCGACATGAGGTATGGCAGACCAAACGCAGCCAACAGGAAGAATACTAGGGGCTTGCGGCTGGCCTTGGCCGGGCCTGGCTCGCCATTAGGCCCCACGCTGGCACGGCCTTCGAAGCGGGCGAAAGCGGCAGGGGTGAGGGCCGTCGCGTCAGCGGGCGGTGGTCGCCCCGTGATCTTGGCGATGAGTGTTCGAATCCAGCGCATCAAAGTAAAGATACCAAGAATCGACCCCAACGTATCGCGTAGATGTCCAAATTGCTCCGCAACAGACACCATGGCTGGAGTTTTGTCAGCATGGCCACCACCCAAGGTTAGATATTCACGTACCGAAAAAGCTCGAGTGCGTTGCCATATATGTGCTCTCCAACATCTGCGCAAATCCTCCAAAGGCCGTAACAATACCCTCGAGCATTTGGAATGTGGCAGCAGTCCCGTTGTTAAACCTGTTGGTCAGGCTGTTTGGGTCGTTGGGATCGTTCGGGTTGCCCATCATGCCGGGCATACCGCCGTACATGCCTCCCCCATACATGCCACCGCCGCCGTATCCTCCATAGCCACCACCGTACATGCCTCCTCCATACATGCCGCCACCCATGCCACCGCCCATGCCGCCGCCGAACCGCGAGTATGGGCTTGAGTAGGGCGACGAGTAGGCACCACCATAGGCACCTGTTCCGTATGGCGACGTGTTCATGCGACTGTAGGCCGACGCGTTCTGATTGACGGAGGATGCAAGTGAGGAGGGCCTGTCAGGGACTGGGGGAGCAGCGGCTGTCGAGGTCGGCGTCGCGGCGGTCGTTGTGGCTGGTGCGGGCGTCGCAGCTGTGATTACATGTCAGTAAAGGCACGTCTTTCGGTTTCCTAACTCGCAAGCATACCGGTCGCTGCAGCGCCAGTTCTCTCCCAGGGTTTCGGAGGTGAGGCCATTGCGATGTTCTCTGTCGGCACAGACACCAAGGCGGAATTTGGTTGCCACCGGTGTGACGTCGGGCCAAAAGCCGGGATCAACCCAGCGCGTGGACGTGTGTACGATCAGACGTGGTACATTTGCCAAAGGTGGTTGACGCTCTAGAGTGGAAGAGTCGCGATGTTTGATTGACGTCGTTGTCGATAGAAATGTCGAGGAGCGTGTGGGGGAGGGAATGTATGGGGTGAGGAACGGCTTGGGATGACTGACTGATTGTTGAAGATGCGAGGTTTTGCCAAGCAATGGGACTGGGGCGCGCCTTCCCTGCCCGAGGAAGGCAAAATGTGGGGAATCGACGGCCTCTCACGAACGTTGCCCTCCTCGGCCTGGGGGGTCGATGATTTTACCGAGGCTCTTCGCTCCAACTGCCAGGTGATGGTGGCGCACACGAACACGGCAGGCAATGCACTGCGATTCGCTGACATGTTCGTTTTATTGTTGATGAGGGATGACATCTCTTCACAAATGAGCCGCCTGCACCGTTGACGATACTTGTCACCACGCTCGTTCGTTCATTGCAAATGGACCATAACGCTGAGGTTGAAAAGTCCAGAGACGACCAATTGCCTTGGAAAGGACTGGACCTTACGATCACATGAATGAAGGCAATCTTGCCTTCTTGGCGGTAGATATCGACCGTACGTATCCGTACGTACAGTAGTAGTCACATAGACGACCTCACCTGCAGATTGACCACGGCTACCCTACACCTTCCATCCCACCGTTCATCACAGATCTGATTGCGTCCATCCAAGTACCGTCGCAATCGCAACGACGTCAACATGAGCTTGAAACGATCAGCAAGCCCAGATATTATCGCAAACCCCTTTGTGAAGAAACGAAACCTTGAATGGACAGTCTCCGTGTTAGACAACGACCAACCACCACCCCCAGCCTCAGCTTCACCTAAAGACCAAGAAGAGCCCACAACAGCAGGTGTAGAGTCCGGTGCTGAGTCGACCTCGAATCATCTAGAGATATTCTCCAAGGCCATCGCAACTCACGCGCGTCCTGGTATCCCCACGTTATCCATTGAATCGTATAGATCACTCTACACATCTAATGCAGGCTCGCCGGTCGGCGCGCACTTTGTCATCCATCAACATGACCACCCCATCGCGGGCACACACTACGACCTCCGTCTGCAGACCAACGAGACGAGCAGCGTCAGCTGGGCCATCATGTACGGCTTGCCGGGGGACGTGAACAGCACGAGGCTGAATCGTAATGCTACCGAAACACGGATCCATTGTCTCTGGGTAAGCTGAGCATAGAGAAGAAACACGTGATTCCCATGCTGAGAGAAAGGAGTAGAATCACCTCATAGAGACAGCTTCGAGCCAGACAGGCTCTCTGCTTATCTGGGACACTGGGACGTACACCGTCCTCCCACGCCGGAGCAAGCATGAACCCAGAGTCGATCCGTCCTCCCCCAGAGCCTCGCCGCAATCACCGTCACCGCACCGGACGCAGCAGCAGCTCCTTCATGAGGCGTTCCAGAACCGCAAGATCAGACTGCAACTCCATGGTGCTCGATTGCCCCAAAGCTATGTCATTAACCTGCGCCTCACCAAATCAGAAGACGAGGCCGGGAGAGCAAGGAAACCATCCGTCCGCCGTCGGCGTCGCGGGGATCATTCGAAAACAGCTTCAAGGCAGCCCGTGGAGACTAGCGATGACAATGACTCCGACTCGGAGGATGGAAACCTGGTCCCCAAGGGCGAGGAGGCGCGAGAGGATATTTCCGCCATGGAGAGGGAAATCCGAGAGATGGAAGATGAGGAGGTGAGGAGGACAAATGCATACACCGGCGCTGCGAATACCATTGGCTCCGTACACCAGCGCAGATGGTACCTGTCCCTGGATCGACGGGCCTGTGGGTTCAAGCCTGGAAACGGGAGGCGCTGGGTAGCCGACGCAGTCGAACAAGAGAGCGAGGGCGAAGCAGATGCATGTCGTCTGCGATATCCATTCTACGTCAGAGGTGCCGAGGCGGAAAGGAGCATTGTTTCTGGCAGAACAGGCGCTGACGTGTTGGCCGATGAAGGGGTCAAGGACTTTGTGCAGAGAAAAGGATGGAACGCAGTCGTTACTTAGTAGATGAGAGTATACTGATATTGTAGCGAGTTGATTGACATGATGTTGTGTATCCTACCCTTATGTAGGACGTTGGACGGATTGTGTCCGTAAATGAAGCAAATTCGACCGTGCAGCTGCTAGCCCGTCTCGAGCTTCTTTGCTGGCCATGTACTCCCAAACGCCAGATGACCTCGCCGTAGAACTCCGAGTACCCAGGCCTTTTTTGTGTAGCTCCGACACAACTTCTCGCCTTTGATACACCGCTACTACCCTGCTAAAGCAAAATCACTCGTGCGTTCGTGGCCTCAAGGCTTCTCCACTGGCGTCGGCGCAATCCGCCGCTTCTTGGGCTCTTTGGTATCCTCCTTCTCGCTCTCGCTTGCCTCGCGCTTGCTCCCAGCGAGGCTGCTGGGCGTTTCAGGTGGCGTCGTGATCGGTATGCCGGTCACCTTGCCCGAGTTGGTGGCGGCAATACCAGGTACGCTGCCGCCGATGAGCGGTGGGTTGTTCTTCACGCTTGAGGACTGCGTCGCGACAGAAGACGTCGAGTTGGAACGAGCCGGCGAGTGTGGCCTTTGTGGCGGGGCTGTCGCTGACGCCGTCGTCGATGGTGGTGAAGGTGCTGTGAACGAGCTTGAAGTTCCACGGTGCTGACTACCATGACCTTGGAATGGAGAAGGTGGCGCGAACTGCGTCGTCGGCGTTGGTGTTGGTGTGTTTTGGACAGATGAAGGCGCTGTGGTCGCGACAGGCTTGGGGGGCCCTATTTCACCCTTGTAGACCTCACCCAGCTCGCCGTTTGTAAATGTCAGCGTGGAGCAAAATCCATCAGAAGATGAGATGAGTAGTGTTAGGCCGTCATTTGACCTGTTCAAATCAGCACAGAGTTTCGTCATATCAAAAAGGTCAACGTACCATGCGAGGTCAGTGAATGTCGCGCAGTGAAGATTGCTCACAACGCAGATGGGCGTCTTTTGTTGCGTATCGTACAGCAGCACGGCGTCCTGCGTTGCGACCGCGTAAACTACACGGTACTTCAATGAGAATGCTGATTTTGGTCCTGCATGGGATGCCTCGGCATCCGACACCTGGGTATGAGCTGATGGAGCGCTGGTCTCTGCCGCTGCTGTAGGGGGAGGCGGCGGAGGGTCCATGACGGAGACCTTGGAAGTCGGTATCGATACAGGTTCCGGCAGTGACAGCATTTGATCTTCTCCCGATGAAGTGTCGATGGTCATGTGCTTCGTGACGGGTGGCGTTTGTCGCAGAGTGTAAATGATCGGAGAGCATTTGACGACCACCGAGGGCTTCTTGTGACCTGGGAGATGGGCCACTGGTGGTTTGTTGATTCCGCCCCTCGTGTAGATGTACACCGTGTTGATGACCTCTGTGCTTGGCTTGACGTCTTTGTCAGCTGAATGGTGTTGGTTCTGATACTGCCCCGAAGGCGTCAGTAGTAAGCTGCCGTCGGGTGTGAATGTGAGGCGTCTGAAAAACGATGTCAACGTCTCATTGGCGTACAAGTTGGCATTCTTCATGCCATTCCCGACAGTAGCGGCCGTGGAGAGGCTGTGCGGCTTCGGTGATGCTTCCACGGCCATGGGCATGACGGCTGGTAGTGGCATCGACGGCGCTGGCGAGACGCTGCGTCGTGACGACGAAAAGGACGATCTCCTGCTGTGGCTGACAGCGCTTGGAGGGTTCATTGGAAGCGTTGTGGAGGTTGGCGTATCAGGGGCCGATATTGTCGGCGGCGATCCCACTGACGATTCGAGGACGGACAGCTGAGCTCTGTGGCCAAACTCTGGAGGGGCTGGGCTGCTCGAGGAGATGCGCCGAGGTGGTAGATCGGCCTTGAGATGGTTCGCCAGCTTCAACGCCTTCTCGTCCGTCCCAAGAGTGTACTGCCCATCCTTGGTCTTTAGGGAGTATATGTGCACGGATCGGTCGGAGGACTGGGTCGCAATGTACTCGTTGAGAGGGTCCCAAGTGACACCCTGCACGTAGTGACTGTGCTCTGCTATTTGGCGAACTAGTGTCCCTGGTATGAAGATTAGAGGGCTGCATGGCTGTATCGGACGAGGAGCATGCACGAACCTGTGCTGGCGTTGTAGATACGGGCAATGTTGTCCATACTGCCGATGATGAAGTGAACTGCGTCAGGCGACCACGCCAGATCGTAGATCTCGGCACCGCTCGAGCGACACATGTGTTTGGCACGCCATGACTCCTTATCCTCGAGATCTTCGGAGCCAAAGTTGGTGGGTGGTGTATCGCTGGGAACCCATAGGATCACGTTGCCGTCGTCGCCAGCCGAAGCTAGCATCTCGCCTAAAGAGCTATCAGCAAAGGTCTATGAGGCCATGTGAAGGGAGTGAGTAACCTTTTGGGGACCATCGTACGACATTGACAGCTTGATTATGCTTGGCCAGTGTCGACAAGTACTCTACTTTCCGTTCGGGGCCGTCGCTTTCAACACGCCAGAGCCGGACGTTGTTGTCGCCTCCCGCCGTGGCCAAACGCCCCTTTCCGCTGGGCTCGAAGTGAGCCGAATAGATTGGGGCGTTTTGGTCGTGCCAATTGATGATCAACGGCGCAGCCTTCATCGTTGGGGCTTGGCTACTTCATCCAGCGGCATCAGTCTGCGTATCGAGACCGCGTAATAGCGCGTCGTAGCTCAAGGCGACCGTCGGTCGTCGTTGGCGCCAGTGCCTGGATGGGTTCTTCAGAGGGGATCGGTCGCCGGTTGTTGGTCGGGCAAAAGTCGATGAATTCAGAGTTGAGAACGGAAGTTGGAGATTGGAATCAACTTTGAGAAGCAGTCTAACAATGGAACAAAGTCAAGGCTCTGGGATCGCGGAAGTCGTGACGGTCCGGACGGGATCGTTGCGATTCCTCAGCCGGCCCAGCAGGCGCGCACTCCTGTCATTACCTTCAGGTAGCTGGGATTGGCGCTCCAGCGCCCTGAGGGGCCATGCGCGTCACCTAAATCCACCACCAAGTTGTTTGCCGCTGCTAGCCTACCTACTGCGGGAGGCCACGGGCCACCACGATCACAGCAGCACAGCTCGTGCACAACAGGGTTTCTGGTATGCGACTGGAGTCGCTCCCTTTTACTGATTAGGCAAATAGCCGATGGAAATTGGGATCAGGCTTGGCCTCTCGGGGGCTTTGGAAGCTCGGCTGCAGGTTGCCTGAGCATGGTCACCACACACCACTACACATGCACCCTCACTGTTCTGTAGGATGCATCATGCCGTAAGGTAGGCAGGCTTATCGCGGGTCTTACCCACGGCTTGCTTTCATGCGGTAAGATGCAATTAATAAATTTTGTAGGCGGGCATGCAGGGTACGTTCTGTCCATGCCCTGGGGGGATTCCATACCTTGCTTCTTGATGCACCAGCTCTCTGGACTCTCCGCTGAAGGGTTGCCTCATGGAGACTACACATGCAACGACTGGAGGGGAGAGATGGTAGAGCACCATTCAGCTTATTACTACCTTATTAGCATACCAGTAAGGTAGTGGTGGTAGTGATGGTCCCTTGGATCATCAGAGAACATTGACATGCTGACGAGGTGCAGCCTGCAAGTGCAACCTTGAACAGACATGGCCGTGCCTGCCTGCCTCGAATCGCTTGTACAAGTAGGCGAGGCAGCAACAGACGTCACGAGGGGCTGGTAATTAGAGATTGGTCTCTGAGAATCTGTGCTGATCATTGGCGAGATCATTCATCTTACTCTCACTCACGCTGCACTTGTTGCGATGCACCCTCTTTTCTTCTGGCGCCGGCGGTGATTCATACCGGCGGCACCTTGTCCAAGATCGACTGGTGCAACGGCAGACCAATTGCAAGTCTCCGGATTGTGAGCCACTTCTTCATGAGTCACCCCGACAGCGTTTAATACTTGTGATTAGCAGGTACGGCTTCAAGGACTAGATACGCAGAGACAGTACTAGATCCAGACACGCAGTCTTCCTCATGCTAGGCTGCTGTGCTGTGCACCCCTGCAGGAAGCTCCCCAGGCTCCAGCTGCGCGCGCCGGCACCATCGCCCCGGGCTTTACAAAAGGCCTCCCCGTGTGGAGAGAGGTGCCGCTCACGAGTCCGTCACCGTGGCTCCGGCGCTGTTTCTACCGTATAATTGCGTGACACGGTGCAGATGGTCTTGAGAAACAGATAGCCCTGCCCAGTCGCTCATGCCGTCCTATCCCGAGTGTGAAGCAATGTTCAAGCAAGGGTGTAACCATCTGACGCGGCGAGCTGGCGAGTGATAGCCACCTGGAAGGATCTGCCGGTCAATCTTCACCAACAAAAGGGCAAGCGCGCCTTCTTCGTCGCCATATTCTTCCTGTGTCGTCGCGCATTCTTTTCTTTCTGCCTACAGGTCATCTTCGTTGCTGCTTCAGCACCGTCAACGAGACGCGTCTTCTATCCGTACACAAGGTACATTTATTCCCGAGCGCGCCAACCACCCGTGGAACGACGGAAGTCCTCCCAGGTGACACAGCGGCTCTACTATACAACACACTCGCTCCCCATGCTGCACGCGGTACTGGGGCCCGCATGATTGGAAACTACGGAAAACGACAGATAATGGTCTCGGCGGAGCACATGGCCTTACTGCCAGTCTCTGCGACTGGCTTTGGTCTCACATGTCTGTTCACCGTGCCAGCTATTGTCGCTATAGTGAGACAGACTCGAAAAGGCGCCCCAAAAGATCAATTCTACGAGGACGAGGACGGGAAAAGCACGCCCGAAGCAATTGCCAATTTCTCGAACCGTGTGCCTAAGGCTGTTATCCTCTTCTTCTCTGCGGTTGGGCTCGGTACTTCCACTGGCGTCTCTGTCCTCACATCCCTCAACCCAGCTCGAGATGGCTTATTCTACGAGAACTGGCTTGTGTCAGCTTCGTGGGGCCTCATTGCCTTGCAAGCGATGATGACCTGGGCCATTCACGCCCCGGTGGAGGTTCACGATCTCGGCGTATGGACGTTTGGCTCAGCTCTGGTAACTCTCATTACGGCTGTCTTGCAAGCGTTTGACGTGGGCGATCATTTGAGCCGCAAGAGTGATGTTGCTTTGGCCCTCCGCATCGTCAACGTGGTAGCGGCTCTCGCCACAGTCTTTGGCAGTATCTCGATCCCTCGACGACCCGAAGTATTCTTCCGCGACCAGCCTGTGGACGCTCAATGGACTACCACTGTCCTCAGTCGCTATACTTGGACATGGGCGCGGCAGATTATCGACTTGGCTAGTAAGAAGGGTGATCTCGAGGAGAAAGACGTACCCCAACCTGATCACACCATCCGAGTGGATGCGGTCATGTCGAAGTGGAACTCACATGGCTACACAGGAGAGTTGATATGGTCGATAATTCACTGCTACCGGTGGCGCTTTGCCCTGCAATGGAGCGTTACGATATTCAGATGTGTTCTGGGAATTGGTCCCTTTTGGGCCATGTTGCAGCTCATCAATCTCCTGCAGGAACGGGGCGGTGGAGGCTCGCCATCTCGTCTTCTCTGGGGCCTCGTGATTCTGCTTGGAGTGTTTTCTCTCTCCGGACAGTGGATTGATGGATGGGTCAACTACTACTCTATTGCCATGATCTCTCAGCCTTTGAGGGCTCAACTGTCTGCGCTGATCTACGAGAAATCTCTCCGCCGGAAGAATGTCAAAGCTGCCGACAAACCGAAAGAGTCCCCTGAACCCAAAGAGACCGATGTCCCGCAGCTTGTTGTTGGGGAGGAGCCAGAAGAGCTCTCAGATGCCGTGCCTGTAGCAGAGTCGACCGAAGAGCCACCATCCTCACCTGATCAGACCGGTGTGCTCAAGTCGCGCCAGGCCATTGTCAATTTGGTGGGCGTGGATACCAGACGCATCGCCGACTTCTGCTCGATCCAATTCCTGATTGTCAGCAGTCTTGGGAAACTCGTCGTCTACTCCGGGTTTCTTATTGAACTGCTTGGCTGGATACCTTTCATCGTCGGCATGGCCGCTTGGGCCATAGTACTGCCGTTCAACACGTACTTTGCCAAGAGGTACGTGCGACTTTCGGAGGTGTTGATGCATGTTCGCGACGACAAGCTTGCTGTGCTGAATGAAGCGTTGCTGGGAATGCGACAAATCAAGTTTGCGGCCCTTGAGAAACAATGGGAGAAGCGCATCATGGACATGAGAGACAAAGAGCTGGCCGTGACTTGGAGCATGTTCCTCGGTGATGTTGTCATCTTCGGCTGCTGGCTCGTGAGTCCCATCTTTCTCGCAGCTGCTGCACTGGCCTCTTACTCCCTCCTGAACGGTGGATTGACACCCTCTGTTGCCTTTGTCAGCATAAGTATCTTCAACTCCCTTGAAACGACTCTCGGTGCACTTCCCGAGATTCTGACCGTGGGCTTTGACACACTTGTGTCGGTCCGTCGCGTGGGCGAGTACCTCAAGGGCCCCGAGATGAGCAAGATTGTATCCGAAGGACCTTTAGTGGCTTTTGAGAATGCGACAATTGCCTGGCCTGTGGACGACGAGGTAGTCGAGGAGGACCGATTCCTCCTCCGGGACCTGAACTTCTCATTCCCAGCCGGTGAGCTCTCTGTCGTCTCCGGCAAGACAGGAACTGGCAAAAGCCTGATTCTTTCCGCCCTGATTGGCGAGGTCGATCTGATCGAAGGCAAAGTCACTGTGCCTCCCACTGTAGCGCCCGCAGAGCGCCATGATGAGAATGCGCATCCCGGCAACTGGATTCTCCCTGGCTCGATGGCATACGTCGCCCAAACGCCATGGTTGGAGAGCGCTTCGTTGCGCGACAACATTCTATTCGGTCTCCCCTTTGTCGAGTCACGGTACAACCTGGTCCTTGACGTATGCGCTCTGAAGAAGGATCTGGAAATCCTTACGGATGGAGATAAGACTGAGCTGGGCGCCAACGGTATCAACCTAAGCGGAGGCCAGAAGTGGAGAATTTCTTTGGCTCGGGCCATCTACTCGCGTGCCGAGATCTTGATCATGGACGACATCTTCAGCGCTGTGGATGCCCACGTCGGGCGCGAGATCTTCGACAAGTGCATCGGAGGGGCCATCTGTGAGGGCCGAACCCGCATCTTGGTCACTCATCATGTCGGTCTCGTGCAATCTTTGACTAAATTTCTCGTCGAGCTTGGCGAGGGCTGCGTCCTTCACGCCGGCTTGACGTCTGACCTGGAAGAGGAGGGTATTTTGGAGCGAATCAAGAGCCATGAGCAAAAGGGATCGCATCAAGAGGATCCCACTGCTGGGTCGTCTGCCGCCGTCAGCTCAGAAACCTCCATTACCGAGATCCCCGATGACGACGGTGAGGTCGACGGCAAGCCTGCACAGAAGGACAATGCCGCCGATGAAGTGGCAAAGAAGTTTATCCAGGACGAGACCCGCGAGACCGGTACCGTCAAGACTCATGTGTATTTGACGTACATGCGTGACTGCAGTGGCTGGTTCCTCTGGGTAGTATGGGCTCTCATTTACATTGCCTTTGAGGCAGGCAACGTCGGTAGAGGCTGGTGGGTACGGATCTGGACCGGCGGACAGGGGAAGCAGCACCAACAGGCGGCCACCAATGTCCATCAAGAGCATGGGCATGCATACGGCTTTGCGCTCCAACAATCGATGTTCCACGCCCACTCGGGGCCCTTTGTGGCTGACGCCAATGGCGACCTTGGGTTTTACCTGTCCATCTATATCGCTCTCTCCTTGGGAGCTGGACTCATCGGGACATTGCGCTTCTTTTGGGGTTTCGTACTGAGCATCAGGGGCTCTCGTGTGCTCTTCAGCAAGATATTGCACACGGTGATTCGGACGCCGCTTCGATGGCTGGACACCGTTCCTGTCGGTCGCATCCTCAACCGGCTGACATCTGACTTTGACATCATAGACCAGCGGCTGACTATGGACCTGGGCTTCTTCTTCTGGCACATTCTCAGTCTTGGTGGCGTCTGCGTGGCAGCCGCCCTCGTGTCGCCGTATATATTGCCGTTGGCTGCTGTTCTTATCGTTCTGGCAGGCGTCATAGGCAAGAAGTACCTGGACGGCGCCCGGCCGCTGAAGCGTCTGGAGAGTACGAGCAAATCGCCCGTCTTTGAGCTGTTCAACGCCACCCTGTCTGGCATATCTACTCTCAGGGGCTTCCAGAAGACAGATGTTTACATTGATCGCATGTACCGGGGCCTGGACATTTGGGACGCTGTCAGCCTCTACAAGTGGAATGTCAACCGATGGGTCGGTTTCCGCATGGCTGTCGTCGGGACAGTGTTCACCACGACGGTTGGCATCGTCGTGATTGTCAGCCCTCAAGTGGACGCAGCCATGGCGGGATTCACCTTGTCCTTCGCGCTGGGCTTTTCAGCCAACATGCTCATGGCAATTCGCACCTACTCCAGTCTTGAGCTGAATATGAACGCAGCTGAGCGCGTCATTGAATATTGTCAGCTGGAGACCGAGCCTCAGGGCGGCCAGGAACCACCAGCTGCGTGGCCGACGTCAGGGCGTGTGGAGATCGACAAACTTGTCGTAGGCTACGCGGCAGACCTGCCACCGGTGTTGAAGGGGTTGTCTTTCAGCGTCAAGAACAATGAACGAGTTGGCGTTATTGGTCGTACGGGCGCTGGCAAATCTTCCTTGACGCTGGCCATATTCCGATTCTTGGAAGCGAGGTCGGGCACTGTCACTATCGATGGACTCGACATTTCAAAGATTAATCTTCATGCATTGCGGTCGCGCTTGGCCATCATTCCCCAGGTCAGTGCTATAATGCGCGGCACATGTATCACGAATGTTTGCTAATGATCTGACTGCAGGATCCAGTACTGTTCTCTGGAACCATCCGGAGCAACCTCGACCCATTCAATGACCGCACAGATAGCGAGTTGCGCGAGGCACTAGCACGAGTACATCTCGTAGACTCGGCCGTTCCCACGCCGGCCAACGAACCAGCTTCGGCCGCTGCATCGACGCTGGGACCCCAGAATACAAACGTCTTCCGCGACCTGTCGAGTGCCGTCTCTGAATCGGGAGGCAACCTGTCGCAGGGCCAGCGGCAGCTCCTCTGCCTGGCTCGTGCCATCGTATCCCGGCCCAAGATTATGGTGCTAGACGAGGCGACTTCCGCCGTCGACATGAAGACCGACGCGCTCATCCAGCGCAGCATCCGTGAGGAGTTCACGGGGAGCACCCTCATCGTCATCGCTCATCGTCTCAGTACGATTGCTGACTTTGATCGTATCCTCGTTCTCAAAGACGGTGTAGCAGCCGAGTTTGGCACACCCAAGGAGCTCTGGGAGCAAGAAGGGGGCAGCATATTCAAAGACATGTGCGAACAAAGTGGCGAAAAGGAGAAGTTGCGGCAGACTATATATGGAGAGATATAGAGACACTTCGATCGCCGGAAAAATAGACATCGTTACTACTGCATCAATTCATTCCCTCCTCCCTCCCTCATCTTGACCCAACAGAAACCCAATAGCTTCCCAAATGAAGGATACAGCGCTGCCATCAGTCACGGCCAGTCGCCGCGTTCGAGGCATACATCGAGGCGTACCCCTGACTAGCACTCAGCGGCTTAACGTAGCCTAGCACAAAGTGTCCGCTTGGCGACTGGGCGTCCCGCTGCGCCACCAGGGCTTTCGCGCGTTCCTTGTCGGAGATTTGTCGCTGATCGCTCTGCCCGTCGTCGACTTGGGTCACCGAGTTGGGCTGCGTGGCCTTCTGTTGCTGCTCATATGTCTGCGCGAGGACGCGATCATAACCCTTGACGGCGGGCGACTTGAACATGGAGGACAACGACCTGCGAAAGGAGGTGCGCTCCTTTGATTGTCATTGATGTGTGAGGGGGGAGGAGAAAGGGGGTGGCCGGGTCAGCTACTATAAGGACGTCCGCCGATGCCCTCTCATCTTTCCACAGAGCACAGGGCAGTCCTCGAGGCTTTCCAACCAAATCAATTTGCCTGTGTCCCCCCTTTTGTAGGGGATGCTGGTCTCTGCACAGCCACTCTTTGAGAAAGTAGTCGTCACAGGGCTACGGGCAGCCTAGATTCGGAAAGGTCCGTCAGGAAGCTTGGCTACAGAGCATGTGTCAGCTACGAAGCATTGGCATGCATCTATGCGGCGTGGTTCTTGACCCTGTCAGGGATTTGAGATGCAGAGGCCTGCGTTATTGCGCATGTGCCAGTATGCATCAATGGTCTTTGGAGTGTGAATAGACATTGGCGAGGGCTTCAACAGTCAATTATCTAACGTCAGATAAGCAAGTCGTTACATTTGATGGACAATCTGTTAAGTAGTGCTAAAGACAATGCGCCCTTTCGTCAGTCACGCGTGAGGCTGAGAGAACCTGGCATTCCGCACGGCTCTCAAGAGCTCATCGTGTCATCGGGCATCGAATCCCTGATAAAGTCCTTGAACGAAGCGCTCAGCTTGACAACAGCCCGCACGTGCTTCTCCGTGATCGTGATCTTGTCCAAACCCTCCTCCGCGGACTCTGCCTCCGCCAGTGCCAGAGCTGTCTGCATCGCGTTGCGAATCTCGCGGCCGTTCCAGGTCAGGTCGCGCACATCGCGACTCTCCCAAATGTAGTCCTTGGCCGCCACCGAGACATGCACCTTGCCCCCAGAGTCGCGCTTCAGGCGTTCAAAATTGTTGTCCCAGATGCGCTCGCGGTCCTCGTTGCGCAGGTTCTTGTAGTGCAGGGCGACGTGGATGCGGGACATGAAGGCCTTGTCGAAAGCGCGAACGCGGTTGGTCGAGATGATGATGCAGCCTCTATAGTACTCAAGAGCGCGCAAGAAGACCGAGACGAGTCCGTTGCGGTCAATGTCACGGGCACGACGTCGCTCAAGGTAGACATCCGCCTCATCAAGTAGCACGAGGGCGCCATAACGCTGGCCTAGGTCGAGGAAGTAGTTGAGATTCTGTTCCACCCGCCACGAGTCGATGCCTAGGTCGCCAGCAGTGAGCGACAGCAAAGGTCGGCCCGTGAGCTCTGCAATACACTCAGCGGTACACGTCTTTCCGACGCCGGGCTCGCCGTGAAACAAGAAGATTCGACCATCGCCCTTATGCTTGATAAAGTCGTTTCCCCAGGGCTTGATCATGCCGTCGGCATTGGCTGCAAACTGACCGATCAGGGCCTTGACTGTCACTTTGATGTCTTCATCGATCATCAGTGAATTGAACGCATTCTTGTCAGTCTCGACAGGCTTGAGATGGGCGATGTTGAGGTGGCCCCACCGGCGACTGCCAAGGATGAAACCAGGAACTGTGTTGCTCAACAAAACGTAGAACAGATCATCATCTGGAGGAGTATCCCTGGTTGGATCAAGGTCTTCGTATCCAAACCAGGGGCTGTAATTCTCCCCAGCTGGTCTCAAGTCGGCACAATTGTCACATGTGCAACGCGGACGAGACTTTGGCAGATGGTCTTTGGGGGGCGGGCGAACAGGGCGTTCCCGGCGTGGGGACGGTGGTGCAAAGTCCAAGGACGGCGGGCCCATGTTCATGAACTTCTCGAGACCAGCAATGTCGCAGACAACACGGCTTGACATAAAGCCACAGGGCCCACCAGCATGTCTACCTCTGTCACCGGACTCGACGAGATGTCCATCATATTGCATGTACTTTGGTCCTTGCAGAAGATCCCAGTACATCTTGCCCTCGGCAACGCACTTTTCATACATGGGCAGGCCGTTTTGCGCCTCAAGATCATCCTTCCAATAGGCAGCAGGAACAACGGGCAACGTACTGATGGCCTGCTCACCAAGCCAGGGTGGGACGGTGAAAGACTCCATGAAGCGCTCAACTCGGGCGCCGCCAGATTCAAGAAGCCAGCCATTGACCTTGATAGACTGGCCATCTCCGCCGGAGATAATGTTGCTCACAATATATGGAGTCCATATGTTGTAACGCTTCGCGTAGACGACAGAGCCCGGCTTGAGGAGCAGCCAGAAGTATTTGAATGTGGCCAACGGCACATCAAGTTTGTGGAGTTCTTCTTCTTTGCGGACACCGGAGCACTGATTTGTTTCCAGGAAGTCCAGAAGTACATCGATGTGAGCTGAGGTAGTCGCTGCATATTCTGCGGAATGCGTCTCAGGCTGATTGTTGCGATATGTAGACAATTCTTGGCGATGGTGGTAGAGGATATGGTATGGTGAGGGGATCTTTAGTGTCTCCTCTGATAGCTTGAAGAACGGGTAGTATGCTACGACAGCTTTGAGGGCGTTCTTGAGATGCTCGGACCAGATTGTCATCTCGGCATCTCGCATCACCACAAAGGGGGAGACCACGTCGTCCACCTCACTCTCTGAGCCGCTGACATAATCGCGTGCGTTGCCAAAAGCCGCAGTGACAGGCTGGCGGATCACTCTGTCCCGCCGACGATAAGAACGGATGTGACCCCGATCGCGGCGCGAATTGACATGAGTGGTAATTTCGATGATCGGCCTTTGCTCCAGCTCAGCGTTCTCGCCATCTCCTTGGCCAACATGGGGCTGATCGTTGGCAAGGACTTTCGATTCAAGGATGCGATTGAAAGGCTTCGTGCTTTGCCGAACTGGCCATGTCAACAACACGTCGTAAATGGCATAGGAGGCAGGTACTTACGAGCGAATATTCTGTTCCGGCGACCAACATATTCCACCGTATGGACCACAGGAGGGACTTTGCCATCCACTCGAATGTAGCCAGGGTTCAAGTGTTGCGTCCGGCGAGGTCGACGGCGTTGTCGAGGCGGGCTGGCATCGGAGAAGTAGCTCACATCAGAGGCACTGTCGGCCTCAGAGTCTTCGAAGACCTGCACGCGTTCCGACGCCATCGTATCGGCAGTAGGATGCAGCATGTGGCAAACAATATAGGGTGAGTTGCTGGGTCGAGAACAAGTGTCAATGGGGACCAAAAGATGGGGATATGAATGAAGCTTATTATATACGCCCTGTCAGCTTGTCCATGAGCAACGCCATAGAGACACGGCCAGCCGAGGAAAGACTGTATCTGCTGCAGTCTGCAGTGTGAACACAGCAGTGCTAGGCATCAGTCGCCCTGTAGCTGGCACCAAAGGGCGTCTGATTGGTTGACAACGAAGCATTGAGACATGCAGGCTAACGAGGAGGCTTTCTTGATGACTGAACGGAAGGGCGTACAAATGGTTTGCGAACCAGGGTTGAGCGGCAGATGAGACTGGACTTCTCGTATGCTTCGGCTGCCTGCAACTGAGTCACAACATCCCCAGGCAGCCAAAGCGGGGCATAGCCTAGCTGTAGCCGGTGCGCTGCACTGCAATAAGTGAGATTCGAGGCCTCAAGTTGCAGGTCTTGATTCGGTAGGGCTGCAGGCTGCATGCCGCTTGCATCAAAGGTGGACGCCTTGCTGTCAGCCAGGACTGGGCGCACCTATCCCGCAGCGCTCTCAGCCAGAGGACGCCCTCGTATCCGAAGAACTTGTGCGGGCGGCGTGGGCTAGGAGAAACTTGCAGCAGGTCAGCGTGAGCTTGCAAGCTTTCGTCCATCCGTCATCTTGCGCAATGCCAAGCTTGATGGACACGTCTGCGATCTTGTCCCCCTCAATCCGGTAGGGTAGGCTCAGCATGTTACCAGACGCTTCTGTCTGCTGCTCAACATGTATGCCCAATTGCCGTACTAGCTCTAGAAAGGCTACCATGGCATTGTCGAACTTCCGGTGCATAAACGTGAGGCCGAGAGGCATGTCGCCAGAGCTGAAGAGTTCAAGTACATGCTTCTTGGGTGGCGGCTGCACGGTGCCGCGTGTTCCGCTTCTGTTTGATGAGGATGTCGCTACATCGTATCGGATGATCCTAGAGGTGCTGCCCATGGGCTGGGCTTCGTAACCCTTGAATTTGTACGCGAGCTTGTCTGCAACGGTGACCAAGAGTAGCAGAGCATGGCCCCATGCGGCGTTGATTTCCGGCCAGTCGACTGGTTTGTTAGACAGTCGACCGAGTCTCAGGCCGTTGATCGTCGCAAAACTCCCATCGTGGCTGATGCAGAACGTGTCGTTATATATGTTGGATCGCTGTAGCTTTTCCAGGAGCTGCGAGTCGTTGCTGTATTTGACATTGACGCTGTCCCTCTCTGCTTGAAAGTCGGCCATTTTGGCAGCAAAGTCGTTGCGTTCTCGCCAGAACACTTCCTCCTCAATGTCAAGCTTGCGTGCCTCCTCCTCCAATTCGAGAATCTCGGCGTCGAGAGTGTCCTTTTCAGCCTCTAATTTCCTGAGCTCTGTCGTAGCCTGTTCCTTGTCCGTCAAGGCCTTTCTGGTCGCTTCTTGCTGTGCCTTTATATCCTCTTTGCTTGGTTTGTTCGCCTGTACATGTCGCAAATGTTTCACGTAGGAATCCCGCTCCTTGAGCGCTGTGTCTAGTCGCTTTTGAAACCCTTCAACCAACATATCTCCGCAGTCGATACATATTGGATGATCTATGTCTGACCGCGATGACAAGATTTCGAATAGACGATCAATCTTTCCCATGTCGGTGCCAGGCGGCTGATCCTTTGCCCCGCGGTTGCTGTCCGCCTGTGCAAGTTGTGGGGGAACGGCCGCTGGCTCGGCAGGCATCTGTGAATGTCCGACTTGGGATTCGGTCAGGTAAATGAATGACATGGCGGAGTCGCGGCGAGAGCCTCCATGATTCCGCGTGAAGATCGGTTGGGGGTTATTGCGGGAGACCTTGTCATAAAGCGCTTTGCGGGCCGATGCTTGCGCGGCAGGCTTCGCAGACGGTTGGTTCGTGGACGGCTTTTCGCTTTGGGGGGTGCTCGAAGCTGCAGAGATGTCAGGGACTACGGAAGGTAAAGAGGAAATTCTAGAACGAACAGATCAGGAGGTCGTAGGCAGCTGGATTGAGATCTTCGAGGGATCCGTCCAGCTTCAGTGGCTGGCGGCACTTCTGACAATACATGATGTGACTCTTCGCATGGGTGCTCGCTCTGATGGTAGGCCGCGTGCTTCCAACTGTCAATAAAAAAACAGGAACGCCAGTGTTGCAAGCGCTTGTCAGCGATTTGTCGGATGGTGACGCGTGTAGGAAGAGGTCACGTCGCGTGGCTTTAAGCTGGAGCTGCCTAAAGTTGACTCCGGACTCTGAGTTGGAGCTTGGACAGCGCCGCCCCACTCGCATGACGTTATGAGGAAGGAGGCTACTGCAACCTCTTAACGCGCCTGCCCTGCCCCTTGTTCACCCGCGTATTTTCGCGTCGTTGCTTGTCCAACCGCCCATGATTTCACAATTCACGCCCCTTCACTTATCTTCAATGGCAGGATCCAACCTGAATACTTTTCGCCCGCTTTTCATGTCGCATGATGGCCTCACCACCGGCGAAGCGACTAAAGCTTACCGGCTATGATCCCTACGACGAGAGGGACCCAAGTGACGAAGATGAAGGTGACGAGTTGGAGTTGGAACCGGAGGAGGTGTCTGAGATGAGACACCCCGACTTTGTTCTCGAAAGGAAGCGAGCACGAGCTGTGACGCGATATGAACAAGCGATGGCTGGGATTATCGCCAAATACAGCCGTGACTTTGAGGACGTGGGCGATGAGCTGGACCTCAATACAGGAGCAATTGTCGTCGACCGTGGCCATCTCAGAAACATGCGATATGACACTGATCTCGGCATGGAGGACGAGTCAGGTGGAAATGAGTGCGAGGACGAGGACGAGGGCGTACTTTTGTGCGATATATCCGACGATTGGGGCGACCAGGCAGCTGTTGCAACTCAACAGGCGGACAGTGTGTTCTTGGGAGGGCTCGAAACTGCGTCATCAGTATCAGAAAAATGCCTACCAAACCATACCATGCAAAGGCCAAAGCCTCGGAAAGGTCGACCTGGAAAATCCGCGAAAGACTTCGAGGCAATATCAATCTGGACACCCGAGGCCGACGACGAAGATGACTGGGTGCCCTATCCGAGAAGACGGAAGAGCACAATGGGGGCATTGCGCAGAGCCATGGCGATGCCAAACATTGCCGAAGACGGTTGGGTGTCTGCCACCGACCGGGACGCAGGCTCCGATACTGGGCTTGACGAAAACCCCGATAATCTCATGACAAATGGCATGAAATCAGATACGGAATATGCACTTGCAAGCAAACCGTATCAACCAACCATGCAGACCCGGGTGGCGGATAGCACTCACGTTTCACGGAAAGATGCATCTTCGAAATCGAGACGGGTCATGAACAATCGCGCACAGTCCCCCTCTGGGTCCCCGCCTGTACCAGACACCAATGGAGATATGGTCGAGGATGGGTACCAGAACTCCGCAGAGGACGATGTACATGCGAATTTAGCAAGCTTCCGTCGATCGGGGAGAGAACGAAGACAAGTCGAGTTTCTGGGCAAGGTAGCGTGGCCCAAGCGCAAGGAGCGAGAAAGCAAAGATGCCATTGACATCGCTCCGAGGAGTGACAACATTGGCGATTCTGAATCCAACAAGCGAGAGGTCGACGCTCTCGACATGAACGCGACAAAAGTCGCTGGCAACAATGAAGGCCCCGAAGAGCCTCACGACTGTAACGCAAGCGCTGCGCATGGTGACTTGGCCGGGTCGTCTTGCTTCGTGATTGCTATTCCGGCGCGAGTTCGTTGCGACGAATACCAACATGTTGAAGATATACCGGACGACCCAACCCTCCCTACGCCGCCTGAGTCTAGTCATGAGGCATCAGAGGTTAATATGGGACATAAAGATGTCTCTGTTGAGCGAATGACCATCCCTGATTCCGAGTCTGAGCCTATGTCTGTTTTAGACGAGAATACACCCCAACCGCCTACGATTCCATCCCCAGCAAGCAACTTGCTGGCAACGGAATGCGACTCGCCTGCATCAGCCATTCAGATCTCAAACGATCCCGCGGATTCAGTGGCAGATTCAATAAGGGCAGGTTTGATCAATCCCCTACCGATCGAGACGACCGTTCCGCTGGTGGGCAGGTCTAATACAGGCGAACGGCGGGCTGAAAGAACCCAGAGCTTCTCTGAGCCTGGGTCTGAGGAGGCTGGGGCTTCTGCGAGCGAACAGTCCCTTGCACAAGTCCAGATTCATACATCTGCTGATCAGGAGCCTGACAATATTGATGCAGAAGTTGGCTCCGTGGATACTGTCAAGAGGCATGAACAAGACGGCTTCAACACCCAGTCCCCAGATCCACAGTGCTCATTGTCAAAGTCTGAGTTTGTGGAGGGGCCAACGAGTCTGACGCAGTTTCAACCCGAAAGTTCTACGCTTACCTGCACTGAGAGAGAGCCATGTGACGCCTCTGAGTCAGACATGAGCCCCTCGACTCAACCTACGAATCCAGCAGCTCCTCCATCGAGGCCTGACTCGACTTCGGGCTATTCACCCGATGCAGCGGAAACGTCCGTAACCCAAGCTGCTGAATCTGCGATCTCGACGCCTATAGTTCCGCGAGATCACGGCGTGACAGACCAAGATCTGGCGGACCCAGGAAGGACTGATAAGACCATGGAGAACGACGACACAAGCCCCAATTCAGCCAACAATGCGCCGGCTGGCGAGCCGAGCAATGCCACCCTGGAAACCGGCACGTTTCCAGCTCGCCAGAAACGGGGCCGACCAAGGAAGAACCAGTCACTTTCAATCTACATCAGCAATGACAGTGAACCCGATGCGGCATCGTTATCTACTGGGCTAGAAGTTGAGCCTGAGATTCCGCCGCCATCTGAGCAAGTGCAAAAACGCAAAAGGGGCAGACCGAGAAAGTCTTTGACTATCCCGGAAGAGGAACTGCCTCAAACAACACTGTTGGAAACTCCGGTTGACTCGACACCGCTCATTGAGCCAGGCGCGGAGCCTACGCATGACATTGAGACAATGTCGAATGGCACTCCCGAGCAGTGTGAACCCACGACAGAGGATGTCCCAACTGCTGCAGCTGATGTCACTGAAGCCCCAAATGTCGAAGGTACCGAGACTACTGTAGGAGCACAAAATACCATCTCGGAGGACGACACAGCTCCCATCGTTGATGCCGAGATCATCAATGACGTGGATGTTGGGTCTGCTGCCGAAGCGCAGCCCGACCCATTTCTACCACAACTCCAAATCAAAGAAGACGGTCTACAGCAGACCATCGCCGACTCCGATGACCCGCCTCCCTTCCCAACAGATAATTCCGAAGGCCCAGACACAGCGCAGCCACAGCTGCCACCTCTCGAGTTGTCTCCAGAGCCCAAGAAGACGCTGGAACCTGGCATGGAAGCCAACCATCCTAAGCTTTCTCGCCAGTCAGACGTTGCATCGTCAAGTCCGTCACGAAGACTCAAGCGCCTATCCCTAGCGAAACCATCTACACCCCGGCATCGTACGATCAAGAAGATGAACGGTGCTTCTTCATCTCGACAATCTCTCGTATCGTTGCTCTCAACAGCTGATGCCGACGAGGACGAGCTGCTGCGCAGCGATGAGCTGTCACCTCTTGTCGGCCACAGCGCGGTACTGGGAGGCAGGAAAAGCGTCACGCCTATCAGGAGGAGCTGGAAGCCTAGCATTCTCACCACAGAGGTGTATCGTACGCCACTCAGAAAGAAAGGGAAACGAGACCGCGTGCCTACCAGCATAGCGCAGGATCCCAGTAATGGGAACAAAACCTGTGGCGTGGACGGGTATCGATGCGAGGCAGACTTCTGCTTCACGTGCTTACAGTAAAGCAAACAACATATAATATACATAAGCTGTCAATTCGGCATCAAGAGGATGTTAAAAATCATGTATTGAACGCTTTCTCCAGTAACCGCACGACCACTCGCCAATTGCAATAATAAAAAAACTATTCATGTAAGAACCGACAAACTTGAAGCTTGCCCTCAGTGGCCGAACCTCTGCTGCGCCGGTGTCCAGAACGCCCCGATAATGCCTTGGCCTATGCTGCCTCGTCCGCGACATAATGCGTATGTCTGGTTTCAGGCTTGACGGCGTCTGAGCTTCAGATTTGGAAGAGGATGCTGCTCGTGGGTTTCTTCGTCTACACCGCCAGAAGAAGATACTACATAATAATTCAAGGTGGCAAACGCCGGCCTGTTGTAGTCCCACATAGCTGCACGCTACAATCTCGCGTCGTTGGCGACAAGGACAACGGTGCCAAAATCTTCACTTTCAACCCAACTCCATGGGGGAAGGTGTGGTAAGATTGAGTGGTGGCAGAGTAGACGGCACAGTCGAGGCGCTTCCTCCCGACTGAGATACCGTAGCGGCGGGCTTCTTCTAGGACTTGCTCGCCGGTCCGTTTGTACTCGTCAGGCTTTGCTTGAATGCCTCAGTGTCGCGGACGGGGTCAAAGTAGGGATGTCCTTGGGCCTCCTTCGCAGTGAGTCGTTCCTGCAATTACGTTAGCAACGGGCGCAGATGCCACTCAAAGAGCACAAGTTACCTGGTGATCGTAGCGAAGGAGTTTGTCGAGGAAATCGATCGCTTCGTTGGAGACAAAGCGCTGGTTCTCTGACGTGACAAAGCTATGCCATGGCTTCTTCTGGAAACGTCCCAGAATGTCATCATACTGGGTATCCAGTTCAATCTCGTACTTGTCGAGGTAGTCAAAGAGATCATCGGTGCCGAGAACCTTGGCAATCTTGACCAGCTGGTCAGAATTACTTTGACCGTGAAAGAAAGGCTCTTTGCGGAAGATCATAGATGCGAACATGGCCCCCAGACTCCACATGTCGAGGCTGTAGTCATATTCCTGAAAGTCTACCAGCAACTCGGGTCCTTTGAAGTAGCGTGACGCAACACGGACATTGTATTCGGTCCCGGGGTGGTAGAACTCGGCCAGACCCCAGTCGATGAGACGTAGCTATACTAGTCAGCATAAGAATTTCCTGCAAGATTAAAGGCAAATTCGGACCTTTCTGTTCTCATGGTCAATCATGACGTTGTGTGGCTTGACATCTCTGTGCATAATGCCCTTGCTGTGGCAAAAGTCCAGCGCTTTCAGGAGCTCAAGGATATAGAAGCGCACATCGACGTCGTTGAACTTGGGATAGAGACTTCGGAAGTCGGTGTTGTTGACATATTCGAATATGAGGGAAGGAGTCTTGCTCTGCCCACGAGTTAGTCGAGTTCCTCCTTGATCGTACATTCTTCTTTGCGCACCTGCGAGTCCCGTACGACATCCAGCAACGCAATCACGTTGGGTCCCCCGGCCAGATTCTGGAGGATCTTGATCTCACGCTTGATCTTCTTCTTCTTAACCGGTTTGAGGACCTTGATGACGCATTTTTGGTAGTTGACGACGTTGATTCCTTCGAAGACTTCTGAGTACTTTCCCCGACCTGTTCCGAATTGCGTCAGCGGGACGACCCCACGTAGATAATATCCGTGCCCTCTCTACACAGATCACACTGATGCAGGCAAAGGGAGGACAGCGCGAGGAGCCTCAACATACCGATCTTCCTGACGACTTCGTAGTTCTCGAGGACGCCCCAGCCTAATTTGCGGGGTTAGTCTAATTGGCAAATTTGGAGGGCACGCGGGCATTGGCGTGTAATCGACGCGGGACGCGCGAGCACGTACTGATGTTGACACTGTCATAGTCCCAGTAGCTGCGAGGCATGCTCTGGTTGACGTCGGCGTAAACCCGCGCCATCTTGTCGGGTGGGCGTCGCGCAGCGGCGACGCAGGGTCGTTTTAAGGCGGGTTGTTGTGTTGGTTGGAGGAGGGCAATCGCAGTCGTCGGAGGGGCGCGCACCAGGTGTGATGGTTCACGTCGTGTATTAAAAATTGTGCGCTACACCGCGCGATGTGCTGCTATAAAATATGGTCAGCGAACACGGCCGATCGCAGCCCGCGTTGGATGAGCGAATGCTGGCAATGAACGTGAGTAGTGGATGGAATGGTGGTTAACGAATGCAGCTCGAGTTCCACCGGGCACAACTCAGGCTGGTAAGTCACCTTGGCCTGACCAGGTGGAGGGGCTGAACTGAGGGAGGGACAGGGCCGCCCAGTGCCAAGACGTGATTACGCCGATAAGCCCATTGATAAGCAGATAAGAACGGTCTCGCCCTCCAGTGGCTTTCATATCAACTTATCAAGCAATTGCGAGATGGCAGGAGCAGAGCTGGGCTGTCATGGGCTTGAAAAATAGCTGCAAAAGTAACTTTGCCGTTGGTCGGCTGGCACTGGGCTACAAAAGTCTTGCCTCTTCATCATCTGAAATGCGTAATAATCCAGCATAGTGCAATTCCGGTCAGATGGCACCGGTTTCCCAAGCACTTTGCCTCGCAAGCTGTTTCTCAATAAAGCTTTGAACTTCACAGCAGGTACATGTCAAGTACTAAGGTGCAGTCGCAACAGAACATGGTCCTAAGCCTAGTTAATTTGGGGACGAACTAATGAATGTGTCTTGAACGCCATCGCTATGCCACCCAACCCGGAATCGAAACCGAGGTGGTTTCAAAGAATCATTGACCCTATGTGCCGTCAGTCAAGAGGCCTCGAAAGTGTATGTGTAGCTTGAATGGTGGAAGCGTGTTTTCAGAGAGAAGATTATTTGCTCGACATGTCGTGACTGCAAGGACGTCAACACTAGACAAGCTAGTGCTTCCTCCATCCCCAACCTCGATCCGACTAAGGATGACGATACGAATGGTTTTCATCACATCAAAGGGAGGAAAAGGGGAAGGAGGCTTACATGAGGTAAATCGAACCATTTGTTCAAATCCAAAACGCCGCGAAAAGTCAAACTTCAATCGTACTCGAGCGAGTCCAAGCCCTTGTCGACCACATCCCACGTTCGCTTGCGCAGATCCGGCTTCGGCTCAGCTGGCTTTCGGGTCTTCTTTCGCTTTTTGCTGCTTCTGAAATTTGTTGGCAGATCTGCCTCCTTCAGTCGTGTCGAGTCTGTCCGAGCATCTGTATCCTCAGCAGCTGTGCCACTTGTCGGGTTCTTTGCTTTTGCGGCATCCTTCTCAAGCTGTCGACGGAGAGTTTTGAGTTCCGAATGTCGGAACATTTCTATTTGAGCATCTGTCAAGGTCCGCTTGACGCCATCATTATAGTAGCCTAGGTCGTCTTGCTCTTCTTCTGCCCAATCATCTTCCTGATGATCAGCGGTGTCGACAGCCGAAGGCTTCACAAAAGTGCCCTCAAAATGGGCCACAGCCGGGCCTGAGAAATGAGACTCGAAAAAGGCACTAAGCTCATGCTATGTCATTAGTCTTCGTCTGTCATCTTGGGGGAAATGACTAACTTGAGCAATATTGGGTGCTTGGGTCGATAGCATGGTAATGGTGAAAATCGGTCGACGCAGTCCATGCGCACCGCGTCAGGTTGAGTGCAGCAGGCGCGAGCTTGGAACGCGTCACGTGCACGCGCACGCGCGACAAGCCAGAGCTCTCAGCACGGCACTTTAGTTTCCCTCAAAATACAAACAAGTTCTTTTTGACACCAAGGAAAAAGATGCCCCGGCATTATTGAGCGGTACTGTGGTGATCTGAACAGTGCTGCGGCGAGCGTTGGGTGGAGTGAATCAATTCCTCAGAAGTGCCAGCGCGCTTTCGAACGCTTTGACAACCTGCTCATCTTGAAGGGTGAGCATATCTCCGTGCGGGACATAAAAAGCATTTCCTTACAGTGGTCTTGTTTACGCTCCATTGCAGTTTCAGACAAGTTGACGTAGCGTCTGCGTGTCTGTAGTCTCTTCACTGCGCGTTCGTCGTCGTGTGAAGACGCCGCGGAGGCCCACGCTTGAAAATACTGGACTGAAGTCAGATCTGTATTGCCAAAGAAAGACCAAGGTCGACCTACTCTAGACAGCTCCTCTGCTTCTTTCAGAATCCCCTTCTCTCGTGCGTCTGCTTGCTCAAGTGCGTCTTCGTAGCGCTTCTCAAAGTCGTCCCAGTCAAAGACGGCAGGCAAGTCAGGTGAATCGGGTGTTTTGGAGCTTCTGCCACTCGCGACATTATCTAGCTCCGGTGTCTTGTCGGCAACTTTGATTCCGTTTGCTTGGGGCCCAGCCTCTGGCACCTCTGGCACCTCAGGTACCGGCGACTCTTCTTCGTCTTGTAGCTTGCTTTTGGGCGAATGCTCGCCGCTCGCTGTTTCGGACTGAGGCTCCATTGTACTGTCAATGGCATATGGTGCTCATTAGACACCAAACCATAGGTAGTACCGAAAGTGAAGGAGGACGAGGGGTGGAAAGAGATGAGAGGTGCCTAATTCACAGGTTGCTCGGTGAAGGAAGAATGCGCGTCACGTCTGAACGCTCGCGCCTTCCGCGTATAATGGACCGCTATGCTGTATCCACAGCGCTGGTTTGGAGTGTTTGGCGCCTATTGCCCGCTACAGCGCCCGACTAGCGCCGACACCACCTCGTGACGCCACCCTTCTTCACTCAACATCACAATCCCAGCTTAATGTTAACGGTCACATGTCCTCTTCATCTACGAACTTACTTAATCTTCGCATCGGTTCAAAATCCAATGCGATCACCACAATACCATCTCAGTGATTGCCAAATCTGTCTCACCAAATTTCTCACACCTATATATGCCACCGAACACAAGGGGTGTAATCCTGAGATCTGACGATGGAATGCAACATATGCCGTCGAGTCCACGATCCGAAGCGTCTGCCTTTTCTTTGCGCTACCGATGGACGCAATCAACTGTACGAGCCTCGAATAAGACACGTACAAGTTCTTCTCGAGACCGATGCCTTGCGCAACCAACTCCAGGATTCACTGAAGGAGCCAGCAACGCCAAGCAACGCGGACCTCATCACCCTGAAGCATCAGCAGATGATCACTGAGGAGCACACAACCAAGATACTCGATGCCGCCAACAAGCTTCGCGATGATATTTCGACAGCTCGGGCTGAGCTGCAGGAGAGAAGAGCAGCGTTATCCCGGCGCAAATCAGACCTAGCCGCCATGGCCGACGGCTCCAAGGAGCGCAGGTTGAAGCTGATAACAGACCAAGAGCGCGCAATCGCCACCAAACGATTCAACTGGTCACAGTCTGCCGAAAGCATGGCTGGAACGCGTGCATTTCTTGGGGCTGAAGCGGCCAACTTGTATGGTCTAAAGCGAGTTGCTCGCAAGGGCAGCAGGGGCGCTTATGACTATTACGTGGGCCGAGTGCCTGTGCTAGACCTGGTCTCGATGAATAGTACGTCACCCTTTTCGTTCGTCTTATAGTTCTCTGGATTTGTGTATTATACTGACCCCTCAAAGGCTCTAGCCCCGAGCAAATCACGACTTCACTAGGACATATTGTTCACATCTTGCTGATTGCGACGTATTACTTCTCTATTCGGCTGCCCGCTGAAATAACACCTCCTCACCGCGATTATCCGTTTCCAACTATACTCAGCCTCTCAAACTCTTACCGCCATGCGGAGTTGCCATTTCCTGGGAATTCTGGCCCCACGACACCCACTGCTCTCGCCCCTGGTAGCGACACAACAGCAATGCCGCTGCCCCATGCCCGCCCGCTGTATGTGAGCAAACCGCTTCCGCAGCTTTTGAGAGAGGACCCAGCCGCGTACTCTTACTTTCTGGAAGGAGTAGCTCTCCTCGCCTACAACATCGCCTGGCTATGCAGCACGCAGGGGATCATGGTAGGGGAGAAGAATCCCTTTGACGAAGTATGCCAGATAGGGCGCAACCTGTATAACCTCCTCATACAACGCAACAGCGCGGAGATTGCGAGCCTGCCGGTCCCAGGAGCCATCAAGATCAAGAATGCCAGCGCGGGAAGAGACTCGTCGAGTCCAACGTGGATAGGGCGATACTCTCACGGCACCATGTACTATTTTCTCGGCGGGCCAGAGGGGACGGAGTTGATCAAGAGCTTCAGGTTGCCCAGTCCGCTGAAGCTGGCTGATAAACTCAGGAGGAAATTGATTGGCGATGCAGCAGCTCCAGATTGGGAGGTGCTGGAGGACGAAGCTTGGAAGGTCGATGAGGCGCCTGATCCTACGCAAGCCACTACGGTGGAAACCAAAGCCACGACCTCAACAGGGCTCACGAGCACGTCTAGAGGGTGGACCAAGGTCAAGTAATCATACAGTGGCTGCGGCCATTGTTCAAGAAAAAGTCAAACGCCTGGTATCGTCCAAATTCAAAAAATGCTATGGCACCCAGATCCAAACCCGCACAGCTCATCCTGAGACCCCAAACCTCAATTCAAATGTGGTGCAGATGAATCTATATTCTATGGACACACTTAAAACTCAGTTTTTTGCTTCTTCTTCTTCTTCTTCTTGTTCTTCTTGTTCGACTTCTTCTTTTTGGGTTGCTTCGGCGTCTCCTTCTTGTCGCCGTCTTTAACCATGACTCTCTTGCCTTTACCATGGCCATCTTCCGTGCCAGGTTCATCTGCTGGTTCATCCTCAGAGTCCCCTGAAGCGTCAGACTCCTCTGTGGAGGGTGTCTCGACCTCAAGATTACTGGCGGGCGTGGCGACTTGCTGGGAAGTGGTGGACGATGATGGCCCCGGAGTCGGTATGGTAGGCGCATTGCCAGAGAGGCCCGTCGACTCGCGCTCATGCTGAAGCGAAGATCGAGACCCGACCGGGGCGTTATTGCGGCGCTGCAGAGGGGTCCAGCTTGGCGTTTCACCCTGTTCGTCTTCTGCTTCACTCTCCTCCATCATCTTTTGTACATCCTCCTTGGTATACTTCTTCTTAGCCATGGCGTTCATCTTTGCAGACTCAACCTCCCGATCGGACGGGGGCTTAGGCCGCCCTCGCCGATTAGGCGTGGCCATAGGTCGCTCCTCCACGGGCGCGGTGGCTGTTGGTCTTGAGGGACCCCCTGGAGACCGGGTCGAGGTAGGTGTTTGTTGGGAGAGCCGGCGTGTTGCAGGTGACGACCCCGCAGAAGGAGGTGCTGAGGGCGAGGAGCTGTTGTTGTTGTTGTTGTTGTTTTCAGTGAAGGAGAAGCTTCCCATGGTGAAAGGTGTTGAAGGAGTGTTTGAGGCCGGCAGCCTCAGACCCCCGAAACTTGGCCGAGATAAGTCGGTACGCAGAGACGCTGGACGAGGTCTTTCTTGAGCTTGCTCTGCCTGTTGGAGTTGCTGTACATGGCCAAGGCCTCCGGTCGACCCGAAAGGTTGGGCAATTTGTGGTGTAGACATAGGCCTAGACCTTCTCGGTGGGAGCCTGCGGCGAGCGTTGATCTGTTCTTGCGTGTCCAAGATCTCTGGCTCCTCCATCTCCTCGCGCCGGTCTGATAGATAATTTGGTTCAGTGGTGGGGCGAGAGTTATGAGTTCGCGGACCAGCTCCTGCGGCGGCTATGTTGTCTGCCATCGACTCCGGCTCGTCAGGCTCGTCATCGCCCGCGATATCCCGCAAATCGAACCTAGATTCCGCCGAGAGGTCACGATATGGATCGGGACGTTGCGGCGTGGGTGTCGTTTCCCCAATTTGCGATGATGTTTGCGCCCTTGCTTGAGCACGAGCTTCCCGCCGTCGTTGGCGGTACACTCCATAGTCTTCCCCGTGATGCTGGACGAAGACCTCCGCCTCCAGCTCATCGAGGCTGCTTCCACTGCCGGAGCTGTTGTCGTCCTGGTTCAGCCGGTTCTGGTCCTGTTCGTTCATAGACTGATCAGCGTCTTCATGGCCTTCCGGGTCTTCAACGGAGGTCGAAGCATCGTCTTGTTCCCTCAAAGAAGATGCATGTGGATTATATGAGTGTCTCAAAGGGCTCGGTGCGGTTGGAGCTCTCGACACTGCCCGTGTATTAATTGGCGAGGGTGTGCTGGGTCCAGGTGCAGATGCTCGAGCGAAAGGACCATACACTGGTGATATGTTTGACCCAGTCGGAGGGGCCTCCATTGACGCTGTGGGCCGGGGAACAGGGTTAGGGGCCGTGGGGGATATATACTCCCACGGTGGGACCGGGCCATGCACTGCGGGTTGATGTCCGTAAGGGTGATCTGGATGTACTGGCGTGAACGGAATGTGCGAAGGCGAATTAAGATCTTGGGGAACCGGCTTCGGCGTATTCGGTCTGTGGAAAGGGGAAGGAAGACCAACGGATGATGGCAAAGGCGCGCTCCAATTGACCTGCGAGAACGACCCGAGCTGACCCTGCCCTTGATCTTCCTCATTTTCCTCGTCTTCATTGTCAGTGGTGGTAAGCCAGTTGGGTGCATCTTCCGGGAACATGTGACCCAAATGAGAGATGCTGCCAAGATCAGAGTCACCGGTCACATCCTCGGGGTTGGCGTAATCAAAGTCCGCTTGCAACTGGTCAGTGAACAAGGTGTCGCTGTTGTCGTTTGTCTCGGACAAATATGGGTGTGGTGGTGATAACTGAATATCTGGGCTCACGTTGGCGCCTTCAGTTGTGTAATCCAAGGCAAACATATCAAGCTGTTCCTCGGCGGTCTCCATCTGCCCAGCGTGGGATTGTCCAAAGCTCTCTGGATCTATGGCAGGCTTCAGGGCCTCTGGGAATGTAATAGCTGTTGCAGGCTGTCCTGTGGTCGGCTGGGGGAATCCCAGTGGCTGATCAAGAGGCGCATATGGATCTTCGAACTGTCTCTGTGGAAGGGGAGCGTTGAGCCATTCATCAAATGGGATATCCACCATCTCCTGATCAGCTGTGTCGTTTGGGAGGTCGTCTTCAATGAGCCCAAGCTGTTGACGGCGATGGTATTCTTCGAAGTAGCCTTGCCACTCATTTCCAGACACTGACATCATGCCCTCCTTAATGGCGTCGTTGGACAGCACCTTGAAATCAATCATGTGGCTCCCAGCCTGCTGTATTTCGGGCGTGAATGTGGAGGGCGTCGGTGCAAAAGGCATCGGCGCGGACTGAGTCGCCATGAGTGGCATCGGTTCCGGGGAGTTCATAGGTGCGTCTTCATCCTTGTCTTCACAATTGAGAGTCTGGCCAGCAGACTCAATATCGCCCATTTGGGTGTCAAAATCGTAGAGATGACCAGAGCCTAGGAGGTCGGTCATTGACAAATCTGCCTCCTCCAAGTCCGGCTGCTGGTCTGTCTGCCCCGTTGCTTCGACACCCTGCATCCCCGAGGCCTCAAATTGCATATTGGTGTCGTCTGTTTGAGCATCGGCTAGCCCTAGTTGATGTGCTTCTCGAGCTTGTTGGATCTTTCTCTCCTCTTCAGCCCTCGAAGCATCTGCGATGGCGCGCTCTGCCTCGGCCCTCCTTTGAGCTTCTTCGACTTCCATGGCCTCTTCAGCCTTTCTGGCCTCTTCAGCCTTCCTCTCTTCTTCAGCCCTCCTGGCCTCTTCAACCAGCCTGGCCTCTTCAGCCTTTCTGGCCTCTTCAACAAGCCTGGCCTCTTCAGCTTTCCTCTCCTCTTCAGCCTTCCTCTCTCCTTCAGTGTCTCCAGTCGTGGCGTCCGGAGCATGTATCTGGTCCGCAGTTTCGAGACTGCTCTCCTCCTCCTCCCCCAGGTGAGTAATCCCACTCTGAACCCCAGGCTCTGCTTCAGCAGCAGCTTTCGCAGATACATCTTGGCTGGCATCGGCAGGTCGTGAATTTTCCGCAGGCTGCGCCTCAATCTTGGGCGTCGAGGGTGGCCTCATGCCACCAAGCTTCTCCTGGAGAGCAGACCTGCGGATGGTTGCCTTCTTCGCATTTCCCAGCCTTTTGGGCTTGCCCTTTGACTCGGCTGCCTTCGCCTCAGCCTTTCGGTTGATCAGCCGACGCATTCGATCACCAACAGCTTCCGCGCGGGCGGTCACGTCCGAGTCCGCTGGCGTAGAGTCGGGGCTGGGGCGTTCGGTTGCGTTTTCGGGGCTCTTCTGGGGGGCTCCATTGTCCTGGGCAGTGCTGCTCATAGCCTGCTGTTCCTCCAATATGGGGCCAGCATTCGTAACGACATCAGGGCTTACATCCACAGTCTTAGCTTCTTCTTCTGGTCCCGATTTTGCCTTCTCGGCCCCCTCGATCTGTTGTTGCTGCGTCTCGGCCTTCATTGCATCTCCTCTGTCCTTAATCTCCCAGTACGTCTTCCACCATTCCTTCGACCCTAGGACGCCCCCAATCGTTGGTCGACCTGTTATCTCGTCGAGCTTGTGATACATCTGAGCCCATTGCAGAATATTTTCATCAGTAGCCGCAGATGACAATTTTAGACGACGCCTAGTGATGGCCATCACATTATCATCGTCTTCCTGGTGGGCTGTCTCGGATTCGACGGTGCCGATGGCATTGTGTGATTCGACACCTGTAGATCGCTCCAATTCGTCTCCGGCTTGGGTAGTCAAGGGGTTCATCTCACGGCTGGGACCTGTCGAAGCACGAGCGCCGTCTATGCTTTCCTGTTCAGTGTTCATATCATGATTGGCCGGAACAGCAGAAGGTGTGGAAGCTGGTGCTACTTCCCCAGGCTCGGCAAAGTCCAGCTCAGGGGTATCTGAAGGCTCGGGAGTAGCGCGGGCCTCAGAACGTGGTGCAGCCTCAGAAACGGCGGCGTCCTCGCACATCGTGTCAGAAGCAACGGCGGTGTCTTCTTCCGGAGATGCAGGCGTTTCTGTCCTTGGGCATCCATTGGCTTCCCAGAGAATGAAAGTCCGCTTGTCTTTCTTGCCATTCCAGCCACCATCTCTGCGAAACGCAGCGAGGCGCGTGTTGAAGTCTGGTCCTACTGGCGCAGGCTCCTCGGGAGATGGATCCGCGGGCAGCAATTCGCGTTCCGTGGACGGTGTCTTGGGTGGGCTTGATGGAGATACCAAGGGATCTGCCCAGGTCACACTCGTGGGCCTTGCAGGGCGCCCATCATGTGTAGCCTGCGAGCCCCTTTCGGACTCTGAGGTGGCGAGGATGGAACTCGGTCGTCGTAACGTAGGTGCAGACTCGGCCTGCGTAGACGAAATTTGCCTGATCGCGGCCCCTGAACCATGTGGGCCAGATGAGCCATCGTCGTCGCTAAAATCGTCATCACCACTATCATCCAGCTTCTTGCCATGGTCGCCTGTCGGAGCCTGATGGTTGAAGAACGATGGTCTCTGGTGTTTTGACGTGCTGTTGCTATTTCCGTCTTTTGGCTCTCCTTCGAAACCCTCTGGGGAGTGGACGAGGTTGCTGCCCGTCTCCGTTTGATTGGAGTTAAGAGCATGGTCTGGTGATGCCTCGGGATACCCAGCATCAACTGTCGTACTGTCCGGGGAAACTAGGTTGTCGAATAACCCAGCTCTTCTTCCCAGGTCACCGTAGCCATCATCAGCTGACAAGTTGCCTTCAGAAGCCTCCCTCACAACCTCGCTGGTTGTCTGATTGCCCTGTCGTCTGATAAATGGAAATTCGTCGTCATCTGTGTCAAGGGCTTGGCTGTCATAATCCTCGAAATATGGTGTAGGAGGATAGCTTGGGTAAGGAGACATCAGTGGGCTCGTAGCACCGCTTGGGGGGTAGCTTGGCAGTTCGTCCTCGGTATCCTCCTCCTGGCCTGCTGACTGCCACTTCTCGCACCAAGCCTCGAGGTAATTCGCCACGTGCGCGAAAGGTCTACTCATATAGATCACCCCCCCAGCTAACAGTCGAAAGGCTGACAACGGCATTCTTTCGCGCAAGCCCCCCACATAGTAGATGTGCTCGATAGCGTGGCGCGGAATCTCAAGGCTGGTGATCGCTCTCACAAAGGGGTGGTAGAACAGGTACGAGTCGTAGAACACGAAGAACCGGCGGTAATACGAGTACAGGAACATGAGGATCGAGGTGATAGCCATGCAGAGTAGTGAGAGGAGCACGACAGCGAACCAGACGTATAAGCAAACTTTCTCCCAGGGTTGCAGGTCTGCGTTCTTCAGGCTCTCCAGGAGCTTGGTGTAGGGCCACTTGATATCCATGGTGGAGATAATCCCCCACACGAGCTTGAGAAGGCTGATTGTGCTAGACAACATCCATGCCATCCGCAATTTGGCCTCCAAAAGTGATTCGAGAAGATTGGCGAAACGTGCGCCGACGTGGAAACTCTTCAGCGTGTCGTAAAGTAGACCACCCAAGGACCTCTGCAAGTCGTGAACAAGCATTGTTCCCTGCGTCATGCTGTAACCAATCTTGCGAAGGCCGTCAGCCAGGTAGCGCTTGAGGTAGTCGATGCATCCGGATATCGTCAAGACTTCTGCCAGTGTAGACTGGGTAGATTCCCACATTCGCCACGAAATTGACTGGTAATCGTACGAAAGAACCTTGTGCCAGCCAAATTCAAGAGCGTAGTATGACCACATGATGGTCAGAGCAAGTGTGTCGGAGACCTTGTGCTGGAGGCTATCCAGGTCAGGTGGTTTTTGCGCGTATATCGCGTTCATCGTGAGGGTTGCGATCGCTGCTGTTGTGTTAGATGCTGTTGTTAGTTACACCCGAGGAGGGGGACAATGTTAAGACTTTCAAGGCCACGGACGGTGAATCAGTTCGTTACCCTGCTCTGAATCAGAGTGAAATGCAGCTGTGATGACGAGAAGTATGTCGCTGTGAGTAATGCGTGATACATGTGTTTTGCGTAGCAAACTTTGTTATGCGAGGCGTACTATATGACACTCCTTTGCCAAATATGCTTGATGTGATTTATGGCGAAATTCAAGCGACACGCCTTCTTATCAATGGTCGCTCCATGACCATCGAGGTGTGTAGATGTCGACTGGCATTGTCATGAATGACACAAAGGCGGACAAAGAGCCCGCACACAGAGCTGAAGAGCATCTTGTCGGCGCATGTAGCAGAGAAAGCAAAGACTGTGAGCTCAGCACGGAGAGATCAAAGTCACGCTCACGCGATGATGCGTTCGTTTGGTGGCTGCGACTTGATCAGAGCGCTTTGTGGCCTCTGGCGGCCTCGACCCCTTTCTTTCACAACACGCAGCAGCAACGATGAAGAAAACAAGGAGACGAACAAAGGCTGATGATACTCAAACGCCACTTTGTAATTTCCGCTCGCCAATTGCAGCGCTCGGCGTGCTGCTATTGCATGCTACATTGAACTCCAGTCGCCGCATTAGCCACTCCTATCATTAGTTCGTTACCAGTATCATATGTTCGTCCGTCATTGTTTCTGCCCTCTCGCGATAAGCCTGTCGCGTAGCTCAATAATAATATCGCTCCAATCCTCTTCAAGTGCACCAACATATTCACCCAGCCGAGTGGTGAGGTACTCGTTGATTTTGTCCTCGTTGAAATGTTCGCCGTAGACAACCTTGGCAGCGGGACGGATGTCGAAATCGACTCGTTCCAAGCTCTCGCGGCCGTGCAAGCTGAGCACAATCTCAACTCGAGTCTCCAGCGGTACCAAGAGAATCGACGTCTTCACCAGGAAGCTTGTGTCGGACATTTTCTCCACTGTCGTGGGGAGGGTTGTGTTTATCCTCCGCAACTGCGAGCCAACGTACTGTGCTTTGTGCCATCCGGTGGCCACAAACGACAGCACCTTTGCGAAACTTGTACGATCTTGTGCTATAGCTCGGACCTGGTTCCGGATGCAGTGCAGGACGGCCTCTTTTTCCGGTGTCTGGGCCACAGCGTTGTATTCTTTCTGGTCGCCAACGTACCGTATCTCGAGACGCGAGTCGGGTGAGGCGGATTGTAGAGTTGCGGTATCGAAATCCAACTGGACCTCGCCTTTGTAAGCCATAGAGAGATTCGTTCCTGTGATACCCGTTACTGCCCAGCCGTGCTCTTGTGTGATCGCCTGCACCCCATCTAGAACTGTTAGCGATTGCGCGATGGTAGTGGACACTGGAAGACAAACCTCTGAACGTGTCGATGTCTGCACTTGTCCAACCACGGCAGGCTTCGCGGATCCTCTCCGACTGGCTAATCTCTGCCAGACAGCTGTCCTTTTTCTCGGACAGCAGCTGAACCTCGGCCTCCGATTCCTCGTATTCTTGACGGAGATCAGCAATCATCTTCCTCTTGCGAGCAATGTCCAGATCCAGCTCAGTCAGGTCTTCCCGTGTGGCTTCGAGAACGGCAGGATCAGACTCGGCCAGTTCCTGCGCTACCTCTTCGAGGTCGGCACTTTCTTCCAAGAGGCGTTGGTGGCGCTTTTCAAGCTCAGGTAACACTGAAGCTATGAGATCGGTCTGCTTCTGTAGAAGCGCTGCGTCGCTCTCCATATCCTCCGAGATCTTGAACAGCCCCTGCCTCAGCCCATCCTGCACCATCATACGCCATTCATACCACTTGGCTTTGCTGAGGAGTCGAGCGTGCGTTTTGACGTTTTTGAATTGGCTGTCCATCAGCGCCTTGACATCCGGGGTCGCTGTGACATATTCCCGAAACAAAGGAGGATTCTCATTGAAGGTATCGATTTCCACGTCTTTGACAATCCGTCGCCCCTTCGAGATATACTTCTTCAGCTCACGACAGCAGTGCTGATATAACTCGAGTGTGGGAACGGTGCATGCGCCGGCCACGACGTAACGTTCGAGGGACGTATCCTCTTCGCCGCTGGCGAGATGCCCGTTCTTGAAAGAGGCCGGGGCAGCAGTGTGGCGGCGTTTCGTTGTCGTCAATTCCATGAATCGGATCGAGGTCATATTGAGGAAATCTTGAAGGTGGATACGGCCTTCCTCGGCTGCCCTCGCTAATTGCGCCGCATCTTTCACTGGGGAGTGGTGGAAGTCGACCTCTCTTGTGGTAGGATCCTCCTCAGCTTCTTTGAAGCGCAGCTGGTGTCTTGGGGTCTCGGACTGGCCGTTCTTTCCAGGAGATGACAACAGTGGTGTCGTCTCGGGTTGCTCCAGGTTCAGTTGAGATGATCTCATCAGACCACCTGTTGTTTCGATCCTCGACGGGGGATTCTGAAGGCGAACGTTCTTAACAGGGCTGCCTTGATGCCCTTTTAGCCTCTTGACGCCATCACGGGGCTCTGCGTCGCTGTCGTCATCGTCGTCCAGCTCGGCTGGCCGCTTGCCCAACAGACCGTTTGCACTGCCAACGTGAAGGCTTTTACGGCCCTTGAGGGGCATTCGCTTGGGACTGAGGCTGTCGATCATCCCTCGTAAGTTGAATGTTGAATCCTGCCCTGCCGTGTGGTCATCTTCCTTCTGGAATTCTTCTTGCCGCTCACGGTCGACTTGTTCTGCCAAGTCACGGGGGTCCTGAAATGTCACTGCTCTTGTCCCTGGAACGAAATCCGTAGCAGCATTCCCTAGAGATTCTCTTCGGTCGAGGAGAACAGCGACCTTGGGTGACCCGAGACCGCTGCGATCGACCCCAACCCCAGTCAGCGGTCTCTGAGGAGTCAGTGTCACCTGGGACACCGGGGTTCCTGCAACAGCATTTTGAACTATCGAGGAGCGCCTGCGAGGTCTTTTGGTTGGCGATGGAGTAAGAATTTCAGCAGAAGGTTGTCGGGAAACTTTCTCTGGAGATGCAGACTTGGACTTGGACCTAGTCGCAGATCGTGTGATGCGTTGCTGCTGTGCGGGGACTTGTTTCCTCGGTGAAGTCGATTGTGAGCGTGGTCGCGAGCGCGGCGTCGCTGACTTCTCCGGCGATGGTGTCCTCGAACTAGGAGCGGCTGCCGCTACTTCGGCAGCAGCAGGCGCTCGAATACTACGACGAAGGCCTTGCCCAGCGAACGCCCATAGTCCAGGATCTGCGTTCTCGTCGTTCTCGGCGTGGCGCAGTGGTGACTTTGAGCGGCTCGCCGGCGCCTGTGACACAGCAGCCCGAATAGCCTTGCCCGGGCTATTAGGTGTATCGGCTTCCTCTACCATGATCTTCCTGCCCAAATCGCGCATGGGAGATCCACCATTGGTAGACCCTATGATGCCTCCAATAGCTGTCGTGACATCCATTCCCATGGTGGACTCCCCATCATTGTTCTCTGGCTTATCGCTCTCTATGACGATACGCCCGAATCCGGTGGTCATGTCCATTGTCGCGTCTTCAACAGGTCCAGTATTGGTGACTGTAGGACGCTTGTTCTTGCCCAGCACGCCACCCAATATCGTTGTGAGTTCCATTGACATATCTTCGTGGCCTTCGTGATTTGTCTCGTAGTCGTCATGCTGTGCGGAACGGATACCGCCAATCGCTGTGGTGAGTTCCCTGGTGGCTTCTTCCATGGGCTGCTCCTCGTCTTCTACCTCTGGCGCGTCGTCTACCGGCTGGACTCTGTTCTGACCGAGAATGCCACCGATCACCTTAGTCACGTCCATGGACATGTCCTCGTCCATATCAGGTTCTCCTTCCTCCTCAGGCATTGGCTTCAGGATACCTCCAACAGCTGATGTCATATCCATCTCCATGCCTAGCGATGCTTGGGTATCGCCATCACGCGCGTCTGCAAGATCTGTCCCAGAAGGAGTCGCGCGGCCAGATCCGCCGGCAGCCGCAGTTGCAGTAGGCAGTGCGCTGGGTTTCTTGATCCACCCAAAAGACGGGATCACTTCCTCGTCGTCTTCTTCCTTATAGTCGTCGTTATTTTGCCCGTATGCCGTTGGATTTTCCGTCAGGTCCTGCATGCCAGCACGATGAGCAGCTTGTCGAAGAACTTCGTCAAGAGTCGACGATTCTGCTTCATCTTCTGAGTCCAGGGATTGGTCTGAACGATCCGACGCATTGGTGGTACCGGTCACTTCCTCTGTGACCATAGTCATCATGGTCCCATCGTCGGCAGAGTCGCTGTTTGAGTCCACTTCCTCCTCCTCATCGGATGCGATCTCCTCAACCACATCAGCCGGTTCAGAGTCAGAACTGTATAAAGTTGTCGCTGTATCGTCGGCTCTGTCATGAAACTGTGGCAGCCCAGAGCTCCGCCGACTTCGTGCTTGCTGACTTTCCTCATGGGCCTCCAATATGCCAGCTTGTTCCACTTCGGGTTGTTCATCGGATTCCGCTGCTGCTGCGGCCTTAGCGGAGGCGCGTCTGGATGCCTCTGAAGATGCTGTGGTGTCTTGAAAGTCCGGTATGCTGAAGGTATGCAATGTGGCCTCAGCAGCAAACGATACACGGCGATTCGCCAGTGACTTTCTGCGTGCGTCGCGTCGTTGACGCTCGTCTCGCTCTCGCGCAGCTGCCTGTTGCTCCTCCTCTGTACGCAGGGCGATTTTCGATCCACTAGAGTCGTCGTTCGCCGACGATAATGAACTGCTCCTGGCTGGCGCGTCGGGAAGAAGCTTCTTCTTAAGTAAGGGTATCTCTGGGAGTGCCGCGATGGTGGGTTTCAATATCGACCGCGGCTTGAGGGGCGCAGCTAGAGACTGATGGATATTAGTTGCGTTCTAATTCGAGCGAGTATTGCAACAAACATACCGCACGCCTGTTACCGCTGGCCTGTTGCAAAGCATCCAGTCCGCCAGGGCCCATGCTTTTGCTTCGTGACTTGCGATTTGTCACGCTGGCACTGCCCAAGTCAATGGTCGCATTCTCCTTGTCGTGACCTTTGCGTCCAAATGTAGATGATCCGATGGACTTCCTAGCGCGCCGCACCGGCGGCATTGTCGCGTCTGTCGTGGGAGCCATGGTGGCTGGTTGCGATCGTTTCGTCGTGAAAGTGCATAGGTCGACCAAACGACGAGGGTCTGGATGATGGCGGGCGCGTTCGTTAAAGATGGACCGCGTCTGTTTACTTTCCCTTTTCGTCATAGCGGCTTCGTGGTACGTACCCCTCGGCAACGAGCTGAGTCATCCCCCGCAGCAACTCGCAAAGATCACGTGAGTAAGCTCCACCCTCTCCCAAGCAGCCAATCCAATTTTTGTGAGCCCTAAGGTGGGAAAGTGCACGCAAATTTTGGTGCGGCGACTGCCCTACTTTCGCAAAACATCCCTCTCGACCTCAACCTACGTCTCGCCAACTCCACCTAACACGCCCAATTCTTGCCAGGCAGCAAATCATCCAAGATGTCAGTCCACGCGCATACCGATCGAGCTCCGCGAGCATTGAAGTGCTGACGTTTTCCTCTCCAGGGCGACCGAGTTGACCGTCCAGTCCGAGCGCGCTTTCCAGAAGCAGCCTCACATCTTCCAGAACACCAAGACCAAGGCCAAGAGCACCCGACCGGGCAAGGGCGGACGCAGATGGTACAAGGATGTTGGTCTGGGTTTCCGTACCCCCAAGACCGCCATTGAGGGCAGCTACATCGGTACGTTCGATCAGCGACAGCAACTCGTGGGAAACTTTTTTGAGCGAGGGTTTCGGGAGCACCAAGAGGAGGAAACAGTACGGAATGGGAGGAATCACAGGGCTCGGCGAATGAACGACTCTTCGAGATGCTGTCGAACTTCTGGATAAGCGAAGTGCTGACATTTTCTCCTCCAGACAAGAAGTGCCCCTTCACCGGTCTCGTGTCCATCCGTGGCCGTATCCTGACCGGCACCGTCGTTTCCACCAAGATGCACCGTACCGCCATCATCCGCCGCGAGTACCTCCACTTCATCCCCAAGTACTCCCGTTACGAGAAGCGCCACAAGAACCTCGCCGTCCACGTCTCTCCCGCTTTCCGTATCGAGGAGGGTGACCAGGTCACTGTTGGCCAGTGCCGTCCCCTCTCCAAGACCGTGCGTGATTTCCCTCGAGGAGCAAGTCTCCACATCAGCGGATATGCTAACATTCCATATCAGGTCCGTTTCAACGTCCTGCGCGTGCTGCCCCGAACTGGCAAGGCGGTCAAGAAGTTCAGCAAGTTCTAAATCATGGGGCTTTCTTGTGGCATTTTAGGCGTGATACATCAGGGGGGAACAATCGGAACGTTTTTCCCACTGGCGGGCTGGGCACCGGAAGCTGCTTTTCATTGATTGTGGTATATGCAATCGCGAATAAAAGGATTCATGACAGCTACGACGGCGTTCAATGCGACCAAAATTCGAGCAAGGTGCTCTTTCTACGGATGTGTGTACGGGCTTTGTGATGTCAGGTTTTGGGAGGAGGATGCTGTCGATGTGTGGTTGTGACCATGATCTTGATGTACGCCACGGTTCTACTGCGCGATGGGTCAAGCAGGATGCCTGAACTGCACCGCCTCTATGTAGTGAGGTACCGTGATGTCCGTACCAAATGCCTTAGACAAGTCAATTCACTTGTACCAATACTAGATGACGATGCAGGTCAATTATCTTTTGTTATTTGGGCTGGGTTGTGGAGGGGCCCCATTCCGCCCGCCGGACCCCTACATCGCGGCAGCGCGGAATTCTTCGATCTCCAATTCCAAGAATGAAAGCAGCTCCGGTCCCATCCTCACCATCTACACATTTTAAACTCCAACTGACAACATGGGCTGGTGGCCATCGATATTAGGGGGCTCCTCGTCGGCCGACCCCGTTTCAAACCTCGATCCCAAACTTCGCGAGTTTCTTGAGAAGGAGTCGCCCGTCCGGTATCAACAAACGCCAGCACAGGCACAACCCTCGTCGCAACCAGTACAACATCCCACAGTCTCGAAAGCCGTCGCCGAAGCGCAACAAAAAGGAGATGCCGACGCAAAGTCAAATGTCCCCGCCGAATCCCTCTACCAAGATGGACGATATGCGCACTTGTGGAAGGGGTACAGGCCGCAAGCAGAGGTCGAGGCGGACGCCATGACCGACCACGACCGGTTAATCAGCGTCCTGGACGGGTACACGCAGAGAAAGGAGCAGATATCCAAAATTGCCATGGAGAACTGCGCCGAGACGCAAGAGGCGTGGATCAATTGCATGAAGAATGGCTCCTGGACAGATCAAGCACAGCTCTGTCGACACCAGGTTAGGGCGTTCGAGAAATGCTATCAAACACAATCAGTGAGTTTCCGGAAGTCTATAACTATGCTTTTCCACGCCAGGACTGACTCTCGTAGCGATTTCTACGAGCACTAGGCTACGGCGCGGTCGCGGACCGACCAGCTGCCGTCGATGAAGACATCCAGATGCACGCCGACGCCCTCTACCAACGCGTTCTCGCCCACGAAGCAGCAGTCAACAAGGCCCGCGAGGAAGGTACACCAGTCCCCGTCTTCGACCCAGTCATCCCGCGACTCGCGACACGATCAACAGGACCGCGCGTCCAGCCGTCTGAAGAGGTGAAGAAGCAATGGGACGAGAAACTGCAGGAGCTACCCGAATCAGAGCGTGCGGTGGAAGAGGCTGCGCTCCGGGCGGATTTGCAGGCCAAGTCTGATGTGGCGAGGAACATGAAAGACTTTTATGAATCCAGGAAGAAGCAGAAGCAGGAGGAGCGCCAGGAGAAGGACGTTGTGGAGGGGAAGACCGTTGCCGAGCAGCTGTGGTCCAAGTTCACAGGGCGGTAAAGGAGCGACGCGCCACGCGTGGACAGGAAAAGGTGTATTATACGTTGTATATCACTGTACAATGCCCATTTGAGACGGTCTTGGACAACATGCATACGGATCCATGTGATGCGCTCAAAAAGCAGGACAATACTCGCACACAAGGAAATCATTGGCAAAGGGGTTTGATGGTATATTTCATGCCGTGAATATGTCATTTGAATTAACAGCAAGCCTCCTGGCAAGCGCAAAGTCCGCAGCAAACCTCACAACCAGCCTCCTCACCACCTCGCAACGTCATATCGGGTTGGGGTTCAGCTTTCTGATCCAGAGTCAGTCCAAGAAACGCCAAATTCAGCAGAGGGCACGACATACTGGCTGCTCGGAGATAATGTCAGTGTTGACATCGGTCATGGGAGCTTGTTGCTCGGGCTCGTTTGTTTGGGCAGGCATGGCGTGGTGTGGGTAGAGTGGTGATTAGAGTGTAATTCGGGTGAAGTGATGGTACACACATGTTGAGAGCACCCTTATTTATGGCTACGTCTTCACAGGCTTTCAGCGAGGCCTCGCGAGCTATGGTGGCTTGGGCCTCGCCGTCTCACACGCATTGCGTGAAGAGCCGTTCTAACCGACCCCTGGCAGCCGATGTGCCGGTCCGCGGCATCGTGCGATGTATCCTCGCGGCTTATACGCCCGTATTGCTCCTGAGTCTAGTCTGCCTCGCAAGGATATGCGCGGTAGGTGGATGAAGGCAAACGACATGGCAAGCTGGGCCGCGTAACGCACCAGCATATCGGGTGCCGAACGCCCGAGCAGCCCTGCGCGCGGGTGAGGGTCACGACGATAGGCGCCATGTCATGTGAAGGGTGAAACGAAACCACCAAAGCCATTGGTCGGGGCAAGGTGCCAGAGAGCCCTTCGTTGTCAATCTTGGAGCCGCTAGTAATGGCGAAGCAGATGAAGGAGCTGCAACCCATCAATTGTCAGATTGCAAGCGGTCCGTAGGTGTAGTTACTACGAGTCAGTAGGCTTTATAGCATGCGTACATGGAAGAGATTGGATGACGAGACAACATGGAGAAACTGCGAGAAAGAAAAGAAATGGCGATACTGGATTAGATTCTCTCTGTCGGTGAAGCTTTGTTCAAGCGACGCAGCACCTCGTGAGTACGCACCTCCATGGCTTGTGCGTAGGAGGAAGAATAATGCCACGTCCTCAAGTGCCGGTCCGCGTGGCTGGCATTTTGTAGTCCCATCAAAACCACGCTAGTGATGTGGGTCTCCGGACATTTTGATGACGTTTGCGCTATCAGTGCATTAACAGATGTACACGGTTGCACAGCACACATCGGATAGGGCGGCGATATCCTCTTGGACAAATATTCACTGAGATGAGGACTCTGATAGTATCAAGAATTTTGGAATAAGCAGTTCGCTCAAGAACGCAGTAGCTTGTCTCTTTAAAATTAGGTGGCAGGAGCTTGGCCAAGCTTCTTTCACTTAAGTTAAGATTCCAAAGAAGCATATTCGATTCCTTGCCGACAGCCATCATAGCTAGCTATTCTTACTGCTTAGACAATCTGGCGGCCTTGAAGCGACTGAGCCGCGGCGGTCCACCTTCAGTCTCGTCAAGGGGTTGGAGAGGGTTCTCATCCTCTTTCAAAAATCCTCCCTCGCGGTTGATGAACTTGCGGCGCAGCCGTTGATGCTCATTGGCGAGCTCTTGCTGATCATCATACGTCTCGAACTCGACATCGTCCACCGGTCGAACTGCGTCGTGCTCAACCAGCGTATCAGCAAGCGTGGTACCCTGGGGTCCTGTTGGGGCGGTCGGTCGGTCTTCGCCAAAGAAGCGCGCTGGGACGTCCATGGGACCCTTGGGCAACCCGCCCACTTGAGGCGCAGAGCCCCGGGCTTTCTTGAACTTGGATGCCTTGCGTGCTGGCTTCGGCTCTTCCGCTCGAGTGTTGCTTGTGCGTTCCACGACAATGTCGCTGACTGGCTCGACCACGGGCGCACGTTCCAGCACATCAGACGTGACGGCAGGGGACACGGCAGCTGGAGGGCTATCAGGTGCAATGTCGAGACTCGTGGCAAAGCGAACTCCCTTCTTGGCAGAGTCGTCGCTCGGGCGTTTTCCCTTGAGTGCTGGTTTCGCTGGTGGCGGCTGTGATCCAGACGGTGATGCTGAAGCTTCGGTCTTGACGACGATGCGACCCAGGCGCTCATCCTCGCCACCAGAATCGTCGCTGCCATCTTCCTTGTCCTTCTTCTCGAGATTTTCTGTGAAACCTGATTTGATGCCGAGCTTGCGCTCCAATTCCAGCATACGTTCGCGGTACTTGTCTGTGACGACTCGTCCGGTGTAGCGGCCGTACTTGTCTTCATCCTCCTCCTCTTCATCAAAACCCTCATCGCTGTAGTCCCAATCCTCATCTTCGTCGGACGCTTCCTCGATGTCGAGTTCGGCGACCACCGCCCCAATCTCTCCCATGCCTCCCATACTGTAGTCAAGCATCTGTCTTCGCAGCTCTGCCTCTTCATGGTCTTCGTCCTCAGGTATCGTGGGCTCTTGCTGAGCAAAGTCTTCTTGTTCTTTCGCCGACTTCATGATGGACTCGACTCGTATGGCGTTCCGCGAGATGGGTGGCAAGTCCTCCTCAGCCGCAGGTTTCGTGTCTTCGGCGAAGGACACTCCTTTCTTTGCAGGTTTTTCCGGGTGCTGGTTTGCCCCGGCCTTCGAATCCTTTGCTGCCGGACGTTTGGGATGAGGCCGAACGGGGATTGTCTGTTCTTGTGCTGAGGGCAGCTTCGTGACAGCAGGCGTAGCATCCTCCGCCGTGACAGGTTTTGAGTTTGACGATGCGGTAGCATTTTGCTTGGACTGCTTTGAGTCACCATCCACAGGCACCTCGTCGTTGACCTCTGGCAAATCCTTAATCCCAGCTTTCTGCAGGGCTGCGCGGACCTGCGGCAGCGTCTCGCCCGGGCGACTCAGCTTATAAGAGAGCACATTACCATCTTCGTCGAGTTCCTCCATAATCTCCGTGATAGGTTGGCCTTCTTCGTCCCGCATGTCGGGTTGACTGATGACCTGAGCGGCTGCATGTTTGTTCTCGGCAATCTCTAGTTGCTTGGTCAAGCTCTCAATGTTTTTGGTAACATAGTCTATTCGCCGATCCAGCACATTGACAATCTGCTCCTTTGATCTCGACGATTTCGGGCCAAAGATCTCGGCCAGATTCTTTTGAGAAATCGCCTCCCCCTCGAAACTCGACTGAATTTGGGCCAGCGCTGCAGGATCATCGTCCTCTACAGCCTCGACCTCTTCCTTGAGCGACTCATACTCGCTGTCGAGACTCTGCCAGTATTGGAGTGAGTCCTTGACTTCCTTGATCGTTTGCTCTAAGCGTTGCCGATGCCTCTCCAGGTCGATGAGGCTATCTTTGGCGGCTTCCATTGTGCGATCTGCGCGAGGAGACCCTGGTGGTTGATGCAGAGGGCTATCAAAATTTCTATGTTGGATCTGTGTGAGGTCACAGCGCGCCGGTTGAAATCCGGGTAACGCAGGGGCACACCAAAAGATGTGGATGCAGATAGTGCGTGCGTCGGTGCTCGGAATCTGCGGCCTTGATCACGCATCTCGACCTCGTGCTTCTAGCAGTTTGGCCACATTGCATAAGATAAGATACAAGTTGTAACAGCTTGGGTTTGCCAAGTGCTCTTAAGGCTCAGCCAAATTCATCGTGGACCTACCCGCGCTAATCTGCCGTTATAGTTCGTCTACCTGATGTTCTGGTCATTGCATCTGCGCCAGACGTCTGAGCTACCCTGCACCCGGTACTCTGTACATAACGCAACGCAGTGTCAGACAGGCAATTATCGTTCTAATATATATGAACTATCTAATATAATGTCATTGCTTTGACCCGGGAAACATAGCCGCTTGTACTGAGCATGTGAAAGTGAGTCAATGTGTCGTCTTTGTGACGTTAGTGAACGCAATTAGTCTTTCAGTCTTCGCGAATTCCCACACCACTACTTAAAGCACCTCATACCTCCCCTGAACGCAAAGCCATGCGCCATGCATTGCTTGCAAGTTTTCGACGTTTTCCCCAATCTATAGGTCTATTTGCACAATTCAGAGCAATGTCGACCGCAGGGCGGACCTACAATGTGAGCTTGACGCTGTGTGTTGCTGCTCATGTTCTGACCATCGACACAGGACGCGATTGACGCGCTCAACACCCTCCAGACGCCGCACGATATCATTGAGCAGCGTCGGAAGGCGGGAATCCGGCCAGATGCTTCCTCAATTGAGGAGATGAAGGTCTATCTGGACCGCATTGGCTATAAAGTACGGCGGCTCCCCTGGTCTTGACCTCTGCCATGGCATGAGCTAAACTCGCGCAGCTCTCGGATCTGACCCGACTCAATATTGTCCATGTGGCCGGCACAAAGGGCAAAGGCAGCACATGTGCATTCGTCGACGCCATCCTGGGCGAACATCGCCGCGTGCATGGCTCACCACGAAAGACAGGGCTTTTCATCTCGCCTCATCTCATCGCGGTTCGGGAGCGCATCCGGATCAATTCCGAGCCCATCTCGGAGGAGCTATTCGCCAAGTACTTCTTCGACGTGTGGGATCGTCTTGAGAAGGCCGGAGCCGTAGATGAGACAGTTGCGCAGGGTTCTAAGCCTATTTACGCACGGTACCTGACCCTGATGAGCTGGCACGTATTTCTGCAAGAGGGGATCGATGTTGCCGTGTACGAGACAGGCATCGGCGGCGAGTTTGACGCAACGAATATCGTCGAGCAGCCAGTCGCGTCTGGGATTACGAGTCTAGGCATTGACCACGTCTTCGCGCTAGGTGACACCGTGGAGAAGATTGCGTGGCACAAGGCTGGAATCATGAAGCACGGCTCGCCGGCATTCACGGTTCATCAAAGTGAAGACGCAGCAGCCGTGCTGAACAACAGAGCGCTTGAGAAGAGCGTCGAACTCAAGGTCTTGAAAGTTGATCCTCGACTCCAGGGCGTCAGAGTCCGACCAGATGCTCTTTTCCAAAAGAAGAATGCGACCCTCGGCATCGCCCTGGCCGAGACGGTACTCCGCAAACTTGGCAGCAGCGATGTCGACGGGACGTCTTTAGCAAAGACCTTTGTCGACGGACTCGAGGGCGTCATCTTCCGAGGCCGGTGTGAGGTCAAGGAGGAGGAAAAGGTCACATGGCACGTCGACGGTGCCCATACGGCAGACAGTCTCAAGGTGGCAGCGAAATGGTTCACAGAGGAGGTGGATGGACAGTAAGTTTAATTGCGGGTACTAATTTCCCCCAATCTGACATCTTCTAGTACGGGCCCGCGCGTTTTGATCTTCAACCAGCAGGGACGTTCAGAGGCCGTCGACTTCCTCGAGTCCATCCACAGCGCAGCAAAGCGCGAGGGCAAACCAACCTTTGACCTGGTTATTTTCTGCACCAATGTCACGTACATCAAGACGGGCTACAAGCGTGACTTTGTGAATCGCCAGGCTGATGCTCGCGAAGTGCACGACATGGTCGTCCAGCATCGCTTCGAGGAGAAGTGGATGGCCATGGAGCCTACAGCGAAGGTACGGGTCGTGCCGACCATTGAAGATGCGATCGAGCAGGTTCGAGCGCTGGGGTCGGGTTTGGATCAAAATGTCAAAGTAGACGCCTTGATCACGGGAAGTCTGCATCTCGTTGGAGGCGCGTTGGGTATGTTGGAACAAGCAGATGCCCTATAGTGATAACAACAGGCCATCACTCTATCTCATCCCCTGTGCCTCGTTGCAGCGTCTTGAGAACGGCGCCGACGAGATACATGCTGCCTGTGACAACAATCTTTGCCTTCGAGTGTCCAGCCGCTATCTCCTTAGCTTGCGCGACTGCGTCGTTGACGTTATCTAATACTGTGATTTGTGCCTTCGTCGACATGAGCTTTGCACCATCAGGGCTCCGCACCCAGCGTGACGCCTCCTCCTGAACACTCAGGTCTCTTGCCCCCTGCTTCAGCTCATTGTTGGTCTGCACCATGAGGTTGTTCCGGGGAAAAATGAAAGATGGAGACTTGGAAGTCCACCATGACGGTTCATCAGTATAGCTTTCCACGGACCGTACGAGATGCTTCAGGAGCTGTACGGCATCTCGTTCTTGTTGATTGAAAATGACAATCAGCTTGTCGTTTCCGGAGACGTGTGCGGCTATCCAACTTGCCACATTCGCGATGCTATCCTGTGTGTGCGCGCCATCCAGGTACCACGTCTTCCCGTCCATTTGGAGAACCTCGCCTCGGCCGGGAACATGCATCTTCTCCCAAGCTTGCGGCAAGTCTCCGCCGCTTTGACTGGAGTATTCGCTGATGCTCTTTGTCGACAACCCCTGCTGCTGAGCGATGACAGCCATGTCCGCCAGCATGTGGTTCTTCACGGCTATCACGTCGTCTGGCGATTGCTTGCATACCCTATCCAAAACCTCCTTGGGGATCAGATACAGATTTGCGCCTTTCTCTTTAGCCCTTTGCACCAGCACATTCTTGACGGACTCGGCCATGTCACCAGCATAGGCAATAGCTGGTCTGCCCTGCTTGAAGATGCCCGATTTGTGCCATGCAATGCTCTCCACAGTGTTCCCCAGCATGGCTGTGTGGTCGAGCTCTAGATGTGTGATGACCGCGGTGGCCACCGCCGCGGGCGGTAAGATATTCGTGGCGTCGTATTCGCCGCCGATACCACATTCCATGACGACAACATCGACCTTCTCCCTGATGAAAATGTGCCACGCGAGAAGCGTCATGAAACGGAAGAAGAAAGGCCTGGCTTCTCGTTCCGGTAGGCCTTCTCTTTGAGCAGCCTCCCCGAGACGGTCCCATAGTTCAAAGAAAGCTTCCGTGAACAATTGTTTCGACACCGGACTCCCGTCCAGGGCAATCCGCTCCCTGACAGTCACAAGGTGTGGACTCGTGTAGGTTCCTACACGTTTGCCCTGCGTGCCATTCAATAGAAGCCTGGTCGCGTATGCACACACGGTCCCTTTCCCTTTTGTGCCTGCAACGTGGATGTGCTGCATCTGAGATAGTTGGTCTGTAGTATAGCCTGCACGTCGAAGCCAGGTGATCATTTCGGGGATGGCCGCCTCATTGGCGGCCTTGGAATCTTTGCCATCGAAGGCTTTGGTGATGTCGCGATTCTGGGTGAGGCTGTCGAGTCGCTCTAGGGCATCTGAATATGTCCTACCCTTCGCCTCGCGGGTTCCGCTAGACCAATGCCTCACTGCTGCCTTGAAGCTAGTGCCATGCCTTGGTTCGTTTGTGATTGAGTGTTTCTCCTCAAAACCCGTCCGTCGAAAGTGCTGGCAGCTATGTAGCGGTCTCTTGGCTGCATCGCCATTCAAAGCTGCGCATCTGAGATTTTGGCAGGTGTGACTGGAGGAGACAATGTGGCGCGCTAAAACGCGTGGAGATGTCAAACTGCGTGAGGGCATTGTGCGCCATGCACTGAAGCACCGGGAAATAGAAGCGAGTGGTGCTTCAAACGTGCAGCCGAGGAGTGCAATGCTCAGCCTGAGATAGGTGATCAGTCGAGGTGGTTTGTCTCCATGACTGGCTGCTGATTCCGAGTGACGGCACACACATTCACCTACCGCCAGAGGCATACAAAACAGCACAGCGCTACAAACTCAATACGACACACATTGTAGTAATAGCAGTCCTATTTTTCTGACACTTAGAGGACAGCAATGCATTCTACAATTGTGCGACAGCTAAGATATGAAAGGCTGGAGCGACACGGTCAAGAAGCAACCTCGAGATTACGGGAACGATATTGACATGAATAAGCAAACCCAGGTGCCGTCCGTAGATATAATACCCTGCGTTGTCTATTGTTATCTAATACACGGGGCCAACACTGCCCTTTTCTAGACATCGTGCAATGTACAAACAAAGTGAAAACCCCATCTATTCTACCCTCAAGCTCTGCAGCCGAGCCTCGGTGGCAATAACCTGGGAAATTGTTAGTGATATGGCCTGGAGCAAGGCGCAGATGACATACCTCAAGTGCTTGTTGGACCTCTAGGACCTTGCGCACCTCTCCCATCCAGTCCTTACTCAAGGTCTTGGCCCATCCGTCCAGACCGTTCATCTCACGTGCCGCGCTGTCCAGATCACCCTCCTCAAGGAATGTCTGTGTGCGGGTGAGGATACTCTCCACGTCATTCCCCTCAGCCAGACCCTCCTTCTTGAACATGACGTGGCTGAGGACCCAGCTCGAGGCGTGGCTTGCGACGCCTGCATCACTGGGGAGTAGCGAAGCCTTGCGAACCTCGCTAGCGACGCGCCGGAAACGATCAATCAGCTGCGAAGTGGTGAACACGCCGCGCTGGTAGGAAGCGGGGTTGACAGAGGCAATGGCGGCATTGACGGCAGGGTTGTCGTTGGCAATCTCCTTCAGAGCGACGAGTTCCTTGATAAAGGGCGAAGGGTGCGAAGCGTTATCCAGCTTGGCGCGGACAGCTTCCACAGCAACGTGAAGCTGCTGTGTCTTGAGGTTCGTGTCGACAACATCGTTCCATCCCAGGCTCAACTTCTCCAGATCAGAGACAGCCTGGGACAGCTCAGTAAGCTTGCCCAGCCGGCCCTCGCGCTCCTTCTCGACGCGGTCCTTGACCTCATCGACAAACTCCTTCTTCAAAGCCACGGCCTGCTGAAGGAGCTGGTTCTGCAACTTCTCCTCGTTGACCTTGCGCTCACGCTCCAAGAGGAGCTGGACGCGGTCCTCGTAGCTCTGGCGAACATCCTTCATCTCTTGCTCAAACTCGTTGCGCCATTCCATCTCCTGGCTGATCATGGCCTGCTCGACGCGCGACACAAGCTCAGTAGCAGCCTTGTCAAACTCGCTGACCTTGTCGCGAACCTCCTTGGCGGAGTCTTGCTCCACCTTGGCCTTCATCTGCCGGAGCTTGCCGCCAATCTTCTGGACATCGTTCTTGGCCTTCTCAATGGTGCTGCCATATTTCCCGTGGGCGCCATCGGCATTGATGACGAGGATCAAGTCGTTGAGCATGTGGACAAGGTCCTGAACAACAGGTTCACGGGCATCCGCCAGCTTGAGAAGGTCGATGGGCTCCAGAGGGGGCATCTTGGAAGGCTCGTTCACCTCAGGAGCCTTGAAGCCGGCTGAGTTCGCTTCAGAGGTTGACTTGGAGGCAGGTGGAGCCACATCGGACTGATCAGCCTTGGACTTGTGATCGGATGTAGGCACAGCATTTTCAGGACTTTTGGCTGCAGTGGCTCCAGGCTGCTCGGTCTTCGCAGCCGTTTCCGCAGGGGGCTTGGGCGCGGACTTCTGGCCTGAAGGCGAGGCGCTCGATTGGCGTGCACTTGGCTCGGTAGTATCCGCGACTCTCCATGAGGCGCCGCTCTGGGCAGGGATCCGTACGTGCTCGCCGGTCTCGCGGGGCCTGGAAGGCTGGCTGTGGGGGAAGCGCTTCTTGAAGTCGGCTTCCTCGAGGTAGAGCACCGCCTGTTCACCAAAGGGAACGTACTCGGTGAAGAAGTCGTGGAAGGTGTCGTTGACACGGGAGTACCAAACACCGCCGCCGAATCCCACGGCACCGAGTACCATCAGAGTGAAGACAAAGTTCCTCAACCTCCGGACCAGCCCTTTCTTCTTGGGCGGTGAGGGAGGCGGAGGGGTCACCTGGCTTTGCTGGACGTGGGACTCGCCAACGTCGTCAATTGTCGCGGTGGGTTCGGGCTTCTTCGACTTGATAGGCGTGGTTGGAGGCATCGAGTCGTTCATAGCCCGGGATTCACCGACATCGTCGATCGAGGCAGGAGGCGTAGGTCGCTTGTCCTTGCTGGTCGTAGGGTTCGGAGGAGTCAACGGAATCTCATTGCTCGCAGGAGCAGCTTTCGACTCGCCAACACCACCCAAGGTCGTGTTCGGGGCGCGCTCGGAGCTCTTCGTTTCGGTAGGGGGGATGATGGGCTGCACAGACGCGTCCGCGGACTTCTTCTGATCTGCGTAGCCTCGCTTTCACAATTGTAAGTTTCCATCGAGACAGACTCCATGTAGAGCAGCACGAGTACGAACCTTGCTTAGAAGCGAAGCCTGTCGCGTGGCTGCAAATGACCATTGGCGCCCAGCGGCAGCCACACCAGGCTTGCCATTGAGCACTCTGGCCGAGCGCAGCGATGATCGCAACATTGGATAGTGCACAATGACCCGCGGCGCAGGTGCTTGTCTCTGGGTGTTGTAGCTGTGATCGGGCGAGCACGGGAGTAGCTGCCAGACAAAACCACTCAGGAAAAAGTTCGGCAATGCAACCGTCGTCGGGTTGGCGTCAGTGGGTGACGAAACCAAACAGACGTATTTTTGTCACCTCAATCAGCCGGTGAACTGAGTTGCTTTTTGACATTCATTGATGCGGTACAAACTTCTTTCTTTTGGAAGATAATCTGGGCATAATTTGTAGATGCGTCCCTCGAGTAATGACAAGTTGGACCTCACTGACAGCTGCACCATACAGGGAAAGGAGAAAGAAGACTAAGATCACGTTGAAAATTAAAGAACATTATCGACTAGTAAGCGTACGAACCCAAGACTCCAAATGAATATACGACATGCTTGGTCTCTCAGGGTAATAACATGATGTGGGCCAAGTCTGCGTGACTGCCGGTCTATGTCCAGTCCGATCGCAACAGACCATGCGTTGTCAGGTGCGCATCCTGCGCCTCATGTTGAGATACCGCTTCTACTGCAATTCGAATCAACTGCCTCAGCAACTGCACTGACCGCCAGTGTTGGTGTTGCCGCTCTCGGGCTGGAGGCTCACGCCGGGTCGTTGTCCTGGTCGCGCATGTCGGGGGCCAGCTTGGTCAAGCGGCAGCTTCTTGGCAATGGCTGTGAACAACTCGCGGACATTCTCGGCCGTCTTTGCCGAAGTCTCGAAGAATAGGAGGCCAGCTTCCCTGGCGTAAGCCTCGGCGTCAGCAGTGGGAATGGCTCGCTTGTCAGGCTGCTCGTTCACGAGATCGAGCTTGTTGCCTGCCAGAGCAATGATAATGTTCTCGTTGGCTTGACGTTGAAGCTCTTTAACCCAGGCCTTGGCCTTGTCTAGTGATGCCTGTGGAGAATCAGCCATGAGCTTCCGCGTAAGCCCTTGTAACATACCGCTTGCGTGATATCATACACGACCACTGCGCAGTTGGCGTTGCGATAGTACATGGGCGCCAGTGATTTGTAGCGCTCCTGGCCAGCAGTATCCCAAATCTCGAACTTGACAGTCGTGGTCTCGTCAAGAGAAATCGTTTGCGTCAAGAAAGCGGCGCCGATCGTGGATTCGCGGAACGAGTCGAATTGGTCCTTGCACACGGTAAGCCTTCGACCTATCGACCATGCCATCGCTTACTGACCTTGACAAAACGCAGGACTATAGAACTCTGCCAAGACGATTAGTGTCGACCCTCATTCAGTTAATCGTAGCCTCGCACCTTTCCAACGGCGGATTCGCCTAGAGGGCGTTAGTGATCTTTATCGCTCCAACAATGTCGCTCGACATACCCAGAAGCACCAGCTTGAACTGCGCAAAGCGGTTGTTACCGCCGCGCGGGCCTGAGGGTCCTCGGGAAGCCATCGCGATGGTCGAAAGTGATGTGCGGTATATGTAAGAGGCCCCGTAATGTATCAGCTATCGGTCGAGTTTCCTTGTCGCAGATCTGTGCCCTCGACGAACTGTGGTATCGACCGGTGCGTTGTTGATGACTTAAAGATCCGCGGGGGGGTTTCTATGTAAATGAGGTCCGCAGAGGGCGCGGGTGGAGAGGCAGCGTTGGTATCGGCAAATGTCTTGATCGATGTTGAAGTGGGATGCAATGATGCTTGCAGATTGTCGGCCTGGTTCGTTCATACGACGACGCCTGGAGCCAAAAGGGTCACGTCAGGTGGCACCTTCCTGCCTCCAGTTCGGGCACGGGGAGCTGCACAGTGCAGAATGCCGCCTTACCTAATCTGTACGAATGAAGAAAGAGTCCCACATGGTAGATGCAACAGCGTTAGTACATGAACCTCATTGCTTCACTCACTACCTCACGATGTCGCCCGATCCTAGATCCTAGAGAATCTAACCAATTCGAAGTATTTCCGAAGCTCTCGCATTGGCGCAAGTGTGAAGTACATTGCATTTACGAGCATAGAAGAAGCGGTTTCTCGCGCCACCTCAACGTCCCTACTACCATCCACTATCAGCCAGCAAGTCCACTCCAACTGGTATTATAGAGCAGCAGATTGGTCTCAGCCACGAAACGGGGTTCGGCTTACGTAGCCGTTGGTCCCAGATCTTCACAAGCCTGTCAAGCACGCAAGCTAAAGTAGGTTTTAGGCTGCTACGCGTTGCCAGGCCCTCCCCCTGCCGACTGGGCTGTGTTGTGAGTGACGACGTTAAACAAAGCCCCCTAGGGTCCTGTCAGCTACCGCCCACGATCACCATCACCACGCAAGCCGCTTCGAGACTCAATCAAGCCAACAGTCAGCGCTAAGGCCTGTGGCTCTCCAATATCAAGTGCTGTTCCGACGGTCGTAGTCGTGTAGGCAAAATGGCGCTCGCCCATGCCAACAAGTGGCCATATCGCGATATTAACCTAAAGGTCACCAACGATGCGTATTCGTTCACCTCCCCCTCGTCGCCGGATGCGCCCGCTTTGATACTCGATCGACCCACCGGAGATGTTCGTCTGAGCGAGAGCTCGTTGCAAAACACCAAGCGGGCCACGCGCGTGTCGAGCATTGCTGGTATTCTGGGTGTCATCCAGCTCAGGCTAGGTGAGTAGAGGGGGTTGAGGGGGGCCAGCCTTCTCGCTTGAACCTGACCGATATTAATGCTCCCTTCCTAGACAAATATGTGATCATCATCAACAAGGCAAAGCCCATGGGCCGCCTCAAGGGCCACATGGTCTACAAAGTCATTGCGACGGACATCTTACCAATGCGCGAACGCCAGATCCACGACCCGGACGAGGATACCTTTATCGAGCTTCTCAAGACGTTCCTGGCTACAGGGCCGATGTACTTCTCGTACTCGATCGACCTCACGAATTCGATCCAGCGCCAGTCCCAGGCCGACTTGTCGCAGCCGCTATGGGCACGCACAGACGACCGATTTTTCTTCAACAAGTACTTGCAGACCGACCTGATCAACTTCCGTACACAAGGCTCACGGAGTCAGCCTGGTCAGCAAGCTGGAATCGACCCCTTCATTCTGCCATGCATCTTTGGTATGTTCGAGATCAAGCCAACTAAGTTCAAAGGAACACCTCTTTCTTTGATTTTGATCTCCCGTCGATCGCGGTATAGGGGAGGAACAAGGTACTTTACCCGTGGCCTGGACGAAGAGGGCCATGCTGCCAACTACAACGAGACTGAGCAAATCGTCATCTTTAACGACAATTCTACAAGCGGCATGTCTGGCCATGCGGGCAGCTCCAATATGCAGAGTGGAAAGCTGGGCGGTGCAGACCAGGACATGCAGATCTTCGCCTACGTGCAGACCCGCGGCAGTGTGCCATCGTACTGGGCTGAGATCAATAGCTTGCGCTACACGCCCAAGATCCAAATCCGGAGCCCTGAATCGGCTTTTACCGCTGCCCGGAGGCACTTTGACGAGCAGATCAGAATCTACGGCGACAATTACATGATCAACCTCGTCAACTCCAAGGGTCGCGAAAAGAACATCAAGGACCTGTACGAGAAGATGGTGCAAGTACTGGTCTCCGCGCCAAAGGAACGAACCGAGGCAGATCGTCTCACGGACGAGAAGTTCCACATGATCACCCCCCAAAGCAAGGCCCAGGAATTTGACAAGCTGCACTACGTCTACTTCGACTTCCACACGGAAACCAAGGGCATGGCCATGCACAAGGCTTACCTGCTCATCGAACGCATGGCCAACGAGATTGAACAGCAGGGCTACTTTAGGGGTGTCGAGACCCCAGGTGCCCGGGACGGCATGATTGACGCGCGCAAGTTCCAGAGCGGCGTGATGCGTACCAACTGCATGGACTGTCTTGACCGCACCAATGTCGTGCAAAGCAACTTTGCTCGCCACATGCTCGATCAGGTCTTCTGGGAGCTCGGCCTCACGCCCCGCGGCGTCATGTTCCGCGAGGAGGATCCAGCCTTTGAGTTCCTGTTCCGCAACCTCTGGGCCGACAACGCCGACGTTGTGTCCAAGTCGTACTCTGGCACTGGTGCCATGAAGACCGACGTGACCCGCACCGGCAAGCGCACCAAGCTTGGTGCCCTGCAGGACGGCCGCATCGGTCTCACACGGTACTTCCGCAACAACTTCCTCGACGGCCCGCGCCAGGATGCCTTTGACCTGTTCCTCGGCGCATACCAGCCCGGCGTGTCCAACATCGGCACTAGCCTCGTCTTTGTCGACAAGAGGCCCATCCTCATCCAGTCCATCCCTTATCTCCTTGCGTTTAGCATATTCATCGTCTTGGTGGGCATCTTCACCAAGCGCGACCCTACGTCGAGCGCTATTCCTATTCGCCTGTTCATTTTGTTTTGGAGCCTCGTGTCGGTATTTTGCTTCAACTTCATCCTCAGCCACGGGATGCTTTACGTGAGTCTACGAAGCAGATTAGTGTGCCGCATCGAAGACATTGTTCACTAACCCTTCTTCCTTAGGTCAACTGGCCACGCCTCAACCCAAGACCCTTTGCCACCGAAGGGTATGCGGAGCACTACTCCAAGGCCACCAAAGCACCCATTGTCGGCCCCTTTGTCGCCAAGCACGAGAGAGGCATGAGCACCGCTCGGTACCTTAATGCGGAGGAGGGCAAGAAGAGAATTGAGTAGACAGACCGCACGCTCTTGTTTCGCAATACACCTGTTTCACGCATGTACATAGACTTTGACTCTAAGACTAATAGAAACTTTTGGGATAGGCATGTTGTTGTGTGAATGGTACAATATTATGCATTAAATGTAGAATGTTGCGCAGTGTGACTATGAAAGAAATGGGTGCTCCGAGGCTATGCCAATAATAATAAAGAAAGGAAAAAAGGGGGTATAGGTGTGCTAACAAATTCCCAATCCCAAGCACGTTGTACCCATAGGAAGTGTTCTCGTATCAGTGAACATGCCACTGATCCATCTCTTACAACCACAGCAACCACTTCACGGCGCTGAATGCACCTCTCCCTACGCCGAGGAACACCCTGACTACCATAACCATGAACCACACGTACCACATGAATCCCACCAGGGCCCACTCGACTGCGAGCCACAAACCGCGTCTCACATATCGGAAACGTCGGCGTCGACTTCGGAGGAGTTTCTCGATCGTGTCGACAACGTGCTTGACTTTCAGAGGCTGATCCAGAGCGAGTTGTTTGCTCGTCTCGTCAGCTTCGTCCGCCGCGTTTCGCGTCATTTGGGACAAATCATCCGTCAGCCGTGAGCGGACTTTCCGAATCCGCTCTTGAAGTTTGGGCGTCGTCTCCGACGCGAATTTGTCGGCGGACGCTTGCCATCTTTGTCCCGAGGCTTGCATTGCCGCACCGAGCGCACGAGAGGCAAGTGGGTACATGTCGCAGGTTGCCACAGATTGGTCCTGAAACTCGGTTACATCCGGGGTGAGGGTCGCGATAGATGCCCATGTCACCCCACCAATCTTGCTCCGAGGGTCTTCCTGGGTGAGGGCCAGGTGCTCGTGACTGAGTGGCTTCTGCTGCTCGTGGGCACGACGGTTGATCTCCATTGCCTTGATACCCGAGCTCAGTATGAGGGCGCGAACGCGGGCAATCTCGCGCTTCGACAACCTCGCGCGCTCAGGGGACGGGTCATGATCGTGAATGGACCAATGCCGACTTGCCGACCGGCTTCGAGGATCGAGCATTTGCGCATCGATGAGGTTCTTGAGAGTCTCGTCCTTGCCCCCGAACCCACCAGCTTCATGACCGTGATCACCCCCGCTTGGGGAACCATCATGCTCCCCACGCTCGGAAACCACTGATGGTGGCGCGGTGGGTGAGGTATCCCGCACGTCAATGCGTGGCGGCCTGAGCTGTTCCCATTTCGCTGATTGTCGGCTGACAGGACCTGAGAGACTTGCGGCAGCCGACTTTGACTCTGGAGCACCAGAGGTCTTTTTGGGTGGTTCTCCAACATGATGGAACTCGGGCATGCTGTCGAGGAAGTGTTTCGCGTTCGGGCCTTGTGCGTCTTCCTGCGCACGTCTGGATTGTCGACGTGACAGGGCGGGGGGTTGCTTGTTGGGGCCTATCCCATTGTCGTTGTCAGATTCCTCTGAAGTCTCTCCATCGACTTCATTCTCGTTGCCGTCCTTCTTCCAGAGAATGTCGCCTATCTTAGCAACACCTCCGCGGAAGACTGTGTCAATACGAGGGCCACTCTTGAACAGGCCACGAAGGCCGTTACCCTGGTCCTCGCCGCGCAATCGCATCGAGTTTGAGGGCCGGTGAGCCCTGTAGCTTTCGTCGGTACGGCGCGTGGCAAGCCTTTCCGAGGGCGACGGCGGTTCGGGCATGAAAGATCCTTGTCGCCTAGCATCATCCTCTGCCTCCGAATGGGACTCGTCCTCATTGTCGCGACTTCTGTCTTTGAGCTTTCTCTTTATTTTGGAAATAGGGTTGCGAGTAGGTGACCCTGAGCGACTCGAGGCGACCGAAACAATATTGTTCATTTTCGGAGGCGATGTGAGATCCTTCTCGTCCTCCAGCTGGGGTGACGCAGGATTGGAATGATATTTGGTCAAAGAACTTCGCCGCGGATGCTGAGGGGCTTCCAGGCTCGGCCTCCCAGGTTTGTGTCCAAGGGACGATTCAATCTGAGCTCGAAAGCCGTTGAGCCTGGTGTCGGGATCACTGTAGTCGGCCACTGAGGTCTTGCGGCTGTGTATCTGGCCTGAAGCAGATGGAGTCTTTGCTGGCGAGCTCCAGCCTTGCTCATCAAGCTTATGCTCAGCTTCCGTTTCTGTTACGTGCGCCAGCTCTGCAGCCTGTTCTTCTTGTGCCATGACGCGGTTCATCTGCTTCTGCAACAGATCACTTGTGTCGCTCGTGATAGTGTCCCGACGCCCACCTCGTGTCCTGGATCGCTTGAGCTCCGGCCTGTTCTCACTGTCACTACCGGATTGGTCAGAGACGGAGCCTCGTTTTGGTCGCAGCAGGTTATGGCCACCATATCCTGAGCTATTGTGTCGATGATGGAAAGGCCTCATGTCGTATACTTTCTGTTTTGCGCGATCTCTCCGTCCTTCAACACTTTCATTCGTGTGGATAAGGCGCAGATCGTGTGCCTTATCACCGTGGTCCGCGTCCGTCAAAGACATAGGAACCATTCTTTGATCGGTATCGTCGACTTTGCCGGAAGTAGACTGCAGCGTGTCCTGAGCCGGCGCCGGGAAGATTTTGCGCCAAAACCGATCCTCAATCAGATGCTTGTGGTGGTCTTGCTCCAGCCAGTATGCGTCAGCAATCATATCGCACGGGTCGAAGAACCAGTCCACTCGGGGTCGCTTCACGCGCATGGCTTGTACAGGGTCTGTGGAAGCCTGCTGATCGAGTTCCTGGTTGCTTGAGAAATGAGGCATGGTGAAAGTGACACCAGTGCCACGTCCACCTATGTAGCCAGACTCGGTGACCCTGTCCACCCACTCTCTCACACTCTCAATGTCGCCAAACCCCAAAAGCTCTCCATCTATCACTTTGCGCTCACGTGCGCGCACCTTTCGGTTTCTGACGTACTGCAAAGGGTTATAAGACCTTGTCGTGGTGAGCTGACCCCCTTTGCTGGTACTAGAAGAGCCTCTGGGTGCAAGATTTGGCGAACCAGGGGCGGACCCCGACTGTTGATTGTATTCGGGTCTGAGGGGCGGCAAACTCGTCAACAGACGTCGGTACTCCGCCAGCAGCTCAAGGTGCTCTTTGGCTTTCTGCGCTCTGGCCAGTGTTGCTGCCGAGAATTGGTATTGGTAAGTCCCATCGTGGCCACTGTCTTGACTAACGTGCATGGGGCTGTTGGCCCGGTGTCCAGATGGCAACCTTGGTGACGCCCCTGGACTTGGCCTGGGTGATCCCGCTTGAGATGTCCTCCGCTGTTGTTGAAAGTGCTGTCGCAGGTTGCTCTTAGATGCTGAATCCGGCAGGGGTGCCAAACGTGGCGGATTCGATCGCGGTCCATAACGTCTGGATGCGGCACCTCGAGACTCGCCGAGGCTCAAGGCCATGTTCACGATCTGCGTAGCTTCGGTGTCAGGCACTGCCCCGTTTGGGCTACCCGATGATGGCTCCGTTGTGTCCTTCGTCTGACGCTCAGGGGTACGGGATGCCCGGCTTGCATCGTGGCGCGTGGGAGGTGAAGTTGTACTGTGCCTAGTGTATGGTTCTTGATGTTGTCCTGTACTTTGTCTCGGTCGTTCTGGCGTTCGCTGAATGGATTTTCCCTTCGGACGTAGCAGACTTGTCGCTCTACGTCTCTTGCTCGACTCCTCAACAGGAGCGACGGTATCCTGCAGTAGGAAGCCACCAGTCGACCGGCCCTTAATCCGTCGTCGACTTCGTAGCGAGCCTCCCCCCGGCTGTTGGCCAACCGGGCTGGAAGCTTGACCCATGACGTCGCTACCTGACGCATTGTGGCTCCTGTCTGTCGTGGCGGTCGATGGTGTCGCAACGCGGCGGAGGCTGCCGGACTGGCTTGACTCGCCCGTTTCCTCGCTCGATCTCATGGCACGGTCGGGTGTCGCGGGGGTGGCTTGCGCCCGGTACTGCGGAGTTCGTCGGAACTGACTCTCGCCGTCGTCGTCCGCCATTGCGCGCGATGCTTGTCACATGGCTTATCCAGGCTATAACAGAAGAGTCGGTCGCGTCTTGCAGGGAACGAAGCGCGGTGTCAGCAGACAAAGCTTCCGATGAGACTTCGATGGCGGGTCGTGGGATGATGAACAGCAATCAATACTGCATGACGAGGCAGGTTGGCGGTGACATGACCACCTTGCCATTCAGATCGGTGTCGGACGCGACAGCTCCCAAAGCTAATTACCTATTAGCATGTGCTAGCGTGACACACCAGCTGGGGAGGTGCCGGCCTACCCTAGACGCAAGGCCCACGACATTATGCCTCTACTCGCGTAGTATCAAAACTTGGATCTACCAACATCACCGCTCAACACCCGCTATTGACAGTTCTATTTACAATAATCGGACTCATCCTCTAGTCCATATATACATGCATAAATCTATACAAATCTTACACGTCTAATTGCTGGCTTATGCCGGTAGTGCGGCAACAACGTCGTTGCATCGCTTGCACAGCTCGTCTTCGGACGGCGCCGTGTAATTCCAGCAGCGTGGGCACTTGGCAGCAGATGGAGGATACACCGTCAGGACACCCTTGCTTCCAGCTGCTTCGAAAGCCTGCTCGTGTGACCAAGCCGGCTCTGTCGGGCCTGGTAGGTCGATGTGTGCTGAAGACACGACGAGAATGCTGGGCAGCTCATCGCGCCAGCGACTCAAGCACTCTGTGAGAGCATTGTGTCCCTCCTCGGTAAGTATCACCAAGGAGCACTGAAGGGAGCTTCCGATCAGCTTTTGCGTTCGGCAGTGCTCTAAAGCTTGTTTGACCGCGTCTCGGACGGGCGTCAATATCTCCCAATCTGCACGTAGGATCGACTCGTCAAGAGTCAATCGGCTACGATCAGCAACAGGGTCCGTGTACAACGCCCGTGCCGGATGTTCAGAGGATCTGTTCAAACGTTAGTCAGGGCCTTTGCATACTGGCAGAGTCCTACTCACCCATCCTTTTGCAGCCACTCGGGCCGGCTGGCCCAAGCCTCTTCGACCAGCATCGGGGTGATAGGTGCAAGCATGCGCAGAAGACCATTGAAGATGGGCTCAACAACGCCTCCACCGTCTCCGCAGTAGAGCCTGTCCTTTAAGCACTCCAAGTAGAAAGCCGACAAGTCGTTACTCAACCACCGATTCAACGCTTGGATCCCCTGGTGGAATTCAAACCTTTCGTATGAGCCCCGAACCTGGGTCATGGTGTCGGAGAGCTGTAGCAGTGCGATCTGGTCGAGCTTGGTAAGCGGCGCACTGCGCGCAGACTCGTGTAGTGATCCTGACAGCATTTTGATGATGCTCCTGTAGCGAATCAACGCGCTGTGGGCCGACTGGAGGACACCCGTTCCGATCACAATGTCAGTAGTATAGTCGGACATGGCTGCCCAGACTCGCAATGCGTCAGGGCCGAGTGCGTCATGCCTGGGAGCAGCTTTGCCCTTCCCCTTGACCATGGGTAAGAGTGTGCCGTCCATGACTTGTTCTGGCGCTATCGTGTTGCCCAGTGACTTGGACATCTTCTTCCCTTGGTCATCAAGGGTGAACCCGTGCGTTATAAGAGTCTTGAAAGGAGCGCAGATGTTGGATCGGTCAACGCCATCCGCCTTCTGCGCTGCGACATATGTCAAGAGACTTGACTGGAACCAGCCACGATGTTGGTCGCTACCCTCAAGGTAAACATCGGCCTGCTCCGCCGTCTCGGTCCAACTGGTGCCGCTATCAAACCACACGTCCATAGTGTCGGTCCCACGTCGATAGCCTCCTTTGCCTTGCAGACTGGCAGGAATCCATGCGGGATCGTGAGGATCGTCAGCGAACCATGCCTGGGATGTCCTTTCCTTCATGACGGCGATGATGTGTTCGATGGTCTCTTCTGTCATGATGGCATCTCCGTCTGCGCTGTAGAGTGCTGGGATGGGCACACCCCAAGAACGCTGTCGCGATATGCACCATTCATTTCTTCCCTTGATAAAATTTTCGAGACGGTTCCTCCCAACTTCGGGCACAAATCGAACAGATTCGAGGGCCTTGAGTGCGTCTTCCTTGATACTCGCGACGTCTGCAAACCATTGAGCTGTAGCCCTGATCACAACTGGTCTTTTGGTCCGCCAATCGTAGGGGTATTTGTGCTGAATGACCTGGGTGCCAAGTACATCATCTGCCACGATGTCCAATACAGCCTGGCTGCCTCCGTCTAGAATGGTAGGGGCCGACGTCAACCGTTCGGGATCTTCTGGGAAAGCCTCCTGGGTGAAGTGCCCATCGTCTGTGATAGGTGCGAATGCCTCGATGCCGAGCTTGGCGCAGGCTTCGTAGTCATCCTGGCCATGCCCAGGGGCCACATGGACCAGTCCTGTACCCGAATCTGCCGTGACAAAGTCTGCGTGTATGATGGGCTGGGCTGGAGACTCCAAGCCTTGTAGCCTATTGCGATATTCCAGACCAGCGAGCACCGAACCAGCAATGTCTTCGATCAAGATGTGAGCGTCGGGCACGAATGCCTTGACAGCTTCGACCCGCGCATTGGCAACCAAAAGTGCGTATTCGCCAACTTGCAGGACTGAGTACAATATCTCGTCGTGCACGGCAATTGCCTTGTTGGCTGGGAGAGTCCAGGGCGTAGTGGTCCAGATCGCTGCGTACAAGGGCACCTGCACATTCGACAGACCCGGCACCGCTTTCCAGTCAGATACAATTGGATACTTGACGTAGGCTGAGTTCGACTCGTGATTGTCCTTGTATTCCAGCTCTGCTTCCGCGAGCGCAGTGCGTGTCGTTGTGGACCAGTATACCGGTTTGTGCTTCCGGTAGATCAGCCCGTGCCGAACTAGTTTCTGGAAGACACGAAGCTGTCGTGCCTCATAGCCGCTATCCAACGTCGTCCACTTGTTGTCCCATTCGGACATGACGGCAAAAGACTTGAAGCCCTTTGTCTGTGCCTCCACAGTCTTGGAGGCCAACCGCTTGGCCTTGTCACGGATTTGGACTGGGCCCATGCCTTGCCCAGCACCGGAGCCGAGAGCTTTCAGCTCGATAGGCAGTCCATGGCAGTCCCATCCTGGCCGGTAGATGGCACGTTTACCAAGCTGGACTTGATAGCGGACTATAATGTCCTTGAGGATCTTGTTGACTGCGTGTCCAATGTGCAATGGACCATTGGCGTATGGGGGTCCATCGTGGAGAATGAAGGTAGAATCCTCCGGTCGATTCGCTGATTGCCAGGCGTATAGTTCATCGGTGCATTGTCGAGAGTATATCGATTGTAACTTGGGGTTGGGACGGACGCTGAGCTAAGGTCAGCCAGCAACAAGCACCAAAGGACAGCGGCCAGCTTACGGAAAAGTCGACGTCGGCAACTTCAGTGTCGACTTCCACGACTTAGACATTGCGATATGAGGACCATGTCACTAGCGGCAGGTGTTGCAGGTGGACGCCGTGGTGAGTCGTGACATGAGGCCGCAAATTTGCGACGCGACCAGATGTTGGAGTGCAGGCGCGTCTAGGGGTCTTCAGTGGGGCGGTTACATCACCACAAGCTTCAAGTGGTCACTTTATCATGCTCCTTTCAACTTACTGCAAGCCGTGATAACAGTCAACTTGAACTGATAAAAAAGTACAAGTAGGCATTTTCCGTCGACAGCGAAGGACGCACCAGGCATTCTAACCTCTGCAACAGATCAGTCGCTGTGCTCTCTTAACTCACCTCCACAGTTCATCCAGGATGGCGCCCGTCCGTCGCTATCTGCGCATCACAAAGTTTTCGGTGCTCGAGTGCCGTATCTACCTGGATAATCCTGCATTGGCACAATCATGGCTCCTGAACCCACGCGATCCGGTCCTGCCTCGCGTTATCGAAAGCGTGCGGCCCTGGGTGCTGCCCAAGCTTCGTGAAGAGCGTGACAGAGTGAAGAAGAAGTCGTCAAACAAGAAGAAGGGAATCAAGGACACCGTGATAGAGGGTATGTCTCCGTGTTGAATTTTGTCAAGTGCATCAATCGCTCACAGGCGCAGATGATTTTGAAGTATCAATCTTTTTGACAGAGACCAACACCCGCCACTCTATTCTCACCAAGCATAAGCATTTTCACGACAAGGCGCCTGAGAAATTGAGGTCCAATACGAACAAGTTGCTAGGGGCTACCAATGAGAACCCCGTAGATCTAGATGATTCAAACCCGCCTGTCCTGCGCGAGGAGAGCGACGATGAAGTGACCACTCTCGCCGATATTCCACTTGCCGGTGGGAGTGATACAAGTCGCGGCAAGCAAGCAAAACCAGATCAGCCCGACGACGACGAGTTTGGCATGGAAGACGAGGAACCCTATGCAGTTGAGATCGACTCGGATGAGGGCGACGACAGCGCGATGGCACAGGGCAACGACGACAAGAAGAAGATGGCCATGGATGTCTCGTATGAAGGCTTTTCCATATACGGCCGTGTTTTGTGCCTAGTGGTGCGGAAGAAGGATAGGTCGAACCAGCGGACGACTAGCAAGAGCCGACCTGGTGCTCAAGCTGGGGGTCAAGCACGCATGGAGAATTGGATCACGTCGACGCAGGTTCCGATCGGAGAAGAGATTCCATGATTGGCTCGCGGCCGGATAGGCTGATACCAAGTGCTAATGACAATCGAGATCGGCATTGCGAGGCATGTACGTAGTACGTACCGTCGATCTGTCCTGGACTCTCGGAAATCATTTACTTGCAACGCTCATCCAGAGATCAACAACAGTTGCCATGGCGTCGAGCCGCGCTGGGGGAATATCTCGGGAGGACCCCGAGTAATTATCTAAGTATCGTCTGCCTTGCTGACGCGAGGGGAGCCGATGACACGTCTCCTGGCCAATACGCCGCCAATTATCAAAGTGTTGATTTCAGGTCAGGTTTGTGACACCTTGGCACGACACGACACGTGTCGCAGGTTGCAACTCACGACCTCCGAAGTCCGAACCAGTCACGCCGGTCACAGCACGCCATGTAGCCGGCTACAGCCACCCGCAACGGCACGGCCACCGAGCTGTCGGGTCCATGCCGTCGAGGAGACCTGTTGTTGAGCGAGCGGTTGACAATCTGACAATTATTGCCATATTACGTCGCTAGTTTCAGCTATCAACGACAACAAGTCGTCGCCGTCCATCGGACGACCCACCCCCTCGAACTCCCTCCTCGAATCCCCTCCGCGTTTGTCACTCAGCCGCCCGCAGGGTGATGTGATTGACTTTTGGTGAGATTCTGCTCAACGACGTGATACTTAGAGCACAGGTAGACCCTCTATCTGTAAGATACCTGCACCGTGCTCCATTGGTTGGCACTTTACTAGGGTGAGGTTTCGGTGTGACGGCCACGCTAATTCCTCGGTCCCGGAGTAGCCAATACTCACTCTCATCACCGACTTATCGATTCCCAAGCTCATGTGTGGAGGCATCCATCCTCGAATCACGAGGACGCGGTGCGATCGCCAGGGGTCGTGTCCAGCGATCAATCAGAATGCACAGAGGAAACATCCATCCTGCCCCCCAGTAAGTTCCACGTGGGATCGACGGTTTCTGCTGCAAGCCGGCTCGCTGTGGGGCCTACGCCCACAGGCTACAGCTGCTGCATCGTTTCCGTTGCAGTACTGTCGTCTGCTGCTCAAACGTCGAACGGTTCGATATTGATGAAACTGCAACCCTCATTGATATTGGGATGAACCGCGTGGGTCAAGAGAGCTGGCGATCACCCTCTGTGCTGTGGGAGACGCACGTCAGAAACTGGCAAGCCTCTTGACAGAAAGTTCCGTCTGTCTGTTTGCAGTCGTTGAGGTGTTTGATATCAAGACAAATATGATAATGCCCAGTTGCTTCGCACTTTGGTGCAGACATCCATTTCGGGACGGTAGAAAGCATCTGCAATATCTCATATCAGCACAAGGCATTTCGTGCGGTCTTCCAAATTCTATTAGACGCTGCCCCTTTGCAGCTACTCAAGAAGACTGTAGTCTAGGGTTGGTGAGATTGCAATCACAGACGATACGACTCAGGGCGCGCTATGCTGCCACCGCCACATGATTCTCGCCAAGTCCAGAATGATCGATCGCCAGATCGTCCAGGTCCACGTAGTCACACTCACGACCTTTGCCGAGTCAGGAGTCAGGGCAGCGGCAGCCACGACTCACGAGCCACGAGCCGCCTCCAGTTCTTCTGGAGCGCCACAATTTCGAACGCGCCGCCGAGGCCCAAGATTCATCAGGGCCCAGGCAAACTTTGAAACAGGTCCGCTGGTACCTGAAAGGACGGATTCCCAGCGATCCACGCTTGAAGAAGCCGCTAACGTGGTCTCGAAGGCCAAAAGGCCCACCCCCTTTTCTGCCGTCGCCGCGTGGCTCGCAAGCTAAGACCGACTACCGAACAGGGCGGAGCTGAAAATTAAAAGAAAAAAAAAATCAAAAGAAGCGGTTAATGGCAGGAAAGAATAAGCAGCATCAAGCGCAGTGAACCGACAAGCGGGCGCCCCGGATGTAAATTTGTGGCAGGCTGAAGGAGAGCCTCGACTCCGCGGTACCGCCTCGGTGAGAGCCATCTAATGTAAGCAAGACCGATAGTTCGTTTGAAGAAGAAGAAGCAATACTATACGTACTACGTAGTACTATAACTGGTCGATCGATTGTGTTGCTCTCGATACGCGCCAGTTGTTGGCCGCTAATGAACAACTAAACAAAATTGTTTGAAGTGGACTCGAACCCAGATTGAACGAGGGCCTCACGGTGTCCGCCCTGATGGCTGAGCAGAATGACAGCGGACCGCCTAGCCGGGGTGCGGGCTCTGAAGGGCGTCGACGCAGCAAAGTGCCAATCTCTGAATGACGACAGAGTCAGACTTTGTCGTGGGTAACAAAAGACGGTCACGATGCAGCGGAGATTGCGGGGTGAAAGACCTAGAAGTGTGAGTCACGCGTGGTGAGTGTGCATTGAGATAAGGCCCCAGATGTTCTTGGCTTGACTTGGTCAGGACATTGCCGTGATGATCACGACAAATGCTCACTGCCAACCAGGAGGCCACGCTCATAAGCACATGGCCTTCTGCCCTTTGGCTGATGGACGCTGACCACCCATTTGTTGACCGTGGCAACCCACCAGGGCGGTACGAAGTGTCGGGGTACCATGGAGAAAACGTTTTTGCATGTTCGGAGAAGTGCATTTCCCAAACGCATGCTCACTTGTTGGTTGCAAGCACAGCCCGAGATGAAACTAGGCTCTGGAGGGCGGCGAAACTGTTGGTGCCCCCACGAAGGGCTGATGAAAAGCAATAATCACAACCTCCAGTGGAGTCCAGCCTCGAGACCTTGGACCCTTACTACTATTCTTAATCATTATGCGTCGTAACCAGCCCCTTTATCTGAACCGGCTAGTACCTGGCCGAGGCTAATTGATAGTGGCTGCTGCGCTCGTTCCGAGCTGACCTATATTTGTTGAGTGCTAGTCCGACCAGGGGTTAAATTGCACCCTGCCTCACAATGGGGCGTTGACCAGGGAAATGAAAAGATACAAGAGCTGCATGGCCAGCTGGCTTCACGACTGCGCACCACCCAGCAGACGTATGAACATTGAATCAGATAGGCGGTGGGCAAGACGAGGAGCAGTTTCACGGATCCTTCGTCTCGCTCGTGAGTCATAGGACCAAGAACGTTCCTTCACCTCCATGTGACTGCCTGCAAATGTCGGGCACGATTTGAGGGGAATAGCAGGCAGTCATCGGGCGTGACACGCTGTGCATGCATGCGTAGGGCTGCGAAGGTGTGGTCGGAGAATAGACGGGCGCAGCTGTACGATGCTGACAGGGGCATCCCAAGGCCGGCGCCTTTGTTGTTGCTTTTGCATCTTCTATGTATGCTGCATGTACGGAGTATACAAGTATCATGTGTGCGGTGTGTATGATGATGAGTCTCACAGAGCCACAACCTCCATGTCCGACCGACCCCTCCTTCGACCCTCGAGCGAAAGGCCACCGAGACGTGCGTTGCGTAGCGGCATGTACCTATGATCAGCAGGACATGCTGCTGCGTGAGGCACGGCCCTTGTCTGAGCTACACTTTGTTCAATCTCACGACGCTGGACGCGGCTGATGCGGCGCTGTTCATCAAACAAATGACGAACAACAAAGCTGACGCGCCCGCTAACATGTGTGTGCAACCGCATTGTCCGTCTGCGACCCGAAGCAACCGCCTCAATACATAGCCAAGGCACGTTTCAATCCTTGGTATATGATTGATAATACGAGCTGAGGTATCAGCCCACATGAGCCGGGCTCGTGGCATTTGTTGATCCTTCGCTTCAAGCGTTTGAGGCTTTCATCGTCACCGCTCACATTTGACCGGCAGTCTTCGGAGACCTTGACCTTGGCACTGGGTGACACCTGACAAGGAAACCCCAGGATTCGGTGTTGACGTTGATGTTTTCCTGCAAGACACAGCCTTTTGGCATTGGTGGAGTACTATTATTCGTTAGGAGTCCAGCTTGACAAGGCGCTCGGGCCCCTGATTAATTACCACCATGCTTCTTCAAGCAAGACATATCATCAATAGTCCGGCTCAAGAGCTCAATAGCTCTGTAAAACAGGGCTGTGAGAAAGTGCCATTCCATAGAGCTACTAAGCTCAGCCAGTCAGCCAGCCATCCTTTGCTTGGTACATACTCATCATCGTTGCACGATCATGTTGGTCGTCGTTGTCGTTCACACAACCGCGGTGAAAACAGCCAATGGGAAAGCGAGCGCAAAACAAAATCTGTCTCCTTAATTACTAGGTACGTACTTATTAAGTGTTGACACCCTTAGACGTGGCGGTGTAAGTTCTCAACCCACTTGTTGAAGTCGTGGGCCCTTGGTAATTTCAGGTTCGCCATTCGAGATTGGATGGCTCTTTGTTTGATTGACGCCAAGCCCCGTCTTTCCAGCCCGACAAGGGGGTGTCCGTCTGTCGTCCGTCTGTCCGTCTGTCTGTCGGCTTCGGGAGCGGGCCAGGTGACCACACTTTTAACCCTGGCAGTTTTCTTTTTTTCTTTCTTCCTTCCCCTGGCCGGACTTCTTGTTGACCGCTTGGAGCGGTCTAGTTGGCGATCGACGCATGAAGGGAAAGTGGCCCCAGAGGACGAGCGCATCGTCATTTCATCTTCTTCCATCAACAAATCGGGCAAGTTATTCGGTTCCGCATGGCAAGTGTGACGGGTTTTCAATTCCCCATGAGGCCGTGGAGGATGTCACGCCTAGACATTTGAAACAGTCGAAACTTGGCGACAAGATGAATTGTCGTCGTGTCATCATGATGATGGCGAAATGCAGTGATGCAATAAATAATCATCACGCGAACGTCGTGGGTCGCAGCATGTGTTGCTTGTGTCCGTATTATTACTACAAGTAATTAAGATAGGGCCAAGCAAGACCAAGCGAGGCCAAGCCAAGCCAAGCCTAGGCCAGGACAGGCCTGCAGGAGTCAAATGAATTCCTTCCACGAAGCTTCCAAAAATTCGAAACGCTCGCTCGAGTGGGTACGATTGTGGGCTACGGAGGCTAGGCATGACGGACGGGTTCTGACATCCCATCGACAGTTTTCAACCGGGCTTCGCGAGATGAGCTTGGACGCAGTGACCAACAAATGTATCCATTTACAAAAGCCGTGGTGCCACTTGGCAGCGTGGTCGCGAGCGATTGGGTCCCTTTGATGGTTGTTTTCCA